CATTCAATGCAACAGACTTTCGAATTTAAGATACTCTTTAAATCAACTTATTCCTGGTAAATTCAAATAGTGGGGCAAGGTTCTGTTAAAAAGCATAGCCCCCCTCCTACAACAACGAAGTTACTGTTAAATGGCATCCCTTATAGTATTGCATAACTATAAGCAATGCATTTAGTTTTCTTGCAGCATTTGAATTGTAACCAAAGATGCCCTCCTCTTACTTCGTTGGACAGTAGGCTTAAAGCTTATAAATAAAAATATATAAATAAATGAATGAATGAATAAATTAATATTCTAATTTTGTATGTTTTTGCTTTTAAGCGACAACGATTGTATACTCGTCCCTTTGGCCGTACTTAAAAATGGTAAGACACTCTGCCTTTTGCAAAACTTTATGGGTTTTCCTCTAATAATTTAAAGAATTTGATATTGTAAAGACACTGTAAGGGATACGTCATTCGTCCGTTGAATCAGTATTGTTTTTAGGCGGAAACTGCAGTGAAATTCAAATTAAAGCAATATTAATGTTTATACTTTATAACAGTTACACGATGTTGCTAAAAGTTCCCTTTGGGGTTCAGGCAAAGGATTTGTCGTATAGCTTGCTTCTAGATGACGGGAAATTAAAACGGAAAATTAGATCAAACAAAACGTACTAGAAATCTTTTATGGTAGAAGCAGCTAAGATATTTAACGATTTCTTTTCCCAGATGGACGTGGAGACGACGACCTGGTACCTGGGCCTCGTTCATGTTGCCTTCAATCTGGCAGAGCTCGGTTGTATCATTCTGTTTGGAGCCTGGGTACAATACCGACCTGGGTTTGAGCCGCTGATCTTCTCGCTCGTCTGTTTAATTATCGGCAATCTGCTTTATGCTTGGGCACTGTCGTTTGGTTATTATGGAAAATTCGTGGTGCTTGTTGCTAGATTGATTATCGGCTGTGCAACAGGTAGGAAGAATGCCACTACAGTTAAAAGCAAAACACCTTGAGTCCTAGAGGCATTGAAGAAGTAGGAAAACAATAAAAAACTTTATAGTTTGAATTGGAGCTAGATTGTACAACTTAGAGACCGTCAAACTTGAAGGCCTTGCCACAAATATTTTATTCTTCTTTTAAAAATCCAGTTCAGTGTGAAATTTTCGTTAATTCGGGCAAAACGGAGCTGAAGAATGAGAAAATATCCCAATTTTATTATTAATTAACGTAGGCCTACATAACTTGTGACAAAATCAATTTATCGAATAAAGAAAGATTTTCAGAAAAAAATCACAGATTCACTTCTTTCGTTATTGCAAATGAATCCAAAAATTGGCTAAACAACAGTAAAAAAATAAAACATTTACTCATATTCAAATTCGAGTCCAATTCCTTTAAAACGCCTGTCAATTTCTGCATCCATCTTCTTATTCATTTCATCTGTGAAGTAATTTTTCCAATCTCCGACTTCTCCCTTCCTAATAAAGCTGCCATTTTGTCCTGGCACAAAAGCCACACCTCTGATTGCTTCGTTATTTACCGTTTTGTTGTTCTTCATTGTTTTGAAACTAAGATGTTCCACAAGCTTCTCGACTTGCTCCTCTGTAACTTCTTTCTTTAGAAACTTTCCAACTTTCTTAACAACGGCCGAAAGATCCTTTTTCATTTCCTCGTAGAAGATTATGCACATGTTCGGGTGATCACGTTTTTTCCAAGCAGTAGTAGCATATTCAAAATAATCGCCATAAATCATCAAATTGCGCATGAAAATATCAAAATAATCAGCGAAGGTGCCTGTGAATCCATGTAACTTGAGCAGTTTCTCGTGATGATAATACGAGACTAGCGTGTCTTTTGGGTTCCTCAGACACATGACAACTTTGCTTTTATCAAGAAGATCTGGAGGGAACAAATCAAAAGGCAGATGAGATTTGAGGGTCTTGGGTGATGGCAACTTTCGCAATTTATCTATAACTTCTTCAGATTTTAAACCCAGCTCTTTTTCACAATTTCCATCAAAATCAGCTATAACAGCCATATCAATGAACGGTATTCGCTCATTGAGCTGCTTCTGCTTGGCCTTTTCAAGTTGGCAGTCATTCAAGAGACACCACACCATTTCCCGTGCCCATGTAGTGCCTGTTTTCACCCAACCAAACACAAAGACATCCCCATCACCTAGTGGCCAGTTGTAGATTTTATCCTTTAACTTCTCGTATGCTATGGGCAAGGTGCACCTGCCCGGCTCAACTCGCACGTATTCCTGACCTTGCTGCCAACTAATGTAATTCTTGGACATCAGTTCCTTCTCCTCATCACTAAGACGCGACGTTTTTATGTGAGCCATTTCCCTGTAATAGAAAGGTTTTATTTATCAATAAAAACACGGTTACTTTATCGTTTTGTGTATATGTTTTGGTGTTAGAATTGAGCTACAAACTCTTTGTACGCCAGCTTGTATGTCTTATATATTTATAGCTTGATTTGGGAACAGCACTGGATTTAATTTCAAACTTGAAAATCTTAGGAAACGACGTCGTGGTGACAGCAGAGGTTTGTGCCAATACAACAATTAAAGAAAGAAGTGGCGTCATCGCATACTGCTCACTAGCACAAGCGCTTGGTTTAATGCTTGGGCCTGGTAATGTACCAAATCAAATTTTACATCAGACTCGTTCTTATTTAGCGTGCTCGTGATTCGTATGGTTGGTAGACGAACCAATGACCCTTATCATTGGATAGTATTAGTGCAGAGTTGAGAATCTTATCGTTCATTTTAAAAGGTCTTTAGTTAAAAGGTCTTTAGGACAATGTTAGCCTAGTTTAGCGTCTTGGAAGTAGAAGGGTTCGGCATAGAAAACATCGTAACTCAAAAAAAAAATTAAACAAGCCTAATAAAATCGAGAAGAAGGTAATTTTTAAGAAGATTAAAATAGAAAAATAGACTGATATGGAAATAAGGTACCAAAAAGTCACTCGATAGTTAAGTGAATGAAATTATTGCACAAGTTTGAGGAATAATCTTTGAAAATCTAATAAAGTTTTTTAAACGCAAGCTTAAAACCTTGTGTTTAATTTGTTCACTAGCTAGCTTGCACCATTTAAACTTTTGCAAAACAATTTTCGTAGCAATACAAGCGGCATTGGTTCCAATTGGTTCAAAGGGAGTGTTCGTCAAAATCCTTTGGCTTCATATCAATTTCTGTACACTGGCTGGTCTGGTTACAGTCCTTTTTGCAGCTGCCAACTTAATTGCTATTTGGATCCACGGCAAAACAGATTACAGAGTTGACAACCCTTACATTGACACAGACACCGATGAATGCCCTTCGGAATCAAAGGAGGGTATGTGTCATTTTTATGTCTTTTTCCTCTATTTTCCGTTTTTTTATTTCAGTATGGCGTAATTTTTTTAATAACTATCGCTGCTTTCTGAAGCAAAGCATCTTTCCTATCATTTCAAGTACATGTTGCCTGAGGATAAACATTGTGAGCTTTATTCATCCATGCTTGTCCCACAATAGTTTTCGTTGTTAATTTTGCTTTGCTAACATCGAAACATGTTTTATTGTGAAAAATCTTTTATACCAATTGATATTTAGATAAATAGATTTCCTGGAAATGTATTGCCTAACGGACATCCAGACCTCTTTTCTAAATAAACGCCGTTATGGGCTGGTACAAAAGCTTTTCACGGGAAGTGTCATTAATTGCAAGAAGTCGAGAACCCTACAAAATTCCTTCCCTTGTTACAAACGGTGCAGTAGTTGTATCTTGTTAAATGAAGTTAGTTTTCATGCTTTAATGAATTGCCAGGTCTCCCGCGGCCCTTCCTTCACGACACAACCCATTACTACAGGCCCAATCCGTCTTTTTATATCTTCTGTCATTAATGGCGCAAGCTGCCATCTTTATTTTGTAATTTCTCTCTGAGTAAACCATTTGATATCAGAAGATGAAATTTCTTCCTTGCATCACGCGTTCCTCTTTTTTAAAGTTTTTAAAGTTTCGGTTGCTTTGGGTCTGCTTAAATAATTCCTCGAATTGAAGCATTACACATTGATTGGGGCAAAATGATAAATCTTAAGAATAGATTAATAACAATAGCTATATGCTTTATCAAGCTTCATTTAAAGCATTCATCTGTGTGTTTGTATTCTTAAAATAATGTGTGTAGCATAGAGATAGGTTTGTAACCCCCTCCCTTTAAAAAGGAGGTAATGTGCCTAATTGCAGCACAAAGGGGCGCCTTCCTACGTCCCTGGTGTGCACAGTATCAACAAAGCACTGCTCCCATGATAGAAGTGGTGCTCCCCAGGGTGGTGTACTTGGACTTCTTTTATTTTTATCATATATATAAATGATTTTGCAAAGACATCAGAGTTTGTGAACCTTAACTTATTTGCAGACGATACAAGTATGATCTTCACCCATAAAAACATTAATTACTAGAAATTATAATCAATTATTATTTGAGAAAAATATCTGAATAACTGACTGCAAAAGTTAAAGTTCAATTTTTATAGGAAAGGTAAATCTACCCCTATGAATAAAAGATGATGAATTTCGTTCAAGTTTTCATTAACTGTTTTTGTTACAATTTCATTTTGAAATTGCGACAGTAATAGAATTTTTAAAACTTTATAAAACTGAATGAGCGGCCAAATGATGCTATAAGCGGCGAAATAGAGCTTTAAATACACGAACTTGTAGCGACTGGAACTGGCGGCAGAGGCGGTCTGGCCTGGGTGGCAAAGTGGCGATCGCCACCCAGGCCCTATGTAAAAAAAATTTATGGGCTCTTCCCGCGTTTGATAAATTTCTTTAACTTAATGAAAAAGATTTAATGCCTTAGACGAAATTACTTTGCGATTGAAGTTTCATTACAAGTATTTCAAACCAACCAAACCCTGGTTTCCGTTATTTCAGCCATGTGTTCAATCTTACGTGTACCCTGGGTCCCAGAGCCACAAAATTTCGAGCGCGTAAACAGAATGCCAAGCAGAGAAGCGGATGAGCGTACTCTTATCTTCTATTTCCAATCTCGAATTTATGTGGCTCTGGTACCCAGGGTATCTGACCTGGAATGGACAAAAATTGCTTGATTAAAACATCCATGTTTTAGTTATGAATTGATATCTTTCACATTTTTAATCCATATTTTGACAATATGAAGGGGTAAATATCAGAGATTGCTGTGGGAACGAAATTCATATTGGGAAGGAGGTGGGGACGGTTGCTCATTGTATTTATTTCCACTTAGTACACTGTTATACAAGATATAAAGCTTAGGTTGCAACTATTTGGGGGGGGGGGGGCTCCAAAGTGTGAAAATGATGTAAAATTCAAAACAGTAAAAGCAGAAGAGAGACGATAAGGAGTCGTCACTACCATCTTGTTACAGCCACAAACTCAGATGGGAAAAGATTGACAGAAAGTTCTCGAAGAATAGAGATCTGTATCAGGATTTAGCAATGCTAGTGTCAAGGAGATTTGGAGACAAGGAGACAAGGGTGAAACAGGAGAGCAGTACGAGCCTTCTTTTCAAGATTTCTCGTTTAGCGAATGTCAGCTTGGAAATGCCCAGGGAAGAACTGCTGGCATTTGCAAATTGCTACCAGCAGCATATCGTTCAAAAAAAACAACAATAAGTGCAAATGGAGACCCAAAAAAAGAAGATGATTTCGAGGAACAAGCTCTATAAGCAGAAACATACGGAGAAGAAAACTGTGACTTTCAAGGTGGGGATTCGCAAAGAGAGAAAGGACTCTAAAGTTGACATCGACACCCTGTTTCAAATTGGTAGAAGCTTGCAACTGTGCATGCCCTGCGTATTCAACATTTTGTACCTACCCTCTATTTTATTTATAAAAACAGTTTTATAAGAACACTAACATCAAATTTGGTCAAAGTTGAGAACAACTTAAGAACAAGCTAAGACTGAGCTACTGTAAAATGCAATTTTGAATTCACGAATTCTGTAAAGTTACGAATTCGTTTTCAATAGCTATGCATAAAATAACGAAAACAACCATGAAACTGAGAGATAAATGATGGGGTTCGTAGGACGGATAGCGAGATTGTGTTGCTATCTGATGTGTTAAAGTATGTTTTTCGCCCAAGGGCCACTTCATTAAAATTTGGGAAGAGATGAAATCCAAATACAAAAATGTTTTGATGATTTCGATTTTGCATTATCCAACAGGAACAAAATCTCAGAAAGAGCCATTGTTCACTATCGATCGAATTGCGTCAAGCAGAAAACAATAAGAAAATCCTTTGTTTTAAAGTGGAGCATATCGGATTCGTGCGATTACACTACAACGCTTCGCTACAGAGTGACTCCGGAGTGATTTCCGTATCACCTCCAAAGCGGAGTGATTTTCACTCCGCTAATCAGAGCGTTGTGTACCGGATTGATGTGGCGTAGTGTAACTCAAACCCCTATCCGATATGAAAGTTACTCCGCTCCGATAGCAATCCGGTATAGTGTAACTGGCATCTAAATGAATTTGAGTTTGGAGCTTGAGAAAAAGAAGTTCAGTTGACGCAATTTATAAAAAGTTTATAAGTATGAGGTGAAGAGTTGTTCCGCTTGTTACTGGGTTGTTCAGCTTGTTCCTCGTTTTAGAATCAGCGACCCTCAACTGTGTTACGCCACTGACTCACCCTCCAAAACACTTTCTTTTTCAAGAACATTGTTCGTAAAAATATTCAAACTCAGAATCATCCAATTTATAAGAATATTCTAAGAATATTGCTCAGTCTCATTTTTCAGCATTTGCCTGTTTTGAGTTTTTCATAGCATTGAATCGTAGAACTGACCTATCTCGTTTTTCAAAAAACGTGATTTTTTATAGAGTGAGGGGGGCCCCAGTGAGCGTTTTGAAAAAGCGTTTATATTCAGATTGAAAAAATAAGAATACTTACAGAATATATTCAGGGTCAAAACAAAAATATCCTAAGAATATCGAAGCTGGAAATATATTATAACATTCTCATTAAAAAAGGGTGTATCACCATCTCGTAATCATTTCTTTATTTACAGCATGCCAAAAACGAATATAGCTAATTTACAGCTTACTTAGGCCGACTACTAGGTACTTTTAATAAAAACGAAACTACCTAACGGAAATCGTAACCAACTTGATAAAAGCAAATTGAGGACCAAATATCTATCAGTCAGTATGTATTCTGTGTCCCGGCTTACAATAGGAAGTATCTGTCATCAAAATAAATGACGTTTCTTGCAAGATAGGCATCAAGCTGCTCATCTAAAATAATTTCAAGACAGTTCTCCTCCTCTCCCCGCCTCTTTCCCCTCCTTGCTATAAACCACTACCTCCACGGAACACGACTCGACTACATGAAAGTGATCAAATCAATTCAATGCCTCGACGAAGTGACATTTGCCTTGACGAAGCGAGACCTGATCAATCCTGCCTCGACGAAGTGCAACCCGCCTCAACGAAACGACAGCTTTCACGATACAGGACCGGCTCGACGAAGTGAAACCCGGCGCGACGAAGAGAAACCCGACTCAACGATCAGACAATGGCCTCGACGAAACAAATGCACCCATCATGTCCAGTACATGACTCCATAGCTGACATACCGTGTCGTCAGTGCAATTTAGATCTCTGATTCTAGTACATGGCAGATATGCTAGCAACGGATCTTTAACTGTGCTTCCTATGACTTATTTTTTCCTAGGCCTTGATATAAACGGGTGGTATTTTGTTATGTAAAAGTTACAATTAAACTGTGTTCAAAAACTACAACTGAACTGTCTACTGAAAAAACGAAAACTGAACTGCAACAAAAAGTACAATTGAACTGCAAAATAACGTAACTGAAGTGTCAAAAAGTACAACTCAACTGTGTAAAAAAAGAAAAAACTGAAGTGAGCCTTCTGGGCCATCGTACAAAGTTTACCTCTTTTCAAATCGTGGCTTTCTTGAAACTTGCCAGAACCAAGAGTTGCTGTTATTAACTTGCAATCTAACACAGTCGATTAGGTTTGGACAGTCGTGTATAAAACCACAATGCCGACTTACTCAAGTGTCTCGTCACATGGGTCATCTATTTCCGGTTTGCTTTCTCAATTTGCACAGTTGTTCGCAAAATCTCATGAAAATGAAAGTGGGGATTTGCTGTGTATGGCGCACGAGAGCTGCTAAACTATGGCGCGCCGTTGCGGCAAAAAAATGATTAATTTTTGTGTATGCAGTTTTGAAAAAATGTTAATGCACATTCAAAAAATTGTGTATGCAAACATATTTATGTTTGTGCATCCAAATTATTAAAGGCATTGAGTCATGGTAAATACATGTTCTCCGCAGGGGGTTTGTCTGCTTCCATGTGATAAGTTTGTTTTCATGTGATCAGACATTCTTTGTCGAAAGCGAAAGGCATTTGAAAGCCTTTGTGGCATTAGAAAGGTAAAAATGGGGGAAGAAGTTTTGAAATCTTTTGTAGAGAGCAAGATAAAAGAGAGAGAAAGAAAGAACCTTTAGAAACGGCGGAACAAAGAGCACTTACAACATCGTGTGTGCAGTTTGCTTGCAGCCAATCAGATTAGCGAAGCTATCATAATGACTCAGCAATTTTTGCAATTTGGGTATACCCTTCCTATAATTGTCGAACTGTAGTATGTTTCCTTTAAAACAGTGTACTAAATGAGAAGGAAAACAATGGGAAGAAAGAAACAGCCCCCCCTCCCCCCAATATGAATTTCGTTCCGACGGCACTGCTAACAATATTTAACGAGGCACAGCGCAGTCTTTCTCTAGCCTGTGCTCCAGACCCCTAACTTTCAAGTTAGGGGTCTGGAACACAGGCTATCTTTCCAAAGCACTGCCTGTCCTAAATGCAAACTGGGCCGCAAGAGCTTTCGCAAGCCTCTTGGGCGAAACGGTTCTCCGAATTCTCCGAATCTCCTTGAATCTAACTAACTACGTATATTTATATGTACAAGGAAAATACCAGAATAGCATAACTAAGCATGAAATGTTACCCAATATAACTAATGGGGGGGGGGGGGTACCTCATGACTACGCAACATGATGTAATCCTAATGAGGGGTAATCCTACGGAAAGGAAAAGTATAGCCGCTCGCAAGAAACCGTCATTCTTTAAAGTATCAGTCTTCGGATCATCTCTCGCGAATTTAAACCTCCATTTTACAATGGTAAAATAACAGCTGTATGGGTGGCACTGTATTCAAGTTAATATTTTATTATGTTACCCCCACCTCGCCCCCCTCACACCTAGGAATACTCGATATGTTAATAGAAAAATTCAACGATTTGCCCTCGGCACCAACACTGCCCCTCCTGCCCTTATCTTTTGCAGGCGTCCCTGTGCAAAATTATGGGTCACATTTTTTCAGACATGTGCAGAATTATGTGTCCTAATTTTTTAACCAAAATGGCACGTCCGTGTTCAAGATAGGGCTTATTCAATTCTCACTGAAGGACTTGAGATTTTATATATCTATTCTATTTACAAAAACACAGTGCCAATTTCACAAAGGCACAGTGCTGCCCCCGTATAGTCAGTGCACTTTTGAAATATGTTTTTTTTCAAGGGTGTCTCACACCCCTTACGCCCCCTTTCATGCTGGCCCTGCTGCCCCCCCCCAAACAAGTTGTATCTCGGTCCTTGGTTACTATCATGTTTTAGTACGGTTTCTAACCACTTTTCCTTCGCCATCTTTTGTGTTTTGTACGCCCTTAACGGAGGCAAATTGACGATGTCAAACCTGAAAATCGAGGAAAACTTTTTCCTCTTGGACAAACAGTGGAGGCATTTCTGTTGTCACAAGTTCGTCCTGCTTCAAGACAGAAAGTTAACAATTCGGTGAAAGTTGACAATCCCCAGATATGTTTTGTTTATTTTTTCATGGTAGAGAAACTTGGCGAGAAGGCTGAAAGCAAAGGCATCAAAAGGAAACTGGGATTTGAGAATGCACCAGATCTCTTGGCTGTAGCCATAGTCCTGACGGTTTTCTTTGTCGCAAGACACGTCCTGGTTTTTCTTGAAGTGTAAGTGTCTTGAATCACCATCACCATGAACAATTTTTTAATTAAAAAGTTTACTGGAAAAGATGCTACTGGATATTCAGAAAATATTGATACTTTAGTCCCACAGGACAAAAAATGAGCAGATTCGGCCTAAAATGGCAATTTCTTCGTATTTTTCGTTCTAGCACGGTATGAATTTTCAGCTGCTTTATACAGGTTGCATAGCTGGAAAGTGTATCATGTATATACATATATATGTCATATCTTTTATATTTATGATGAGAAAAATTATATTTATCTTCGTACGCAAAGCTAGTCACGTTTGCCATCTTTAACTTTGCTGGACACAACTACCTTTTGGCTGATTTTAGGGTACAGAATTTGGAATAATTTCAAAAGGAAAATTGCTCAAGGCAAATTAAGAACAGCCAGTACCTTATTGTCTTCAAATTCAGTTGGATGTCGTTGAAGTAATTCAGTGTTGTTCAGAAGGGTATTAAGTAAATGGCTGTAAAATATACGTTAAAGTACTGGTAGCAATATATTGCAGTCAGATTTAATACATTTTGGGATGGCTTTCTTATCCCTGTACATCCTTTATTATTTTTTGTGTAGTTGAATGCTTAGCACACTGTTTTTGGAATGGCATTTCATAGTACCTTGTTGTAATTGTGCAAATTTTGCAGGATGTTTCCTCCTATGGCAATGGACCAGTACGCTCTTTCTGACTCCGACACCGTTCTCTACATTGGTTTGATCTTATCAATTGCTGGCTTCTGCTCGACATTTATTTTCGTTGGAATAGAAAAAATTACCGCTATGTAAGTCTTTTCATGTAAAATCTAACTTCATAACGGCAATTGGTGCCAACGAACCACGTAGAGGGGGACTTAGGCTACCCTTGGAGGACATGAACGCGTAACTTTTAAATGATAATCGTGTGCCGTTTAGAGTGGGTTGATTAATTTGAAAGCTTTCTATAACAATACTTAATTCTAATCCTGAACACCCCTTGAGAATAAGCGCCAGCCCCAATGGATGCGTATCAAGTGATGTTTTCATTATAATGATCAGTTCAAAATAAATGTCATATTATCCTAAACAGAATGCCTATTTCCTACTTCTACACTTCCCTACTGTTCCTCTTTTCAAATTTAAGCTTGATGCAGTTCATTCTGGCATTGCAACGTAGGTCTTCTATGGACAGGCCTAAATTTGCCGAGAAGTATTTTAATCGAGCCAAGAGTTAGGCAACCAAACAGGCAACCTCCGATTCAGTTATGATTCAACTATTTCGCTTAGAATTGGTTATGAATCATTCAGACTCATTTATGAATTAGACAATTTTTAGAAACATTTATGAATTAGAACCTTTTCAAGCGCAGTTTAGAATTAAAACAATTTCTCTCTTCCAGAATTGGTGACAGAATTCCAATCGTCATCTCATCGTTCCTTATGCTTGCCGGATTTCTCGTGTTGTGGCCTATCTCCAATCAATATCCAGTTCTTGGCCATTTCTGTACGCATATTTTTCATTCTTTCTATCTCCTGATTATTTTAAAATTCATAGTAATAATTTTTACAACCTGTTCTTCTGAAAAATTTCAAAATTTATTTCTGTCAAGCATTCATTTAGAACCAACCGTTATATACCTCAATAAAAGGTCCATCGTATTACGATTCTTGTACATTATCACAGTTTATACCAATATGCAAGGTAAAAGAAGTCTGCAATTCTTTTTTTTTCTAATGAGCAGTCTTACAATCCCCATTATTTAACTTTTTAGTTAGTTTACAGTACCAAAGGCCCTTTCATCCAATCAAAAGGATTGCGTTCCTACCACATAAAAATGTTCCGTTATCTATGAGCTTACGTGCCAGTGTGATTCTAGCTACATAAGACGCATAACCCAAAGATTGGACGATCGAATAAAACAGCATGTCCCTTTTAGCATTAGAAACAAAAAAATTTCCTAACGAAAACAGCCATCCCACCTCGGTCTTGCAGATCTAAAATTGCAACTAAAACCTGCGATTCTGCTATCGGGCAGTACTGGAAAACCCAGATTGCAAAAAAACTATAATGGCGACATTTTTCTGATTATTGGTAAAGCCCGATCGTCGTTCCATCTATCAGTTTTGGAATCTATCTACACAAGCACGAAAAAACTGCTACTGTGTAGACAAAAGGAGTTCGTTTTCACCTTAGGATTCCATTGGTGACAATCTCAATAGGCAAGTGGCACTGATTGGGCAACCTCAACACACATGTGCTCGCGTTTCTGATTGGCCCATTTCGATCAACCACCGAGCATATATAATTCCTAGCTCAGTTTTTTGATCTACGAAAAGTGTCAGACGAAAAGCTTAACTGTGACTCAAAATGTTTTGCTTTTTCCAAAGTCATATTTAACTTTTTACCATTTTTCCTAAATACAATGCCTTATGTTCAGGCAAATCCATAGGAAGATTTGGCACCAATCACCTTTCTCAGGATTTCAAAAGATTCTTCACAATTGCTAGCTTTCCTGTTTTTGAAATTCTTTGCTTATGTTATGATAAACTTGTGCTTAATGCAAAAATCTTCACTCTAACTTTTACTGAATTTTCTCAGTTCTTTATTTACCCTTCTAGATACTGAACTGGTAAATACAACGTCAGGAGTAGAGCGAGTGACTCGGCTCAGCCCGGGATGCTCTCCCACACATTCCTGGTGCAAATCGACTCCCAGAGTCACTCTAACGCAATTTTTTATAAGCATTGTTTTGGTAACCTTGGCTTTCCCGATATCTTACGCTCTTCTGCCATCATTGTTCTCAAAAGTCATCCCACCAGGAAAGCAAGTATGTATCTAACTTCTTTTGCTCTTTTAACAGCCAAACCTCTATTTTGCAAGTATATAAATGAAAATCTTCGTCTGATCAATTCTGTAAATAAAACCCAATTTTGGCAGAAACAGGAAACGTTCTTTGATGCTACTTCCAACGATGTCTTACATTATGTTTTGGAAGATAAGTATCCAAGTATAGTGGATCCATGATGACCACGAAAAACCTTATACTATTGTTTATATTGTAGTATTTGCGATATATATTTGCGGACAATGCTCTATCACCGTTACCCTTTGATAGCAACTAAAACGTATGACCATTAATCAACAAGTATAAAGAGGCACCAGTACTCCCCATTTCTCGGTAATAGTCAGTACCTCAGATTGATTGGATTGGATTTGGTGTGAACTGTAACATGTTGTATTTTTTTGTGGTGAATGCTAAACCAGTGGAAAACCAAGCTTGCCATAATGATGTTTTCGTCAGTCATCGCGATAGATAGACATATGATGCCAACAAATACTCAGAAATAACTCTAACCATTTCCTAATTTCTTGTTGCTTTTTTCTCTGAATAACTTTTTTCTGGTGAGGACAAAATAGCAACAATTTCAATCACATGTGTTTTTCTTCATTCTTTAAATCAAGTTGCTCCGAGAGAATCTTAAAGAACTGACACAGATTTGTTACGTGTCTCCTGTACCACCCCTCCCCCTTCCTAAGTCCTAGGTCTATGCTTCCGATAGAGCATATTTATTCGTACAAGAAAAGTGTGCCTCGGAGAAAGTGCTTCTGAGAAAGTGACACGAAGGAACTGATGGCCTCAACTGTCATCAAATGCTTTGAAATGTTGGAATTTCGTAAAAGCAAGTAAATGCAGCTATAAGAATAAAGATGACTTACTGTTTGTGTATCAGAACGTTTCCCGAGTGTCTTATACGATACCCTGGGTACCAGACTCACTATATAAAATAATAGAGAGTCTGGTCTAGTGCGCCCCATTCTCGTTCTGGTGAACTTACTTGAAAGAACTGAAGTCTATTTAACAGACTAGGCTTGTGAAACAAGACTGTCAGATAAATAACAAAGAAACTCAGTAGTCAGAGGAGCTTTGGGAAATCTTAGAGCAAATGTGTTTTATTTAGTTCTTTGAAGTTGACATTTTTAATACAGTGGTAATAGACTTTTCTGCCTGAAGATAACAATCAAACCAGGTTTAAAACGCCATTTGGCAGCAAAAAACATGTGCGAAGCATGAAATTAAAGTTAGCACAATGCAGTTCTTAAATGTTAATCCTTATCAAATTTCGTATACAACTTAAAATAAGTCTTTTGTAATTTTCCTCATAAATTGTGTGTACTTTCAACGTCTACTTCCTCACTGTGAAGGCAGCGCGCTTGGACACTGCGGCGGTTAGAATCATCACGTTGGAAGGTCACCACAGCAAATATGGGCAATACGACAAGCGATCCCCGTATGCCGGGCGAAATATTAGCTATAACTGATTTACTGTGTTTGTTGTTGTTTGTTCTCGGCGCCTTGCGGTGTTTCTTATCTACTGCATTTCACTACAAGGCCTAATTTCTTTGCAACGAGAGGCACAGCCTGAAATATCAGAGACTTTCCAAAGCTAGTTGGCAATATGGCGAAGGTGTCTCTTCTCTCTACAAACAAAGCTTTCAATGCTGTTCTGTGTTCAGTTCCACAACATGCGGGAAATATTCTTTGAGTACAGTTTTAACAGCATCTTCAAACTCAATCGTTATGGTCGCTAGCATTTATTTATGTTCTGTTCTGTTCAATGTTTTACACCGGAGCTAAGTTTATTGTTTCGCTGTGACCTTTGAACGTACAGGAATCTGTACACTCGCTCCTGATTGGTTAATATCAGCACATCAGAACGAGAATGGGGCGCACTAGACCAGACTCTCTATTTTATTTCATATATAGTGAGTCTGGTACCCAGGGTACTTATACGAGTGTCAGAACGTTTCTCGAGTGAGCCTATAACTGTTAGCAGATGAGGAGTTCATGAAAGACATCATAGATGTGAAACCAAGTGATATTGATAGAAATTATGATCATGGCGATGATTATGATGACTTAAAAGAATAGTCAGCGTGTTCCAAAGCAATCGACGTGCGAACTATTGGAGCTCTTGCATGGGTATATAGCATCCGGCACATATGGATAAGTTATGCAACAAAAGCTAATCACTACAAAAGTGAAAGAAAAATTAGCAAAGAAAACATAGACAAATTGATATTTTCGGGCCTTTTTCCGTTGAAAAACGTCCATAAACTAATGTTTCAGACTATTCTTTTCTTTTTTATTTTCTTCAGATGTTGATCAGCTTGAAATATGTTATTTATACCCTGTGCAAATATTCATTTTGCTGATGAAGCAAACGAACAAATTACAAAACTGATTACTGACGTAGACAATCAGAATCATAGTTTGTACAGATTTTATTCATTTAAATTAAAGGTTAATTATTGATATTTTTTATAGGGAATTATGGTGTCTTTATTCTCAGTATCGGGCAATCTTTCAAGAATATTTGGACCAGCAGCCTTCACAACTTTGTATTCGTATTATGGACCGAAAATATTATTTGGTATAATGGATTTTGGTTTATTTATTTCTTTGTTACTGACAATATTCTTTTATAAAAGACTCATACCTTACAAGCTCTACCGACGAAAGAAAAAAGAAGAAAGATTGACGTAAATTTGTTATCAAATTTAAGAATAGTTACCTTGTTTTTAATTCCTATTGAAATTAAATTCGAAAAAGCAAACATTTTAACCGTATAAACTTTTGAAAACTATTTTATGGTTTTGTCTCCTATTTGTCTAGAAGATTTTAAATTCTCTTTAAATAAATATTGTGACGTCTTTTAAGGATATTAATCAAAGGCTTATTTATCGCAAGATACGTGCATGTTTTTTGAATTGAATATTCTTCTTTTGTTCTCGATTGGAGGGTCCATACCTTAACACATCATATACTACAAGATATTATGATACTCTGCGTTATCTACTTGGGCCTATTTGCTTTTCATTATTCTCCATTCACGTAGCAGAGACCAACATTGGAGTTTCACGTTTAACGTTTTGGAAATTTATTTCGTAGTAGGGATTTTATGTAAGGGCCTTTTTCTTATGGGATGAACTTCCACTTAACATTAGACAGTCAACATCACTGGGAATTTTCAAGAAAAAAGTGTATCAGCATTACCTTGACGTTTCAGATTAAAATACTTCAACTTTACTTTTTAGATTTAAATATCTATCTATCTATCTATCTATCTATCTATCTATCTATCTATCTATCTATCTATCTATCTATCTATCTATCTATCTATCTATCTATCTATCTATCTATCTATCTATCTATCTATCTATTGCATCGTCCCATCTATGGGAGTTGTCTCAGGACGAAACACCCAATTTCTGTCCGTGCAAAGAATTATTTATGTTAGTTTTTATCTTATTTTTTAAAACGGATTTAAACCAATTTTTCACGCTGAATGTTTACTGAAAATAAAAATTCAGAAACGGGTATACTCAAAAAATTAATGCAAATTATGTGCAATAATTTTTTACTTTTCTTTACTTCATTTGACTTTGAAGAGCAAATCTTCGTAATGAAATATTTCAAAATTTTTGCTTTTTTCAAAGCCATTTTCAAAGTCTTTTTATATATGATGGCATATATTTAGACTTTGTTGGTCTCTTTGATGTTTTAAGGCTTTGATGATTTGTGGAAATAATCATCGGCAGGGTTTAAGCAATGATTGTGGAGGTCGTTGATATAAATAAGAAATAACAAGGAACCAAGACATGAGCCTTGAGGAACCCCATTTATTTATGTTTTCAACTTTAGAATCAATACCGTAAACCCTTATGAATTTACTTCGGTCAGAAAGGTACGATTTAACCCAAGTAAGCTGTTGGGCTTCGATACCATAATGCGCAAGTCTCTGAAGAAAGATTTCAGTGTCAAAGGCTTTTTCCAAGTCGACGATTACATTTCCCACATAGTTTCAGAGATCTAAACCACTGTAACAATCATCGGTGCATTTTAAGAGAGCAGTGATAGTAGAATAAAATGCTCTGGACTGAATTCAGATTGACTGGATAGCATGAGTCCACTTATGTTCAAATACTGGTACAACTTGTTATATGCTATTTTTATGAAGAGCCTTTGAACGACATGAAGCACTAAGATCGTTAAATAATTGTTTTTTGGCACTTTTTTCTTTATCTTTAAGGTTACAGTAAACGTTTTCTGGATAAAAACATAAATTTTTCGATTATTTCATATTCAAGTAGCCGAACTTTCAAGGTACACAATGATACCAAATTTGAAAAAAAATTTTCATAATTTTCCATAATATGTAAACGAAGGTTTCCATAATTTATTTCTTGACCTGTTAAGCCGATTATCGTTGCTTTGCGGTTGTGGTCGCATGTCTCGTTTACAATATCGCATGGCACATCCATGTATCCATTTTATTGACTAAAAAGTTAGCATCTGGTGCGTGTATTATGGCAAAGTCGTTGTTTTTGCAAAATTCCAATTAGTTTAGAAGTTATAATTCTTTAAAGTTGCACCTTTCCGAGAAAAAAACGACAAAAGCCGAATCAGTTTTGTAACATTCTGACGTCACAATGTGCGGATCTCGTTCGCCATAAATTTCGTATATCTTCCACCGAATCGTGAAGGAGTCATGGTCACGCGTTGATAACGGCATCAAAATCTAGAGCAGGAGCTCTTTAAGATCGAAAAATATAAAATGTTTACAATCATTCCAAGTTTGCGGGTCGGAATGTGTCCATGCTGTGTTGAGGCGAGACTAACGAAATACACTGTGACGTCAAAATTGCGTCACAGTGTCACCAAACCGAAAAAGTTTTGTCGGTTAATTCAATTCAATTATCGAAATGCAAGAGCTATTATCTCACAAACTGTAAAAAATATCGAAAAACTAATAACGAATTCGTGATCAGCAGGTTCAACTCCTTTAAGTTAGCCAATAAAATGCAAGTGCAAAATTTGGCTGGAGAGGCCCTTTAAACAGGCTTATTGATCTCAAAGCTTCAAGTGACTTGACCCGGATTATACTGTGATTTACGAGTGAACCAGGGAGTGAACCTTGTAAGTACAACCAGTAAAATTCCGTTTTCTCCGGACTTATAATCCCTCTACATACAGGTACAAAAAAGCTATTTTGTACCCAAGGAACCAATCGAATGGCTCAAAAATTTGCACACGGCCAGGACAGATGTCGGGTAAGCGAACCTTGTCTCAAAATTTTTGTATTTGCTCTGGTCCGTCTTTTATAGCCAAATACAGCTATGAGAGGGAAAAAAATTGTTTGCCAATTTTTGTCAGGGTAAAGTTGCAAGAGGAGGAGGAACTTAAAAAATTTGAGACTTTGGTAGCTTAGGATCTGCGCTTTTTGCTGATATAATTCAGATTTTGATACCTCAAACGCAAGGGTACAAAATAGTTTTTGAAGATGGTACACTCTTTTAAGCAATAAATTTGTCTGGAAAGTATTACTTTAAAATCTTTGCTAATTATTTTGATATGGTTGGAATCGCCACATTCTTGTGCATCGAATGATGCATAGGTTAATCTGATTCCGCTAATGGTTTTGCTTTTAGGGAGAGAAAACCAAATATCGTGTCGAAAACGTTTACCGTAACCTTAAATTGCTTTCATTTACCGTGTAATCACTCTTTTACCCTGGGTACCAGACTCACTCTATATGAAATAAAATAGAGAGTCTGGTCTAGTGCGCCCCATTCTCGTTCTGGTGTGCTTATATTAACCAATCAGGAGTTGTTGGGGAGATGAGATCTCACTCCTATTGTTTGAGACAAAAGGCTTAATGATTTGTTCGAGCCAATCAACGTCGAGGGGCAGGGACGCATGCGTATTCTAACGAATTATCCCTACAAAATCCCGGGCATCCTCAACACCAAAAGCCAGGGAACACAACGAGATCTCGCAAACGTGTCTAGAACAGTAATTTTAGTAATTTCTGAGGAGTTTTACGCATATAATTCAAGGACGTATTTTCGTATATTTTTCATTTAGGGTTTTCCTCGGAACTTTTTGTAGATGTAGTCAAAAGGGGAAGATCAAAATTCGAAGATTTCCGCCTTAAAAATTTGAATAATTGAATTGAAGGTACGTTGTCTGTTGTTTTAGTTGCCTTGGCCTGGCTCTAGTGTCGGAGGTCAGTTAAAATCAGGTTGTATTGTTTAAATCGAATGTCTACTCTCTGTAAACACTTAGGCCGCGTCATAAAATTCTTGATATTTTTGCTTACCTTTGGAAGTAAAGTGGGCCTTAATACAAACAATAACATAAAACAACAGAGAATCCAGGCAGGTTTTTCAGTATGAAAGATATTTCTGCTATGATCGAACTCCCATGTCAATGTGAATGATAAGCTCCGACCGCTCACTTAGTTTTGAAATTCAATCGCAAAGTTCTATTTGTTCCTTTCTCGGGGGGTTCTATGCCTCTTTGACTCAGAATATATAATACGCATAATACACATGTGCAATGGCCCCAAAACGGGGGTACTCATTTCATACTCAAGAACTTGCTGCATCTCATCACATCTCCCCAACAAGGAGCGAGTGTACAGATTTCTGTACGTTCAAAGGTTACAGCGAAACAATAAACTTAGCTCTGGTGTAAAACATTGAACAGAACGCAACATAAATAAATGCTAGCGACTGTAACGATTTAGTTTGAAGATGCTGTTAAAACTGTACTCAAAGAAGATTTTCCGCATGTTGTGGAACTTAACACAGAACAACATTGAAAGCCTTGTTTGTAGAGAGAAGAGACACCTTCGGCATATTGCCAACTGGCTTTGGAAAGTCTCTGATATTTCAGGCAGTGCCTCTCATTGCAAAGAAATTAGGCCTTGTAGTGAAATGCAGTAAATAAGAAACACCGCAAGGCGCCGAGAACAAACAACAACAAACACAAGTAAATCAGTTATGGCTAATATTTTCCCCGGCATACGGGGCTTCGCTTGTCATATTGGCCATATTTGCGTTGGCGAACTTCCAACGTGATGATTCTAACCGCCGCGGTGTCCAAGCGCGCTGCCTTCACAGTGAGGAAGTAGACTGAAAGTACACACAATTAATTTGAAAAATTACAAAAGTCTTATTTTAAGTTGTATGCGAAATTTAACAATGATTAACATTTAATTACTGCATTGTGCTAACTTTAATTTCATGCTTCGCATTTGCATTTTGCTGCCAAGGCGTTTTACACCTGATTTGATTGGAATCTTGGGCAGAAAAGTCTGTTATCACTGTATTAATAATGTCAACTTTACAGAACTATATAAAATACATTGGGATTAAGATTTCCCAAAACTCCTCCGACTACTGAGAATCTTTGATATTTATCTGACAGTATTGTTTCACAGGCCTAGTCTGTTAAATAGACTTCAGTTCTTTCAAGTAAGTTCACCCGAACGAGAATGGGGCGCACTAGACCAGACTCTCTATTATTTTATATAGTGAGTCTGGTACCCAGGGTATCACTCTTTAGGATAGCGTTTGGGTGGTATTTGAAATTTCCCTTCTCCCTTGGATTTTAACGTCTCCATCTTAGAGAAAGGTGTTGTTTGTAGATTTCCTGCCTTAATTTGGAAGCTCGTTACTTATCTTTCATGATTCTTTAATGTGACCATTATGCTCGATAACCTTATGTAAAATGGAGATTTAAACCGAGAGATATACTGCAAAGATTGAAACTTTAGAGAATGACGATTTCTTGCGAGCGGCTATACTTTTCTTTCCATTTCCATCATATAACATTTCCAAGGCTAAACTTAAATCCATACAGCTAACATGAACGACGACAGTTCTCCGCGAACTCTAATACCTAAAACAATCCAATGAAACATTTAACGAGGCACAGCGCAGTCTTTCTCAAGCACTGCCTGTCCTAAATCCAAACTGGGCTGCAGGAGCTTTCACAAGCCTCTTGGGCGAAACGGTTAGCTACCTTCTGGTGTTTAGCTTTACATGTCTAATACCTTCTAAAGCTCTCTTCGAATCTCTCTAAATCTAGCTAACTACGTATATTTATATGTACAAGGAAATAACAGAAAAGCATAACTAAGCATAAAATGTTACTAATAATAGACTACGAGATAATTCTAGAAACAGACGAATACGCAGTATGATGTAATCCTAATGAGGGGTAATCCTACAACAATATAATGGAATGGAATATGCTGTGTGGAGCTGTGTCGTGAAGACAGAACATTCGAGACACAAGAGGGATTTCTTAACGATCTACGTAATAAACGAAATAGCTACGTACACTTAGGCTGGCATTATTCTAGCTCTATTACACTTATAACACATTTAGCACTGTTTTACTGGAGAGCTGGGGGTTTGTGCTTAACAGCAGCTTTTTTTAGCTTGTTTCTGACTATACTGGAGAGCCGTTTTTTGCACAATATGCTCCCAGCAGAGACTGGAAACATCGGCCATAAATGCCTCTTTTTTAAAAAAAATCTGTTTGCCAATGTTGTTAAAAAAATTTTCTTCAGTAAGCCGTATCTCGTTTTCACGTGAGCCTCAATTTAAGTCGAGGCCTAGAATTTGAAAGTATTTGAAGTTCCTTTGAAAAGTTCATGTCGGTATAAAGGAAGTTGCATGCAGCTGTTGCTTAATTCTGAGAAATTAGCAAAATACTTGTGCAGAAAATAATAGAGGGTGAATAATTCAAGACAGCTTATTATCTCGAGGTAAGAAATTGATCATTCTGTTTATACCTGACTCAGAAAGCTTAGATTTTGTTTTTGAAGGATGACGTAAACAAAAAGTAAAAGTATTCACTTGGAAATTTTCATCATGGAGCGATTACTTAATTCTTTTCAATTTTAAGGGTAAATCGACCAAATGTAATGACCAAATGTTTGCTGCTTAACCTTCTGATTGAGAATATTTATTAAATTTGCGTAATGCTTGCGTGATCGGCATCAGCATTTCTTAATGACAAAGTCCAATCTCGACAAGAACCTATCTGCTCTTCGCCAACATTTTTGCTGATTTGCTACCTATTCTATAGGTATTTTGTTGCCAATTTTTGATAGACCGTCTCCTTTCTCTGAACAACCCTGTCTTTTTGACGCCTAAGAACACATCAGATTAAGTCTAAGGTAACTTAAAATCATTTTAGACTGCACAAGAGTTTTAGCCTGAAGGTCCTTTTTGGTGCATGATGAGTATTAAACCAGAAGGTTTCTTTAGATCTGCAAGGCTCATGACTTTGAAAGCACTGTTTGCATCACAATTGGTATTCATTATCTGAATTTATAATGTTTCTGCCAAAAATATACATCCAAAATACTACATAAATCTTCCAACATTATCTCCCAAAAGACTATAAACATTATCTTCCAAAAGACATTTTGATAATCAAATTTGCTACAAATGTAATGCAATTTTTGCTTAAGGGTTGCTCAAACTACTTAAGTCAAGTATAGACTAGGAGCCTAATTCATAGCAAAATAGCAACAATATTAAGTGCCATAGTAGGCTTCAATTACTTATATGCCTGGAGAAAGTAATGCTGGATAAGAATATCCTTTGGATTATTTGAATATTGCTATGAAAAGTTTGACAATAAACTATATGTAGGAATCTGACAAACTGATCATATAAGCAATCCAATATAATGTATAGCTCAAATATGAGAAGCCAAAAATGCTTGCATACTATATAGGGCCGATGTAATTTTTTCTGACGAAGGCTGCTGAGGCAAGATATTTGTTTATTTATAGTTTAATTTTAATGTTTTGGTTTTTCATATTGGATTTAGTTAATGCATGATATTGGTTTCCCTCTTGTCATTTTGTGGTGTTTCTACCTTTCAAATACTTAGGAAGGCCTAAAGTAAAGAAAAACAAATAGAATCTTGCTTAAATTTGATAGTTAAAAATGGTAGACACTCTCAGTTTCAAAAATAGTTTTTGAGGTAGAATAATGTTTCATTTGTTAGATTTGATTTAGATTAGTTGTATGTGTATATATCTATATATGTATGTATAGCTAGAAGCAATATCGAATTATAATAAGGTTACAAACAAAAAACAAACAAAAAGCAAACAATTTGTTAATGTTATGTAATAATGATATTACAATTAATTTCTCTACACTAGAAAGATTTCTACAATTATTTTTGCTTTCAGTGTCATACAATAGGCATTCTTAGTTTATTACTTCTTAAAAGGAAACTTGAAAATATAAATTTTAATTTTAAAATTATTTAATACATTTTCTTGATTGTGTTCAATGTTCTGATTTTGCTGGTGTGGTTTTCATTTTTGTGCAAATGTTTCTTCTAACTCTGTAATTTTTCTGGGATTCAGTGCCCGAATTCTTTGCATCTGTACATGACTTGAACATAAGTGAAATGGTAAAATCCATCAACCATCCGTCTGCTGCTGGTTTCAATTGCTTTATATGTGGATGTGTGTTTAATAGCACTGACAAAGTTTAAAGGAACCATGTATCAGAACTTTGTGTTGTTATTTGCACTGTTTTCAAAGTGCGATTTAAAATCCAACCATTTTCTTAGCAGAACAATGTGGCTGTAGGATTGAAGCAAATGAATTTTGATCTGTTTTAACAGTAAAAGGTTTGTGAATGAGGCTTAAGTTGATGAGTCACACAATGATGTCTTAATAAGTTGGTTGTAATGGTCAGTATCCTCAGTTTACAAAAAAGTTTTGGAGATTAAGAAGATTGTCAACCGTGAAAAAAAACAATGCTACACAATGTCAAGGCTAAAGAAATATAATTTTGGGTAGACCTCCATTTGGCCAAAGGTAACCTTGCTGTTTTTTTTATAAGAGCAAAGCAACCTATGCCAAGGATCATGAAACTGACTTTATGAGGGCCTTGCTGAAGAAGAAGCAAACAAGTGTCCTTGGCGAACATTGAATGAGACAAAATGTCAAAATAGTTTAGCATGAATTTACTAATAGTACACTATAAAAGTACAAATCAGTGCAGATAAGTACTTATCATTCTGCAAAATTAAATTTTTGCCTTGTTTACAAAGCAAATGTAAAATGTGAAAAGATTATGTTAGCAGAATGACTTTCAACAAAACAAACTAATTTTGTAGAACATGGAACAATTTAGAAACACACTTATAATCAACATAACATAAAGTAGAAAAAGCAAGGCATCTCCATGATAGAACATACTGCTTTTCAATTAGGCCATTCTCAAGCTTAATTACTTAATTACTTAAGCTTATTATAATCACATCTGAGCCAGTGGTAGAGTGCTTGCTAAAGAGCTAATAGGTGGAGCAGGGGGTTTGAAATGAAAGGAAATTGTGCCTTCCTCTGTTTCTGTTTGTATATTTACTCTTGCACTCTATTTTTCTAATCTTGGCAATTAATATATTATAAAAGCTCATCTGCCAAAATTTTGTTAGACGGGGCCTCCTAGCCCACCCATCCACTCCAATACTTGCAGCTTCCATTTCAAAAGAGCAAGTGAATGGTCCTGTTTTTTGATCAGATGTTTCGATAAATAGTTTATAATGTATTTTTTTATTTCTCTATAAGTACCTGTTTAAAAGGTGGTTTCAAAGTGAAGCAAAATTATCATTTGTTCATTGTTGTAGTATTATTGCAATGTTCAACGAGACAGGCCCAGGGCCTGTGCCACAGGGGGGTCAGGGGGCAAAAGCCACCCCACTTTTTTACTAAATGCAATAATGAAATAAGCTTAGATAAACCTTTAGATTACAACAAATACATTGACTGGGACCGCGCACCAGTCTAAAAATGGAGGGGATAAATGGATTTGACCAAAATTTCTTGAGGCCACGCCCTCCAGAACGCCGGAAAACGCCCCTTTAAGAAAATACTTTTTCATTTCTACTCAATTGTTATAAACAGTCTGGTTCAGAGAAGTTATCAATAACTATAAAAATAGATAAAATTAGATTGAGAGTAACAAAATACCAAGCTAACCAAGCTAGAAAATACAGCATGTTATTAAACAAGATAAAACACCTAGAGAATGAACAAAAATGGTTCCCAGTCAAGAAGAATTGCTACTACATAAGAGTAAACTATGCAAAGATGCGTTAGAGTAAACCTTCCAAAGAATTTGTAGCCTATTATTGCAAAAAAGTGGGAGGGGGGGCTATAGCCCCTGCTAGCCCAATGGCTGCGCGGTGCCTGAACATTGAGCCAAAGTCCAGTATTAAAACAGCTTCAGCAAAAGGATTGGCAGCATTGGGGCTAAAAGGGGAAGAGGAAACTTTCCTAACGTTGCTGGCTCCTCCAGTTTGAGGTCAGTGGCACGGGTCCTGAGGCCAAAAACCCTACTTCATTATCAAAAAGTGTAGGGAGCATGGTAGCGGTGGATCCGAAATTAGTGCCGTCTTTCAAAGAAAAACGAAAGAAAAGCCTCGCTGTTATCGCTCCCTCCCTTTTCTGAAGAATGGCTTGCAATCAAAGTCTTATCAACTTTTGCACCAACGATAAATAATTTCGGAAACATGATTTTATTCTAATTTTGCTGACAACTGCAAACAGATGTTATTACTATTCAAGTCTTGTAGCGTTTCGTGATAGCAAGGGCTCGCAATCCCGCATTCTAACAAGTAAATACTGGATATTTGACCAAGTGTGGCACCGTTTGAAGAGGGATTAAGCGTGACTTTGTGCGCTGTATGTATCAATACAGCAGTATTGTCTTTTTGCCATAAGCAGTTGTTTCTATGGACTATGTCAACATATGGTTCTAGGATTAAAGCTTTATTTACATTAAAGGAGAGTCTTGGTTGTTGTAAGATTTGTGAAAAAATAGCGATTAAAGCTTTTGCCAGTTGTCTTCCTGCCTTGTCGATCTGTTGACAAATGAGTTTTTTGATCAAGCACATTCAGAAACATAATGAGATCAAGCTACATCAAAGTTATGTAGAAATAAGATTTGTTGGAGGATTTTTTGGACGGCGCTAATACTCCATTTGCATGCAGAATTTAGTGCACTAGTTGACTGCACGACGTGTCCACCTGCCTTGCACAATAACCTCTTTCATTTAATCTCGACTTTGTAGCATAGTCCGTGGCTCAATCTATGGAAACTTCTGATAACATTAAATATGCACGAGGCGTCGAGGTGAGGCCAGTTTTACAGGTGCTTCCATACACATAAGCTGAATGTGTGATTTTTTTAAGCGCTTTCGTTTAGTGAGTGTATTTGTTCGGGGTTTCCTTTTGTGTATCTCAAGACTGAGGGAATGATTAATTGTGTGAAATCAATTGCTTTTTCATATGCCTTAATCAAGACTCCCTCATCCTTAAGGTTGCCAGCCTAAGAATTGTGGTGACAAGTGTCAAGGGAAACGCACTCCTGTGACTGGTATGTAGTTCCCTCTTTTTTATGTAATATGTAATAAATAATTGTATTGGTCCATCAGGCATCAAAGATATTGAAACTTTGACAGTGAATAGATTGTTACAAATGTTAATTGATAAATCATCTAATTGTATTAGCAATGTCCATGTTAGGTATATTTTGTTCTGTTACTAGAATACAGTGTTACATATTCATTGAGCAGTCCTTTAGTGCACTTTTGCGGTGCGGAATTGGAACAATTGACTTGATATGTCGAAGTGCTGCGAATTTGTTGTTGTTAATTGTAACACAAGTTCTTGAAGAAAGCATCATTATGCCGCTCGCTTCATTGGTCATTTCGTATTGTGTTGTCCACTTATTGCCTTTTCGAATCGAGCAAAAAGGGGAATGAGGCAGCAGATTTGGTCGCGTGACCCATGTAATTAACTGCTTTGTTATTATAAGTATAAACTGGTCATCACACGTGAACCTGTTTTGTCAAAACAATACGTAGTTGTTGTCAGCTTCCCTTAGTGACGGTCTTGCTGGTAATGCTGTTCACATAACTAAGAATGGGAGAAATCTTGCCTGCTATCTTATACACCTGTTTCCACAACCATTTTTTATTTGTTTTGATTTAAACGTTTTTCTGTCGGTAATCTCTTTATCTCTGATTTTTGCCGTAATATGCTTCACTAACCTTAAAAAGACCATACTTTAATCATTAATTACGTTTTGTGATCCCTAATGTTTTTGCTTTCCAATGGAACAACTCAGACGGTTGTGGTTGTTGCTTTTTTATATATTTGCAAACACTTTCCTCGCGTAATTCAGTCGAATAGAATGTTTTTTGTCCAAATCATTCCTGGCAATTGATGGGGGTTAAATATTTGCTACATTTAGATCGTTCCTATGCTTTTCTGAAACTCGTTTCCTGCAAGCCCGAAACCAGGCTTGTGGAGCAGGGGTGGCAATCTCCCTATACCTGTTTCAGCAATTTTTTTCGAGTTTTTGCTTAGCAGCGAAAGTTTTTTGAGCGCCAGGCACCATTTTGAGTCCTATATGGATAATGAGAGACCCCAGTAAGCAATTTTCCTTCCGTCAGTATTAACTTGACTCAAATTGTTATGGCCATCCAGTAAAAGCGACGAAAACCCCTATGAAAAAAATTAGAGAAAAAATTATCTGGGAGATAAACAGCTGGTATGCTCTTGCTCCATTGCCACCCCATGCCACCCCTTGGCTACGGGCCTGGTTTCCTGCATCTAGAATGTTTCCAAGTTTGCAGTTTTCAGTTTTCGGTCGTAGATTGCATCTTCTTCCTGTGTTTCTTTGCTTTTTTGCCTTACTTTCATCGTCTGCCTTGTAGCTAAGTAGTGCCTTGTCACTGTTTGTGTTTGTGTGTCATTTCAGGTTTGTGTTTCCTCGTGAAGCTCATTTGTTCTAACACTAAAATTACTACCTGAGTTCCTAAACTCTTACCGAATATTGTGTTGCCTATTCACACCATGTTTTCGTAAATTTTGTTAACTGTTACCGACTCCATGTCACCTCAGGGTCACGTGGTCAATCGTTGCCACCCGAAAGCATCAGGTATGCTGCCATACAATGCTAATTAATGCCCTCAAAGCATAGTTTTAGTAGTTGCCTAACTTATTATGCTGAATTCAAAAATTTCTCAGATAAATTGATAAGTTTTTCTCCGCAGCCATAGAAGGTGTGAAGCCATATCTGCGGGTCTCTGCTGGCAGCTTCTTTGCTCCTAATGATCTTGATACGTTGTCTGTTAAAGCATGTACCTTTTGCCTAATTGTTCAGGGATGATAATCCAATAAATACCAGAATGTATACCAAAGTCATGCGTAAAGATGATGCCACTAGAGTTCTTAAGTGATGACGTCACAAAAGTCTATTTTCAGAAATGTTGAATCAGGATCCCATAACCTGAAAGAAGGTTATGAGAAACTTCTAAATATGCAAAATCAGTTAAATGTGTTGCGAATTGGCTGTGGTATTGCCACATCAGCAGAACGTCTCTCCCCATCAAACCACTGTGATTTAGTCTCTGCTCAAGACTTCATGAACAGAGCCAAAATAACGGTAATTCATTAGGAAACTTCAAATCTTTCATATGCTACTGATTTTGCACATTTAGAAGTAGTTTATGGTTTTCTTTAAGTTATGTGGTCAAAATTCATAAGTTCTAGAAACAGATTTTTTTTATGACGCCACACTTAGGGACTCACTAGGTTGGTCATAGCGACCGAGGAGTTTCGCTCCCTGTTTTGTCACGCTACCTCGAAACAACGGGTTCCTAATCTATCGAATCTATTCCTTATCTAACGAATCTATCACTAATCTGTCAAATCTATTCCTAATCTATCAGATCTATTCCTTATCTATCAGATCTATTCCTAGTTTATCCATATCTGGATGCTGGATTCTTAATTTACTGAATAGTCCGTCAACGATCAATGTTTTAAAATAAATAAACAAGATTAAAGTAACTGTTTTTGTTCACTACAAAATTCTTTTGTCTGGAACTATTCATAGAGGCAAAGCCATCAGTGAATGATCGTATTTATTAAGTCAATTGAAATATTATTTATATTGTAGCTTTCTAGCCACTTTTTTCTTATGAAAACCCCATTTAGTTAACAGTAAAGTCTCGCTGCACCCACAATCCAACCCTAGTTATATCACTGTTCACACCTTCCTGACACTCATGGTGCAGCTTTCTCTTCAAGAAACAGAACTTCCTTGTAAAGACAACCGATTGACATCACAATGGTCCTCTTGAGCTTTGAAGTTCGCTTTCTAAAACGAGTTGATGATAACACACAATTGCAGGTTTTTGCACACCAAGAACCCATGCTGCTTTAGTTTTGTAAATTCCAATTATCAGGCACGTGCTTGGCATGTCCATTTAGTGAACATACTAATTTCTTCTTCCTTTCGTAATTGATTGAGCAAAAAGCAAATCTGAAATGTCTTACCATCAGGCCAGTGAATATAGTTCCGATCAATAAAATGAAAATTTGTATTTTGTAAATTTTAGTTGTGCGAGACTTTGAAGCGGCCGAACCGCTCCGCAAACATCTGTTGCAAACAAACAAAACTTAACAAAACTAAAAACATTTACAAGGATATTGGCAGAATTACCAATTTGCTCATTTCAGCATTCCAACATGCAAATTGGAGATTACAACTCAAAGAAGCGTGTTGAATTCTACACAGAAATGTGAATTCTTTTAAGACCTTTTCAAAAGGGCGGCCAAGCCCAACGAAAAGCTCAAACCAGTCTGTTGATTGCGGCAAAAATATAATCAAATTGTTATTGGATAAAATCTTTGAAAATTAGCTTGTAAGCTTCAATGTTAAATCTTTCTAGAATCCACGAAATCACTGGCTGTTGTCTCGGCCTCATTAATGATATATGAAGCCCACAAAACGCAGATATAATTAGCTTGTTTAACCCAGAAGTGCTTCTTGAAATTAGAATTCTGATTTGAAATTGTACTCTGTTTTTAAACCATTTTGCATAAGTTATTCATTTATACGAATGAATTTCTTGGTATTTTGCATTCTAGATCAAGAATAGGTCAAGGATACCGCCTCGGTTTGCAGAGATTCTCGTACTTGTTACAGGATCACCAACTTTAGTCGCAGGGGGACCGCTTTTGGTCGTAGAAGGACTTATTTTGGTCGCAGGGGATCCCCTTTTGTTGAGGGGGTCCGCTTTGGTCGCAGGGGGTCCGCTTTGGCGGCAGGGGGATCACTTTTGGTCTTTGACTGCTTCTTTAATCTATTTATCACTTCAATGAATCAATGAATCAATGAATCAACCACTTCAGTCAATTATTCAATCAATCAGCTGTGTCCTGGTACTTCTTCTTAATGTGACCGAACCTCATGATTTCTGTGCCTAGAATTACAGAAACTCTTCTCACGCTGAGTGAAGGTTTAGTCATGACAGTGACTCTAACCACCGATTTTTGGGTCCGTAGCCCGCGACGCTAACCGCTGAGCCTTCAGCCTAGAACTTTGAAGATTATCTGTATCATCAGGTTGTGAGATTATTGGTTGCAGTTCGTGGTAATATAGCTTTAAGGGCCTAAAATTCCCACGCTCAAAGTTTCTACCTACAGTTGGTGACTGTCATTTTGTAATAAAGCTTACGTCACCACCTAACACGACAAGATCAGATATGGAATTCAGGTTTAGCAGAAAAAATTCTTTGAACCCTTTTCATGGTTCAAAGAAGCAATGTTATTTCGCGTTTGATTCACACTTCACTCAAATGAATTAAAAAACCTAAACAGCGTTCTTTATAGAAAGGTTTCAATAAACTTTGTAACGTCTGATGAGAATGCAGTCTGTATAGAGAAGCTCTTTATATCAATTTGTACAAGATGTCGTACAAATAATAAGATACGCTGGTCCCTACGGTCGTATGTCTCAAAGCCCGTTGCAATAACAATCTCATCTGGCGATTATAAGTCTTTGAATTTTAAGAAGCGGTAGATTTGGCGTTGATTACATCCGTTTCGCTGTAGCGAAGAAGTGCGATTATCCGCAATGCGAGTACAAGCTTCTGAACGGCGAGGTCTCTTTGCAAACACGTGATCGTTTTGGGTTGATCTTTAAATAGCTTTGCTTGGGAACGACTTTTCACCCCCTCCCCAAGCAAGATGACTTTTAGCTTCTTTTGACTACGTTGATGCAGTGAATAGTAATCAGTGTTAATGATCATTCATTTTAAGCTTTTTATATTTTAGATTTAGAGTTTACGATTTTTAATTATCAAGCATTTTAGTCATAATTTTAACAATTGATTAATGTCTGATTTGTGAGAAATCCATAATTGCATAACGCCAACATTGTTGACATCCCGTTTAGAGACCCAAACCGGAGCCTCAACACTTGAACAGACAACTAAACCATGATTCTGCTGTTCTCACAATAGGTTGAAAGAAACTTGAAGATTTGTCATGAAGAAGTATCTTTTGCAAACGATCTGAGATGAATGTCGCCTGTTTGACGAATGTAGCGGAATGAGATTTGCCTTTGCTCAGCAGAGCATAAAGAAATACGATCTGTCTTGTGGAGTGGCAAGACGCTGATTTGAGCCTTAGTTAGAAGGTATTGTTTTGAATTTGTATAGTTTTGCTTTTAAAAGTATTTTTGGCGACAATCTCGCCGTCAGTTTGACAATACACAAGATAGCTTAACTCAAAGGAACTTTAAATAATTTATACTTCGAATGGTTTACAGAAAGTGTTACTCGGTTGCTGTATTGAGGTTATAGGTAAGTGAAGTCGCGTTCACAGGTTTTTTTGTAAACGCTTTGCCGTGCGGCAGATGCCGTGATATTTTGAATATTTTCGATCTACCAACATGGAAGGTTCTTTTGCATTTTGTTGCCCGGATTTTGCAGCGGTTGAGCGGCGAGTTTTGGCGCTGTAACAAGCAGCTGTTTTTTTGTGCATGACTGAAAAACGTTTGCTTCCTAGTCGAATTAATTTGGAGGTTTGCGAGAGTAAGTTGATTCGTTTAATATTTTTGCTTTACTTTTTATGGGACTAATTTTATCGACAATTTAGGCGGTTGTTTTCATTTCAACATGATATTTCAATGCTAACTGGAATCCACCATGGTAGATAATGCTCTTTATCTAACTGCCAATCGACACTTTCTTTTGGTTTCGTAAGGAAGACTTTTGATCATGATCTGCTTAAATTCATCGTCAATAGACCTCATTGTGTATTCAGGTAATCGCATGAATCTGTCACCAAGTAATGAAACTGATATTTTCTAAAGGGTTATTCTTCATGTAACCTTTATTCGTTATTTCTTCTTTATCTATTTTGAGCATTGGTTGTAGAATGTTTTGTTGAATTAACACGAGCAATAATTAACACTTACTGTCTGTTTTTTGCGGGATGAATGAGAATTCATGGTTAAAACTGTAAAATCGTCAATATTTCTTTACATCCGTTTTTTGCTCTTTGTTGACATCAGACTGCTTTTCAAAAACGTTCGACCGTTTCGTGTTTTTATGGAATTGCCTTTCTTATCTCAATGAACCGAACCTATTTCTACATGTTTTCAATATAGTGTATTTTTCAACCAGCGACATGTAATATTTCCACAATAATATTTTGCAGCTGTCTATTATGTCAGCTGCATAATTTGTATGTCCCGATTGTATTATGTCATAAAATCAGATTTTTCAACTCAAGAAATCTTGCTTTTCTCGATATCTGCGATATGTTTCACTGTGGAGATGATTTCTTGTCAAGATTTGACTCCTTATGGTTGTTCAGTGACCCTTAACATAATGATGACGATATTATGTAATTATTTTGCCTATGTTTGGTAATTTTGCCTTATTTGGCCTATATTTGCCTATATTTGGATATTGAGGCCGACATTTCGATTCTCTGTGCAAGCTTGAATTCGCATCTACCCTAGATCGTTATGTTTCTTCTTAACCGATAATAAATTGAGTTGATAACAGCATGTCTATTTTTGCGATTTAATTGGCATCCCTACTTTGCGTCTTTCGTCTTTGTAAATAGAAATTTTGATTTTGTTCATCTTTGAATGCTTTAATAAGATATATATCCGATTACTTTAGAGAGGATATTTAATCACAAGGCAAGTCAAACCGCGACTCGGCTTTATTATAGCGAATCTAATCCGTCGTTGGCTCAAACGCGCTTGTTTTCATCCTCGAGATTTGCTGCAACTTGAACCTTAGTCTGCAAGATTAATTATTGCTGCATCTAGGTATGTTGTTTGTACTGAGCATGGTATGCAAACTCGTGAATGATCGCAAGTAATCTGCTTACCGTAATTGAAAGACTTTCTCAAATCTGCAAGTCAAGGTTGCCAGTGGGTGCGGCTTTTGTTTGTTTTACTGCTGTTTTGATGGACTTTAAACTAGATATGGTTAAAGATGGCGGGTTGACTATTGAAGCTCACTGGGCGAAGATCTTTTGTTGAAGCTAACAAGCCTGCAAGAATGGATATTTTGCTTGGCCGTTTGATCACGTCACAAGGCTAATGACTGCCATGGTACGTATATGCTCGGAAGAGGCACTAACTGAAGACGAAGCAGTTTTCAAGGCCTTTACACAATTAGTGCCTTTGCAGTTTTTGCTAGCTGAATGCTAAGATAATGATTGTAAGACATTTTTGAAAGACCAAAAATAGTAAATTTCACGTGGTGTGATGTTGTTTGTGGAAACAACGTTGATTATAAAGGAATGGCTTGGACAGAGTGCCCTAGGAATAGCGCCCATGGTCACTGTACAGTGAATGTTTGTCTGTGCTTCTTGTGTCTTTTATTTAACGGAGAAGTTTGTTATTGACTTGCACACAGGGAAGTTTGCGCAACATAACACTTTATGGAAGTCTGCATCTAATGTTCGATGTGCAAAATATTTGATATAAAATGTTTGAATAAATACATGATTGAAATTGTGTAGAATAAAATTTTATTAGCTTTGTCTTGAGCGAAAACTATCAAAGTCCCCCCATCAGTTTTTTTCAAATGCTATTGATATTCTTTCTGCCTAATTGCAGGCGTTGCTTGTTTTTCTAGATTAACATTTTTGTTAGCCCGTCAAACATTAGTTAAGGTGTTTGCAGACATCGAGGTTCGCTGTAGACCACAAACTGTTGATCCTGGTTGGAAAGAAAAATTTTACAAATTTTGGAAACAAATCAAAGGCCAGAAACGCTAATTCCTAAGAAGCTGCAAATATTTGCGAAATATTTCAAGTAGAATGGAGTGTCTGTTTGCTTCCAAATGTAATAATGCTCCTTGTGGGTTATTTTTATGGATAAAGCCATTTTATCTCTCTATTGAGTTGAGCATAGTCAAAAGGAAAGCAGTCAAAGGTTGTTTCGCTATTCACTCGCCTTTAATGATTTTTTTCTAAAGTTTTTAAGTTAATACCCGTGTGTATTTTTACACGTGCTGTCATTTTCTTTATTCTACAAGCGTACACTTTGTTTAATGTTTCATTGCTCTTTCTTATTGAATTTGTTTCAGTCAATGAATTTGTTTCATTGTCCTTTTTTTTATTTTTAGGAAATGAATGGCAAGGGCTCTTTTGTTCTCTGTGCCGCCGAACATGGCGACCTAAATGGTATCATCCATGCATTGGAAAATGGAGATGATATTGAAACCAGAGATGCGGTGAGTAGGCATAATTCTATACCATTGTAAAATCTCCTTTTTTGTCGCTGCAGACTTTTCTCGTGTCTCGATATGAAGAAGAGGCAGATTTAGGCTTGCATATTTTCATCTCTTCAAAGTTGTTTGTTACTGGTTAGGAGAGCACGAATTTGTTAGGATTTACATGAAAAAGATTACGATTGTGGAAAGTAACTGGTGAATTTTTGGCATATAATCCTACTGCCATTAATTCTAGCAGGAAATACTCCTAGTCTCTTTGTCATATTAGATAGAAGCAAACCCTCTATTTGTTGGGGAGGTGAACATAAACCCCTGTTGTCATTAAACCAATAAGGTGGCGAATCCAAGCCAATAGATTTGTTTGGCATCCAAAGGTTCCGTATATTAGTTTCTACGAATTTTTTTATTCGTTTGGACTTTCATGGTATTGTAATTACTTAAAGACTTGAAGAGAAATAGAACGATTTGAAGGTTTTTTCACTGCTGAAAAACATATCTAAAATCGTTTTTGATTTCAAATCACCCCGCGATCCATCGTATTGCTTTGTGAAATAACATGCAATGACTGTAGGATTAATATGCTTCTCAAAATAGGTCCAGTTTTCATTTGTCTGTTCACAGTCTTTCACCATTCCACGAACCGAAATTAGAGATCTTTTGAAATGAAACAAGTAGAAAATGAACTTAAACGACAATGGAGTCTCATCAAGACTCAATGTTGAATCGTTCTCAATGAATTTTATTGCATTTTGGATTTCACCAATGAAAATATCTTTATAAGGCTGCTTGCATACTCACGCATTTTGAATGTTGAGAACATTGTGTACAAATTCATAAGAACATTCAAGATCATTGTATACAAAATTTGCTCTGTTATTTTAGAATACCGCAAAAGTATTTCTGATAAAAGAAGTTTTTATGGCTTTTGTTGGATTAAGCTAGATTTAGATTTTTATGGATTCTTCATCGATTAAGTGCGAGCTAAGTAAGGTTCGCTTTATTATTCAATACAAATCTTTTATATCGTACAAACATCGAAAGAACAATCATAGTTGCTGGAATGTGGAAACAAATCTTTCGATATATGTTATTTTAGAATGTGTTGTTGGACAGTTCAAGTCAGGTTTGTAATAATAAATCGTTGAGTCAAGAAAAATGAGAAGATACAGTGTAGATCTGTAACTGAACAGGATGGGATTATATTTATTTGGCATATCAAGTGAAATTGACATTTTATCTTATCGTTTTCTATTGGTATCGGGAGGTGACGCTTGATAGAATCAAGAATAATTCTTCTTTGGTTCACTGTAGCTCACACGTCGCTTAGTCTCTTAATCGATTTTTTGACTACGTTTTATTTTGTTCGCTCGGGTAACTCGCAGATATTTTTCTTGATGCTGTATTACTCACCTTGAATGCTTTAAAGTCATCGAAAAGACGAAGTTGCACGAGGGATGCACCCACAGTATGCTTGCTTTAAGGTGCATGTAGATTCGGGTCAAATGACCTTGCGCATTAGGCTAATCAATATTGCAACATCTGTTATCTTCGGATTATTGTATTTTAGTTGGAAAACAATAGAGTGGAAATTACTTTCGCAACCTCAAAGACTGAGCTTTATTCTTGGATCGATGTTTTTGCATGCAACTGTTGGGCATTCGGCTTATGGGATAAATGCAGATGGACCATCTGTCGTGATTCGCCTCCTGTAAACAATCGTTAATCCCAGTAGCACCCAGCTCCTAGAACAACTTTCCGATACTTTCTGTAGCCAATCTTCCTGTAGCAGCTCTATCTGTAGCCGCTCTTTCCGCAGCCCCTTTTTCTGTAGCTGCTCTGTAGCCGCTCTATCTGTAGCCGCTTTTTCTGGAGCCAATCTCTCTGTAGCCGCTCTTTCTGTAGCCACTCCTTCTGTAGCCAATCTCTCTGTAGCCGCTCATTCTGTAGCCGCTCTTTCTGTAGCCACTCCTTTTGTAGCCAATCTCTCTGTAGCCGCTCTATCTGTAGCCGCTCTATCTGTAGCCGTTCTATCTGTGGCCGCTCTTTCTGCAGCCCCTTTTCTGTAGGCGCTCTTTCTGTAGCCGCTCTTGCTGTAGCCGCTCTTTCTGTAGCCGATCTTTCTGTAGCCACTCTTGCTGTAGCCGCTCGATCTGTAACCACTCTTTCTGTGACCGCTAGTTCTGTAGCCAGTCTATCTGTAGCCACTCTTTCTGTGACCGCTCTTACCGCAGCCCCTCTTTCTGTAGCCGCTCTTGCTGTAGCCGCTCTATCTGTAGCCACTCTCTGTGACCATTAGTTCTGTAGCCGCTCTATCTGTAGCCACTCTTTCTGTGACCGCTCTTTCCGCAGCCCCTCTTTCTGTAGCCGCTCTTGCTGTAGCCGCTCTATCTGTAGCCACTCTCTGTGACCATTAGTTCTGTAGCCGCTCTATCTGTAGCCACTCTTTCTGTGACCGCTCTTTCCGCAGCCCCTCTTTCTGTAGCCGCTCTTGCTGTAGCCGCTCTATCTGTAGCCACTCTCTGTGACCATTAGTTCTGTAGCCGCTCTATCTGTAGCCACTCTTTCTGTGACCGCTCTTTCCGCAGCCCCTCTTTCTGTAGCCGCTCTTGCTGTAGCCGCTCTATCTGTAGCCACTCTCTGTGACCATTAGTTCTGTAGCCGCTCTATCTGTAGCCACTCTTTCTGTGACCGCTCTTTCCGCAGCCCCTCTTTCTGTAGCCGCTCTTGCTGTAGCCGCTCTATCTGTAGCCACTCTCTGTGACCATTAGTTCTGTAGCCGCTCTATCTGTAGCCACTCTTTCTGTGACCGCTCTTTCCGCAGCCCCTCTTTCTGTAGCCGCTCTTGCTGTAGCCGCTCTATCTGTAGCCACTCTCTGTGACCATTAGTTCTGTAGCCGCTCTATCTGTAGCCACTCTTTCTGTGACCGCTCTTTCCGCAGCCCCTCTTTCTGTAGCCGCTCTTGCTGTAGCCGCTCTATCTGTAGCCACTCTCTGTGACCACTAGTTCTGTAGCCGCTCTATCTGTAGCAACTCTTTCTGTGGCCGCTAGCCGCTCTTTCTGTAGCCGCTAGCCGCTCTTTCTGTAGCCACTTCTCCTAGGATTAAATGTTAATCAATCCTAGATATACCTTCTCATCCTGTATATTGCAATACCTTGATAACTGATAATTATTATTAACATATATTTAATGATATTCTCAGACAGACAATGCAGTTTGTCATATATCCAGTTCATGTAAATGTGCAAAATGAATAAACTTTGCAACAGTTAAAGGCCACTACGAGAACGCCAGTGATATCTCGTCACGCGAGAAAATTGCAAATACTGTGAGCTTGTAAATTATTGTAAAAATTAATGTAAAAATTGTACCTAGACAATTGTTGGGCACATCAGTTTCGAGAGAAAACCTTCAAACAGTGAATTTCGTAAATAAATAAAAGCATTATATGCTGATTAGTTGATATAGTGTTTCATCTTTTGTAGAATGGGCAAACACCGCTGCTTCTTGCTGCAGAGAAGGGGCACTTTGGTATCGTTAGGGAGCTGATACACCGAAACGCCAATGTTAATGCGAGAGACCAGGTAAGCTAAATGCGTAGATTCCCTTTGAGTTATCCCCCTAATCGTCTGTTGTGATGATTCCCCTGATACGATTCCATGGGCAATGTTATCATCCTGGTGTGATCTGTCTTCGGTGATCTCCTGGAAGATAATTCCCATAGCAGCAGTAATACCAATGACCATCGTGTGATGATTCCAATGAGTTAGTTCACTGGGGATTCCCGTGGAGGTGATTTCACAAATAATCCTTCCCCAAACAATTATGGTGTGGTACAATCAAGATATTACAACTTCTAATTGAAACCGTGAACTCGTGAATAGATATAGCACGTAAAGAATGTTTTGCATATATCGAGAGGGCACGAGCCCAGTTCATGATTGAAATTCTGTGACTGTTTTATCTTCCTTGACTTTATTTTTTTCAAATGATTTAGGATCGTGTTCCTATCTTAGGTGCACATTATACAATATCAAGTCCAAATTAGAATTTGTTTATAACAACTGATGGAAACAAATCATTTGTGAATGGTGGATTTGAGCCATCCAAACCATTGAACAGTGCAAATCATGGTTGCCTTAAAAAGAATCCTTCGTAGAACTGAAGTATCTTCATGTAGTCTGACATCAAAACAATTATGGGTTTTCCATACATAATGTCCAATAACTGTCTGGCTGGTGTTGTGTAAAGAAAGTGCAGTCGACAAAAACTTTGATTGGATTTTACCGCAATTTTAATCATTCAAAAACGTATTTTTGCAGCTCTAAACAGACGGCAAAGTATCAAAACAAATCTAATTTTTCAATAAGAATATTTCCCAAGTTTAGATGACATATGGCTAGTTGGTTGTAAAAGTGCTTTATTTTGAGTTAGCAAAAGAGACTGTGGATAGTCATAGGATTACTAGGAAAGGTGTGTTAATAACTCTGCAAAGGGCTGTATTGGTATCTTTTCAAATCCTGCTTGCTTATATTTCAATCAGCAGGCTCTGTGGTATCTGGCTTTACCATCAATTTTATTCTTCATCTGGCCAAATCGTTACCGCAGTATTGTTTGCCAATCACGTAAATTCGCGATATTCATGATATTTTGCTGTTGGACAACTCGGCACAGGCTGAAACCTGAATTGATTTGCATAACACTCATCCCTTTTCGCGCTGTTTTCAGATAAATAAGCTCTTTAACATTATTACTGACGCGACTGCCTAAACGATATCAAATAAGCAAATCGTGAGTGCAGACCGAGTCTACACGTAACAGCAATTATATTGTTTAGTCCAACCAATGGAATTGGCCATCGAATGCATCAAAACATAGTCTTTAATCTGATGCTACACCTCGTGATTCACTGAGAGGTGCTACACTTACGTCTGGAATCCCAGAGAGCTAGCAACACTCTTCACTCCAAGTTGAAGTATTGCCTCGAACCAAAGCCTCTGGAACTGTAGTTGCGACCCTATTCACTGAGCCATCCTCCCTCATTTCCATTAAACAAGAACCTGTTCAGACTTAAGGCAAATGTGCAGTTTCTTGCACGCTTGTGTTTACTGTACTGTTGGTTTGGATGAATTAATTGATTTGGTATTCAAGGAATTTACTCTGCTTTGTGCTACATAAAGTATTTTTGTAGGATGGCTGGACGGCACTGATCGCTGCATGCAAAGGAGGCTACCCGGATGTCGTTGCAACATTGCTTCATAATGGTGCACGACACAACATCGCAGATATGGTGAGTTGAGTTATCTAGCTTTTTTGAACAGAACTTTATAGACAATGTATCTATCGCTGTTTCACCATTTTCAGCAAATGTTCAACATTACACAGCTATAGTTAGGAGAAACCTGAGCTTGGAATTTTCCAAGCATAGGCACATAATTTGCAATAAATCTTCGAATGGCGAAAGCACTCTAAACAGCGCACCTTATTGAATCACCGTATCGAAAAACCTTGCTTGTGATCAGAGGCAGATTCAGACATTTTTTTGTGAATAAATCCCAAAAAATCCAGAGTTGTTTGATTTGACTTTCAAAAATATTTTCAAACCAGATCAAGTTAAATCTCCTTGAGACATGAAATAGGTATACAAAAAGCGTTAATCGTCAAAAGGCCTAGAATATTTATTTTGCATTATTTCGAAATCCCGCTCTGAATCTTTGTTTTCTTGACTACTTAAGAGATTCCCTATAAAAACACAATTCGTAAGCATATAACCAGTCTTTGAATGAAGAACGGAATTTCTTTTTGCAAACTGTGTTCGTAAATATTGGCTCAGATAGCTTTCTGGTAACATCAAATTTGCTGTGCTTCAGCTAGGTAACCAGAACCACATCAGCCTGATCGGAATTATTAATAAACTCCCTAGAAGTATATTTGATCTTGTAAGTCCAAAACTCAAAACATAGCCAAGGAAATCTCCAATGTGGCCAGGAGTATCGCGATTCTGCTCACTGTTCATCTCGCACCTCAACACATTCAACTGTGCGTTGTGCTAAAATTATCTGTAGAGAGGGATGGAAGTTTTAAATTTTGTTTATGTTTTTTCTACGATCCGCTTTTCTTGAAATATGGATTAATGTGAGTTTGTTTTGGACCATCATCTTCACAATCACTATTATCATCCTCGTCGTTGCTAAAGTGATTTTTGCTATTTTCCAAGGCAAAGTCTACTCATCTTACAGAAAACCGTGCGACAAAGACTTTGTTTTTCTTAACGCAAACGTTGCTTGCAGTTGTAAAATGCTATATAGTTGGGTTAATATTCGGTACTTTGGTGTCGCTACCGATATCAGGAAGCCTGTTAGCTAATGTATTTGTTTTACGTCAGAATGAATTATCTGAAAACAATACGAGGAATTTTCAAAGGTTTTGCCTTCTAAGACAATTTTGCAGTTTATTAATCCTATCATGCACAGCAAATCCAAGAAGGCTGTTTACAGAGTTCGTCTTCTTGCAATATATTACCATGCTCTTGAGATGATATTCAGCTCAGATCAAGATCGCTTATCGTTCTGTAGCACGGCATGTCTAGACCGTCATGTCTGATTGATTTATGGTAAACAAATTTGTTTTTGATGAAGTCTCAGCGCTACCAATATCTCATTATGTTTCAAAGCACAAAATTATTTTGCAGGGTGGATGGACTCCTCTGGTGTGGGCCTCGTATAAAGGACACAATTCGGTTGTTAGGGAGCTCTTGAGATATGGTGCTGATCCCAATGAAAGGGGCCAGGTATGTGCTGCAATTTTTTAACCCGATTGTCGTAGTTGTGAAAAGCAGTTGTGAGATAACAAGCTTTGACGATGGTTGCTTTAAAGCAATGAATCCATCGAGTAACGTGTGAAATCAAATCTACCGAATTTTTTTTACATCTTAATAGAAAGATTTTTTCTAAATGAGTGAAAATAAGTGCTTTGTTTTTTGAGATGAAGAAGTTAGCCGTAAACTGGTGAACATCTTGTCTTTTGCTACATATTATGCTCTGTATTTTGTTTTTGTACTGATAGAGAATATAATAATTATAGTTTGTTGATTCCCACACTCTAATACCTCAGCATTTATGTTCATCATACTTCCTTTAGTGAAACCAATCAATTGTTAGAAACTTGCGATTGATAGTTGAGGTTTCAATAATCTTAGAGAGTATATTAGTGCTCATATTTTTCCCTTCGTTATACATTTATTCGTCTTGATTTCACTTTCAATTATGCTTTCTCCAATTCTCCACACGCCATAGCACAACATGACTGCACTGATTTGGGCAGCAGGAAGAGGCCACACCAACGTTGTACGGGAGCTTCTTGAGTCTGGGGCTAGAGCTGAAATCGCAGACAAGGTACGTGTTTTTCTTACCCAATGAATCTTTAAGTTTATTTGTATGACGTCACTTTGAATAACGATGTTTGGTGTGACGGTATATGGTTGGATCTGATGTTATAAAATTTAAGGACTTGATAGATGATTTATAGCTACATGATTTTTCTTCCAATAATCATTTAAAGGGCCAGCCTTACAGAAGCTAGTTTGTAACAAGAGCAGCACTCAAGGAAATTCGTTGCGTTCCTTTTAAATTTTATTGAGAGAAGGGAAACATTTTTCAAACCCGGTTGTTAGTATCTAAACAACCCGTTTTGGATGGTGATGGAGAAATTTGTTTTTAGCGCTTTTGACAAATGAAAAAAACCAGTCAGTTTTGGTTTCGGTTTGATATGCCATAGTTTTTTCATTTTTGTGCTAGCTGAAAACAGTCTGTCTTGGCTAACTGTGTCATAATTACATCATCAAATTGATAAAAAGTAAGTGAGAAACAGCCAATTTTGAATTTGGCTGAGGTTGTTCTGCACGATGCTGTTCCACTTACAAATTTGTCCCAGTGTCCAATATTCATAAAATCTGAAAATCAAAATACTGACTCAAAAAAGCAGGATCTCGAGACTGCCTCGTTCTGCATCATTAGTGAGGTAATTTGATCCTTTGCACTTTTACGACCGCCAACCCTTGTAAGCAAAGAACCAAAGTTTGTTCCTTGCACAGTGTATTTCCTGGAATCCATGATTATTACAACATGGTGGTTTTCTTGAGTCATCAAAGGGCCGTTGTAGGTCTTTTGCTAGTCCGCCTTTTAGTGATAGCATGTAAAAGAGGCTGATGTTGTTAAAATGACGGTAGTTGCATCGCTCGTTTAGCGTTTTTGAAAGTAAGAAGGGCCTAACTTTTCCAGGAACATCTGCCGATATTTCTATATATTATTAATGTCAACACAACTGGTCGTGCACAGTGCTCTTCTTCTTATAGTAATCGGTTATTCATTAAGTTCTTCAATGTTTCCAGTGAGTTTTATGGATTTGTTTTGTTCTACACGCATCTCAGCATATTCCCAATTCGCTTAGCGGAAACAATGGCTACGAATGGCATATGGTTGTCAAACCTCAAGATATTAAACCTGACCTATGAGGACTTTTAAAAGTACTGCAACACCTAAGTTTGCTATCTTTCTTCAAAGAAATAAAATATCAATAATTTTGTCAAGACATTGATAATAAATGCATTAGAAAAGCAAAAAGAGCCGTTTCAAGCATCGCAGTTTCAAAGGTACGGTGAATTGGTATGCGGTGATCACTAAAGAAAATTTTTGTTTTCGTGTCATAATTGCAACCTCTTGCAAACCAATCATTAAGCTTTCATCAGAGATTTTCAATCTAGCATCCGCTTTAGTAAATCTTGCTCTCGTTTGGCAAATTTAACATCTCTGTTTTAATGCATTCATTGGATCTCTTGTCCCTATTTTTGCACAGTATGGAACCACTGCTTTGATTTGGGCCTGCAGAAAGGGACATTTTGAAGTTGCAGATCTTTTAATTTCAAAAGGAGCCAATGTCAACAGTGTTGGGACGGTATGACACAGCAAATTATATGCTTTATAATGTTTTGTTATTTCAGCAAATGCTTAGCTGCAAATTTATTTCTGACTGAGGCTAGCTGAAGTTGAAGTTCTCCAGCCTGCCAAGTTTTGTTCTTTGTTGCTTTTGTTAACCGTTTGTTCCCTTGTTAATTTGTAACACTGTAGATATAGCTAACTGCATGGTTTTTAGCAATTTTTAATCCTCTTTCTACCCAGTATTGGTTTTATATACATTTTTACTGAAAATAGTTGCTATGCCGAAATAATAGCTAAACTAATCGTAAAAAATGTGAGTTACTAAATCTATGGTACTGCATTGTTGTTATTTCTCATAACACTTATAAAAAAGGGCCTTAAGTAAACATATGATACCTAGATGGCATCAAAACTGTTACTTTTATTAAAGAGGTATGAAATGTCACGGATGTGTTTGCAGCCTATGATACCTAGATGGCATCAAAACTGTTGCAACAATGACTTTACTTGCATCCTATCATGCATGAATCAGCTGAAAATGCTTAACGAGAAGCTTACTTAAGACGTTTTGCATAAAGCAGGCCAGGAACGCAGTCAAATCTTTATCTTGCTATTTATTCAAACAATAAAATCCAGGGACAACCTTCTTTTGATTATTCCAAACTTGGTGGATTTATTCGATTTCCGGGGATTATTTGGTAGTCCACGTGACTGCCATCTCTTGAATGTTGATATGAGGTTTTTTATTGGATTTGCGAATGCGTAAAAATTTCAGGGTATTCTCTTAGCAGACGTTAGCCAGTTCGGTGTGTAGGTATTGTGAATTTAGATTGCATCCATGAAACATAGCATCAATATTGCCTTAGCCTCGTACACACATTAGAAGCTGCTTGGCTCTAAACTCTAACTTTTCATTTGAATGTTCATCATTAGATTGTTACAGTACCATTGCTAGATGTATCTGGAAAAGAGAGTTGCTAAAAACTGCCAGTTGAGCAAGTGTTTTCATTTTCTTTTGCTTTTTCAGCATGGTTGGACCCCACTGATCATGTCTGGCAAAGGTGGATTTGTTGATGTGGTGAATCTCTTGCTAGAAAGCAGAGCAAACGTGAACCTAGTCGATCAGGTATTTGTCTTACATCAATTTATTGTTGTGCACTTAAATGTCTGTAAGATCCTTAAGTCACTAAGAAGCTTTCAACGTGTTATTTCTTGGAACTTATTGTAGACCTTACAAAACTTAGACCTTACAAGTAGACAGTCCGGAGTAATTTTGAAACTGTCTACTTGTTGATGTTTTAGAGAAAAAAATTCCCCCGTTTTATTTGAAATAATCTAGACAGATTGGCATTCCGAGTTTTGTTCCTCGCTTGTTAGAGGAAAATGTTAGACTTTCTGTAGATAATCAGAAAGACGATAGGTTTTCCAGTAAGGTGCTCTTTAACTGCGTAGAGAGTGAAGGGGTCCACGATCTCTCTGATCACGTATCATCTAGTAAGTTTTTTTCTCCTTGCTTTTCTCCATTTGTCAGACTTTTCTCATTTCTTTCGTTTGTATGGTTAGAATAATTGGTTCATGACATGGTTTTCATATTTTCAAAAATGTTTTTTTGACGTTGAAAAGCGTGATAGGATCTTATTAACTGTAAACATAGGCCAGATGTCTCATCCTCCTGTTTACGAAAAGATTCTTCAGTCTCACTGTGTTGTGAAGCAGGAAAGTTGTATTCATGTTGCTGTCAACCTTTTTCGCATTTATATTTAAAGTTGGTGTTTATTCAAATGCACATCACAATAATCATTTATTTTAAAATACGAGCTTAATGTTATTCCCTAAATAAGGATCAATTGGATTGCAGTCTTAGTATCTTGACCTAGAAATGATCTTGCCCTTCGATTTTGATTACGATATTGAAATTAAAAGCTTAGATTTTAAAAACCGTTTGCTTGAAAATGAAATTTCTAGCAATTGGATACAAACAAACGCAATTTGTTGCCAAATAACTTGCATTATGAATCCTCTTGCTTTTCCAAACCAAGATGTCCCACTGCGAACAAAGCATTTTGTATCGCAAGTTTTTGTCTCGACATTTTCATTTTTATAGCTTGAAAATACAAAATTTTAATAGTTATTATTTGTGCATTAATGTCTAGTCTCTTTTACATTGTGCGTTGAAAAAATTCTGTTGAGACAGCTTTGCTTCTAATTTCTTGAGAGCAGCTATGAAAATCGAGTTACTGGAAAACAATATATGATATGTTGATGAGTGGAAATACAATTCTAGCCGTCGCTGGGTTTGTAATTAGGCTGTTTTCCTCTTTCCGAATCTCCAATCATTTCTGCTACCAGATCCTAAAGAGTGATGTCAATCAACGTAATTAGCAGTTTCCTCAAAGTCATCCTTTGCATTTTTAACAATTGATCTTGGGTAGACAGCCTTTAACAAGATCAGAATCAGTATCATAAACAGCTGACTGAAAAGCCGAACAATTTCTTGATTTAATGAACTTTATACCCACAATGGTGGCAAACGTACAAAGTTAAGCAAAGTATTATCAAAGATAGTGAACAGTAGATCTTTTCTATAATTTGGTATTAAACTGCAGAAAAAATACAATTCCGTTTTGCTGTTTTTAAATCCCGATGCTTATTTGAAAACCTGAATGATCAGAGCCTTTTCCAGTTTTGGAAAAATCTGAAACCGCATACAAGGCGGTATTTAATGGAATTATCCAGTAGCAAGGTTTTGTAAATTCATAAACTTCAGGTAATCCATTTGGTTAAACAGTCATCAGCAGCAAAACCAAATTAATACATCTGAAATTGCCCAGGAATAAGAGCTTGTAATCAGTTTTCTGTTACGTTATTTATATACCTCTGTTACTGTCGTTTTAGTTTGTGTGTTAACCAATGTTTAGCAAAGTGTTTCTCGACCATAGCATTTATTCCTTATCGATGACCTTTATCAGCGAGCAATCGTGATCACCTCAAAGTCGAGATTGAAAATCATAATCACCTTCACGGCTATCGTCAATAAATGCGTCATCACCACTACTATCATCATAAACATCATACCATCACTTGATCATCTTTCCCATCTCCATCATACGATCGTCTTCAACATCTCCATTACACAGTCATCTTCATCATCTCAATAACACGATCATCTTCGTCATCATAATCACACGATCATTTACACCATAACAATCACACGATCATCTTCGTCGTCATAATCACACGGTCATTTACACCATAACAATCACACGATCATCTTCGTCGTCATAATCACACGGTCACCTACGAAATCACAATCAAATAATCGTCTTCGTCATCACAATCATACGATCACCTTCACCATCACAATCACACGATCATCTTCATAATCATAATCATACGATCACCTTCACCATCACAATCACACGATCATCTTCATCATCATAATCACACGATCATCTTCATCATCATAATCATACGATCACCTTCACCATCACAATCACACGATCATCTTCACCATCACAATCACACGATCATCTTCATCATCACCATCAAACAATCTTCATCATCTCTATAGCACGATCATCTTCATCATCATAATCACATGATGATCTACACCATCACAATCACACGATCATCTTCGTCATCGCAATCGTAATCACCATAGCACGATCAACATCATTAGTCACCCTCATCATGATCGCTATCTCCACATCTTCACTATCAACATCACAAAACAGATAAGTGATCATTTTAGCCCCACCCAACCAATTTTAACCCGATCCTTTTGTTTCCACTGGCAAAAATGCCTTCAAACCCCTGAGATAGCTCCAAACTGGGTTTTAACTAGAGGCTTCACTTCCGACACCTTTATGGCGTCTTTTAGATTATATTTAGCTTTGCGACTCCCGAATCACCGTCCTTCATTTAAAGTCACACTGCTCTTGGTGTTCTCAAACAGACAGTTTCTTCCGCGGACTTTTTGTCAACTCTATGTGGCAACCTAATTATAAACTTCTTTATTAATTATTGAATTCCTGCCCACGCTATGCAATTGGAGGATTGACCACAAGGTGTTGTACAAACACTATTTTATAATCCTGTCTGGTTTATATCCTGGTCTAATTCTAACTGGACACCATTCCTTCTGTTAGGACGGAAGATCCGCTCTTACATGGGCTTCCAAATGTGGCCACGAGGCAACAGTTCGCGCATTACTGAATCATGGTGTTTACCTCAATATGCCGGATAAGGTATGCCATCTATTTGCATCTTTTCTGCTTTCTTTATCGCAAATTAGTGCATCTTAAATGCTCCATCAAATTTTGATCGATAAATGATGATTGTAAAGCTTCTTTGTTTTGAAATTTATGCATTGATACCACCTTCGTAGTTATTTCTTGTGAACATTATTTTGTTTTTTGTTTCAATGTGTTCAATTAATTATCGCTCCTTTTGGCATTTCAACCATTCTAGAAAGCTAAGTTTTATGATATACATTACCTTGTTGAACTTTTCTTTATTTTTGGTCATAGCTGACTAAACCTGTCCATATTTTGAGATGCTGTCGTGTGTAATAGGTCAAATTTTTCAAAGTCAAGAAGTCAGTGTGCACGAAATTTTTCTATCGAGTTTCTAATTGGCAACAGTGATGTCAAATTTATTGACTCTTACAGTAGCCCTATTTTTAGTCTTGTGTCTTTGGATTTTTACATTTAAATAACCTCAAGTTAAGGGTTGTTAATGGTTTTTGAAATTCAGATCGTTTTAAAACTTTTATAGCTTCTCTGCATCTTACGAAAACATTTTTTTGGGTCAACATACCTTAAGGACTGATAAACATTTCAATTGTTTTTCAGTCAGCCGTTCATTATAAGCACCAATTCGCCCTTTTATGCACAGAAGTTGTGTAGACTTACTATTTTGTGCTAGCCGCGAGAATTTGAAGTGTTAAAACTAAGTGCTGGTCTTCTTTTAAGTTTTTATTGCGTGTCATTTTATGTCGAGTCGCAACATAACCGGTCGCTCATGATTTGTCTTTAAATGTTCCACAGCATGGAGACACTCCGTTGATAATTGCTGCCAGGGAAGGACATCCTGACGTCATCAAGGCTCTATTGTCAAAATATGCTGATCTTGAGCTGACTGATTCGGTAAGCTAAAAACGATTCATCGTTGCTTATTATTTCACATTCGTTTTGAATGGTCTGGTAAAGCTGTTTGATTAACTTGCCTTTTTTCAATATTTGAGTATTTTTCTTGATTTTAAACAAGTATTCATAAGTAGGTGTTGGGCTTGAAAAAAGGAGGCTGTTGCTCGCTAATGATGTTATGCTTTGAGGTCTCTTGCTTTCTCACCTTTCCAATTAGCTCTCCAATGTCTCTATATTGCACCGGTATATAAACACGAAATCATATCAAACTCCTCGATTAATGTATTCATATTAAAAAATGACGTCATATATTTCATGGATCCTGGGCTCTAACAAGATATCTATCGAATCGAATCGAATCAGAGCACGAATTCATTGTTTGAATGATCGAATCAGAGCGGATTGCCGGAGTTTGCTACTTTATTTACTCAAAAAATGTTTTCATCCGCATTGATGTTGAAATGATGACTTCGTAGTATTTGTATGCAAAAGCGTGTTCATCCAACAAAGCGTTGTCAGTTCCCGTCATTTTGCGACATTGCAAATGATTATTCTGCAAAGAATACCATGTATGAGTACACGACAAAGAATTTGCTCGACCTAGAGACAAGCGTACTAACACGATTGGTTAATCATATCAATTCGCAACAAAATAACTTTGAATTCGCTCATTTCACAAGGTCATAACACTGCACTAGCTAACAGAGATAAACTGCAAGATGAGGCGCCAGTGTGAATGACTTTGAGTGGAAATACAATCGAAGCTAACATAATTCACAATATTGCCGGCATGCGGAGAAAAAACAAGTCGATGTTCAGCTTACTTGGGCCTGTTACTTGTTGATGTCTAATGTTAAGAAGAGTTTTTCGGAATATTCTCTGTAATTGATGTTCCCACTTTTTACCAAATTTCTTACCCTACACTTTCAGGAATCATACTTATAGACATATATAGGAGTCAAATGAAAATTATTGACAAAGAGTTTTACTACTTATGTTTGCATTCACTGCGCAGCCTATCTGTTGTAAAGATTGGAGTATCTCACTATATAATGCTAATTTTTGTTAATGGTTGAGTGATAGCAGAAAATTATGGAATAATTTTGAACCAAGTACTCAGGAGTTTTTGGTCTGAAACTTGAAAAGTGAGAAGGAAAGAAAAGTTAACAAATAAACGCTGAACAAGATATAAAGGCAAGAAAGAATAATATACAACTGTTAAAATTTGGTTGAAATAGTGATAGATACAAAAGAAAACGGGAAATTATTCCGGACAAAACTAGCCTTGCAACCCTTTAGTCAATTTCTTAAAAGCTGCAGTCATTAGGAATATTCAATAAGTCAAATATTGATCAAAGTTGGACTAACATTTTTTAATGTTTAAGTCTTATTTTGTAAACGAGTCTCAAATTAGTGGAATTTCGGAGATATATGGGTACATAATTGTGTCCGTTGAAACAAATCCTTGTTCCCAAAACGATAAATGAAAGATTTTTCCCGAATAAAAGGAAAAACCACGTCTTAATCCTAAGATATCGCCACTTTCCTCAATTGGAAATCGTCTCCAATGTAAGCAATTCCGTTTTTCCCAACGTCGTTTTAAAATTTCTATAAAATCAATCCTTGCATTCATCTCCAATTAATTCTCCTTAACTTTTGCTAATCGGGAATTTATCGAATTGCTTTTTTAAGTCCAGACTCATTAATCCTTGCGAAAATTTGACCTTGAAATGGCAAGAAGCTTCATTAGAAAGTCAGGAAATTCCATGTGATTAATTTGTCAGATTTTGCTTGCTTCGGGTTTTGGACATTTTAAATCCAGCTTTCTTCAAATTCTCAAATTGTGGCCATATTTTACAATACATGTTCACAAAAGATCACTTTATTTTCATTTAACATATTATACAGATTTTTTAGGGGATTTTAAATTCTATAAAACTATTAATTATTTTACCAAATTTAAATCATGCATTACAAGGCTCCTGTTACGAATGAAAGATATTGGATAAGTAGTTTTCAAATATTACAAAGCTACTGGTTTCCATTTCTTTTCCTTTGCGTCCAAATCATCAACCTACGTGTTGGAGAAGATCTATACTCGAGTGTTGAGGCGTGGCCATATCAATTCCAGGGTCGACTCTGCCCTGTTTTTAAATTTCTCATTGGAAAATGTCAAAATGTTTTATTGTCAACGATATCTTCTGCAGATCGTCTATTTAAAGGTGCACAAATAAATCTCACACATTTAGCGCTGAACTTTGCTTACGTTGTAACAATGACAGAGCTGGGCGATGGCTTGCTATTCTATACACCTACTCTATCCATGTATCCTTTGCGAATTAAAAGAAAAGCCATTGACCAATGTTGACGAGCCTTCGCAAACCAATATTGCTCACAATTCGGAAATTGAAAGGATTTGTGTTAGCTAATCTTGGCGATTTTTGTACGCAAACTGCTAACCATGATGAGATCCTTATAATTCCATTAAACGCAACAATAGTCGTAGATTAAAGGCTGAAGCGCAGGTGCGCTGGCGAATTACACATGTCCTGAAATGTTACGCCCAGCTTTACGATACTGAAGGAATCTATGCAAAATCATTTGTACTATCGTGCATTGTCTAATCTTTGTCTCTTGTTTGTTATTTGTAGTTCATATAGATGTCTGTGCTTTTATATCGATCTTCGTTCTGCCTCACTCTGTTTAATTTGTTGTGATCTTGTAGATTAATTTCACCGTCCCTCTTCTTTGCCTTATTAATTATTCAACACATTGTCCTGTTACCAAAGATTCTGTATTTCGGGTTCATTACAACTCATCCATGGAGCCTAGAAATCAGTTTATTTCAGAAAACGGTACACAGTAATGATAAACTATCGTGTTTGCTAAAGTGGCTTTGTGAACTGACTTTGACTATGACGATCAGAGCTGTTACAATTATGCTTTAAGACGTCGATCGATAGCCAATCAATGTTAAGGCATTTGATACAAAGGCGGAAATTTTCATGTGAGACACTGGCTGAGAATTACTTTGTGAGAAGATTTCTACATGTTTAAGTCGAAGGATACGAAATAAACGTACAACAGAAAGCGCTGCAAAAGACCATCCTTTCTCCTGAATATCACAACAAGAAATTAAATAATTGAAGTTTGTTATAGATGAGATCATTTGATTTAAAAGGATTTTATGTTTTTTGTACCATCTGCAGTTGAAGGCTGCTCATATGATTCATCTATGATTCTTGCATTGAGATTCATGTTCTTCGTTGCTGTGTAGGAGGGCAAGACTGCATTGTACAAAGCCGTTGAAAAGGGACATGTTGATTGTGTGCGCGAGCTTCTAGTCGCTGGAGCCAATACAGAGACTACAAACAAGGTTTGTTTGTTATCTTCTCTTCAGGACCTTTATTGTGCATTCAATCGCCTATGTATTGTTTAATGCATGCTTAAGCGTTGTTTTTGCAAGGCATTTTTCAAAACACGATGCCTACTGCTGATTTATTAATTCATTCTTAGAGTCATGGAGGAGATACAAATTTAGTATATAGAGGTTATAAAGAGCAACATATATGTTCTGTTAAATAAAACAATATATTGCTTCGTGCATCAAAGTAGGTTTAAGTAGGTTTAATTCATCACTTCTGGAGAAACATTTCTTATGAACTTTCTACCGTTTTCTTTCTGTTTTACTGTTAAACGAACTATCGTCAGCTTGTGCAGGAAGTTTTTAACAACCTACAAAGAAATGAAAGGATTTACCTAATATTGTAAATGAATTTGGACGTTGTCATCGGATTTTGGCAATAAATGCATTTATCATGAAAATCCATCAACAAACCATCTGCAATCTCTGTTGATTAAGAGATACGCAGTTAGATGGATATATCTGACTTCTAGCCTGTAAATTACAGATGACAACAGATCTCTAGCTATCTTCAAAGAAACTGTCTCTGCATTTTCAAATCTCAAACTCCAATAAGCTTCTGTTGTTGTTCTGTTTTGACAGCATTATCTCGGTCCTTTTAACTTTTGAGGTATCGGCGTTTAAGGATTTTGACGTCATTCTTAGTTTGTTGTGTAGAAGACACGGGATGGCAAGTTTGATGACGCAAGCTTTTTGTTTTCATGTCTAATAGCTGTGTAGCAGCTAAAATGTTGAATTTATACATTTTTCTCTAAGTTAGCCACTCTCTCTTAGTTGGCCACTTAAGTTTTTCCCGTAATTTTATGAAGGCTTTTCGCCTGCGTGATCCTGGATACATTCTGGCCGTTACTTTTTGCATTGAAGCTGTTTCAATATCGAGATTAAGAATGAGGAAAGAAAAGGCACTTTCCCTAGTACCTTAAGTTCTGTGACTTAGACTGCTTTAGGATTCATTTCGCTCATTGCTCTAGGATTCATTTCGCTTTTAAAAACTTTTAACAAAAATTCTTGAAGAAGTTTATTGTAAAGAAGTAAAATTGTAAAGATTATAAGGAATAGCTCAATAATTCTGTCAGAAATTAATGTATTCAATAAACAGTGTTATCCTACTGCTGACAATCAACGGGAACTGATGTCGAGGAATAAAACCATATTATTCCGTCCAAATTATTCCGATCAAATCTTTAGTCCTTATCGCAACTGAGTAAACCTGTGGATTTGCCTGCTTAATGTCATCAGCTGAAGTCAAATCCTTTGCAAACGTGCTGCTCTGTCGTATTAGGCCAAATCTCAGCTATACGCATTACCACAAGCCATCCTTATAAATCCAACATGTTCACGAGAATGTGCCATCCTTGCATCTGTTTTCCCTGTGAGCAGCTGTTTTCCCGCCAAGCTCCCTGTTGAAACTTGTTTTTATTTTGGTATTCGACTTTGTTTTATGTTTTGCCTGTATCTATATCTGTAGGTGAGATCTGTATCTAATAAGATTTACAATCAAGTAAATTTGCACGCAAAGGCAGCACGATAAACTGCATCAATTGCTAGATGGAGGATTGTCTTTCAATCGTACTTGTGTTTCACAATGAAGTGAATACTTAGTTAACGGGCAACTCCCTGTAGCAAATATCTCCACACAAAAGGCAAGCCATTTTATGTTCTTGGTTCAAGACTTGTAGATGTTACCTAGACGGAAGGCTTACAAGTTACAAGTCACTTTGACCCCAGGTGGCTGTCATGTAAGACTGTACAGCACCTCCTTAAATTTGTGATACACAAATACCTTTCTGTCGATATTTAGCAATCAATTTTTGCTAAAGCAACAGTACTTTATTTAGGGGATCTCTTGCACGTTAATGATGTGCTTATGATTGCCCGGTTTGTTTTCTAGCATTGCCTGAGGATAAGTAGTAATGCTGTGTCTGCCTGACGAAGCCAAATTATTCACTTTTTATTTTTATTTTCAAATTATTCAGAAAACAGGAGTGATTGTTTGCGATTCTTTGTTTCTTTTCGTGTTGCGTGCGCTCAACCACGAGTTACAAAATGTTCTAATCAGGGGATTTTAATGATTTTTCGTTTTCAAATCGTTGCGTGCGAAGTGTTGCGGAATGTTGATGCAGTGCTTGCGAATTTTGACTCACCTTTAGAAATCCCTCTGGTCTACGAACAGCTGCCCTTATTGATTCGTGTTACTGACATCCGCAACATAAAGATCTGCATGCTATACAGCAAACAGTTTTATCAATTTTCAATTGAACAAACGAAGCCAGGTGATGTTTCTTTCATTCTGATTTCGACTATCTTTGCGCGTGTTTTATTAAAAGCTTTGCCGTATTGTGCGTGCAAGTTTGTTATTTCTTCAGTCTTGCTGTTTGCAGAAACAAATCGATCGGCCTACTGGCGTATGCATTGTCCTCGCAGCAGCCTTAACAACTGACAAGATTAAGTATGACTAGCCCAGTTGTTTACAACCCCACTAGTTGCTCGAAAGAAAATTGCCGCACCATCAATCGGCCTACTGGCGTATGCATTGTCCTCGCAGCAGCCTTAACAACTGACAAGATTAAGTATGACTAGCCCAGTTGTTTACAACCCCACTAGTTGCTCGAAAGAAAATTGCCGCACCATCAATTTTTAGTCTGGATTAATATTTTGATAATTAAAATCATTGTTTTTCTCCGGATCTTTTTGATCTAAACAATTCCAAGGAAAGACAGGTAGAGCAGCATGTTGAAATTTTCAAAATGGAGATGTTGGTGAGAGTTCACAGTTCGCATGGCTAGGCCAGTTCAGCTTTGTGAGATAAATAAAAACCCACCATAAAGGCTGCTAATCATTTGATTAACTCCAGTCGCATGCATGTGTGAATGCCCTTCTGGGCATGCGCAAGGTTATCTCGTCTGCCGGGAACGCGCGTTAGTTCGCTCAGTAGTTCAGCCCCACTCGTTGATTCGTTTTCAAGACGTCGCATGGACTAGAAATGATAACATGTCCATGTGAAGCCAGTCTTTGTTTTTAATTTAAAGTTCTCCCCATGAAGACTCAAAAATAATCACCGCCTGATGACTTTGAACAAATGAAATTTTTTGGTCGCAATATGCTTGTAGCATGAAAATCGTTGTTATATTAGGAGCAAGCAGTTTTAATGGAAAATGTTTCTTGCTGATGACATTGAAGGTAGAAATTAGTTGATAGTTGCTGTAAGTATTATTTGCCTTGCAGGATGGGGAGACGCCTTTGATAAGAGGCGCGAAGAAGAAACACACTCTTTGTGTAAAATTATTGTTGGAGAATGGAGCCAACCCGGCTGCTGTTGATAAGGTTTTGGCTATCTTTGCTTTCACTTGTTCATTATGACTTCCAACTTCTTTTATTTTCTTATCGACCTTCCACAATTATGCAAGAGCGCCTTCTATTCATTTGCATCACAAGCAGCATTAATCGGTCTAAGCTTGTAATCCCACCTTTGCAGGTTTATGAAAAAATTAATTTTTGCAAAATAAATCATACAAAATGATCAAGACGAAAGAATTTCGGGTCGTGTGAGGAGATTTATCACGTTTACGTACTATATTGTCTACCGGCTATATTTATTTCTTTATTTCATTGAAGAGATTTGTTGGGTGTTATAAATATCATGGCAAGAAAGGTCGGATACTATTTATGAAATAAGATGCGATCTGCATTTGAACTTCAAGGATGGAAGTCCCCCTATCTTTAAATAAAGTCAATGGCAGCCATACAGAAGAGAAGGCGTTCAACTTCAGTTTCCAGCTGCTTCTTTACCAGGATTTTTATTTTTAGTAAATTTGTGCTGAGTTATCCGTTTGAAACAAAAGTATCTAAGATGACATTTGGAATATCCAAACACACCTTTGCTGGATGACATTGTGGAAGAGCAAATTTAGTTAGCGATCGATGCAGAAAATCAGATGCAATCTTGATAGACTCTGTAGCTACCATGTTACGATCAGAAATGAATTAAATAACCAGAGGTGAATAATACTTCGGCGAATGATCTGAGAAATTACTGTGTATGACGAGACGTATATTGATAAGCTAAATTCTGATAACGAGTTCCTGTTTCTTAATTCACCACCCACTCATATCTCCTTAACTGATAACTTGGTTCGTTATTCAACAGAAAGGCGACACCGCGCTTCATATATCAGTTCGACTCAAGTATGCAGGACTTTGTGAAGTTTTATTGAGAGATCAGAAAAATTCTCGTCTGCTCTACAAGCCAAATAAAGCTGGGGACACGCCTTATAGCATTGATCGTGCTAACAAACAAAGTGTGCTGTCTCCAATATTTGGAAACAGTGAGTTGATTTGATTTTTACTGGATTATCATTTATGACATTTTACTGTGTAACATTCGTTATGCTAATGCTGTAGCGGTTGCTAGTATCTCCAGCATGCCCGTGCGGCTCAGCGGCAGATTTATGTACGGCTCAGCGGCAGATTTACATGCAGAGACGTCTGTTACAAATGACCTACATGTTGCAGTCTGTAGCGCAGCTAGCGTATGCTATCTTTTAAGGCGTTGAAGAGCTTTAGTGTATGCATAAGCTCTTCGATGCCTTCTGTCAATTTATAAGTTCATCGAATGCCTGCTGCATATTTTGAACGCTTTATCAATTAATTGCCAAAATGTTTTATGTCAATGTAACGTGTTTGCATGTTTGAAAAGGTTTCTAGATCTAACTTTGTAGTCTTTGGTACGGTGATCCATCAATACAGAGTTAATTCTACCATGGTAGAAAATTTCTCCAGCTTAACCAACCTGGATCTATTTGCCAACAGTCTCCAGTTTTCTGGTGATAGGCACACATAGATCTGGTCTTTAACAATTATTCCATAAAAGAACTAATTTTAATTTTGTGTTAACTTCAATTAGGTAAATTTTTTGTTGCTGTTCTTATCTTTTTTGTTTACCATGGTTTTTTGTTTTTTATCTGAACGCGAATCCGGCCAACCTGATATTGGGTGTCAATAGAAATGAATAAAGCAAACATTTTAAATTCACTTCATGAGACCGTGATGCATTCGTGAAATATTAAACAGACTGTTTAGTTAAAATTTGCATTCACCACAGCATCTGCATCGTCAACAATGAAATCCAAGTATTTTATTGTAATTCAAAGTTTATTGTTGATGGCTAAGAATTCGCTTATTTTAGTGCTTTAATGCGAACATTGAATTTTCTCTCATTTTTTCGTTTTGTTAAGTTCACGCTTAAATCTTCAAGGGTCATGCTGACAAAGTTCTTCTTCAATCGCATCTTTAATTTACATCATCCAATCGGAGTTGGGCTTCATTATTCCAATTTTGCTCTTTGACTATTAACGCGAGCGATAATCTAATTACCACCATATTACTATATCTGTCGGAGAATAATAGAGGTCATTATTTATCGAAATGCAGATATATTTCAATCACAAATTTTGTTTTATTTCAAATCCTGCCCTCTAGTGGTCTCGTGGTCAGCTGTGAATCAGTTCGGTGATGGTAAAATATGCATGATGAACACCGGCATGAGCCTCGAGGCAGCACCCAGCAAATTTGCTTGTTGTTATTTTACGCTTTTTAAGTCAGTTGCTTGTGTGAATATGTTTTGAACTTATTTGCACATAAGTGAACTGCTTGTTTGTCTAACCGACCAACTTTCACTTGAAGGAAGATACTTGTAGCCTCTGCTAAATTATTAATGGAGCATATATTGAGTGTCGATTCCTTGATCTCTTTGTCAACAGGAGATTTAAGTGCTGATATCAGTAGAATGGAACTGCCCTCTGGCCAGGATAAATTCGTAATGGCGTTGGCAGATTTCATCAGCGATCCTTCACTTTCTACTCCACTTACTGTTGGCCTATTTTCAAGATGGGGAACTGGCAAATCAGTCATCTTGCAAAGAATTTATGGTAAGTCGTCTACCTAAAACTTTTGCAATTTCATTGAGGTACACTTGTCGTAGCTTGGCCGTGATGTTCGTAAGGGACCTCATCAAGCTGAGCACTCAACTGTTTCTGCTAACCCTGCCTTTTTTGTTTGTTGTGCTGCAAAAGCATTTTACTTCATGTATTGATTACCGTTGATTCGTTATCGTACTCACTCGTTCGATTTCATTCAGCTTCAACTGTTAACATGCCTAGCTTACAGCGATAAGACACATGAATGCATTCTACTTCTACGCCCATTTCATTCTACTTGTGTCATACTGTCGTACTTACATCTTTAAATTGATTAATTCGATTATTTGTAGTTCACAACTGTGTCGTACCTGTTGCCCGCTATCTCATTCGATGTTATGTTAGTTTTAGTAATTCAAATTCTTGTTTTTTTATATCGTCGACAAATTCATGATGCTATGAAAATATGGTATTTATGAACTAGAATTAACATTTGATATTCAGTTGTTCTTCTTTTCTTCCAGAGCAACTGAAAGCGTATGCATTTCAAGAAGCGATCGTTCTATTTCGCATCACTAGCGGTGTTTTACTTACCACCGTCTGCATTACAATTACGATTGGACTTATAACCTGGGCTGTGTCCACGTGGGTGGAAGGACTTTTGTCGGCTCTTGCAACATTCGTTGTTTTGATGGCGCTTATCATTCTTGGCCGCAGCTCGCATAGATCGCACGCAGGCAATTCTAACCGCTGCGGACTAAAGCTACTCCAACTATTCGAGCGTGCGGTACTCTTCTTCAGACTGGTATTCTGTGTGCCTCCTAGCATCGAATCCGTGCGGCCAATGTTGCCAATACATTTCATTTTTGTTGACTTGACAAAATCAACTATTTTTGGCGACAATCCATTAACAGCGCTTGTTAATTTAGCTCGAGAGCTTAATGATGCTGTTGAAAAGGATTATGGTGTATTTGTGACAAGACTTTATCGAGTTTTTCGCTCCGGGCCATATCGTGCAAGGCAAATATCACACTTGAATCTAAAATCTCGTTGGAAAACATCTTGTTGCTGTTTACCGTCCGTGTTCTTCACGATTTTGGTGCTTTTTGCATTATGGGTCGGGTTGTTTTGCCTTGCTATATTTAAGAAAAGCTCGGATCGAACAATTCTTGGAATCGAGATCGGGAGTGCTTGCGTCATTGGTCTAGCATTTATTTATAGCATCCCTCGGCTCTGCGTCATCATTTATTGTTTGGTATTATCAATGAAAAAGCGCATCATGATTGTGGCATCGCAACCAGGCATCAGAGACGAGACGTTTCTGCATGTTTTGAAGCAGGAAATCGACTTGCAAGCCGACATGTTAGAATGTCTAGATGGATTTACGAGACGTCAAACACGGGTTGTGTTGTTTATAGATCTTCTAGAATCTTTAGAGCAGCAGAAGGTGCTTCATTTCGTCAATTCCATCAATGCTTTACTATCTGAAACTGGTCATCCATTTCTGTCCTTGATCAGTGTCGATCCAAGGCTTTTACTAAAAGCCATCGATCAGAATCTTCAGCTACTTCAGGACTCTCATATTTCCCCTTACGACTATTTCAAGAACACAGTCGATTTGCCATGCTATTTCTCAGACCAGTCAAAAACACCCACCACTGGATTTCTGCCTAAAGATGCTATTGCTGCGGTTTCCGGATTATCTGACAACGCAGAACAATTTGAAGCTAATCAAGACCTGGAATGGGGCGCGGGAATGATTGAAGACGACGAAGACGAGGACGACGACAGTCTACGGGCTGGCTGCAATGGCAAGGTTCCCCTGATTGAGAACAGGCCGTCCACCGCGCGTCGGCTCTCGAACGTCAGTTCGAATTACTCTGATGACCATAGAGACAGAGATATTGAACATAATGGGAATATCCACTATGAAGAGAAAGATAACGTATCTACCGACTTATCAAAGTTTTTACAGGACAATGAAAGCGGATCGTTAGCTGATGTTAAAAGAATTATGAATATAGTATCGCTTACAGGACGCCTTTTGCACGCGCGAAACATTCCGTTTCGCTGGAGAACATTGGCTTCATGGGTGAGCCTTGCGGATGCATGGCCTTATAAAATAAGTTGGTTGATACTTTTAGCAGAGGACAACTCTCTTAATCTGAAGCCCGAATTGTCATTGAGAAAACTTTACAGTGTTGCGGGGGCGTTTATGCCGGTTCTTGGTGAGCCGGATATGTCCTTGGATGCGGATATTGTTTATTTCGAAACGTATTTATCAAATCGCCATCCACTTTTAACATTAGGGGATATGTGCATGTTTTTACCGTGCACTTTTCACATTGATCCGGCAATTAGGAAATCTATGGCAGAATACCTGCAAACTGTCAAAACTGGAAGTGTGACAAAGGCACAAATAGCTGGCTCAGTTGCAGAGAGTGTCACACAACATGTTACTTCTCCATCGAGCAGCCGAGTAAGTTTTTCATGCTTCTGAATACAACAATTTGTATTCCTGTCGCAGCCTTGAGATTTGCAACCATGAAAGCATCTTGTGTTCCAAGACTGTCCTTCAGATTGTAAATTTATTCTTCATAAATTTCATCACCCATGTAAAATTCTAGTCAATGTTTTACATTTTGGGAGTTCCTTTTCGTTTTCTTCAGTTTTTCAACTATCTTATGAACTAAGAATTATAACTATCTTTACGATTGTACCTATACTTTTTAAGGCTTTATGCTTTAGGACTTTATGTCCTTTCTTGTTATTGATTACTCATTTCTTGCTTTCGCTTCCCTTATTTCTAACATTTTCTTCCATAAATTTAAATGTAGTAATTTCTACAATGCTCTTTTTAAGTTTATGTGGAGAAGCGTCGGCGAAGATGCAATTTTAAGTCAGATGTCTTCTGATGACGTCATCAAGCAGGTTCGTTTTATTTCTTCTGCAAGGGAAAATTAGGCCAGTTATATGGTTTATTTACATTTTTGCAATTCAGTTAATAAGGAGACGCCATTCATGCATCAACGATAGAAAAGGTGCAAGGTATTAAAACAACACACTTGCGTTTTCGTAGCGACACAATTAAAGTTGTTTATAAATTCAAATTTGCTAATTATCTGAATGGCTTTGTATGCTTGCCATAGGCTTCCATAAACGTACTTTGTTTTCTAAGAATCAACCCTTTTCACAAGCTTTTTGACGGAATTTTGTTTCATTGAATGGAATCGCAATCGCAGGCGTCTCCGGCCTCTTGTGATCCTCCAAACAAAGTTTTTATCACAACTGAACTAGATTTTCTTCTGTGTGTAAGCTATTTTGTTTTCGAAACAGTGAACCATTCAGGTGAATTGATCAACAAAATGTTTTCCATTAAATTTTTATGCAATTATTAACTTGTTCAAGGGACACATTTTGTGATATTTGTTTTCGAATTTAAGATTGCAGAAATCGACGGCATTAACTGCGAAAGTATAGCCCTATACCAGATGCAATTGAAGGACCACAATATCAACGGAAAGGTGCTAGCAGCTTGTGATTTGAACGAGTTGAGGGATGCGATGCAAATGGCTTTTGGTGATTGGCAATTGTTCAAAGCGTGGATCTTGCAGGCCAGGACCCGGGAGCAATCTGTTTCTCCGAGGTAAAACCCTCTTCGCTGGTTTTATCTCGACTCTTCCTGTCTAAGGGCATCGTAGTCATTTCGTTATTGCCTCGTTTCCGAGACACCGAGCTGGTGCCTTGGTTAACTCATTAACAAAAGCTTCAGTAAGAGGATAATTGTGATTGTTCTAGCCATTAGAATCTGGAAGCCTTACCAGTAAGGCTTAAGCACAGTTTCAAAAAGTGGAGCAACTATCGAAATGGGGCTTTACAATACTGCTTATGATTCGCAAAATAAACTGTTGACAAAATCAAGGAATATTTGCAAATTATTCGGAATCCGAAATATTTAGTACTGTTGACGATTGTCATTTCGAGGGAATCTCCAGTTCCTTTGACCCAGGTGCCGTACAATCTGCAATTTTTATTGATATTTTCAAGATTAAATTTCAATAATCAACGGTTTCTCGGATTCAAAAGGATTCGTCAATCCTAATCACACTATCACTGGCGATTATAAATCTTTTAGCCTTTGCTTTGCAGATGCCATATCTACGCAACCTAGAATTTTGCACATAACATTTATTTTGCTTGCCATAAGTCCATTTACCTCTTTTCTTTTGTTTTTAGAGTTACCATGCCACCGTTGTCATTTCAATCCCATTCAAGAGCTGATTCGACTGTCGAAGAAAGCCGGACTGACTCTACCTCAGAAATTCCAAATTCACCAGGAACAAGTAGAGGTATGTGCTTACTATGGTATTTAGATAAGCAATATCGTTAGGGATTGGAAACTCTTTCTATCTAGGAATTTCACGAACAAAAATCCTTTATGGATGAAAATGAGACATTTGTAGGGCGTTTTCTTCGACCATTTTGCAACATCTGGAATTCTCGTGAAAAAGTTTTTCTTCGAAAGTTTGATATGTTGCTTTAAGATATTTGAATTCTGATTGTATCTGTGAAGCTTTTGAAGATAAAAATGTTTTTTCTGTCTAATTACCAGGTTGTAGAGGAGTTTCAAGTGGCTCTGAGCATGCGGCGGGAATGCCCCCCGATTATGATGAGACGAACATCGATGCAAAGAGACCCTCAAAGGGTCCATACGGGTCGCACACTGTCAGGCAGGTTTTGTCGCGCAATCAGAATACGCCTAGCAGACAAATCAAGCAAGACAGTATAGACTCAGAGAAATCTGGTAAATTCGTGAAAGGAACCATTGGCCTAGATGATCTTATGGACGGCAGAAAACCCGAAAATTTTAATTCTCATATTCGGTACTTGAACCATTTGCAAAGATCAGCTGATTCAGGGTTTGCGAGTACGGAAGTCGAAGCACAGCAACAGGCTCGTCTGAAGCCTTTGATGAGGCAAACTAGTGTACAGGAAAACAAGGAGTACGAAATTGAGATGGCGGAACTCTGCAGCTCAAAGACAGCAGCAAAAGTGAATTGAATTACAGAGATTTCAACGAGGAGAACGCTTCTTCTCACGTGCGAAAAACATACAGAGAAGATATGATGTTTAGGGATCCGATTCCAGAGATCAAGGTGCAGTCCAATTTTAGTCCTAAGGAAAGTGAGCAAGATGGTTTTTTACTCGAAGCTGTCAGTGCACCAGAGGATTTTAGGGACCAGCTTACGGAAGTTGTGACAACCATTGCCCAAAAGCATTGGGAGCAACAAGCTAAGTCAAAAGTATTTGCTAAGCAAGGCAATCAAAGGAGCGATAACCCCAGGGATGGCAATGAATTGTTGCAAAGTATCAAAATGGACCTTTCTTCAGCAACTCATAAGAACCAACACAGTCCTGGCTATCCTTCCCCTCTCGCACAACTAAGGAAAAGGGAGGCTCAGAAAGGAAAGACGTCAAAGACAGGAGAAAGAATGAGTACAGACTCTTTTTCTGATATTCCATTGCCCCCTGCATCTATGCTTAGCGAAAAACAAGCCAGCCAGTACTCAACACCCTCACCCCCATTACCTACACCTCCCCCTGAAATGCTAACAGATACTGAAGATACGTTTTCTTTTTCCTCGTTCGGTAATGTTCAACCCGAGGATCCTTATGAATCTAAAGCAAGAACATTTACTACGCAAAGTGGTGACACGAGTGCGGTACGAACCCGGAGTGAAATACCGGAGAGTGACGAAGTACCGATAGGACACGGAGCGAAACCGCGTAAACCGCAAATCTCAAGGATACCAGCAGTGACAGCTTCAAATTCACCCGTGAAACATTCAAATCCAGGGAGTGTTCAAACCAATATCGAAACCTCAATGCAAAGCAGATCAGTAAAAGTAAAACCCCCGGCTGTTAGTAAAAGACCCCCAAACGAACTTTATTCAGAGCAGCCAAATACGAAAGGTATTCAAGGGGCGAAGGAACACAGAACACACCCATATTCTCAATACTGATCGGGGGAAAAATACAATCGTTTTATAAACACCACAAGTTTATATGGCGCTTATCCGAATCTACAATATAATCGATTGAATTCGAAAAGCATTGCGGAATATCCATTCAGTTTTTGGAGGGAATCTCTTCGCTGAAGCTACAGTGTTCATGCTCTTGAACTGAATTGCACATTGATTTCAAATCCTCAATGGACGTTTTAAGGCTGTAAAAGGTCTTTCTAATCTCGAATATTAAGAATTTGCATAGAAATTCTTCTTCATTATGGAGACTTTGCATGTCTTTGCTTGACAATCAGACAAGGCTTTGCCATGTTATTCTAACTTATTTCAGTTAAGCAGCACAAATCGATGTTCAAAGATGCAATTTCCAGAAATATTTTGAAAATTTAGAATTCAAATGCTATACCAATTTATATACTTTTAAGTATGCCTCTCTTTTAGTTTTGACTTAATTTCCTAATCAGTAATTTTCATTCGTTCGTTCGTTCGATTTTGGCACAAAAACTAACAGAATTCTTAAAATTTTCTGGGCTTAGAACCTGACAAATCAGCTTATATCTAGTATTTTGTTTCTGGGGTCGTATTTTGTTGAATGGGAGACTCATTTATCACATATAATGTGTATCCTGTTGTGATTCAAGGAGTAATAGAAGCTCAAATAGGGAATTTTTAAATTTGAAAGTAGCTTCTCTTGGTATCCCAAAATTCTTTGCTCGTATTTGTTTCTTCGTCTATTGCAGTTTTTATTTGTAAATCCATTGACGTCACATCCTTGAAAATTCGTAGATATTGTGTATATACCACAGTGACAATATTGGTATAGAGAACAAGGCTGTGCGTATTTCCTTTCCGCCTTCTTCTTGCTTATTAGAGTCGCGAAGGGGATTTGAAATTTAAATTTGAAAACTGTGAAATCGCACCCACCCGATTGCTATGAAACGATAAAAAATATGGAAGTTGGCGAAAAAGCCAAAGCTACGTAAATGGAATTTAAATTAAATATCTGACTGCATTATTCTCAAAGCCTTCTTCAGGTTGATTTTCAGGTAAACTTGAAATAAAATTGCTAATGTCCTGTTTCCTGATAGGGTGGCAATTTTGGGACAAACGTTATTTAAAAAAGGAGGAAAGGGTATCTTTATTCTCCATAAATACCGAAAAAATACCATCAGCAGGTAGTAAAGACCGAAAAAATATGCATTTAAATAATTTACCTTAGAAATTAGAAGCATCTAGAAGCATTCAACCCCTTTAAGAAACCAACGCCTATAAAAATGTAACGAAATACTCCTCGTATTTTGAAAACTTGTTCAACTCAAATTATTTAGCGCTTAAGCCAACAAATTTGAAACATTAGGCCTGTTTTGTCAGCATCAAGATGGATTTTCATGGAGGGATGCAAATACTATGTTACTGAAACTATCATAAACCAACTAGCATTTAATGCTGAAATAGCAACTGAAATGCCAACTTGCCAAATGCCCAAAACCCAGATTACTTTGCATACTTGATCAAATTAGAAAGGCAAGTTTGCAACAAACGTCAAATTCACAGAGAAAAATGGTAATCTTTAGAAAAGAATGTTTTTCTTTTTAGATGCTCTCTTGAAATCAGGGAAGTTTTTGCTCCAAAAATTTGACCCAAAATTGACTGTGCTTTTGCTTTGTTCTCGTTCCACAAGTAGGTGAATGTTAAAACAAAAACTGGGAAGCTCACAAAAAGAAAACTCTATTTCAAAAATAATATGAAAAATGCTTACAAAAATCAAGAATATATATTATCAAAATTAAAGAGTTGCTTGTAATTGCAAAGTTCACTTTGAAGCTTTGAATGTTGCCATGGCAGCTTTAAGCATTGCTGTAAAATTTGGTGTACCATTGCCTGTCACTGGGTCCCATTGCTGGAAGGCACAAAACCCTTTGTCGTGAGCAAGACATCCCTCATTGCAGCCTGATGTGACATCATAAAGTGTAGCAGCATTTTTGTACAGGAATGGGTTGATAAAACCCATAACTGGTTTCTTGCCATTTAGTCTAGCGTCATTTAGAAGGCTTATGATCCCTGCAACTGTCGGAGTAGATGCAGAAGTTCCAGCAACTCCTGGCACAGGTACAAGATTGTTGACCACCCAGAAGTGGTTGGAAAGAGCTGAAATGTCAGGATATCCTCTACCACTTTTGTTATAATACTTCTCTGCTGGCAGATTCTCCATTTTGCTTAGATAAAAAGCTACTTTTTCACTTTGATATGAAGGCTGTGCAAAAACATTGCTAAATCCTCCACCACTTATCTCATAAGCATATTCCCCAGAAACTGTAAATGGGTTCTCCAGAGCAGTGCCACCAACAGCTGTTACATATGGGCTTGAGACAGGAAAATCTGGACTAAATTTGTTATCTTTGCAGGCTGCACCATCATCCCCACTTGCAAAAAGGATTGTCAGCCCACGAACACCAGCCTTCATGAACTCAACATTGATCCTTTGCATGTATGTCACAGACAAACTGCTTTCAACATCCCCATAACTGATACTGTGCACATAAGGAACCTCTGACATGTTCCCAATAGCAACCATCCAGGTCAAAAATGGTTCTTGTGTTTCATGGCGCCCTGCAGTACTCCAAAACCAAGTTGGTATGTTAGCTCCTGTGCTCATTATGTATTGTGTATCTAAACTTGCCTCAATTCCAGACCGCCCAGTGTCTGGGCCTACAACTTTTGCAATTTCATCCAGATGTTTGAACCCACTCCCAAACAGTCTCATAAATTCTTTCAGATCTCCTGCATTGTAATACTGCTCCAAGAACTGGGCAACAACTTGGCTGTTGTTTTTGTTGGACCCAACAGTGTCTGAGATGTTGTATCTTTCTCTCAATACAGCAGGGTATACACCAATATGAATCTCTGGGTTGGGAGCACCTGTCCCTCTTTGAATATGGTCCAGCTTTATTTTAAATTTGCTAGCATTGTCTTGGGCTTTGGGTTTAATCCAGTTGACAGCTGGAAATCTGTGCAGACCTGCAACGAAATCCAGGTGCTTTGCTATATATTGAGGAACATAGTACCTCGACAGGGAGCGAATGACTTTCTTTGTGTATTTACTGTGTTTGAAGTAGTAGAAAATAGAGCCGGTGAGAAGATTCTCCGCAGCATCACGGGACATTCTGCAAACCAGGAAATCAGAGTTTGTGGTTTTTTCGCAAGCCTTGATACCATTCTTCCAAAGCCATCGTTTTACCGTTGAAAAACTTCGATGCGAAGGTGAAATCAATTTGGTTATCTGGTCCACTGTCAAGTATTGTCCATAGGCCGGTGAATCTGGATCAGAGACTTCAAGCAACAGCTTTTCCAATTTGTCCGTGTTTCTTTGCTTAATCGCAAAAGTAAGCTCTATAATCTTATTTGCTTCAACACGATCAAGGACTTTCCAACCCTCACGTTGCCAGTAGGTCAGGCTCTGGTCTTCTTCGAGGCTGACGAGGTAAGGCTTGTTATAGGCCAAGCAAGGCATGAATATTGATGCAAGAATAAACTGCAAAATGCAAAGTGTCGCCATTTTGAGAGGCAGCTGTGTAACTTCCACGTCAAGCTATCAAGCTGCAAATGGCGTTGGTCAAGGGCCTTTTCTGTTTACCTGATATTTTACTCGTGACTTGATAAAATCGTTAATCACATGATTTCAACACAAAAGTAAATTTCCCGCCAAGCTATCACCAACTCGAGACTTCCAAATATCAGCTGATATTGTCACAGAACTGCCGTGGTCTGGTATGGTCGTGAGGTTGTAACTTCCGTGTCTATAGAATCAGATTAAGAATCAGATTCAGATTCGCGAGTAGGTTGAAGATAAGAAAAAGGGCCCAGTCGTCTCAAATATAACTGGCAACAGAATCTGAATCCTATTACAGATATCACCATATTAAAAGCTAGTATTTACAACAAAAACCAGTCCAATATCTTTTCTCATTTTTCTGGAAAAACGGGGTTTATACCGTCCGTTAGCTGCTCTGCGTGAAGGGGAAAACTGATATGCATTATTTTATCTTTCCTCTCATATGTTTATAAAAACTTTATGTTTATCTTTCCTCTCATATGTTTTGTTTCTTTTTAAAATTAATATTCTTGTTTGTTCTTGTACAAAATATTCTTGTTTGTCAGTTTAAATTTTGCTGATTTACGAAGATAATTGTCATTTATTTCACACGAAATATTGGCTGGCATTTGTCGTGGCAGGGGGGGGGGGTATTCTTAGCTTTTGTTTGTTTAGCCCTCTATACACTCTTTTTATAAGATTATTGTTTATAAGAATATTAGGGCTCAAATTATGCTTAGACTCATCTCGAATATTTGCGATGTTTCATCTATTCTTTTTATCAAAAAAAGATGGGAGTCAGAAGAGGGAGAAGGGTGATTGATTCAATTTAAACACTTGTTTTATGTACATTGTTTAGAAAGTCATTGACCATGATATCATGCACTTTCACTGAATAGAAATAAATCGCGAGGTTACATTAGGGTTTAAAATAAATATGATGTATAAGCAAGGGAGCATGAAAAGGCTGGACAAATCTTGAAAAGCTAATCATTTTTAAAAGACAAACATACTCACAAAATAGAAAAGATTTTTTTGTGTGTTTCTTTCATTTCTTTGCAAAAGGATACCAGATTGACCATTAATGGTACAATAAGGCACTGTGGCATTCCAAACGGGCCGTTTGGCCGTTGATTAGAGATGGCCAATGCACAGAGGCTCTTTTATGAGTGTTGGACCATAAATTCAGGAACTTTCTCCACTCGCCATTGCATCTACGTGATCGTTATGAGCGGCAGTACCGTGAATCCTCGAATTGCCCCCCCCCCCTCGAAAAAGCCCTCCCCTCGAGTAAGCCCCCACTCTAAAACTACAAACCAGGAGGCTAATTCGACGATTTACGGTATATCTCATTTTTCCAAAAAGCTTGGTTTCTGTTCAATGGGGCTATTCTCATCGAAAACCATCCAAAAACTTTTACAACATTTTTTTTCGTTTGACTATTTCCTTGTAATTACATAAAAACCTCTTTATCTACGTTTCCCTGAAATCAAAAATAACTTTAACAGTGCTATCATTAGTTCTAAAATGCAAAATTTTCTAAGTTAACTTTAAGAAAGTCATTCAAGGCATATTTGAATCACTAGCATTGGTGTCTAGGAGGGTAAATATTTTCTACATGCTGAAACTGTAGCTTAAATGTGTCGTCTTTCTCCAGACATGTGTCCTGAATTACCATTACATGATTCACGGACATCTAAACAACTCAGTATAAAAATTAGATATTTTATTGAGGAGATGTAACTAGCTAGAGCGCTCTTCGGTGACTTACTAGAATCTTCAATGCCTTTCTTTTACTCCCCCCAACTTTACGGGGCTCTCTGTGCCCTCGTGGACATACGAATTTTTCAATGGGCGAAAGAACTTGCAATACGAAACAGATTGAGAAATGGTAGCAGTAATGGAAGGTGTCTCTGCATTCATACATGCATGATAGAATTATTACCTAGCCCCATCCTGTTATAATTGCCTGTTTCAAACACATTCTAAAACCAAGTGCGTTCTACACATGGTTCTAAACATTGCAATTGTTAGGCCCATAAAAGACCTAAAAGGCATTATGTTGCAGTTCCGGATTAAGGCCAAATTAGGTCTGTTGCTTCAGCACAGAAAGGCCTATTACAGGGCTCGTTCCGATTCAAGAAAATTCCGGTCTGTTTTCATCCGGTCCTATATTAGAAATGGCTTGATGCCGTAGAATCAATAGCACCCATTTTAGCCCAGCCCGGTTCATTTACCTTTTTCGATGTTGAAAATGTTTCAGAGAGTCAAGACACTGATGAATCGCGCACTGTAATAAGAATCACGTAAATAAATACTAGATTACAAGTGGAGTGAGAGATCGATACACCCAGTTACGATATACTGCATCCAATACGACAAATTTGTTCAACAAATCTCGAAGAATATTACAATAAGCAATCATAAAAGTAAATATACAGACGAATTCTGACCATCAGGGACAGAAACAACTTTGTTGAGCATCTAGCTCACTGCAAATCACAAGGAAACTATGGAGTAAGCTATCTTCTTCGAGAATCTGGTTGGTCTATACAATATAACAGTGGTTTTCGAATTATTTTACAAACAAAGAGATCGTAAATTTACTCTTACTTTTCCATCTAACTGAAAATTGATCTTTTATCAACTACTATGAAACTATTTGCAGACTATTTGATTGACGATAAAACTACTTATCTAAAATATAAAAAATATAAAAACTCTTAAAACAAAATTAAACCCAAGCAATAAATGTTTTATACACTATTTGTTTTCATAACTCTTTATTGTACTGTGGTTTCGGACATTACACCAGCAAACAAATTAATGCAACCCTCAGACCCTTTTAGGGAAATGATCAGTAACACCATGAACAACCGTTGGTATTGCAGGTGAGTATCGTTACTTAGATGTAATTAAATTTCAAATAAATTTAATTCACCAATTTAAAAACTAATCTGACGGAATGTTTATGACTGCAAATTAAAACGGGATGAAAGATAATGCACGCAGCGAAGGCGGCGAAAGAATGAAATTTATTCTTTTTCCAACAGCATTCAGGTTAAAAAGAAATCAACCTATGGTTCACAGGAAATGAAGGGCCTAAATTTCTAAGATTCGAGCGTGCTAGAGTCAAATAAAATTTTTACATCTACTATGATTGGCATCAAATGATTGCTCATAAACCTTTTATCAAAACGTTGTTCATTTGTCATAGAAGACGCTGAACCACATGATAGATAGCCATAAATCAGCAGCATGTTGCATAGAAGGGATGCGCTTACCGTAGCATTGTATGTCTCTGCATCAGGCAGCCACTAAACCGCGATTTCTTGCTCAGAACTCCGATCGGACAAAGTGATTTTGTCACTTCGGCGACTTCCCCTGGAACTCCTTGATTTATGACTCCGCTCTGCAATATCCAACACAGATTCTGGTTTCGAATCCATGGGCGACGCTATGCTTGGCGTTTCCAGTGGAGAAACGGACGGCGACCTGGTAATTAGTGGGGTAATTGCTGGCGTAAAGTTAGGGGACAAAGGCCCCGATGTGTAGCTAGACTGCGCACTGAGCGGTGAGCGAGGCAAGGACGCAAACGAGGACAGCATACTAGTTCTGTTTGAAATGAAATTGGATTGATTTGCTTCGCGACCATAGTTCGGTTTTATACTGTCTGGTTTCGAATTTATACTTTCACTGTGACGTAATCCGGTTTTATGTGGAATGTTTTGAGGAGGGAGAGCAGCCGGTGTCTCCCCAGTTCCCCTATCATGCATGGCCGCGGTTCGTATCACTTGCATTTCCATAGGTTTGTTACCCAATGTTCGTGCTGGATTGACACGCCCTGCCAATGGCTGATGATTCAAGAGTGATGCGCGGTTAGGCAGTGACATTGTCTTCTCGCCACTCTCTCCCCTATTAACCCTTGCTATCTCAGAAAACACAGACGCAACCGGTTTGAACTGTGGACCCCAGTCTACAAGATAATCCCAGTTATAACTACCCCTCATTTCCTCATCACTGCCAATAATAGTGCTAAGCGACCCACCTCTAGAAGGCGCGCCTTCTTCCATAAAAGGCCTCGTTCCGTCCATCACTGCCTCGTTTTCATCCGCGTCGACTTCTGCCAGTTTTGTATACAACAGATTCCCGAATTCGATCCTTCCTGCAGCCTCGCCACCACCTTCGTCCTTGAAGTCATTCAAACTGTCATGACTATCGCTCTGTGTCGAATACTCTAAGCCAGGCCTAAGTTTGCGAGAGAGTGAGGAGTTAACTTCATTTCTACGACCAAAAGACGATCCAACCGATGATGCAACCTCGGCTGCATTCATGTAATGTATTTCAGAAGACGGTGCGATGTCGCTAATTGTAACGTCCGAGAGTCGATCGATGTCTCCCACAATGCCTGAGTCAAGAACTGGCTTATGATGACAAAAAAATGAATGAGTACTGCCATTGTCTGTAGCTGTGAAGGAGGCTCTACGACTCTCTCCCAACAGCTGGCTGCCTGATGAGCCATGGCCACTCGAGGCACAGAGAGATGGTTGCTTGAAAATGCTCGGATGAAAAGAATCAAAGTCATCGGGCTGCCGGAGCTCAGTTTCTGGCGCTTCAAATGGAATATCCGAGGGCACATTTGTATCTGCAGCTGCCTTGGTTTCAGTTACTTTTCCTGCATCGGTGTCAGGCCTGTGTCTCTGTCGCCACAAGAAGACTACAAAACAGAGTAGCAACAGAGCGAATATTGTTGTAAAAACGATCACTAAAATCAATGGAACTCCCTGCAAAGCGCCATCAGCAGCCTTGTTTTTGACAACGTACACAATGCATCCTGGGCAAGAATAATCAACTTCAATCTCCATGGGGACTGACTCTGCCAAGGTATTTGGTCCGTTGTCTGCTGTTATGTTGAAGACAAGCGTTTCTGAATCCGTCGACCTTCGTTTTCGGCGGCGTTGTTCCTTCTTTTTCCTCAGATCGGCATTCACAAATATTTCTCCAGTTTCCGAGCCAACTCTAAGCTTGTCAGTGTTGATCGAAAATCGAACTTTACTCCAAGATCCTCCATCTTTATCTGATGCTCGAACCTGCAATGACGAAAGTAATTGATGCTTGGCCTTTTCTTTTCAACTATATATCTTGTTTATTATTAGGATGATCATAATTTGATGCTGTGATGACAATCATGATCACCATTATATCTGGTGCATGATCATCTTTGATTCGCATTTGATGATAACCATGATTACAATTTGATTATCTGATGATCATAATTTGATGCTGTGATGACAATCATGATCACCATTACATCTGGTGCATGATCATCTTTGATTCGCATTTGATGATAACCATGATTACAATTTGATTATCTGATGATCACAATTTGATGCTGTGATGACAATCATGATCACCATTACATCTGGTGCATGATCATCTTTGATTCGCATTTGATGATAACCATGATTACAATTTGATTATCTGATGATCACTATTTGATTTGGTGATGAAGATCCCTTTCTCAATTAGCAGCAGCTTCAAATCGCTATATATTAACATTTTTAATAGAAACGAAGAGGAGGCACGTTTATAGAAACTCTCTTATTCTAAGCTTATCAAACTTGCTTTATTGAGACGGTTCTATATGAAGTGGTCTTCAATGCCACTATGTTCCGTCAGACAACCAATCAGTGTTAACAATACAGAAAGTACTCGCAGCTTAGAAACCGCTTTTTTAATTGAGGCCTAAGAAAGTCTGTTATTATCAGAAAGTCAAGCCTGATGACAGTACCCTCCATGGACATGTATTAAATATTACTGGTAGTAATGTATAATGCATAATCTACAGTATAATTTTCATATCAATACAATACACACACTACAACCATCCTATAACAACAGAAAACACTACTGTTTATACTTGACAATAAGGAACATTTAAATTTCAGGCCTAAAATCGTATTTTTTTTAAAATGAGCCCCTTTTGAAGAAGATGAGGCCCATTTCTTAAACGAGAGGGTTTTCTATATGCGGGTACTTGCTGTAGGCTCTGTTGAGGGTTGATGATTAAAAAACGTCAAGAACTATTCTTACGTTGCCGATTGAATACGTAACAATAGATCTATTGTAGTCTAACCAATGAACACAGTTCCTTTAAAATGGCAGGCATAAATGTGCTATCAGTAGATGGCAATCAATAAATTCTAATTCATAATTTAATAAAAAAAGTTTTAGCTTCAGGTTTACTTATCACAGCAACAAGAAAGGCATATTTTTCTTCTCTAAAACATTTCTGAATCAATAACGAAAGCCTCTTGGTTGCTTGGCAACCCTCCATCGAGTTTCTTATAAAACGTTTCTTAGATGTGCATTTAAGGATGTGCAAAATATCAGCATCAATCTTTTTATGTAACTGTTCAACGAAATTCACACATAAAAATACTCAGGGCAAAGGCATTTTTGCAAGAGGTTTGAGTAAAATATTCTCTATCAATCACCCATCTATTATTAGGGACAAAACCTCAATTTTGTATTTGTATTTGTTTCTACCTAGCATCCGAAGGTAGTTTATAGGACACTGAGAAGCTAATGCTTATCAATGTGAGTTATTCCTACGCCTGGAATTACAGAGAGCTGGCGACTCTCCTCAATCTGGGTGGTCATGCCAGGGACTCGAAACACGGACCCTTGGGTCTGTAGTTAGCGCCTCTAACAACTGAACCATCCTCGGGAATATGATTTGGTTCTCCCTACTGTTGCAGAAAACCTGTTTTTTCGATGCATAACAACAAAATTCCACTTGCCCATCTATAAAGACCTATATCTACACCCCTTGGTGTGAATGATGTGGATTCTTTTTTTAAGTATTCACCATAAAGAGATACAAGATAGCGAGACCATAGAGCTTGATTGCTCAGTTAAGTATGACCTCTACGCTGCTTCTACCAGTGGAAGTAAAAACTATTACAGTCTTGTGGTATATTACAGTACTGTACTGTATTGTGGTATATTACAGTACTGTACCAATACAGTACTGTATTGTGGTATATTACAGTACTGTACCAATACAGTACTGTATTGTGGTATATTACAGTACTGTACCAATACTGTACTGTATTGTGGTATATTTCAGTACTGTACCAATACAGTACTGTATTGTGGTATATTCTTGCAAAAACATAAAAAAGCTTAATTTACAGCCTTACCGTTCCAATCTTGGTTCCAGATTTTACACTGCCTTTAATGCTGAACCTGTAGCTCTTGTTAAAAAACTCAGGCCTAAATTCGTTGACATCCTGGACAGCAATGCGATACTCTTGCGTGCTACTTTGTGGTGGGGTACCGTGATCTACTGCCATAATTCGCAGGACATAAAATCTTTGTGTTTCATAATCGAGATTATTGCTTTTGGTTCGCACCCACCCTGTTTCATTGTTGATTGTAAAATAATTGCGACCATCGCCGTCAATTATCGAGTACGTAACCTATAGAAATAAAAACAAGTTGAATTCAAACTCACTCCAGTTGAAATGAGACAGTAAAATCTTCAACAATACATGTAATGCAAGACATGGTCTTTCACTCAAAGCAAGCGTTGGATAAGAAGCATTGATCTCTTTGAAAAGGAAAACTCAATAAATCAGTATAAGGGTATGTATTGTTACCACTAACTTGTTATCACTAATTTTATATCGTTTAACGATACTGGCAATTGTGACTTAACTGGGTTAAATCAACTCTGATACATACACAACGGAATTATATGCAAAATCTATTGATGTAGGGATAATAGGTTCACTGTAACTTTCGTAGACATCAATAGGCATTATGACTTTTGCGACATTATGCTGTCCCATACCCAAGTAGCGCGAACAAATGAGAAAAATTCTTTCACAACTCTCATTATTTATTGCTGAGACATTAATACTTTCTAGTGTGCCTCCTCTGAATTCAACTCTAAACTTTCTATAAGCTGTATATATGTTATGGTTAAGCTAATGACTAACGACATGAAATAACGTAAAAATTGCAAGGTGAAAACATGGGAAAGGTAAGACTAGATAGAATTTCGATAGGGTGAATGAACACATCAACTTAACCAAAGGCGTTGCCAAGGGGGTGCGGGGAGCACTGTACCCTCCAACACTTTTTCCGTCGGCACACAAAGAAATTTTGCCAGGCAAAAGAGGAAATTTTTTCTCAGCCTGTAACATTTTTGCAACAATTGTAACGTATTAACATTTCTGTAGTAGATTAACATTCAAAGTATGGCATTTAAGTATGAATATTGAAATAGAAACGCATAAAAGCAGCATATAAGTGTTTTTATCCTTTGATCACACCCTCAAAGAGTGAGACACGCCCTTTTTTGTCGGCCTTTGCTCCCTGAACTCAACAGAGTCTAAAAGCAACCTAAGTAGCTGAATAAAAATAGGGTAGAGATGAGTAAGCCCGCGCCTATAGAAACACCGTCCCATACACAAGAGAAAAGGGTTGACGCCGCAACCATGATGCAAGGGTGGTATTACAGGGCAATGACGTATTTGGCAAAGAGTGTGCCTACACTAATTATACAGGAAAAGGAAAATCCTAACAAATGAAAACCAATCTATTATTTTAATTAGAAAAAGTACAAATTTGCAGCACGTAAAAAATTCCATTCTAAATGATTCTTGGTTGAAACAAACGTTTACATTACAAATATAAATAAGTAAGTAATATCGGTACAAAATTTTTTAAAACAAATCGTTTTAAATACAGCAAAAAAATAAAGAAACAAATTTGTGAATGCGAAGGTAATGCAGAAGATAAATCTGATTTAGAATGTTCACATGCGGCTTCCCAAGACAATTTAGTGCTATAGGACACAGGTAAACAGTCTCTGAGTCTCTGAACTATAACACAAAGACAATTAAATAAACCAAGGTTACCTTGCCATTAGCTCCTTGATCCCGGTCCTCAGCCGTTGCTTTGAAAACTAACTTTCCGGCTTCAGATCTCTCCAAAACTTTCAGATTCTCAATATTTGGAATACTCAGCTCAGGCCGATTGTCATTGACATCCTCCAGCTTAATCACCACCGACGTATCCCCCGTCAAAGCTGGTTTTCCTGGGGGTAAAGAGCATGTGTTAGTTCGGCTCCCAATTTCTAATGAAAAACCTCCAATTTTTAACCAAAAATCAATCTTAAGTTATAAATTTGATTGGTTTTGACAGCTGAGTTAACTACGCTTAGTGACTGGAGATATGATGAAATAGCTCACAAAGAAGTGGTAATGGTGATGACCACGATGATTATTATTATGACCAATATACAAAATTCACAAACCTTTGTCCGTGGCTGTAACTGTCAATCGATGAACGGGTGTTGACTCTCTGTCCAGCAGTCGTATCAAAGTAATAACGCCATTCGAGTTGATTTCAAACCAGTTCAGCGAATTCCCACTTGTTATTGCATACTTTCCGATAATTCCATTTCCAATGGCTGGGTCAGGCTCATCCCTGTCCGTTGCGTTCACCCTTACCAAAACAGTATTTTGTGTGATGTTTTCCAGAACAGTCACAAGATATTCCTTCTTTTCGAAAACGGGACTATTATCGTTGGCATCAACCAAAATAACAGTTACTGTCGTTTCAGCATATTGTGGTGGCGTACCTCTATCCGTTGCGCGAATAGTCAATGAGTAACTGCTGATGTTTTCACGATCAAGAAGTGCTGCCAATTGTATTTTGCCGTACAAAGGATCTATGAAAAAGCGCCTTTCCTCATTTCCCCCTCGAATGCTATATTCAACCTGCATTCCAGGTAGATTCGATTCGTCCGTTACTTTCACTGTTTCGATTAAGGCTCCGATTGGCACATTTTCAAAAATTCGCTTCCTTTTCGGGTAAATTTTACTGTCAAACTTAGGGCCTGCATAATTTGGGTCCTTGACACGTAAGTGGATTCTTGTTTGTGATTGCAAAGGCGGCCTACCTCCATCAAGTGCAAAGACTAGCAACTCGTAAGGAGGATTTCGTGGATTCAAAACAATTCTTTTCGTGGCAGTGATGACACCTGTGTTCTGGTTGATGAGAAAAGCGTCAATGGGAGGGTAAGGGATACTGTATCGAATTTGTCCGAAAATGCCGCTGTCCTTGTCGGTTGCATTTAGTCTGACGATCACGTGGTTTACAGGCACAATTTCAGGTAAGTAGACGTCGTATCCTGGCTTGCTAAACAAAGGCGCATTGTCATTTGTATCAACTACATCGATAATCAGTGTCATGTTTGATTTGTACTTTCCATCGCTGGCTTCAACTCCAACTTTAAATTGCCTCCTTTCTTCATAGTCTAGCTTTCGAAGCAACTTGACTGCACCCTTTGTGGGGTCGATATAAAAGTACCGTTCAGTGACACCGTTACTTCTCAAGTTGTATGTGATTGCCTTCTTAGAGCTTTCATCCAGATCTATGGCTTCCACAATGCAAATTAAGGCTCCAGAACTGGCATCTTCTGATATCTTCTGAGGTCCAAAGCTTACAAAAACAGGGGGGTTGTCATTCACATCTACAACATTGACAGTGAAGCGTGTAGTCGTGTACTTTGGTGGAGTTCCCCCGTCTTTGGCTTTTAATTCCAGTTTATAAACTCTTTTCTGTTCATAATCTAAGTTTTTCTTCAACACCAGTATACCGAGATGCATATCAAAAACGCCTTCCTCATTGCCTGCAGAAATACTTATTGTTTCTATCTCTCCGTTTCTACCCGAGTCAGCATCACGAGCTGTGAACTGTTTAACAAGCGCATCAACTTGACTGTCACCAGGTAGAGCCTCTGGGAATCTCACAACGTGATTTCTTTGGTCAATAACTGGAGCATTGTCATTAACGTCTGTAAGATTTACTCTAAGTTTCTCATAAGTACTCAGTGTGTCGTTATCATTGATTGATGCGCGAATGACAACTTCAAATGATTTTGTCTTTTCATAATCAAGTTGAGCAGGGCTGTTAACTGAAACAACTCCAGTGACTTTGTCAATTTTAAATGGCAGTTTGGCTCCAGAACTCTGCGCACTGCTTTCGATTGTATAAGTAATACGAGATGAAGAGCTTCTGGCAACCATCTTTGCAACATAAGAATTCTCCCCAAGATTTTCTGGTATTCTCACAGAAGCTGATCTGTTCAAGAAAATTGGCATTAGCAAACTGTAACTTCCAACATTGACAATAAGTGTTGTTGTACTACTCTGCTGAGGTGATCCCAAATCATAGGCTTCGACCCTCAACTTATATCTACCAACAGCTGGATTGTAGAACGTCACTTTGCCTGTTATACTGTCTATACTGAACACGCTGTTACTTGGTACGAATTTGTAACGAACCATACCATTTTGGCCACTATCGATATCAGTTGCTCTAACGCCAATGGAGTCAGTGCTATTACCTTCGAAAATTGGCGATGTGAAGATAGGCGCGTTGTCGTTGTAGTCACTGATATGTATTACAAGGGTTGTTGCATTTGTTCGCTTTCCATATGGTGCCATATCAGTTGCGTTCACTTCAAACTGATACTTTTTAGTCTGTTCATAATCAAGGACGCCGTTGACATAAACATCACCTGTATGAGGGTTAACTTCAAAAGGGACTGATGTTTTATTTCTAATGATAGAGTAGACAATTTGCCCATTAGAGCCAGCGTCATCATCGTGTGCTTGGATGCGCAATACAGTTGTGTTCAGTGCTGTATTTTCCGAAATTGTTGTAGAATACAATCTCTTTGTGAATATTGGATTGTTGTCATTTAAATCGCGAACAAATATAGTTGCTGTTTGTTGCACTGAATGATAAGGGGCAGCAGTATTACTTGCTTGAATTTTGATTTCATACACAGATTTCACCTCTCTGTCTAAGGCCTCTGCAGTCGATAAGACTCCAGAAAGTGCATCCACACTGAACTTGCTTTTGTCACCTTCAATAATCCGATAGTGAATGTTGTCGTTAGGCTTTGCATCACAGTCACTAGCAACAAATCGGTGTGCAACTGTCTCAGAATTTTCAAACACGGTGAAGTTGATTGAAGTTCCATCAATAAACACAGGAGGACAGTCATTAATATCATTGACATCAATCACAACATTTGCTGTGTCTGAGTGAAATGGCCAGACAATATTATCTGCTGAAATGCTCAGCTTGTAAAGTGACCACTGTTCTCTATCGATTTCAGCTTTCGTTGAAATCCACCCAGTTTCGCTATTGATTTCAAAATGGGAATTCGCTTCCAACCGGTAGATAATCTTTGCATTACTGCCTGCATCCATGTCAGTTGCTCTGACCTGCAGAACTCTTGTACCAACCGGCCTTCCTTCTGTAACGTTTCCAACAAAATTCCTCTGTGAAAATATAGGACCATTGTTATTGACATCAATAATCTCGACATTTAAGATTTGTGTACTTGAAAGACTAGGATTTCCTTTATCCGATGCTACGATGGTTAATGAATAAAGTGACTGCTCGTTGAAAGAAAGCTTTTTGGTCAACAGAATCTCTCCAGTATTTGCTTGAATTCTGAACTTCCCTCTCTCATTTCCTTTTACCAAAGCATATGTTATCTCTGCATTGCTTCCTAGGTCTTCATCACTAGCAACGACTCTTTGTACTGGATATCCTATTCTCTCATCTTCCATCATGTAAGTATAGTTCCTTGATAAAAACTTTGGTGCATTGTCATTCAGATCAAAAATTATCAATTTCATGGTTGCTGTTGTGGAATGTCTTGCACTTACATTGACAGCCATGTCTTGGGCTTTGATTATCAGTGTCCACTGTGGAACTTTTTCTCGGTCTAGGAGTTTTGTGTTTGTGATTGTACCATCAAATGGGTTAATGTCAAATGAAGGTTCACCAGGGCCTTGAGAGACAATTGAGTAAAAAAGCTGTCCATTGCTTTCATAATCATTATCTGTTGCAACTGCTTGAAACAAAAATCCTTTTGGTGGTGTGTTCTCTTTCTGACCACTAACCATGGGATTACTGAGAAAGATTGGCCACTCACGATTTTCATCAATCACAAAAATGCAAAGATACATCATATCTGTTCTTGTACCCCCATCCTCTGCTGCTTGGATTTTTAAAAGAAAGCTTTTTGTTACTTCATAGGATAATAAAGATACCAGTTTAATCTCACCACTTTTACTATCAATCTGAAAGTATCCTGCAGAATCCCCCTCCAAAATTTCAAAGTTCCATCCACTGCCAGACACTACTCTAGCAACAAAAACAGTTGTGTTAGGCCTTGTACTTTCAGGGAGTAGCAAAGTTTTGTTGTAATTTTGAAACACAGTACTCTGTCCTCTTCCAGGCAGTAGAAAGACAATCACTGTTTGAATGTTTGCCATTTTTGGCACTCCTTTATCCATGGCAACAACTGAAAAATTATACATATAATTAGCAGCTGATGCCAGGCCTTGATTTGTACTGACCCAGCCAGTTGTTTCATGAACTTTAAAAAGGTTCTTTGCTTCATCGTTTAACCCATATAAGGAGTAAGTTATCTCAGATGATAAACCATGATCTTTATCTGAAGCCTGAACATGTAGGATATTTGTATTTCTAGCAATGCTTCGTAAAATGCTTAAAATATATGGACCCTTTTCCTTGAATTCTGGTGCATTGTCATTAACATCACAAATACTTATTTTGACTTCAACAAGTGAGGACTTGCTTGGGCTTCCACCATCTGTTGCATTTACAATAAGATTATACAGTTCTTGTGAATTTTCACGATCAAATTTTATTTTTGTTTTTATCATTCCACTGACAGGATCAATTTCAAAATACTGACTATTTGGTTGTAATTTATAAGAAACAAGGCCATTGCTTCCCTCATCTTTATCAACAGCTGTGACTGATTGAACTGCTGTTCCTGGTGGCTGCTCTTCACAGACAGAAAATTGTAAGCTTGTCACACCAAACACAGGTCGATTATCATTTATATCAGTTACAATTATAGTCAAACTCACCCGACTTCTGTGTTGAGGATAACCGTTATCTTTAGCAATAACAACAAAAGCATAGTCCGTTGTTACCTCTCTGTCAAGTTTTTTAGCTACTTGTACCCTGCCATCATTTGATAATAAAAACATATCAGAATGAACTGACTTCTTGAACATCAGAGTGAATTGACCATTCACACCAGAATCAGCATCAGTGACATTGAATTTAAAAAAGGTATATCCAACTGCCGCATCCTCTGAAACACTTGCAAAGTAAGATGAAAGTCTAAAACTCGGAGGATTGTCATTTATATCAACAATTAAGATTTTCAAATGCAATGTTCCGTTCCTTTTTGGGCTTCCATTGTCTTCCGCAATAATGACAACATTCAATTCTTTTAGCACCTCATAATCAATTAAACTTTTTGTAGAAAGAACGCCTGTCTGTTCATCCAAATCTAAATGCCTCGAAGGATCCTTAAGAGAATATGAAATTTTGGCATTTTCACCAGCATCTAGGTCTACAGCTTTTGCTGCAGTAAACTGGTATCCTAGTGGAACTCCTTCATTCAATTGAATAGTTAGTGAACTGACGTTAAAAAGTGGCTGATTATCATTAACATCCGCAATGTAAATAGTCATATTTGTGATGGCTGTTAGATTTGTTCCAAATACTGTTACTCTGACAATTGAGGTAAAAATTTTGTCCTTTTCAAAATCAATAACTTTTCTACTATGAACACCACCTGTATAATTCACTGAAAATGATGATGCAACTTCTTGGGACAAGATCTGAAAATCCAAAGACTCACCTACAGATGCACCATCCATTTTGGCAACAAGATGTCCCACAAAGGATCCAACAGTTTGATTTTCAGCAAATGTAAATGTATAGTGTTGCGACTCAAATTTTGGTTGCTTTTTAACAGCTGGTAAAATGTTCACAATAACATATGCTCTGTTCTTTCCTGGTAGCCCCTTGGCATCTCTACATGATACTGATAAACGATAAATGCTTTGAGCCATGTGATTTAAGCGGGCTGATAACAATAAGTCTCCAGTTCTATTATCAATTGTAAACATTCTGCAAGGATTACAACTATGCAGCTCATACACAATATCTGCATTTGTACCAGAGTCATCATCTCTTGCAACTATAGAAGCAATTCGCCTTCCTGTTGGAGTATTTTCATTTATTGAAATGTTAAAGGAATGTTTAGGAAAATAAGGATTGTTATCATTAATATCAATGACTTTAACATTCACAGTAGAAGTACTATGAAGCCCTCCAACATCTGTAGCTACAACATCAAAAACTTGAGTTGCCTGTTGTTCTCTGTCAAAAACATGGCTTGTTGTTATATTTCCTGTGACTGAATCAATCTTAAAATAACTTGTGCCAAGGGTAGAATATCGTATTGGTAAGAAAAGTTCAGTGTCAGCATCTGTTGCGGAAACAGAACCAACAAATTGCTGCGAGGTTCTATTTTCTACAACAGAAAATGTGTAACTTGATTGTGAAAAGGCTGGAGGATTATCATTTGCATCAAGAATTGTAAAAGCAATCGAAATATTTGCATCTTTATGGGGTGTGCCATTATCTGCTGCATTAACAAGTAAAGAAACACTGCTATTCTTTTCTCTGTCAACTAAGTTGGTAGTGTAGATGTTCCCAAGCTCTTTGTCAATTCTAAACCAACTGGAATACACAGTGTTGTTTATAATGCTGTATGAAATTTTAGAGTTAGAGCCCAAGTCCTTGTCTGTAGCTGTTACTCTGAAAATTGACTGGCTGTGAGACACTGACTCATTTACTTGTGTTGAATAAGGTGTATTCTGGAAAACTGGTGAGTTATCGTTTTCATCTCCAATATTAATATAGAATGTTTTTTGTGATCGCTGACTAGGTGTTCCATTATCACTTGCATTGACTATTATTGATATCTGAGAATTTTGTTCTCTGTCAATTGTACCAATTACAGAGAGCAGAAAACTTTTTTGCGAAGAAGGATTTTTTATTAATGAAAAGTATTGTTGTCCCCTCATCAATCCAACATTGCACTCAGCATTTTTTCCAGAATCAACATCAGACACTGAAATTAGTGCAACATTTGTGCCAACAGCAGCACCTTCTTGTACCTGGTAACTCCCCTCTTTAAAATATGTAATCTTGAGTGTTGGAGCATTATCATTGGCATCAACAATATAAATTTTTACATGGGCAATACTACTTTTCGAATTCACACCTCCATTGTCTTTTGCTTTGACAATAATTTGGTATTCTTTGGCATGTTCATAGTCAAATTTGGCATTGCTCACTAAAACTCCTTTTTGCCTGGTACTGAAGGAAAAGAGACTTTGTGGATCTGAATTTGCTTCAATTGAATAAGTTATTTCAGCATTTGACCCTTCATCAATATCTGTTGCACTTACTCTGACAATTGATGTCCCAATGTCAGAATTTTCAGTAATATTACCACTGTACCTTGTTGGGTTGAAAACAGGGGCATTATCATTGACATCTTGCAGCTCAACCTTGACAATACAAAAACCACAGCGTTTTGGCAACCCATGATCACATGAAGATAAGTTCAAGCTGTAAATGTTTACTGTTTCTCTATCTAACGTTTTATTCACAACAATATCTAGTGAATTTGTGCTGGCAACATAACGTATATCAAAACTAGACCCAACATTCCCTGATACTATACCATAAACAAGGCTTCCATTTTGTCCAAAATCTCTGTCTACAGCAGGGGTCAGTGACAGTTTATGTCCAACTGGGGTTGATTCCAATATATTTAAACTTACTTTGTTATTACTGAAAGCTGGAGTATGGTCATTTATGTCTTTCACGAGAACATTTGCTCTTATCAATCCGTTTCCTGGTAGGTATAAAATCAACAAGTTAAAGTGAGTTGATGCTTCCCTGTCTATCTTTTCAGTGGTTTTAATTACCCCATCACTAGACACGTTGAATTTTGAATTAAAGTTCACCAAAGAAAATGAAGATCCGGGATGAACTTTGCCAACAAACTGACCAGGCGGTTGTTCCTCTGTAACGGTAAAATTGAACACTTGAGAGGCAGCACAGCGTGAAAACACTGTTAGTATGGCAAACAACAAACTTAAAAAGACGGGAAGCCAAGATTGCCACAGCATCTCGTATCCTGTTGTTTTCTGATACATACATCTATCAATACAAAACTTCCATTTTATAAGGACTATTGAGTGTCCTGGCAGGGCCACGACCAAGGAATACCGAACTCTGGACAACAAAAAACGGCGTAAATCGCTCAAAGACAATCGCAGAACTCCGTACCGTAATAAAACGAAAACATTTCTCAACAATATGATGCCAATGACTCCTTATCAAATTGATATAAGCGAGATTTGTACGAAATTCCAACGATTTGTTTGCTGCACGTTCAGACCGAAGAGTCATAATCCTCAAACATGTCAATCACCCAGTGAGACCTTTGCAAAAGCTCCTTCGCTTCTGCATTAACTTGGCTGCGTAGCCAAAAACTAATTTAGGGCAGGGTCACCCTCAAAATGATAAATCCTGCATGTATGGATCTACTCAGAATGATCATCAAATATACTTAACGACCATTTTCGCATGCGGAGCAGCCTCATTTAAAAAGATCAATTAGATTCATGAGTAAAATAGTCAATTTCGTACATAACACCCAAGTGCAGTTTTTTCAGACCGACCTCATTTCTCAATAGTATTCTTAAATAGAATGACAGAAATATAATTTGCAAGTTTCAAAATATTGAGAAATGTTCATTTTAGGCAAAGTTTTGTAAAAATTATTTTACAGTTTATTATCGTAGAAATATTTCATAAATATTAGATTAAGATACGTATTGATACGCATTACTAAAATATTCGCTACAACTTTATATAACTTCCACTTCCCTTTTATATAAAAACTAGTAAATTGAGGTTAAGATTTGGTGCTGCTGGTTTTTTCAAAACTTTGGAACTTGCAGATAAATGTCTTTTGGAATGACGTCCCTTACATTGTTCTTAACAACGCTTTGACGACAGAGCACACCAATAATTTAAAAGGATTCACAATAAGCAATTATTTAAAGAAAACCTGTTCAAAAGTATTTTAAATGCCATGGTTTCAGTTTCTTTATTATTTTTGAACAATTTTGCGGCTTATGTTTTGATGAAAATTCTCTTTAAAAAAGAGTATAGTTACTTTGATCGGTGCATGTAGAAATCATTCTACGCCCAGAGGGGACTCTCTATAGTAAGTGACGTGGACATCTTTTCTTTTTGAAAACCTAAAAATATACCAATGCACAAAAATACCGTACCCAAAGGTATATTAGGCACCCTTTCTAATTTGCAAATTGTCTCTAGCCCCCTTTTCACTTATCAACGGGCTGGGTCTGACATTGACCTTTCCTATTACTACAAGAATTCAGCATTATAAACACTTAGAAAAATGTTTGATTGTACAAAGTTTCGTCGTTATTTCTCTATATCATTTAATTAAAAAACAATCCGATGTTTTTTCGGATGTACTAAAGACATTGAATAGGGGAGTACATCGTCGATTGAAAACGGCCTCCTATGAATATCCCCATGAGCTCTCGCGGAAAAGAAATATAAAGGGTTTTGCCGACACCATTAGCAAAATGACGTCATGGTATATCGAGAAGTAAACAGGACGCGTAATAGGTGTTGCGGCGGATGCAATCATAGCCAAACGACAAGGCGGTTGCCATAGCCTTCACCCAAAGACAATTAATCAACAAAATCGTCCTTTACCAAAGAAACTCCTTTAAGTACCTTAAAAGATAAATTCGTAGTCGTCGTTGAACATGAAAGCCTACTTTTTCGCGGCATAATATGAGATTAATTTTGAAATTGAAATCCAAAGTGACTCAACGATGTTACGCCGGACAGAGACGAAGCCAAACAATTTTTTTGGATGGGTAAAGAAGTAGTTTTTGCCGACAAAAAAGGGCGTGTCTCACCCTTTGAGGGTGTGATCAAAAGATAAAAACACTTATATGCTGCTTTTATGAGTTTCTGTTTCAAAGTTGATACTTCAGTGCCATACTTGGAAAGTTAAACTACAACAGAAATGTTAATACGTTACAATTGTTGCAAACAAGTTATAGGAAGAATACAAAAACTGCTTTTTTTGCCCGACAAAAATCCTTAATATAGAAACATCAATGTTTTTGCTTAGCTAAACTGATTTTGCAAAGTATTTTTCTATTAAGTCTAAATTTCCAGAAAACATTTTGCAACTAGGCTTTTCTATTATTTTAGTTACCTCTATTTCGTATCAAAATTGACTTTGCATATCAATTGGCCCATTTGTTTTATTCATCTATCAGTTCTATTGTGGTTCTTAGGTAATTATGGGCTTTGAAATACATTCAATAAATTGATCATAAGACTATTTGTGGAAAGATGACCACAAAGCTCTCATTCAGTTTCATGTGATTTATTGTTTCATTTACAAATTTTAGCCTATCTCTTAACTTTAAATTTAACAAATATATTTAAGCCTCCAAATTGAAGAGAAGTAGGAGAACAACACAATTTTTGGTCTAAGTTCACTTTATCAACTTTACTGAACTTATGTTTTTGAATGAACTCTGTATAAAGAAATTATCAACAAACGAAAACAGGGTCACATATAAGACAGAAAGGTCATTTCATGGTGTAACAAGATAATTGCTAAAAACAAGATAAAAGCTCATTCCAAAGGTTCATCAAAATTTTTTCATAAGCTACAAGCCTTAAAATTTTTGTCCAAAAGGAACTCATCAATTCAAAAAATTGGGCATGGTAGAATGTGGCCACATCCACATTTTTCGAAATTTGAGGCAAGGGTATGACCACTGCTATTTGGCTAGCTACGCCACTGCGTGGAATGCGAACCTCAACGGCAAGAATCTTTTCTGGACATCGATAGCGGGATCTTTAATACTATTTCCTATTTTTCTTTCTCCTTTCTGTTTACTCCTTTCTTTCACTGTTGAACTTAACCCTTTATTGTCCACAAGATGCTAGAATAGGACGATTATTAAAATTTCTTTGCAACGAATTCTACCCTTGACGAGGGGATGATGGGCAACAAGATTCGTTACATTCAGTTTTCGGTGGAAAGGGTTGTTTATAGAAATACCAGTATTAACACAAGGCTGAGATTTCAGGATAATAGGTACAACATAAAAAGACAAATACGAGCTCAATCGATTTACAAAATGAAAAAATAATTAGTAACTATAACAAATGCTTGATCTCTTTCGTCTATCTAGAGGTGATGATGAATGCCAATGTAGGGTTTGGGTATAGGTAGGGGTGTTGGGCAGGTAGAGGTGATGTCTAGATAGAGGTGTTGCCTAGGTAGAGGCGGTGTCTAGACAGCAGTCATACCTAGGTAAAGGTGATGCTTAGGTAGAGGTGAGAGGTGATGGGGATGTCTAGATAGAGATGATTGGGGATGCCTAGCTAGTGGGGATGTCTAGGTAGCGGTTATGTCTATGTAGAGGTCATGTCTAGGTAAAGGCGATGCCTAGGCAGATGTGATACCTTGCAAGAGACGACCTCTAAGTAGAGGCCATGCCTACGAACGAGTGATGTCGAGGTAAGATCTGGGTGCGTATTGACTAAGTCAATTGCAAACGATACATCATGGGAAAACATCAATGAAGACAAACGGTCATTTTTACAAAATTCTAATAATGTCAAAATCATTATTAGTAGTTAAATAATCATGCTCTTTACCCTTAAGTTATACAAAAATTTACACCAGACTATGATTAAATTAAAACGGGTTGATATGAAGTCCAGATCCGAGAGGTGAAAAACTATTGACTCTAGCCCACATAAGAGCCTCGTTGTATGGAAGCGCGGAAAAACCATCCTCCAAGAAGAACACGTGACCCTATGTGAAGGAAATGAAATCAAATACGATAATATGACAGTGAAAAACGAAATAGAACATAACAAATGACATGACCGTAGAAATGTTCCTTCTAAAAATGTAATCAACAGCAAGTAGTGCAGTGGAAATAAAAAGAAATCAAAACGAAACATCTTAAAAAGCGGTACAAACTGAAAGAACAGTCTGGGTTCTTGGCCTAAAACGTTGACAAAAAAGTCAAGTGGAATAGGACTTTGATCGGCGAAAGAGAGCAGAGCTAACAAAGAAAACGTAAGATTATTGAGTTGGTTTTAGAATTAGGTGACCTAGAGAAACTAACAGGCAACTGGATGCCGCACATTGTATAGAAGAATGACCTTCTAACTCCAAGATATCAGGTGACCTAGCCCGGTGCTGCGATCCAAATTATCTTCTTCCTTCGAGGCAAAACCTCGTGGCAACAACTCAATTGTGACAACCTCATTGCACCAACTTAATCTTCAAAGGTGCCATATCAACATAATATCAAAACTTGAAAATGCTGGCGATCGAGTAAGACTTACAAGCCCGTACAGCAGAAAAAGATAGATACAATCTCAGACAAAAATCTAATTAACTCAGCCAATTTAGTACTAGATGTTTAGATGATTCGCGGCCTCGACATATTTATCCCACGGGAATCCCAGGGCTTTTGATCTCAAAGTTTCCGTAATCGAGCTCAAGAAATGGTGAAGAAGCGCTCCACAAATATGAATGCTTATTCAAATAATTTAAAATGTTTGAGAACTCTGAGAATAAATCAAGATTTACACGAATTAAGTGTAAATACAGAAGATCAGGGTTACAAATAAGTGAGACAGGTTGCGACGTGAAAACGGAGAACAGGACTGACGGTACTCTTATTGATAAAAATGGAATTTTGTCTTATATCTTCAATCTTAAAATTGCTAACTAAAGAACGAAAGTAAGATTAATGTAAAGAATATAAGAAAATTGATGGAAAAACGGAAATAGGAATCTAAAATCTGTAAAAAAAGTGTCGCTGCTTGACAATAGGTTATTTGTGTCTAGTCTGCTGCACTGACATTGGCAGAATACGCAATGTTTACTTGAAAAAGAAAAATGAAAAAAAGAGTAATGGAATTGCACACTGTCAAGTACCATACCATGATTTTTCTTTTTGTGAACATGGAGAGATGAGCTTCAGAATGACTTGGGAAATGCGACCCTGCCACCATATACTCGCCACAGTCGTATTGGTTCGGTTCTTCGCCTGTTGATGGAAAAAATCATAAGATTTACGCAGCGTTATCAAGAAATGTTTGAAGGTCATATGAAACGAAATTTTTTATTGGCCATTTTACGCAATTTGATGGCGCTGATTGCGAAAATCTTGGTTAAATTTTCGAAAGATACATGTAAGACACCAAAATTTCAACTTTAAAACTCAATTTTGGAGACCAAAAGTGAAACCGGGGTCTGGGACGAGAAGATAGGAAGTGACGTAATAGGTTTGACATGTTCTTGGCCTTGAAGCCGTAGTAAACATAAACATTAAGCAACTGCAGAGGAGACGTATGGTAATGTTGATTTGGATCAGTCTTCGAATGAATTAAATGAGTGAGGGAGCATTGGCTGAATTTGGTGGCCTTTCTAGCTTTACTAGCACAGAACACCGGTATCCTCCGAAGAAGAATCATTAATCCTCGTCGAACGATGTGAGGGAGAGGACTAGGACCATCCTGGGCACAGAATACTTTTTCTCTTCTGTGTCCTGGGAATGAAGATTGCATTTGATCAACACAGCTTGGAGTTTGGTTTGAGAGACATATTGCCTTGAATCAAAGGTAAACTAATTCTTTATTTTTCCATTATCTTTACAATTTATAGTATTTCAAGGCAGAAGCTTTCACAGACACGAGCCTGGCCTACTGGCCTAAAGCAAACGGGAGACTAGCCTGATAAACAGACCTTACTGTGTGTAAGCATTCACTAGATTGGCGAACTCTATTTCATTAAATTGGTGGAAAAAGGGAAAGACTGAATCGTGATTATATTTTTCTATCACAGGTGCTCGTGTACAAAGTGCTCAACATAATCGCTTATCAGACAAGGAAGTACTGCTGAAGCCGAGAAATAAACGAGACGTAGGACACACTCACATCTGATGGTTTAACAAACAGGCATGAATAACGGTGTAACAGAATAAAACCCCTTCAAGGATCTTGTCCACAAAGAAGTTCTCCTCCTTGCCGGCTCATATTTCAAGGACAAAACTCAAAGGCAGTACGAACTGCTCCCACTTGTGGAATAAAATCAACACTTGCTGTTGAATCAGGAAGTGTTGTCACAAGGAACTGAACGAACATCGAGCATTTCCCCAGGGCCGCCGAAAGCAAGGCCGGGCCCAGCTCAATGCTTGGAATCCTACCTAAAATGTATTTGATATGAACTTGAAATGCATATAATTTTTTTATGTACTTGAGATTGATATTCCTAAAGCCTTTTTTAAATTTTCTCAATTCAAATTACCACGTCATAACCACAATTTGATTATCCTTACAAAATAATTTTGCTGCACAATGAGCATATAGTTTTCTAGAACAATCTTGTTTTACGTACTTTTGCAAAGTTCCATGACTGATTTATGGGAAAACCCTTTAAATTCCTTGGACTTCCTTGTGTTTTGCGACTGATTTTTGAAAAAAAATCCTTAAAGCCCTGGGAACAAGTACCCTCGTCTAAAAATAGCTCAAGGGGTACTTGACAGTTGGGGGCAGTATCCCATCTTCAGCGATCAAGTAATGTACTTGCAGCACGATTCTTGCTTTAATTGTGTTTTGAAACTAATTTTTGGGAAAAAATCCTCAAAAGCCTGGAATCGAGTACCCCAGTCTAAAAATAGCACAAGGGGTAATTTGCCACCTTGGGTCTGCATACTGTCTTTTTCCGCTTATCAAACTATGTACTTTCAGAGAGTTTCATGCTTTTATCACGATCTTCAACTGATTTATGGAAGAACCCCTTTAGAGGCCTGGAATCGAGTACCCCAGTCTAAAAATAGCACAAGGGATAATTTGCCAACTGGGTTCCGCATCCTATCTTTTTCAGCGTATCAAACTATGTATTTTCACAAAGTTTCATGTTTTTATCGCGATCTTCAACTGATTTATGGAAAAACCCCTTCAAAGGCCTGGAATCGAGTACCCCAGTCTAAAAATAGCACAAGGGGGCATTTGCCAGATAAGATATGCATCCTATCTTTTTCAGCGTGTCAAACTCTGTATTCTGACAAAGTTTCATGCTTTTATCTTGTTTTGCAAGATTTTTTTATCAACATCACTGACAAAGGTTCCAATGGCTATCGAAGGGACGTGTCAAACCTATTACGTCACAGCGTCGATCTGACCGCGTTCGAGTGGCATCGCTTTTGAAGGTCACTTTTTCGGGATTTCAAGCGCCATATCTAGAAAAATTCAAGTCGTAGAAAGAAACGAGAAACGGCGTCTTAACAAGCGAAAAAAGCTCTACCAAATATGCGAAAATCGTTTTTCGGTTCATATGACCTTTAAGAATTATTATGACGTATTTTTAATATTGGTACGTACTATGATTCAAACAACTTGGTAAAAGAGGTGCAACCAAAATTTCAGGGGTGCACCTTGTTGGGGGCGATAAGGGTAATATCATCTTAGCCTTGTTAGAAATCTCAGCTCGGCTCAGCCAGCTGATTGAACATCTAGGAAGCACCTTTGCTGCCTTTTTTACTTAGAACTTCACATATCATCCTCCACACTTATAAAAAATGGATTGAAATCTTCATCTTTAAATTAGTTTATACTGTAAAATTGATGTTGTTTGAACCGTTCGGTCGCGTGTTACTTTGTTTTGAAAATTTAGATATTTCTTTAAAGTTGACCGTAATTTGCTGCTGCAGTGAAAAAAATTCACTACAGCAACAAATTCCATTGAAATGTAAAATCTAAATTTTGAAAATGGGGTAATTCGCAGCCTGACGGCCCAAACAATTTGAAATTTTTGATACAGACTAATTTCCACATGAAGGTTCCAATTCTATTATCCATTTTTGCCAAATGTGAAGATAAAAATTGCTCGAATCCGAGAATTTTTCGCTCTGGAGGTGTTCAGGTGTTCAAATAACTCATTTGCCAACAAAGCGAGTGAGACAGCATTAATTTGCTGACAAATTTGAATGTTCACCGAAAAAGCACCCACATATCGCTAAAAATTCTCGATTTTGAGAAAAAACGTTGTTCAAAGTTGCATTTTGCAGAAGCTCAGCCTCAGCTTGTTCTTAATTTGTTCTTAACTTTAGACCAGTTTTGAGGCTCGTGTTCTTTTAAAATTGTTCTTAAAAAAGAGTGTATTAATACTACGCTGTGTTATTGCACCTGGTAGTTTGAAATGAACAAACCAGAAAAATTTGGGGGTGCGAAAGTAGGTGTATTCAGGAAAACATTAGCATGCCAAACATGGAAAAAGCTGTGAAGGAAAATATAGTGAAGAAAAAGAACTGAGAAGAAAAAAGCCCTCCCCGGCGGGGAATTGAACCCCGGTCTCCCGCGTGACAGGCGGGGATACTCACCACTATACTACCGAGGACTTGTCACATCACGCGTGGGTCACGTAACTGATTCACATTATGAGCAACACTTCATTATCATTATCATCGATAACAAAAAATGGAGTTTATACTGCTGCTTACCAATTTTCGTTTTCAAAGCACTCCAAACATGTGTCTGATCTTCTGATGGTAAAACGACGGGCGTAGATGTCTTCCTGCAAGTTGTCAAAAGGAACGATTATTTCAATTTCAATTATCTAAAAATAAAAACTATATATATATTATCCAAATGAAAATAAGATGAACTACATGCTTGGGATACTTGTGAAGAATTCAAAAGAGCTTTCGGGTCAAGTTTTCCTAGCTTTATTAGCAACAGAATTTTCCAAAGACAATAAGTGAAGATTTATAACTCAAGCAGTGAGAATTAAATAAATACCATATAAAATTAAGCTACATCCAGGGCGTTCTTTTTCCTGTGACCGTGTGACTATTGGTCATAGGACATCGTAGGTAAATTTTTTTTAACAGGAAATTTTCAATAATGAATAAACAATTCAACAGTTTTTACACTTCACGAGAAATTAGGCAAATTGGAGGGAATAAAAATTCCCAAAAGAAAATAAAATCATTGAAAGTAACAAATTACTTCTTATTGGTAAGGTGTTTAAGATATGCACCCCTGGCCACTGCATTTCTATTTTCCACATTAAATATATGGTGCACAATTTTCCCTATTTGTTTCCTTTTTTTAGGAAACATGAGACCCTCAACTGGAAAATGGATTAACTATTGTCCCTTTGTAAAACAGGATCTGTTCCTACCCCATATTTCTAGCTTTGTTGCTCTCTCCTCTCAACAGCATAGAGGGGAAGTTTTGTTAGATTTTATAGGCCGACTGCTTTTACGTTAACCAATTTGAGCGGTGTTGTTATATCCATATTCTAAATGGACAGCTTTTATTCAGTTGTTTTGCCATGGGACAATATGTCTTGGCCTTTCCCAAGAAGTTCTTGACCGAGGAAAAACGTGCTTTTGTATTTGCTATTTGTACTTGCTGTACTTAATTTTGCCAAACGTTTTCCGCTCTCTAGCCAAACCACCTTAAAGAAGAAGGGGCCTTAGGGCTTAGAGCCCGGCTGCCCAGGCTGGCTCGGTTAACCTGGCTAAAATCAGCTGCTATCATATGAAGTTTTCCCAGCCCGGTTTGACGGGCTTAAGAAAGTCGCTCGACATTTGCCTGGTTAAGCCCAATCTCCAGTGAGAAAAAAATCAGCGAAATGCGAAAAAGTTCGCGCGAAATATCTCCTTCAAGATTTCAAAAATGGCTGACAACAAAGAGAACATATCTGCGGCTCTTGTAGCTTCATATTTATCATCTCTACAAGCAGTATGCCATGACATTCATAGTCTATTGCTATTATGGAGGCTACAACAATTCAAATATCAGGCAGCATTCAACGAGAACTTTTCTCTCAAAAAGAAGGCCCTTTGAAACGAAAAAGAATGTTGAACCAACGAAAAATGGAGAAGAAGAAAATAACTATTTGGTTTCATCCTGGTCGCACAGAGCAATGGTGTATCAATATGCTGTTGGGAATGAGCGCATTTCTAATATTTTCAGCCCGCTTTGCCGGCAGAAGTTATGGCAGAAGTTAGCCCGTTCAACCGGGATCCCACTTGCCAGAAGTAAGATCTCGGTTATCCGGGCCAGCCCGGTTCTCATGTGATAGCAAGTTGCGTTTTATGAGAGTTTGTCAATCAAAGTGAGATCTCGGCAAACCGAGCCAGCCCGGTAAAGCGGGCTGAGTCTTCTCATGTGATAAGGCCCTTACAGGCTATACAGAAAGAACCAATCCCCATGATGTTTTTTTGAAAATGTCCCTCTTGCAACTCAGTCACACACAGGGGCGAAACTTCACTATTTTCATTAGGGGGGTATGAAGCTTAGATGCCCGACGAAAGGGCGTGGCATGCTTGATGAAAGGGCGTGTCATACATGAACTTCATTTTTGAAGCACATCGCCTCAAGGGCTGAAATCATCGGCCCAGGCTGTTTGTTTAAAGTCAAGAAATATGCCTCTAGTTTTTCTGGTGTTGGCTTTAAACATTTGTTTCCAAAAAGCAAGCATTTGTAAGGCCTGTCTTTTCTATAAAAGGTCTAAAAAAAGTCTTCACTTTCTAAATCACCTAGCTATTAAGAGAGCAATTCAAAAAGAGATTGAAGTAGGGTCTCAATTTTATCAAAGTGGAACCAAAACACAGCTTGGAAATTTCGGAATTTAGAAACAGCTACGCAGATTACAATGTTTCAGCAAAAAAGAGCTTCAGTTGCATTTTCTGAGTTTCATTTTCAATTTTCGGTTGCTCCGGAAGCAATTTCAACATTTTTAGACACCCAAACACAAAGTACGTATCTCTAAATTCACCATAACAAAATCCCTCAAGCAAGGGAAAGTTTTTATTGGAGGTATTTTACAGGTACACCCATCATCAAAGCTCAATTTTCGTGTTTTTGTAATCATGGATATTTTTCAGAAATAGATTAAACTCGAAAGTTTTTTGCAATTCATATCTTAACTACAATTTCTTGATAAATTTTATATTATTTCCCGCTTGAACTGATTAAAACTTTCTATTACTTGTTACGGTTATTCGAATTTTTTTAGTTAAAAAACTTTGGCGTCTGTATGACCATTTTCTAGCGAAGGGTGCAATACTTTCGAACTCCTTATGAATGTATGATGAAAGTTTCATATATTTAGAAAAAAAATTATTGATTGATTTTTCTCAACAACGTATTTCTAGATGGTATTTCCATAAATTTGCCCGACAAAATCTGCTTTTTTGAAGATTGGGGGGGGGGGGGTGCAGCACCCCCCATACCCCCCAGTTGTTTCGCCCCTGCACACACAACATGACCGATTGGTCTCTTCTGTACATTATTTTAGTTTTTGGAATCAACCATTCGTCAAATCACTTCCTTCATTCGTTTTTATGGCTTCTACTTGATTCAAGCAACATAATAATAATTGCATTTTAGAGATATTCCAACCAAAAAATTCTAATGATTTTGACAGGAAATGTTTCTCAGAAAACTGTTTCTCAGCTACTGGAATAAATGACGGAACGAAAAAAAAATATATTGAAAATAATGCAAAAAGGTGTTAACAGGAGAAGCTCTACCGTCACATTTTTTGTCCTGAAAAATCAATTCATCTTGTCAATAACTTGTTACAGACTCCAATTTAAAATATTTTTGAAAACAGGACAAACATTCAGAAATGAATGGTTTTGTTGAAAGAATCACCAAAGATTTCACGAGATATATTGGTTCGTTATCGGGCATAACGGTTCTTAGAAAATTGTCAGAAAAATAAACAATTCTACTAAAGACTGACTAAAGACACTTTGTTATGAAACCTTTTGGTTCTGTGACGTAGAGCAAACTGAACAATACTGTTAATAAACTCTGACAGGCAACGTTTTTGACTGGATGTCAGCACAAAGACGAACGTTTTGAAAGGAATGGCTGCCAAAATCAATTGAACACCCTTGCTTGAGACTTATATATAAATTCAGAGCTGCAAAAAGTATCGTTACCTGGGAACTAGATTCCCAGAAAAACAGCTGTTTTGCATTAGCAAAAATTTATTCTTGATTTATTCACAACGGATTTTACAAATGTAAAGTTTATACAAAAGTTTATGCATGTATATTTGAAAGCTTTATAAAAATTTTTACTCCTTTTTCAAAAATATCACAAACAAATTTCCAGAACCTTTTTAACAGATAAAGCTGCAGACCTGAAGTAGGAAATTTATGCACTTTGAAAAGAGCTGGTTTAGTTGCCTCATATCAGGCTATGCTTTTGATCTTTAAATATCAAAATCTATGATAATTACATACATTTCGTCCTGCTTCCATACATTTCTTGATAGACTTGGAAAAAGTGTTGAGACTTGACTGAGATCTTGGCAGACTTGACATAGTTTTTGATTGATACTGAACTACATCCTGATGTTTTTTCAAGATCATATTTGTCCTTCAAATATTGAGATGTCACCATTTATCAATGTAAAATGTCATGTTGACACGTGTACCCACCATATGAAAAGAAAGGCTAAAAAGCTGACCGATAAGAATAAACAGGTAACCAGATGCATCTTTCCGAAAGCTGGCATTGTAGAGAGCACCATATTTACTACTATTCGTATGTACTATTCGTAGTACACAATACTTTCACCTAACAGAAAAAGTTTTGTCCTGTTTCCCAGGTTCCCAGAATGAAAAATATTTTTGTAGCTTTGTATAAATTTGTCATTAAATTTTTCGAATACTACTACTTCTGTTCCATCTGTTCTCCCCAAAACCTTGAACATTTTTGCTTCAGTTTTCCGCAATGCAATCACCCTTAAAACAACTAACCGTATGACTTGCAGTAATAAAACTGTCAACTGTAAATCTCCTTCTGTACCTCACAGAGCAATGGATGCAATACACATACAAAGTAAAATCATAGTTGCTTATATTCACAGTTATGCTCGCTAAGCTTCATACCGATCCTTATTGAGGTAGAAAATTCGCAGAGCTTCAAAATAATTTATATAAATAAAAGGCATGGAGTACCACAAGGATCATTGTTGGGGATCCGTTCATGCTCCATCTATATCAGCGACTCTCTTACATCGGTTCCATTAGCAGAAGTCCACAGAAAGGCAGACAGTGTAAGGTTGATGACAGTGTAAGGAAACAATTCAACTCGCACAAAACGAATGTTCTTTGTCCCAGATGAATAACTGGTGCTTCAAAAACAGACAGTGCAAGGAAAGAATTTTCTGTCAGTGCATACTTTCAATTTACACAACTTTCAAAAATATCTTCACGTTACTTAACATATTGTGCCCAAAAGACCTCTGCAGACAATTTAGTATTCTGTATTTTTTACTACCTAACATCCAAAGGAAGCTTGAAGGACACTGAAAAGATGAGTTTATCGAGCTGTGCCCTAGTCTGTCCACTCGATATGACTGCACCGCGTGATTCCCACGCCTGGAATGACAAAGAGCTGGCGACTCTCCACGCTCTTAGGGAAAGTTTGATCATGTCAGTTTCAGTTGTCAGATCAACACAGACATTTGGATCTTGAATCTACGACCCTAATCACAGAGCCATCTTCACACCTAATAACAATATAACTGGAGATATTAGCCCTGGTGTAATAAGAAAGAGAGTACAGTAAACTTGAGGTATAAGAGGTGAAGCTCACCGTGTTTGCAGCCAGTGAACCAACCATGCTTCTGATTCTGCTTGTACCTGCGCTTGCTTCAAACCAACTTCGCACTTGTCTTTAGACAGCATATAACTAGAGAATATAAAAAACATTTTATAAACTGCAAGGACTTTACTTGCCTGCGTTAACTTCAACCATGCATTTCTAAAATAACGCCTTTAATTTTGCCAGAGTGCTGACAGAACATCAGAACATTGCCCTAGATCGACTGAAAATAAAATTCTGTTCTTGACAACGTAACCTGTGGGTTTAGGATCAATATATATCTTTGCAATCCATAGGATTATCCATATTATTTACCAAAAAAGTGTCGGGCCATAGCGCGAGCACTGTATAATCAATTTGAGCTTTATGCTATGTTGAGTTGTATGCTTTTAACAGTACTAGTAAAGAGATATTATCTTCTTCTCCTAGTTTCTCTTCAATAATTTAGTTGCCACTGCATTAATTAAAAACATTTATATAATGAAAACACAAAATTTATTTATCATGGCTATTCAACCGAAATCAGCTTAAATAAAGCAACTTATAACAGGCGAGATCAAAGTCTAAAATTGCACAATTGATTGAGCCTGAAAGCGCTGTTTATGCCTACCTGACGGCCTGGAACAACGGCAGTACAACAGGAAAATACCTCTTTCGAATGGCATGAAGAGCAGCTATATAGGCACTAACCACTAACAATTCATGTCGCAGTCTAGAAAGGTGAAAGACACTAAGTTATCTACTTGTAATGAGCTGATTGCTTGGTCCGTCGAAAGATAGAACAGACCCAGGGGTACAACGTGAGAACGAGCTCTCTAAAGGGCTTACGTATTCCAATTTAGACCCTTCTCAGGCAACCCTACCCCCTCTCAACGTTATTGTTGAATGCCAAAATAAACGTTTCTTGAAACAGGATTCTTTTCCCCGAATACTGAGTGCACACTTTGACGATGACAAATGTAAGACATGCTAAGACATAACATAAAACTGGTACCAAAAGAACTAGTGAAAGTAAGAAACCAATTGACAACTAAATAACTTACTTTGAAATTTTACCAAATTGTAACTTTTCACTTCTGATACAAGAAAGGAGGTCAGTGACGGGCAAAACTTCGTCAAGGAGCCAAAACTTCTTGGCGAAAACTCCTGAAAATCACAGCAAACTTAAATAAGGGTTAAACAAATTTAAAACCACAATGTAGTATAAATATTACGAGATTACGGTATTTAGAAATCGAAGCTTATTTTGGTAAATAAGGAAAATTTGAAAAATTAAAGGAAAGAATCTACCATCGCAGGTGTCAAAATGAAAGTCCTTGAGAAAAAACAAGCTGAGAAAAAAATACTTCACAATGACGGATCCGGAATATGGTGAAGTAAGTAAATGGTGGACTTATTTCAGCATTTTACGGGAAAGAGTGAGTATTTTTTGTGGACAGAGGCCAGCTCAAAATTTAACGCTTATTTCTGAGAGTGGACACGTGAAATAGCTGATGTCTTTACCTCTGAAATATGATCAGTGCTTATAAGCAAAAAGCTTTCTATGGCATTCGCAAAGACTTTTATTTGCTACAATGTAATGTAAATGACCTTTAATAAGAGATAGGCCAACATCAAGAGCCTGTTCAGGATGTGGTGAAATAATGATATATTCTAGGGCTGCAAGCATGTTATTTTCTTCTTTTAACTTTGATGCTTTGATGGCACATTCTTCCATAGAAGGTAAGCCAGCCTAAAAAAGCAGGATGGCAAATAAATCTGGCATCTAATAACTGTGATTATAGAGCAACTTAAACGCAAAGAAATGCATCAGACCATAAATGAATGTAAACAACAGTGCCACATTTGCAGGAGCCACACTGTATAAGGAAAGATCAGTGGGATCGTTCAACTACTTCTTTGTGTATGATCAAATTCCTGGTGTAAATGGAGAATTCACTCTAACGATTACTAAGAAACTCGGTAACAAGCAGAAATTAAATAAAAACAGATTTTTGTCACACAACACATGATAGTAACAAATTTCCTTTTTTGGAACAATGAAGCAAGATATGAAGGATAAATTTGAACAAAAAAGACAAATTAAGAGAAAAAGATTCATAAATTTCAAACGCAAACATACCCTGTTATGCATATCATTTATTTCTTGGTTAGTTCCCGAAAACCGAGCACAGACTTTGATAACATGTTTATCTTTGTTTTCTAGTTTGTCAAGTAAGGTGAAGGCATCTTTCCTTCAAATGCAAAAAAATTCTGACATTTGAGTTTATTCCTAAAAGTTGATATTTCAAAATGACACCAACATTCACAGAATATATTCTATCATTTAGATGTAGCAAACAACATGAATTACGACTGAAATATTTGTATTTGTATTTGTTTCTATCTAGCATCCGAAGGTAGTTTTTAGGACGCTGAGAAGCTTATGCTTATCTAGCAGTGTCCCAGCCCTTCCTCTCGATGTGACCACACCTCGTGATGGCGACTCTCCTCACTCTGGGTGGAAGTTTAGTCATGCCAGGGACTCGAACCACGGACCCTTGGGTCTGTGGTCAGCGCCTCTAACAACTGAGCCATTCTCGCACTGAAACATGCTGCAAGTTGATTTAAAGAGCGTGTTTTAGCGTAGGTGATTTGCTTTATGAAATAAATTGCAGTCTGAATGATGTACTATCAAAGGAGACGTTCAGTGAAATGTGCATTAATGGACGTTCATTTGCATATCTCTTTGACGTACTAATAACGAACAATTTTCGTGGGTCGTACATGCAAACTGTTAGATATTTAGATAGAGACCCTTGAACATACCATTGACCTAGTTTTTCACATCGCTTTACCAAGAGCAGTGTAGAAATTTCAAGGAGATCTTTTGTATCTGGTAATATCCGGCATAGGCATAAAGCTAGCTCCAGTTCGTTTGCACGGATTAACTTGGCAATGGCATTCTGAAAAATAAACTGCTTTGGTCAACGAGCATCGAAAAACTGTGGTTATCATATTACAGAGCACAAAGCAAAAACGAATTGCATCTAGAAGTAGCGAATTGCTAAGTTGCTCAGATATTTAGGTTTTAAAATTCTTGTTAGCTTCTTCCTTAAAAATGTGATTTCGGGAGAGTAAATAACAAAAGCAATAAGCTAATGAACGACAGAAATTTCCATTGTTCGCGCATGACATGTCTCTTGGTGTATTTGCGTCAATTTGGAAAGTTTATCACGTGTCATCTGAATGACATTGCTGCTCCTAATCTCAGCGGTAGCATACTCAATAGATGCACTGTCAGCGAGTCATGGAACTCCTTGATTTCGAATAGACAACGCATTACTCCTTCGCCGCTTCGCAAAAATAGAAAGAGCTCATTGCTGACTAGTATGGCATAAATACAATTACTTTAAAAAATAGTATTTTACAACCTTGGTGTCACCAACAGCTAGATGACAACAGGCGGACAACACCGGTTGTGCATCCATGAAATACCAGTCAGACAAACGAGTGCTCGTTTCTTGTAAAAGCCTAAAAAACAAGTTGCATTCTCAGTATACAGAATTAGCAGTACATGTCCATTTCAAATTGAACAAGCTGTGCATGGTCAGACAAGCAAAGTCTAAAAGGTAAACGTTACCAGGAAATTGAAACCATGATTGATTAAATACAGCAGAGGATAAAGATGTTACCGTGAAGCAAAGTGTAAGAAGGCAGCAGGGCAATGCGCTTAGCATTTTCATGCATCAAACCGAGATGTTTAGTTTAAAAAACTTGAATCATTCAATGAAACATTTTTTAAAGAATTTCAGTAATCGGTAATGCCCCATACAAGCCTAAAATGCAACTCTATCTATATTCTGCAGGAGACGTTGTTGTTTTTCCATGGTTGTAATTAGTTTATTAGACCTATTCCTTTCGCTCGTAATTCTTCTTTGTTTTCAACTAAACTTTCTGAAAATCAAACTTTTGTTAACTGAAGTAAGGACACCATTCAATGATCGCAGCATGCGTTTACTAAGTGGAGTTTCTTTCAAGTCAATAAACATCCGAAACGCACTCTGCCCAGTCACTTCCTATGACGCAAAAAAATGCTAGAACGGTTGTATTAATGCACGAATGTTCATTTTATCTGCATCAAACAGATCTCGAGTGCGATGAGCGTCAATTACCAACAGAAACAAATAGGTCACTGCATCAATGCTTGTTCGCCAAACAAAGTAAAAAATGATCTAAAATAAAATTGAGCTGAAGCTGTTATTATGAATAGAAATATGAGTGTAGATACTTGGATCCATCTCCAGCGTTATGATCGACGCCATTCACAATAGGATCATTCTTTCGCAGCGAATTTCGATTTTCATCGTGAGTCACTGCTTTAGTGAAATAACCCTCGCAGGCCGCCTGCGCAATTACAACGGCATCTTGAAGCTGACAGCGGCTGGTCAAAAACTCGATCAACTAGGAGCAAAGGGGAAGCTCGATCACTCTTGTTACTAGAAAAGCTAAATAAATTTCCAATAATGTCCTTTGCTAACATAACATTTTAAGAGTGTTAAGTTTTGAGAAATAGTGGGCATATAAAACATTTGTTTTCATTATACTCTTTGTAAATAGAAAAACAGACATTTACGATAAAAAAAGAAAAATTGGCACTTGAAAACACTCAGATTCTAACAACAACAAAAATTATAAAAAATGAAACCTTTTCAATTTGTCCAGCAGCAACACAGTATGGCACAGCTTCGATATTATCTTCCATGACAAGTTGATCTGCCCTCCTAAAAAGGCGAAAATCCCCCGTCAATGACCACGCAAAATGTATTACCTATGGATGATGTATCTCGCAAGAAAGTCTTTCGCTTATGGTTGAATTCGGGCAGTGAATAGAAGAGAGTATTACCGAGTGCAATTCGAAAAGAAATCCTTTAAATAATGATAATAAACCCGATAGCTAAATATCCTGTTTTAAATTGAAACATATTAACCAAAACATTTATACAGAGGCGGTCTTAGGGACTGCGGGGCCCGCGGCCAAAAACATCTGCGGGGCCCTTTTGGCTATCATAAGAGCGGAGCCTGGGGCCTTGTGCCCGAACTATCGAAAAAGCGTCTAATATATTTGTTCAGAAAAAAATGTCGATTTGAATAAAGCCTCTGTCCATTGGGGGGCCCTGCAATATCGAAGCCAGGTTGTTATCGCTAATTGCAAGAAAGGTGTCCGGGTTCTGCCCAACTATTGCGACGTCACTTGTGACTATCAGCTTTGGGAAAGGAAAGATTAGAGGAAATAATTTTGAATCATTGAACACCATCTTGATAATCATTAATTGTTCATTGGAACTTAAGTGAAATTAATTATAGATGATAGATATTTCAACAAGCACATTTAAATAAAATCACCTTATAGAAAGTTGCTTCCAGTATTCCATTGAAACACCAGGTGCAGCTGCAAGTGCTTTGTCCCACTTTGAAAGGAAATAACCATAAACAATTTTCAAAATGTTAAAGAGATGTACAAACATTAACTGCTTTGGGAAGTTGTTAAAAAACAATACGAAAACCTTTAGAAAACAAGACTAGACACTATCTATGGAAAAAAGCGGAGCTTATAAACATTTGCGAAGATATTCTCGTTTTTGGTTACTTTTTTAAAAGGTATAATTCATATGCTCAATGCCAATTCTAGATATTTAATGCCCCTCCCCTCCTCCCTTCAATTTTCCTCTTTCGTCACTAAACGAAGGAGCAGCAGCAAGCGTAATAAGAAAAGAGCCATCAAAGAACGAAAGAACTATCAAAGAATGAAAGAACTATCAAAGAACGAAAGAACCATCAAAGAACAAAAGAACCATCAAAGAACGAAAGAGCCATCAAAGAACGAAAGAGCCATCAAAGAACGAAAGAGCCATCAAAGAATGAAAGAACCATCAAAGAGCGAAAGAGCCATCAAATGAGAGAGTCATACTACTCGATTACTAGTTACATCTTCCATTTTTTTGGAGCAGCCACCTTTAAGTTGAAGCAACTAACCTATAGGATGTTTGAGTACATGCTTATTGTTCTAAACACAAACAAATTGTAATCAATAAAGATAAAGATAAACTGAAAAACATCTTTTGAAGACCAGAGGATGTTCCCGTAATATAGCCATTTTTGACTTCATTCAAACTAGAGACGGGTCGGTTCCAAGTTTACGAAAGGATTTTGCTGTCCTAATGGATGCTTCTCGACATATCAAAATTATTATTATTAATAACGGAAGATGTAAATGCTTGAATTTTGAAACGAGGGATTGCTCGATTCAAAGACTGAAACTCCTCCACAAAAAGGAAGATCTAAGAAATTTTGCGAGGTCCCAAGAGGGTAAAGTGATATTCAAAACTGCCTTATCTACTTAGTGCAATTCATTTTTCATCTTGACACCAGTCAAGCTTTGTGACCCAGTTATCAACATCAACATTTGTAGCAAAAGCATTGAAATTTTCACACCCTAACATCGACCACAGACCAAAAAAAGCGCTAAACATTTTACAACGCCAAATTTTAGTTGTTAGCTTTTGGAAATGTCAATACCGACATTGAAATAACTGTAGAAGTGGCGCTTGCCTATTGAAAATGTTATCAATGGAGACCTTAGTGGAAACGAACTCTTTCCGTCTATACAATAACGGTTTTCATGTTTATGTAGATAGATTGCAAAACTGCTAGATGGAACGACGATCGGGCTCTACCAATAATTCGAATCATGTCCCCATTATAGGCGTTGGCACAATCTGGGTTTTCCGCAAATGCTACCGAAATCAGAATCCTGTTTTTTAGTTGTTGTTTTATTTGTTGTTTTATTTGTTGTTTTAGTTTTGTTTTTAGTTATTTGTTGTTGCTTCAGCTCAAGTATGTTTAATATATTTGCTTTTTTTCATAGCAATTTCTGAATCTTGTACCACCAAAAAATTATTAATATTAGCGGTAATTATTCAGAGTAGGTAGAAACAGAAGCTAAAAATCTCCAAATTCCGAGTTTTAAAGAAAACCACCTAATTAATAAGATGAAATTAGAAAAATCAAAACATTATTAACCAACCTAAGCGATCAACTTTAGACATAACATATCCTGTCCAGGGGCGGATCCAACAAAAAAGCTGACTGAGTTTTAGGCAAAGGCTAGGGTCTTTCAGATAATGCATTGATCATTGTGCATAAGACAACATTATTATTCATATTTATGCATTTTGTTACCATTGAGGGGGGGGGGGGGGGGGTGGTAGGTACTATCTACTCACTAAATCTAGATTCTAAATTTCTTTCCGACAAAAAACAGTGCCTCTGTGAAAAAAATTTCAACCCCCCTCATTTCTCAATACCCTTCGTTTGTTTTGGATGCCACAGCAAAGTTTTTCCCTTTTGTTTTGCTCGTAATTTGTTGTTTTGCCTCCGTAGACACCAGACATTCATCAAAATATGGTGTTCCGTTCTGAGCATAGGTTTTCCGTGCCATCAAAGACTGTAATTTAAAGCAAAGGTAGTTAACACTCCTGGAAAATCAACGATAACTCCTGGTTTTATCTCAAACGCTTAATAATCTGCTAGAATGCTGCGATGGTCGTGAGTATAAGACATCTGCAGACGCCATTTTGAATTCAATGTTTTGCAGTTCCACAATAGAACGGAAATGATCGGTAGCCAATCAACTACGGGTCATTGTACAGCTCTCTTACGAGTTCCAGATGCTGTTTTGACTGAGTTCCATCCGTGTTCCAAACAAAAATTCACTTCCGAGGCACAAAACGTTTATTTCCGAGTTCTAGGATTGACTGCTGTTGTCCTCCACAGCGTCTGGAAAATCATTTCCAAATCACGACAGAGAAGAAACTGGCAATTTTACGATTTTGAAGAGACTGTGATGTTTCAAATTGAAGAGGTTTCAAATTTTTAATTTAAATACTACTTAATTGAAATATTACTTAAATATTTCAGGCAACACTATTTTTAGCTGTATGTTGGAAAACTGACTGAGTTCTGTGCACCAAGGAACTCACTCTGGATCCGCCTCTGCTGTCAAACAAAAATCTTTGGACGTTTTCCATAGGTCACGTGAGTTTGAAGTATCTATTAAAACTTTCAGTCAATTTATAGTCAACAACAATCACAGAGGGGAAGATTTTTGCATTTTTGCGCGGATTTTTGTGATATCTTTGCTGACTTTCAGTCATTGTTATGATAACAGAGCAGCGATATGCAACATATGGCGAAGTTTTAAGACGAATGTTAAAATGGTAGATCGATATTCAAAGTAAGTGAGAAGCCAAAAAACAGTTGTCGTTCAATAGTTTGCCTTCAGCCGACAGAATACAATTAAGCCAGAAGGGGTTTAGTATGGCTGTTGTCAAGGGGCTTGCTTAGAACTCTCAGAGGCAGCTGAAAAAGACAGAGAAATCGTAAAGCGACGGATGCACATGATTAAAAGTGAGCCTCCTCCCATGCCAGCTATAATTAAGCCGTTCACAAAAAGCAGTGACGAAAAACAAATCAGGGATAACTATTTCTGAAACAAAAGAGAGCGCTTGATCATTATTCATGTGCTACAGTTTGCGTTGCGCGGGTTTCCAAGCGACGCCTTCAAATCAATCCCACATTTCATTTGAAACAACACAAGTGGGGATTAAATATTGTTCAGAGAATAGATATTTCACATCAAGTAAGGCCATTAAGATAAACTGTAGAATATACTTGTATATGACTTGAGACAGGATCCCGCAAGTTCTATACACGAGAAAAGGATTGAAGACTGAGTCAATTCTGAAACCAGTCAATCAACCACGAAAAGGTTTTGGTTTCTTTTGCTATAGTTTTGAAGGATGAAAAGTCTACTTGAAGGAAAATAGACACCATTATTGGATTCTAAGACGAACGGATAGCAATTAACGGAGAACTCACTTAACAGATAGCAATTAACGGAGAAACTTAACAGATAGCAAGTAATATCTGACTGTGTCAAGAATCGGTAGAAAACATTTCCGTCAGAGATCCAGTGGTGATATTTTGAAAACCGAGTTGCTACTGCCTGGGATATATAACAACATTTGCAAAATAAATCAATTTGCGACTTCATTCGGCAAAATGCTCTGTGAGACACTGCACCCCAACCAGAACCTTTTGTCACCGTCCAATGTTGCCGCTTTGGCTGCAATGAACATCGTGGTTGGTATTTCAAGCATCATTTCTAATGCCATAATTGCCGTCTCTCTTTGGAAGCTTAAGATGACCAGAACCTTATCGTACAAATTCATTTTCTTATTGAGCATATCCGACGGCATCATTGGCATTACAGTGTGTCCAGCGGTTGTCGCCTTACTTCTCTTGCAGAAACAGCCGTTTTGTATTTTGGAACACTTTGCACAATCGTTCACATTCATGGTTTGCCAATTTTCAGGTATAATGGTGGTAATAATAACACTGGATAGGTATCTACACATGAAGTATCTCACTAGATACAATATGTACATGACCAAATTCAAAGCTTACACGCTAATATCCCTGAACCTCAACTCGTGCTTCGGTACTGGGCTTATCTTGACACTAGGCTCAATGTACGGTTTTATATTCGAGTTCGAGGTATGCCTCGTATCAGTTTACTCTTTATTTGTCCTGGTTATATTCCTATTATACATAAAGACTTTCGCAACATTACGAAGCCGTGTAAATGACGTGGCTCTTGCTAGAAATAACACTGCTTCCAGCAGCAACAACAACGATAAGAAGACATCACCAAAGCTGAGTGAGACCATGATGGAAAAGCGACACAAAGCTGAGATGATATTTGCAAAAGGGATGATATTTGTCCTGTTAGGAACAACACTATGCTACTTGCCCTGCTTCCTTTCCGGTACTGTTTGGGCTTACAAGAAGTATGTGAAAAAACAAGACCCTCCCAGTTGGCTTCATTCCACACTATTCTGGACATGCATTTTGATGTATTCAAACTCGACTTTGAATCCAGTGATCATGCTCGCCTTCAACAAGAAGCTGCAGCAATACGTCTGTAAACTTATCAGGCCAAACATGCTTAGAAGCAATGGGCATGACACCGAAACATCGTTACGTCACTAATTTAGGTTTGCGACGCTTACACCAGACCAGCTCAACGTTCTGTTTGGTGTTATCATAGTGAACAATAAAAAGCTTGATCTTCAACAGATTTCCCTAGATTCGAGGGTAATTTCTAGGAAACTGAAAAGGGACTATTTTTGGCAACATCTCCTGATCTCCTGCACAACATGTGCAATTCCTGCTCAATTTACTTGAAACACCCTAAGGAGTGACTTTAGTTTTTATATTTTCCATTAATTTTCGAGAATACAGTTTCTTTCTGTCCCCGTTTTCATCCAAGCAATGTCTACATATTATTGGGTACAAAGTCTGAAAGTAGTTACTGGTTCATGTTAACTAATATTACCCCCCCCCCCCCTTCAACTTTACGGAATCACCATTGTTTCTTTTTGCTTAGCTTCAACTTCAATCGACCGTGGTTTTATTCCCTTGAGAGAGCTATCAAAATAAATGTCATCATTACCAATGCTTCTTCCAATGCTTGACATTATCGTGACACGTAAAAATTTTATGTTTTTAAATACGATTTTGGAACGTCACATCTATGACTCCTATGTTTTCAAAATTTAAATTATTGTTGCCATACATCAATTACACGAATCTAGAGCGATGCAAAACACAGGAAAGTAGCATCTAATTAATTTTCTGGCAGTTGACTACAAATACTACTCGCATTTGCAATTCGTCAGATAGATAGAAAGATTGTTCGGGCATCCCTTGAATTGGCGAACACTGCTAGAGACAGAGATGGATTCCAGCTAGATTCTTATAACTATACACTCATTTTTTTCATAAGAAACTGGCTATAAAAAACGAATACTGGACAGTCAAAAAAAAATTAAGAAACTTCAGTACTCGAAGGAAAAAAATTAAGAAAGTTTTTTAATTAAATTATTAAGTTATTAAAAAAAATTATTAAATGGTTGATAAAACTGTTAACAACGAAATTTTGTACAATTAAGACACATAAGATAAAAATATACTTCCCACATCTAAATACAGCATCAGAACGGAAGCGAATCTCTTGACGTGATAAAAAAGGTCAAGAAAATCATTCATGACATCATTCATAACATCATAATTAGGAAACTCTTAAGAATCAATGAGTATCGGAATTTCTAAAACATTAGGAAACTGGAACATTCAACATCGACCTTTATTTCTTATAAAAAAATGAGTGTATTACGGGTTCTGATAAACTGCGTCTCCTACTGCCCGCTCAGTTTACCTCCTGCCCGATAATTTGGATATTTCATGACAAATGTCTGAATGCCGACTACGAAACATTGCTGACATTGGATAAGACAGTGCCCATTCACCAACACAATTTACAGTACTTAATGATAGAAATATACAAAACCAAACATAACCTGAAACCTAGTTTCATGAGTGAGGTGTTTGAAGCAAGAAACGTACATTATGATTTGCAAAATAAAAATAATCTTGGCATTCCAAAATCCAGGACAAGTTCTTATCGTGTAGAAACTGTGAGATATTTAGGTCAAAAACTGTGGCAAACACTACCTCACAGTATAAGAGAGTCGCAATCATTAGCAACATTTAAAAAAGAATTAAGAGCACACCCTGTAGAATGCGACTGTAGATTATGTAAAATATTTTTAACTGGGTTAGGTTTCATTTAGAATATCATACCTTAAACATTGTACCATATGTCACAATATATTCATATTATACTAATTCTTTATAGATAGTTGACCTAAATTAGTTTTTTTTAGTTTAAATTAGTTGACCTAAATTAGTTTTTTTTATAGCTATTAGACTTAAATATGGTACGCCGTATATAAACAAATTATTTAATATTATTCATAATATTATTGCCGGGGCATCTGACGATAACATTGGTGGATAATGATCACGTGGTTCTAAGGAAGCCGAACTTCTTAACCTGCAGATATTTAATACATAACTGCTGTTTTTATTCATTATTCGTCCATCAATGTGAATTTAGGATGCCGATTTGCTGTTTGCTCGACAAATTTTCTGCTAACCCGTAGTTCTATGCATCTATAGAACTGTTCATCACCTTATGATTTACTAAAATAGTCAAAAAAATACTTGATAGAATTTTGAATGTTGAAACTGTGTTGAACAAAAGAGTTGGAATAATATATGATATGATTAAGAATAAGATAATATGCTTACGTGGCCTAACTCCAGCATGATCTCGCAGTATCTTTCGATCTGACCCATTTTGAGCTGAATATCAGCAGCTTCCAATAGTTTCGCCTCTTTTGAAGCAGTGCCGATTGAGAATCCAGAGTTGCTTGCTCTAACAGTCTCTAGTTCTTGAGCCTGGGACTGCGCAACAACAAAATACGTTACAACTAGGTTTATAAGGAAATCATTAGACATCTAAACTTTTGAAAAAAGGTTTCAGTTTTAATAAAATAATAATAGTGATAGATTTCCACAAGTATTTGCTTAAAGCATTAAATAGCAAAACATATCAGGTTGGTAGAATGTTATCTTATGCATCATGGTCTTGAGAGCTATAGACAGTTCATTAATAAGAAAGGGGGCCCGGCATTTCCGACATATCAAACGTATGTCCGACTAACTCAAAATTTAGAACGTCAGACCAAATAGTGCACTTAAATTGCAAGTGCGAATCGAACATAACAAGAAAAGAAAAATGGCGTGTTTGAATGGTAAATTGTTAATGGACAATCAGCAACCGCCAGCTTATCGCATAGGCCCAGTTCCCATTATTCCGCTTGTGCTCCCATTAATACGCTAGAAAACGGAGTCAGTGGATACCAAACTGGGGTCACTAAAAAACGCTATTAAAAGTGGAGTCATTTGAAAAACAGAAATTTAAAATTGATTATTTTAATATGTACAGCAAAAATGGAGTCATTCATCCTAAGTTTCAAAACGATTCCGAACAAAGGACATGAAAACCGATGAAAATGGAGTAACGGGAACGCCTTCATTCTAGTGAGACTCTCTTGACACGGTCGTCACTGTACGCTTTGCTGCAATCTTATCTCTTAAGAATATATCTATCATTGACAGAATTGTATCTTTTTTGGGGATTGTGAATTCTAGTTATACAGCTGCCTGTTTTAATTTGTATCTAAACCATCAAATTTTGAAAAACAGAGCCTAGAATTCCATAAATACAAATAACAAATTAGGGTGATTAAGTACCTAAAAAGCACTATTATGTTTTTATAATCTTGATTGTTGAAGACTGTTGAAATTATACAACATCTTAAGTAACAAAGTGCGCGATTCTATTTAAAGCGAAGCAGATTCAGTAAGGGCAGGCTAGATCTTTGCTTCAACAAAAATGTTATACTTACAGCTCTATACTTGACAGCATGTCTTGTGTGCATAATGCCTTTGTTGTAGTCCGAAGGCAGTTGTTGTTGGTCATTTTCCAGGAGAACAGAAACAAGAACCCACAGATTCTTCAAACCAAACGGGGCCTACAAAGCAACAAAGCAATCAGCAATATTATCACGATAATTAAAACTTTATTGGAACAACATCTTGAAATTTTCCAGTACTTATGCATAAAAACCAGAAATTACAAAAATTGAACTCGATCTTACCAAAAACAAGCGCGAATATAGTTTGGCAACTTTCCTACAATATCTGTCAGATTCGTGCTCGATTAGTGAATTGATGTGACTTGAGAAGGTGCCTGCGAACTTCCATTTGCTTTCCGAAGAAATTTCATTCTGCTCCTCTTCAATTACTGAAAGAAACAAAAGTTAGCTGTCATTTCATACGAAGCCGTAGATTGTTTGAAAGGTAGCAAAAGGTACCAGCTCTTTGTTGCGGTAAACGCCCTCAAGTATCAAACGCTAGCGGTCCCTAAATGACGAAATAAGCTGTCGTGTGGCAAGATCCTCAAAGCTTAAAGGTAAAAGACAAAAGACGTGTGAAAGCTTAAAGGTGAAAGACAGAAAATCCAAGCGGTTGATTAGGAATGATTCTACAGAAGCTGTCTTCAAGCATAGACGCTAAAATATTTTTGAATCAAATGCAGTTCATAAATTTAGGGCCCTATATCAAGGCCTCATATCAAGGGATAATTGTGTCAGAAAGAAAAAGTACAAAAAATAAAAAAAAATAAAATCAAGTTACAGAGAAGCGTTTAGAAAATACCTGGTTGAGTCTGCAGGATTTCACTAAACTGCAAGCCACAGAGAAGTCGCAAGTAAAGTGGCCTTGTAAAGTAGTCTAGTGCCCAGATCCTGACCGTTGAATCACGTGACGACGAAGCTAGAATAAATGGCCTCTGTCGATGGCATGCCAGCCCTAAGAAAAAAATAAATAAAATAAATCGGAAGCAATGGCTAGGACAAAATAAACTGCTTTAAAGCAAGTGTAGAAAGATTGTTTGGCAAAATGAGTGCTAAACAACTAAATATAGGGATGGAGAAATCACAACAATAAATAGTCAGCTATCAGACTGCCAAAAATTAATAGTTATAATTAATAGCAGACAGATCACGTCGCTCAGGAACAAGTTGAGAAAAACAGTAGTTTTATGGAGGTGGATTTCTGTTTATGTATTTGAATAATATTTATATCAAAACATAACGATTCTAAGTAACTGGTCTCCACGTTTCACGATTGATGCGACAATCAGGTAATTGTTGTCAATTATCTTTTCTTCAAGAATTACAAAGGTTGTAAAACCCTGTCTTCAACCCTTCATTATCCACTCAAATTTTATTAATAAAATATTCATCAATGTTCGTTCATTTATTTATATGACAGAATGGTATGACAGGCTAATCGCAATACCGGCACGCCATAGCAGAGGGCTAGCGAGCAACAGCCCATACCCCCTGCTTTGTCACATCACATACAAAATCAAAATCATCGAAATATAATCCCCCTTCCCACGTCTTCCGCACGTTTTGCCACTGAAAGCTTCCTTCATCATATTCATCTTTCAGCCTTTCTCAAAAATATTTTGAATTTCTTAAAGAGTGATTGGGCGAGATGATTCATTTGAAAGTTGGAAATAGAAATGATCATTGGCCCTTTGTTCCTTTATCACCAAAAAATTTACTTGAAATTTGCTCTAGTTTCCTAGCCTATGTTCCAGACCTCTTACTTAAAAGAAGTGAAGTCTAGAGCATCGGCTATAGTGTCGCTGACATGTTTGCATGAAACTCACCATAAACATCAGCCGCGTGATCTGAATTTTTTTCTATACAATAACCAGTCCTAGAAGAAGACAATCAAAATAACAACGCACTGGAAAATAACAACTAAGTAGGAAACTCAGGGCGGCTTTTCAATCTCATTGGAGGCAGTAGCAATCATATCTTCATGGTGTTTACAGCCTCTTTCGATAGAAGAAGGGAGAAAGAAGGGAGAAAGAAAGGAGAAAGAAGGGAGAAAGAAGGGAGAAAGAAAGGAGAAAGAAGGGAGAAAGAAGGGAGAAAGAAGGGAGAAAGAAGGGAGAAAGTAGGGAGAAAGAAGGGAGAAAGAAAGGAGAAAGAAGGGAGAAAGAAGGGAGAAAGAAGGGAGAAAGAAGGGAGAAAGAAGGGAGAAAGAAGGGTGAAAGAAGGGAGAAAGAAGGGAGAAAGAAGGGAGAAAGTAGGGAGAAAAAAGGGAGAAAGAAGGGAGAAAGAAGGGAGAAAGAAGGGAGAAAGAAGGGAGAAAGAAGGGAGAAAGAAGGGAGATGGAGGGAGCCATTATCATTTAAATATCAGCAGTAGTCGGTCAGTAAATGCTTCTTGAAATGCTACTTTCACAGCTACTGTTTTTTCTAATATGCACTGCAATCGCTTGGCTTAATTTTCGAGGGCTTTGTGGCTTTTGGTCCACCCTAAAATCGACCCTAAATTGGTCAAGTTGCAAACAAACCACAAATGCAGCCTTACTGCTAAGCAAAACAGATTATGAAGCTTCAATGAAGATTGCTGTAAATATTTCGAAGAACTGGAATTCAATAATGGCACATTTTTGCAAGGCCATTATTGAAGCATTGCAGAGCTTACTTGACATCCCATATTCGCAATGAATAATCCCAACTGCCAGAGATAAGGACATCAGGAAACTCTGAGTGCCATAGCAGACCACGCACGGGAGCTGTGTGCCCTTCGAGAACAGTCACACAGCCATCCTGCAGAGATTTTCAAAGAGGCTTTTCAAATTCAGGTAGCATTAAAAAGATAATTTTAGCAACGTACATATTTTTATAAGAATGACAAAGCATCAATATTCTTATAAATTTGCATTAATGAGCCAAGATATACTCTTAAGTCATTCTTAAGCAAAAAGACGCGTGGATTCAGTGAAAATCGAGAAAAAGAAAGTTTAAATCCTGGCCACGATCGTTCTGTATCATGACGGCATTTTGGAATATGAAACAAACCTCTCACTTTCCATTCTTGCTCAACATACACAGACAAATAAAAAATCCAGCTGTCGATGAAATTCAAGGCTGGTAATTATTCTTGTTTATTTTTAAATTTTACAAGTTTTGAGCCTCAATATTCTTGTAAAATTCAACCTTAAAAAAGTGTGTGAAAGGGGTTTGAAGCTCGATCTACAACTCAGTTGGTTGTACATCAAATCGAGGCACACAGACAAACTTTTTGCTTTTAAGCATAAAACACAATTAAAAAACATCCTTCTCCAAATGATTTCAATCATCGTTCTTCAAAAAGTGAAATCGAAACTCTTATATTTCCAAAAACTTAAAAAAACTTTACCTGGCTGTAATCCCAGATTCGAATGGTCCTAGGAATAAAGTGAACAAAATTTAAGAGCATCGAAATTTCTTTTCGGGTGCAAAGAATTCTTTGGTTAAAAAAATGAATAAACTATAATTATTGCTAATTGGAGTTTTCAGCTAAGGCAGCAAACAGAAAAAACAACAACATACCCATCATCTGATCCACTGCATAAAATGCCTTCTCTCAAAGGCGACCATTTGACGTGAAAGATTTTGGAGGAATGGCCTGTGAGGAATTTAAAAATGTTGCAAACGTGTTCAAAATTGGAAATTGATGAAATGACCAATAAACCTTGAATACGGATTCAACGGATTCTTCAGCTTGATTATTCTTAAGCATGAAAACTTATTCTTAAGCATGTGGGTCAGCATGGCAGTAACCTAAAAAGATTTGCACGAGCCACGAGAAACAGAGAGTTGCAACAAAAGTGGTAGTCAAGGAACAACCTGAGTCCAAGGCAACAATGTCGCTGTTTTATTAACACGCGTGCTTGCGTATTTTTATGACTGCAAGTTGGGAATGTTGCCAATAATTCCAACTGCTAATAATACTAAGATTTATTCAAAGGATCTGAAAATATTTCAGGCAAATTAACAGGTCCACTAATCAGCTGCAGGATACTCTACAGCCATTCTACAGCCCACGACAACAAAAGATTGATACAACAAACATGCCTGTAAATGTGCGAATGGCTGTCTCTCCTTTTGATGGAAGGTAAAACACTCTAACCACTTTATCTTCGCAGCCAGTTGCCAAAAGATCTCTGAAAAGGAGAAGCAACCGCTGATTATGTCCTAAAACAATTTAATTCATATGCCAAAAAGGTTTAGCGAGAAGAATACATAAACAATTTCCAAATAAAATCACTTTCGAGAGTATAACTTCAATAAGACCAGTGAGCAAAGACGTTGCACAGGTCGTGTCGTGCACTTGTCGTGTCGAGCGTATGTCGTTTCAGGACATGTCGTGTCAGCCACATGTCGTGTAAGGAAACTAACGGTTGCTAAGTTGCATGAACGACATGAGTCTTACCGGTTGTTTGGGCTCCAGTCACAACCGAACACTGATGCCGGATGTTTGTATCGTTTCACTAATGTTCCATCCACCATTCGAACAATGCTGTGGTAAAACAGAGAATGACTCCTTTACCATTTAATTAATTTTTAGTACAACATTTAACAATCATTTTGTTCATAGATTGGGTATCATATGACATAATAAATTCGGTTGGAGACAAAAATACAAAACAAAATTAGTCATGTGCTCGCGTTTCTGGTTGACATATTTTGATATTAACAATAAATAGCCCATTAAGAAGTTTCCTAGTTTTGGAGCAAAATTCACATTATTCAAACGTTTTAAACTCTGAAGAGTGTCAGATCAAAAGTCTCAGCATGTCTTGACATGTAAGATTTTTTTAAAAGCTATCTTGTAAGATACAAGGGCTAAGGTTAATCCGTTTTCATTCATTTTGAAACTTAATGTGATTCTTCAAAATAAACGAGGAAAAGGGAGATGTGAAAAAAGCATTAGTCTCATCTTTGTTCTAAAAGTTAAATGTGACTGTAACTGGGTTTTAGAGGCAATATCGATATAGATTTATATCAGCAGGTACAGAATACCTGCACTATCACATATTGCTAATATTCCTGATATTATTAGTTAAAAAGTTAAACTCCAGATAAACTGATACGTTCTTTGAGCTTTCTTGAGCACAATATAAGAAATTTCTTTGCTGTTAATATAACATAAATGGCAGTTTCCATTTTATGTTTGGACTTGCAATTGGTTTGCATTTCGTGCACAACATGCTCTTAAGAAACTGATACACGTCATGGAATTGCTTTCGTAACTTTTGTTTCGCCAGTTCACTAAGAGATGACCCAATAGCTTATGCTCCCTAACAATCAAGTTTGACATTTCAAGCCAGATCTCATGTTCTTCAAACCTATTCTATTAAGTGGCTATCTCAGCCAGATATTTTACGCTTCAGAAACCACATGTTTACTAAACAGGTAAAAATCGTTTGCAAATTTTAAAGGAACATACCTCATGGTCCATCTCAAACTTTCTACTTAGGCCTACTAAGTGTGCGAAATTCTAGTATTCTGGCCTATTTGCAAGCATCAGCTAAACGGTCCTTTTTCCCCAGACCAAACTAGTTTGGAATTCCCCTTAAAAAAGGGATAGCTCATCTTCATTTAGCCAAGCAATATCAACTGCAAGTTGGATAAATTAATAGAAATTACCAGTTGTTGTCTGAGCCTGCTGATGCGATGTATTTTGAGTCTCTTTGATTCCACGAAGCAGTAAAAACACTGCTTTTGCCATGCTCATTAAACCGCATAATGATGCGTTCTTTTTCAACATCCCAAATAAAACAACCACTGCGAGAGGTTGCAGCTACCAAGCAATTCAAGTCCCCTACAAAGAAAAATTGATATTAATAATAGATAGGACATTTTAGAGCCATATACTTCAGGGGCGGATCCAGGATTTTTGGTGACTATAGCTCAAATCTTTTGGGATCGGGACCACGCCCTCCTTGCTTGTGGGACACGCCCACTATATGGGCAAATGATATAACCATGTGTGTTTATAGTTCCTTCGTATTAATAAATATCCCTTCGAACATCCTTTTTCTATTTCCAGGGACGCCAGAGAAGGGGGTGTGGGGGTACAACCGCCCCTGTTGCCCTTTGGCAGAAGGTGTTGTTTTTAATAAAGTTACCTTGAAACTGGCCAATTGTAATAATCAGAGAGATTAATATAAAATTCTGAACTTCTCAAAACATGTAAAATAGTTATATATGCCGAAAGTTAGCAGAAGATCGAAATGAAATTGCAGTTACGTATGAATCAAAAGCCCTTTTACTCAAGCCTGCCACCCCCCTCCCGCCGCTTGGTCGTTCCGCCGTCCCTGTCTATTCCCTAGTAGGTCCTTGCCGTTGAAGCTACATTACAGGGGACCCAGGATGTGAAAACGAGCTATAGTCCACTGTTGCTTTACAGGGGACAGAGAGCGAAGAAGTAACTTGGATACTCATATTCTATTGGTTAAAAGGCCATTTTCAAACCTGACTATAGCTTCACTATAGCTCGCGCCAAAAATTATAGTACGGGTTTCATTGTCTTCGATGCCTTTTCCAGAGCAAATCCATAGACCGACTATAGCTCGGAATATCCACTGTAGCTCAATTCTGGTTGGTTACTGTCAACAAAGAACGAAACTTCTGATTCGTCTAAGTTTTAATATTAGACCATTCTGCGCTCAGTGTTTTATATCTTATCTGGAGAGGCATTGTGATGACACATTGCCAGCATTGCATGTTTGTTAATCGCATTTGATAACCTATACCGCTGCTTTCAAATGTTGATAGTAAACACTTGTGGGCATAAACACAGTTTTAGAGACTGCAAGGAAACTTTGTATTTCGAAAATCAAACACTGAGAATTTGACTATAGCTCGAGCTACAGTTGCTATAGTCTGGATCCGCTCCTGTACTTTTACACGGGTCACTTTCCTGGCGATAGAGAGAGTCATAGTAACCTTTCAAAAGATGTGCAAAAATGTTTGCTAGCTTGGTTCCTTTTTGAAGAACGGGTAAATTCAAACAAAAAAATTTTCACTTTGGATATTTTTTTTGCCAGTTGAGCTGGTGTCTTTCACGAAATGCTTCTGAATACAGGCACGTTACAGGGGCGCAACTACGGGGGGGGTCCTGGGGGTCCAGACCCCTGCCCTTTTTCTCAAAAGGGTAAAAGTGCCCTTTTTCCTGGAAAATTGCTTGAATATTTTAACTATTACGCTAAAATGGTTGGTCATACAGTAAATGACACACTACGGAGATGTAATGGACCTCGCAGGAATACAGATAAATGATTTAGTCGAACTTTCGCGCACTTGTTGGGTCGAACGTCATCATGTTGCAGTAATAGAGTATATCTTCAAGCCCCAACTCTACAGCGTGTTTTATGATGCGCTACGCACTGGCTTTGAAGAAGAATGGTTCTGGGACTCAAAAACCAAAATAAAGGCACAGGATTTTGAACGGGATAGAGCCTCTACGACCTCTGGTAAAAAGTTACAAGAATAAAAACCAAGACATTTTCCAAGCCTGTCACATAGTTGACAGGGTCATAGAAGACCTTTGCATGAAACGAGCGAATGCAGGGAAATATTTTCGGACTGGTATTAGCAAGCAGTAAATATGACACAAAAAGTTGATGTTCAGCTGTTCCGTTCCTTGTCAGTATTACAAATCAGCTCAAGGCAAGACTTGGAGACAGAAACAAGCTGAAGGCAAGGCTCGTGGAACTGTTCAACCTCCTCCAATCTGTAGTGCGAAGCAAAGAATTCAATAATAATATTTTAAAGCGCAAAATGTCTTCGGATATGGAAGATGATGGGCTGCTATTCAAAAGTGAGCTGGCGCTGGGAAAAGGAGATGACAGCAGGGTCGCCGAGAGGGGGACAAAGGGGCAAATTGCCCTAGGGCCTCGAGGTCTAGGGAGCCTCACAAAGCAATGAATTCTGTTTTTAAATGGAATTTATTAAAAGTAACAAAATTACAATTAAAAAGTAAAACATCTTAAACGAATTAGTGAATTTAAGCTATTTGCAAGGGTATGGTGGCAAAATTTTTGCTCGCTTCGCTCGCAAGAGGCATTGTTTTTTCCATTTCCCCCCTCCTTCGGGCCTCCTAAACTTCATCACACCTCACCACAAAATAAACCGTACACCACAACTTTTCTCTATTGATCAGTTTCCCTTGTCTGGCGTACAATATTTACAGATTTACTAACTGCTCATATTTTCGGTGTACCTAAACAAATGCCCCGGTGGACCTTTAATGAAGTTTAATTAGTGCCCTTTTTGTGTCTTGGACCCCTGCCCTCTGAAATTTCTGGTTGCGCGCCTGCGTTAATATAAAGAGGTCTTTGCTGCAATGACTCTCTCTATGGTTCACAACCTATTGTTTTATTGTGCATTCCAACATTACGAGAAATGTGCAGAAAGTTTAAGGAATGACTTTAAGACGGGAAAATAAATTCAAAACTTTGTTTCAATATTCAAACAAAAGTTATAATAATTCGAATAAATTTCGATCAAAGTACTTTCTCCAAACTTAATTTCAAATACTAAACATGTTCATGTGAGCCATAGTCCATTCAGAGCAGTACGTAAATTTGCATCAACCTGATAAATATCCATAGATGATACGAAAATATTACTAATAAATCAACAGCCTGACTAAATCACTTACAAGGAGCAAAAACTAACAAGTATTTGCTGCTTGCTGAATACTTTTGCAGTAAACTAAAACAATCAATAATTAACTACCTGGTGCCCATGATATGGAATATATCGCAGTTTCATTTCTAGAAGTTGATTTCACCTGCAAACAAATATTTAACATGTGGCGTTAAAATGAGATTAATTTAAAATCTGGTAAATAATATTATTTAAAAGTGTCACTTTAGCGAGCATCTGGCTCAATAATCAAATAATCACTTTACTTGTCTGTGTCAGGCCATTATATGCTAAATCAGATAGGAACAATAGAAAAAACAATTGACAGCATGGCTAACAAATAATTCACAGATCATTGAGATAATATCTCTGGAGGTTCAATGACATTGAAACTACATTGACACCAGTTAATTCCAAGCTCACAGATAACAGCTGAATTCATTTCTCTTGTTTGAAGAAGAAACTAAACTCACAGCTTCCATTGTTTGAATATTCCATACTTTAATTGTACCATCAAAAGAGCAAGTTGCAAGAAGATCTGGGTCATCAGGATGAAATTTACAGTCAAATATGGTTTCAATATGTCCCTGCAACAAAGGAAGCATGAAAGAATGACTGTTTTAAGTTGAATTTTGTTGTCAAGTCAAGATTGAAGTCAAGATCACAAAGAGCCACGCCATACAGCAGCACTATTTGAGAGGCTTTGAAAGACTGGGTGGCATCCTACAGAATTGTAGTTAAGAGTGCAATAATCAAATACTAAACTTATCATGCAAGATCAACACAAATCCATAAACTAACATCCATAATAGAACTAAAATCTTGATAAGGACAAATGTTTGCTTGGAATAATGGTAGCTTTTCTACTGATAAAACAACTGGCCATTGTCTTTGGTAATGAAAAAATATATTACATGAAGAACAACTTACATAGTCCCTTAGAAAATCCCATCTTCGTTTGCTGATATCATAGAGTCCAATACCTCCATCCAAAAACGTACAAACTACATGTGCAGGGGGAATTTGGTATGCAGAGTTTGGAGTTGAAGATGATTTGCCTGCAGACAGTGAAGTAGATGAGGCTGCAGCCCATCCTCTTCCACTATCCATTGGCAGATAGTCTAGTGCCTTGTTTCTATGAATTACACAGATTGAGTGAAAACCAGTCTCCTTTATTTTCAAATTCAAAACTGGCGAATCTCTGGAAACACTCCATAATCGCAAAACTCCACTTTGTGTATCTAGAGAAAACATAATTTAAATAAAATTCGAAAGAATCTGCGAATCTTTCAGATATTTGATTGATTATTTGATTAGGATTTATCACAAGATTAACCAATATCTAGAGAAGCTCCCTCTAGCCAGCTTAAAAAAGTTGAATTCCAATTTTTATCTTACTTAAGTTGAATATCACCCTTAGCTATTTCTGGTAGCTACTAGAAACAGCTTTTACATAGATTAACATAATATGGGCCTTGAAAAATCTCAGTTTTAACATTATAAGGGAAAGGCTTGTAGTGATTTCAATATTTTAAATAGGCCATATTCTAACTATTTGCTGATCATGCCATCACAATGATTTCCCCTTGTGTTGTTCATGATATTGCATACTACAGTGCATTCCCTCTACTATTGTTTTAATCTCCGCTCATTCAAGTCATGCTGAGTCAGCTTCTCCCATTCTATGCCTAGATATTTCTTTATCACATTGCTTCATTTTAACATCATCCTAACTCACCCTTAGTCAGCATTGTTATTTTGTATAAAAGTATATTAATTTGTAAGCAATTCAGTTCAGGATAAAGCACAACAGGCAAGTACATCGCCTCTCTCTCTGACTCTATGTTTTCTGCACATTGAATAAAACACAAGGTAACAATGGAAAGTAACAAATTATGGCATTCAAGTCATTCACTGAAATGCTCAATAGTCCTGGTTATGCAAAAAACCACTAAAATTCCATCATTTTGCAAATAATAATTACTCTATTAACTTATTATATTGTCATTTTGTAGAAATAAATCATAGCATTCTCATGAACTTCTTTCCTTGGAATCTCATTTTTACAACAGCGATGAATAGTGAAGCAGCCCAAAAAGTGATTACTTTCACAAAAAGTGATTTCTTTTTTAAGATAGGGAAAAGAAAGTTATACTTTTTATTATTTTGGTGAATGTTATAGGTCATGCAGCAATGAAAATTTCAAGCTTTAAGAAAATTTCTGGTAGTTATGAAGCAATAATTACCAAACTTGGCTATGAAAACATGTTTTAGAAGCATGCATATTGATTCCTGCCAATCTATGTGCTCATAAAAGAAATAAAATTAACATAAATACTTGTATCAGTAAATTCTTACCTCCAGTCACAAACATGCCTGGAGCATTTAAGATCCATGAGAAACCTGAGATTCTTGCAGCAGCACTAGGCAATTTGAAGCTCATTATTATATTCATAGAATCTGTGTCAATCAGCCTAATTCCAGTCCGATTTTTATACGCAACAAGCAAGTAATCGAGTGACAATGAGTCCCACTCCAGCATTTGAACTGATTCCTCTTCTCCATTTTCCTCAGAGCTATCTGGTCGTAAAATATGTTTTTGTGCTTTTTTACCAGGATTGAGCAAAGAGATTGAGCCATCTTTGTGACCAAACGCTAATTTTCCTATTCTTTTGTGATTCCAAGAGAAGTGTGCTACATCAGAATAGAAACTAAATGTTTCTTTGTGGGAGGTCACTTCTTGATTCAAAGAGCTGTTCCACATAAATAGTGGACCACAACCATAAATAAATGAAATAACATCCTTTTCATGAGGTGACCATTCAATGCAAACAGGAGACTCCTTTATTTGTTTCAAGCGAGCAATAACTCTTTGATCTGAGATGTCCCAGAGAATAATTTCCTTGTCAGTACTTGCACTTGCTAGAATGTTTGGATCTTTTGGATTCCAGCTGATTGAAGTTATGGTCTTCTTGTGTGCAGATACTACTGAGTGGAGATTGAACTTCTTCAGATTGGCATCCCACTAAAACAATCACACAATTCATATGCAAATATGTATCCCTTAATTGATATATAGATACAGATGGATGTAATACTAAAACAAGATGCTATTATATTTAAAACTTTGTCTTGATCTTTTGGTATAAGTTACCAAATTTAAATTTGTTTTATGTATGGTTATATTATTCTGATGAAGGATTACAACCAAAACAGAAGGAACAACTGAGTAAGTTAGAAGAAAGATATCCAGGGATGGCATTGAAAATCAGTTGCTTTAATTGGGCTATTTTGCTCTGTTTGCTATTTTGGTATGCTATGCATATACAACTCTGATATATGTCTGAAAAAGATGAAAGTTCACATTTTATGAAAGTTCACATTTTATGAAAGTTCACATTTTATGAAAGTTCACATTTTATGAAAGTTCACATTTTATGAAAGTTCACATATACCTATAGATATAGGGTAACTATAAAATTTTATATCCAATTGGCTGAAGATTCTGCACAATCAGATGAAACCGGTACAAAAAAGTGTCATTTCTATGACTAAATCTAAATTGCAAGTACATATAGATATATATACTCAAGGCTTTGAAGAAATGACTGCCAAAGTTACAGTCAAATCGTCAATGTGACCATGCTTAATGTGATAAATGGGCAACCATTTATAATGACATACAAAAATAATGAAAGTAACTGTTTTACCAGTCTTTGATACAGTGCTAAATGATGCATTGGTAGAGGTGTATCATTAGGTTGTAGAACAGGATACCTCTAAGCTGTTACTGTTTACTGGTCTGCCATAATGTGCATGATGCTGTATAGGCAGAGTTGTACATGCTCATAGTGTATAGAAAAGGATGGTTCTAAGCTGCTACTCCGGGTTTCACTGAAAGCGTGGAACAATACAGTTGCATGATGATGCACTAATTGTGAAATCTGAAGTAGCAACTTAGAGCCTTCCTGTTTTCAAAATTCAAAATATGTTTACAAGTTTATATAAGAAAGGAAAAATACCTCATATATGTATATAGCTAAAGTTGAACAATAAGCAAATCTTTCGCCACATGCAGCACACATTCTTGGACTCCATGGTTGCGCCCCTGCTGTCAGTAACCCAACCTGTCTCATTGACATTTTGATTCCCTTTGTCTGCTAACAACACATTTTGATCATCGTTGAGGTTTCAGGCCTAAAAAGGAATGCTTTGGAACAATTTAAGTTGTTCATTCAATAAACAAATATGGAACCTTGCTAAATAGAAAAGCAATATCTAATGGGCAATTGAAAAATAAAGAATATTTATCTAAAGGTAATTCAAATTTCTACTGTCTGCAAAATGCTCTGATTAGTAAACCTTACACTATTTTTAAGAGACATTAAATAATGCTACTGTTTGGATAGATGCTCTTTTATTTTTCGTTTTCATTTCAACTTTGATTTTTCTATTTCCAGGTTCTGCCATTTTTTCAAAGACCACTGAAAACAACTATGTGATGACATTTTTAATGTATATGTAGACTGCCTTTTTAACATATTATAGTTTGGAGGCCTGTATCAATAAAGATAATTGATAAATTGAAAAAAGGATCCAAAACCTAAAAGCTTTAATTTTCTTGACCCTGATCAAAATTATATTCTATGGTGTTGTGCTGAGTTCATTTGATAATTCCTACCATCAATTTGATGAAAAATATGAAAAGTTGTTTGCAAAATATGAAAATTCCTATAAATGAATTAATCTAGTCACAATAAAACAATTTTTGTTGCAGGAAATAAATAATAAATCAAAACCTTATGGGGTGGTCTGAAAAAAATTAATTGAAGAAACAGTATCTTCTTACTGATTTCGGTAAAACAATAACAGGTACCTATATTTGCACAATCGCCCATAGGCATAAGTAACTAGACGTTAGTAACACGAAAGGCATTACATAAACAGCATGAGCTGTTAATGTATTTAAAATTCTAGACTTTTCATGCTTACCTTAGGAGCCATTGGCTAAGTTAGGAGATTTTGTGGCAGCTTTGCGCGCCTTTGCTCTTCCAAGGATCTTGACGTAAAACGGTCCCTTAAATGTCATGTGTGATTAGGCGTTCGCTCTCGGATCGAAAATAAACAATTAGTTTCATGAACTATACTTTTTAAGGGCAATACACTTTTAAAGATTGTTTATTGGAGAAGGTAGCAAAAGAGCTATAGGAAAAGCTATTCATTTGAGTGATTTTGCGAAATTTTTGCTGTATGTTCAAAATAACTTGCAAAATTTGAGAAATCCTTCAGGCAATGCTATTTGTATTTGCACCCATTTATCATAAACAGTAGGCGGCATAACTTGATCTGCTGTATTATACCTTTGCTCTGTTTTACGATTGATTTCAAAGGGTAAATAACGCCTTGGGTTTATTGATGACGGGTAATCGCAGACAGTTCTCAACTCCTTGAAAAACATGACCTGTTATGTCAAGGAGACAATTCACTGTTGTGGTAGTGAGACGATTACGAGGATAAATGAAGCATCGCCTCCTCGTTGTCATGACAACAATCTAACTGTACAAAGCAGATATCAGATAGGGCTGGCTCGTTTTGGCAGCACAATACTATTGAAATCTGAGCGTTTTGCTTAGCTTCAACCAAGAAGCAATTAAACCTTGAAATACTGGTTACATTTCTAATCAAGAATATACACATAAAGCTGTCACAAAAATTTACTTTTTAAAATTTCATGTTTATCGGAAATTAAATTCCTTCAATTCATGTACACTGGGGTCGCAATAGCATATAAATTTTCAACAATGATAATTCATTACAGTAATAAAATTAGAACTTTGATGAAGAACCACATAAGTACGGAACTAAGAACCTATCTGCAAAGTCAACAACCTGAGCATATATGTAGACCTTTGATAAAGCGAACAGAATTGTGATTGGTCGATAGTTTCGTTTTTCTGTAGTTTTCTCACTTTGAATAGCGGACTTATTAAGCACCAAAAATCCGGTGACAAAAATTTCAGTCATATTTTTAAATTTCGGTGTAAATTTCGGTGCAAATTTCGGTGAGAACTTGAAAAATTTGCGTGGAAGTTATTTCTATCTTCAATACAAAATTACCTGGAGCGCAAGCATAAAAGTGGAGGGAATATTTTGATGTCAGCCCCGAATGTCAAAAACTATTAAGGTCAGTGGGCAAGAATGTCATAAACTATTATTTAACTGGAGAAGGGCTTTTTTATTTAATTTCTTGTAACCCATGGAGAAAATTATTTGGTGGCGTTTACAGCTGGCAATATTTTCGATCGCCAATCACAACGAGGGGATTATAAATTCTGACCGATTGTGAGTTAAAAATCGAGGCGAAGGAATAGATAGAGTGAACTTAATATCAACCCAAGCGTATACTAATTGTTATTTTTTTCCGCTAATAGCTTATGGCTATAACTACATGCTAAAGGTCTCTAATAGCTTTTGATTAACAGAGTTCGCTGAAACACGTTGTATGTCTCTTGCTTCAAGCTCTCTCTCTGTTGAACCCAAATTCGCAACAATAATGTGCAAAATTAGCTGAATGAGTTACAAATTGGCTGAGATATGACCGCATAGGCACAGGTTCTTTCCCCACCAAACCTATGTAATTTGGTCTTGGTTCAAAACTTTATGAACCAAGCCAGAAACTTTATGAACCAAACTTGATATCTTTCATTCGCCATAACTCGCCCAATTTTGAACATACCTAAATTTATCCAATTTTGAATACTCTTTTGAAACCATTGAAACGTTAGAAAGAAACCATTGGGGAAATTTTAAAGAGCCAGTAGAAGCATCAGTTTAGCCCAAAGAGAACTCAAATTACTTGGGTGTAGAGGGCGAGAGAGAAGAAAGTAAAGATGAGCAGTGAATCTTATTTGTTAATTATGAAGGAGAACCAGAAACTGAATATTCATATGTATTTGATTTATAATCGTACTCAAACAACATCAAGGAAATGAAACGAGATTTTTCTAGCGTTATGTATGTCTTGATGTATGTCTCTTAATCTAAGAGATTCAGGAAACGCTTTTGGAGTAATGAATAAATGTAAATTTTGTCAGTAATGATACAAAACTGTCTTTGTTTTCTTTCAGTTTCCGCGGAGAAATACTTTAAATTCTGGACGATTATTTGGATTTTGTCTCGATAATTCATCATTGACTGCCTCCATAGTAATTGGTTGGAACTCGAAGAATGTGCCATGGCTCACTTTATCCATAATCTTGTGAATGCTGGGATGATGTTTATATATTTAAACAGCAATTTCAACAGGGTCCAGCAAATGGTTTATCGAATTAAGTGTGCATTGACCAAGGGCAATGCAGTGGTGGCGCCAGGGGAGGGCTAAGGGGGGCTACAGCCCCTCCGTCGGAAGCATCTAGCCCCCTCCCATCTGAGGAAATTTGAGGTTATTGTCGGAGCAAATTTGACATAATAACGTACGAAAACTGCTTATTTTAGTCATTTTAGCCCCCTGTCGGAAGCTCCAGCCCCTCTGTCGGAAGATTTCCGCCACCTCTGGGTTAATTTAAATAGTCTTTGTGATATTTATGAAAAAATCATTAAGGATCTCAGCTGTTTCACTGTCATTCGTAATAAACTTTTCATTTTCGATAAGCGTAATACTTGAAGAGGTTTGTACCTTGTCAGTAAAAAGTGGCTTTACAGTTGTCCAGAACTTTTTATTGTCAGTGGCAGAGTTTATATCAAGGTTACCATAGTATGATGTTTTTGCTTGTCGCAGAATTTTAACACCCCTGTTTCTTTGCTTTAAACAAGCGGTCCAGTTTTCAAAGCATAATGCCTCTTTAACCTGTTATGGAACTGTGTACGGAGCATAATTTCCGTTCTTAAAGTGTTCGTCATGAAAGGAGCACCGGAGGTGCATCATTTACGCGTAAATATCTTTGTTTCAGAGGTGCATGGTTATTCAGAACTTCTTCGACAACAGAAATACAGTTTTAATATACTGTAAAATTTTCAGTATGCTTCGCTGTTCTTAGCTAGATTGCTTCTAAGGTCATTGGGAAACTTTATAGGATAAAATTTACTGTAGTCTCGGTATGTCACAATCTTCGGACCTCTTTTAAGAAAATCACTCTTAAACACTGTTAATATCATCAAATTAAAATCAGACAATCCCACCTCTTTGCTGTAGTATTTGCTGTAAAGCCAGAGGTTTACTTCATTAGAAACATATCAACCGAGAGGGACTGTCAGCAGATTTATAACAAGTGGGACTTTTCATCAAATTTTTTAACCCATAGATATCCATGAAATTGCTTATTTCGCGATTTATCTCTTCCGAATTTAAATATCCAACAATGACAAAGTTTTGGTATCAAAGAGTAAGTTGGTCAAGCACTTTGCCCATCTCTGCAAAGAAAAAATTTTCATATCGAGAAAGGGGATGGTAGGTAATGATCAATACCCATTTTTTCTTGCCCACATTAATTTCCGTTAATACACATTCAATTGAATGTCCACCTGTTTGATTTCATTTGCTGGAATTTTATCTCTGATAGATACAAGAATCCGGCCACCGTTTGCATTTCTATCTTAATGGAAAGGTCCTTTGAAACCATCAATTAAAAATCGACTACACTCAATTTTTCATAAGAAACTGGCTATAAGAAACGAGTACTGGATAGTCAGAAAAAATTAAGAAACTTCAGTACTCGAAGCAAAAAAATTAAGAAACTATTAAATCGTGATAAAACTGAGAACAACGAAACTTCGTAAAATCCAGAACATGATTGCACTGTTGGCTTAGAACCTAAGACACAAGGAAAAAACATACTTTCCAGATCTAAATACAGCATTAGAACTTAAGCGAATCTCTTGACGTGATAAAAAGGCCGCGAACATTTCATAGCATTATTCATGACATCATAATAAAGAAATTCTTCAGAAACAATGAGTATTGAAATTTCAAGAACATTAGGAAACTGGAGTACTCAACATCAACCTTTGTTTCTTATAAAAAATGAGTGTAGTTGGAAAGGATTCTTCTAATTTGGTTTAAAAGCGTTCAGGATATTGAGATTGAGAATTTTGAGATTTTATTTCGGATTGATATCATATTCAGATGAGCTAAAATTAGGCATCTTTTATTCTTGTTCCTAAAAGTTGATAGTCTGGCAAGGGGGTTAATATCTTCGGTATCAGAAATAGCAATTTCATGTGGATTTCGATTTTCTAAAGTAGGGTGAATTTGCTTAGCTGTGTGTTTATTAAATTTAGCTGTGAGTCCAATCATCACACCACTGAGCCTTGAGAGGTCATTGGCAAGAAGGACTGTGCCCGTTTTAGTCAGGTGCAAAGCACTTCCATTCAGGTGCTTAGTTGTATCGATGTTTTGGTGCTCGATGAAATCTAAATCTTTTGCTCCGCACAGAGTTTTCATTTCTTTGTTTACAGATTTTGCTTTCGCATTTAACGTTGAATTGTCACCTCGAGATATGATAGTTGATACAACAACTTCACTTTCTCCGTTTCTTAAATCGACTGCCAGATCATTGACAATTTCTTTAGAGATATATTTGCATTCTTGGCAGTTTTTGAATTATTTTGACAAACAATAATATTTTAACAATTTTCAACAATATGCAGAAACATATCATAGCTTCGTATTGATCTATCTCTATACTTTCCTTTTGGTCCTGACACCAGATGAGGATATCATGGAATGGGACTTATTTCAAGTGGAGGAGTGGGGCCTATTAAATAAAGCGCGGGCTAAATAGAGTGATCAAATAGAGATCCTACGTTTCTGGCAAAATTGTTACAGCTTCTTGAAGGTGTCACTAATACTACATTATTCTTTGAGGTAGTCAACGAACTAGGTGTCGTTTACAACAAAGTAGACCCATGAGCATTCAGTAGTCTTGTTCAATTGAATGCTTGGGGGTCACTTGGTCTGCATCCTCAATGGTTTCCTTCAAGACGAGGGAGATCCGGCAGTGACGAGTCCCTTTTCCAAAGCAAATGACCTCATCTGAGGTCAAATTTCAAGTCAATCAACAGCAACCTCAGTTTGTTCTGCAGTTCGACAGTTTCTCTATGAGAAAGCGGTCCATCACAACGACTATATATAATTCTATAGCAAAAGCTAAGTAAGTCACTCTCCTCATGACACAACACTCTCAGCAATCGGACACTGTGAACCATACCCAGGCAACATCGACGTAGAGCAGCCCTGAGAACACTCTCGCTTTCACCTCCTCTGACCCAGAAGCATATATCATGACGGTAACAAAGCGGGTACAGGACTTTGACTGGCGTTTGCGATCCATTTACCTATGTAAAAAATATTGGGAATCTTATAATCGTTAGGCTTTGCTGAAAGAAAACGCGGTAGTTTTGAAGGTTAGGTAATGAATGTAGCTTGGCGGTAATATCTCAAGCAAAACATTCTTGGTCATCGGGAGGGAGGCACCTCGCCGTGTCGGAAGAAGGAAAGAATGAGGAGTTCGACTGGTACCTTGACATAACCTACGACTGGCTTAGTGATCGCCGATTGTTGGTAATGTCCTATGAAAAAGGTCAATCTGCAGAGCCACGTATATCAGCACTTATAGCCATTATTTGAAATCTTTTAACTGAACATTCCACAGAAAGCAAATCCTTGCTAAACATTTGCAGAAGAAAGCGCCCCAATAGATTTAACAAGCAATATTAGATGTTTCTCAAGGCTCTTCTCTATCTCCTTTAATTCATTGTCTTAGATTATTGACTTTAGAATTCTATCGTTTACAAAGCTTGCACAATGCTAGAAGCAAACTAAAGTGGCACTTGAAAGTTATGTCTATGTGAAAAAACCTCTGAATGCTTAAAAATCTACACAGTCTACACAGGGCCAAAACTCGCAAAAGATACAACTCTTGCGTTCCAATAAAAGCAATATCTTACCATGCAATACGTCAGGCTTTGTAAGAAAACTTTGTCTTTCAACCAAAGTAATCTTATGTCCTTTATCTTCAGCAATGCCATACAAAGAAGATCTGGTCTTATAATGGTAAGGAATGTAGGATATTTCTTTTCTTTCGCAATAGTAGAACCATGTATTTCTCTTTTCATTTTCAAAATGCCTATGCTTACAACAGGCATATTATTTATTTTAATATTATATATAGGTGATTCAGTTGCAAAACAAGCGGAGAACGAAAAGGTTTGCATGCTCTCTAAACAGAAATAATCTTTTTCTCTATCACTCATGTTGTATTCTTCCAATGAAACCTTGTAATACTTCAGATGTGAATCACAATTTGTTTTTTGTTCCTTTGATATTGTTAACTCTGGTCTGAATGACAACCAGGCTTCCATGTCCATGTCCTCAAGAAAATACGGGATTTTATTCAAATCAAATTTATCTGCATTGACCATCTGCTTGTGAAAAGGATTGCTTGTCAAGATGGGACCTGAAGATTCACTCAAAGACCATAAAATATCATGGTTACCAAAAACATTTTCCAATGCAACATAAACTTTAGTTGCAACTTCTGACAATGAATTGTATTTCAAGCATGAATCCACAATCACAATTTCTGGTGTAACAGGGTACGACTCTGGAGAAATTGTTGTGGTTGAGTCAATAAACAAGGACCCAAATGAGATCAGAGAGGTATTCTGGCATTGATCGTTCAAAAAACTGAGCAAGTCAGGATTAGCACTGCTTTTAACATAAATGTTAAAATCACTGTTTATACTGCTAAGACTTGTTCCATTTGAGTGACAGCTACCATACAAGTTGTCAAAAACACATAGCACATTTGACAAAGAATTCAGCAGTGGATGCCACGACATTTTGAAAGGATTCCATTTCGTCAGTTCATTCAACAGGAAATCATCAGCTTCTAATATAAGTTCTTCTCCAACTCTGAAGTTGCTAAAAATTAGAAAATTTCAGCAACTAAGTTTTATTCAAAGGCAATGTGATATAAAAGGAAAATATTGTGCAGCATAACAGAACTGTAAGTTTGCTTCACTTGGTGGTTTGATTTGTAATCAACTAGATAAACAAGGATATCTGTAATATCACCCAAAATATAAATGTCAAGCAGCATTGAAAAATATTGAGCTCTTGATTGATCTGCAAGTGCAGGTGTAGTCAGTAGAGAATTCTTGCATTAAGTATCATCATATGTTTTTAAGATAAATGAAAAGTGCCCTTACTAATTATACAGTTCTTATCATCATTATGTAGCCAAAACGTAACCAAGAAATTAATTAAGTTGTTATATCACAAATTAAAATCAATGATTGACCTTCTTAGGAAAAAGGCTACACTAGATGATACTCAATACCAAGTTACATCTTGGTTCCACAGTTATAAAGCAACAATGATCCTAAGATGTCTATCTCAAAAAGTTGTTATTGTTGTTCATATTATCTTTTTTTTAACACAAATATATTTTTACAGAATATAGTACCAATTTGATTTTAATTGTATGGATCAGATACGAGTTAAAACTTACAGAAAATTTGGTAAAACAATTCTTTTCTCCTTTTTGAAGACATATGTTAATGATTCCTTTTCTATAAAGCCTTTGTGAAGATTCCCTCTGTAGCCAGCTGGCTCATAGCCTAGGGGTGCTATTGACTCAAAGGGTATCACATTGCACAATACAAAACCTGAAAAGAATTAAAGAGAAGGTCCAGTAAAGTTTATCACAAAAGCTTAGCCTTAAGCAGCTAGTGGCTTATTTGATCTTGATTGGATCTCCTATAGTCTCTGTCTTGGTTCTCTAACAGCCTTCAAAGTAAGAAAGTTGTCTTCAGCACATGTTTGATGGGCAGTACAGGGAGGTTCACAGCTGTTCCTCTAAATTTAACTTTGAATTATACCATCAGAAAGCATGAATCTGGAGACAAAAATCTTGCCATGCTCCTTTTCTTTCTATTTTAAAACACAGGCCACTAAATTAGCTACAAAAGAAGGTTGTTTTATGCATTGGTTCTTCCCTTTTTCTTAGCTTTGCATTTTACAGTAAGCAAGAATTCACTGATTTAGGTGCGACTTCACCGGTTGGCCAAATTAGTTTCTTGCATTGTGATAAAATTTGATTAACCAAGGCAATTACATTCTTCTTATGCCCATGCCATAATGGATCAATTTTTGATGTTAGTCTACTCTTTGGGGTTTTGGATGTTCTTGATTCCTTGTTGTAGCTCTATTGAATAACTTTGAGTTTTGGAATGGTACTTGCCTTTACCAATATTAAGATCGGACTAAAAAGAAATATGTGCACTGACATCATTAACCTTTGGACTTTATTTCAAATTCCTTCAGGTGTTATTTGCCATAAGGAAATGACTGGCAGATTTCTATAATAAGAAAAAATGGTTACACTCAAGAGATTCATTAAGCCTGTTTTCCATATAATCATAAGGATTGCCAAAGAAGCAATGATTGCACAAATTTTTTACTGTTGTGTTGTAATGGAAACTGTCCATGTTTCTTTTTGATGGAAGCACACTCAGAGAATAATGGAGTTCATATGTTGATAAGTACCAATGCCAGAAATCAAGGCCTCCATTTCAATGAATCCCTTTTAAAAATCTTTCTCTTGAAATCAATGAGGAATTCAACTTATTCAAGACGGTTCTTGCAGCATCTGAAAACTTTGATATAATGGAAGAAATGAAAAAGATTGCACAATTGGTACAGCCAATTTTACAAACATTAGGTGCCTAACTGGATCAGAAATCTACAAAATTTGAACAATTTTAAGATTTCAACAGAAACAAATATTCTTGGTCATGGACAGGAAGCTCTATGTTCAAGTATTGTAATGCACCCAAATGAATCATTTTTGGTGAAAACTGTGTCATCAAGAAATTAGCTTTGCTGTAAATTGGTGGTCATTTGAATTTATGTGAGTGTTATGCTACCAGGGATCTTTGTGATTACATGAAAACAAGGCTTGAAAAAGAAATTACCCACACAGTATGAACACAATACATTTTTACTGAGGAGATGACTCTTGTTCTAGAAAAACCCTGACCACTGGGTCAGTGGAGGAAACTCAGGCTTTCATTTAGGGGGAGGGGGCTAAGGCCCAGAAGTTTGTGATAAGATAACATCTTGGTTGGGCACTTTGTTAATCATCTGAAGAAAGCCAGAATTTTTTGACAAGGGTGCTGATTCAGAGGGCTGGAGCCAACCCTTTCCCCCCATACCCCCATAATTGCACTTGGTCTGCAACCAGGATCCAGGCAGGAAAACTTGCAGCTTCCCTTTAGATGGACAGAAACATCCAGGATCCTTAGCACTCACACTTAACCTGCCATGTCAACCGTGGCATAAATACAAATACTTTAGTCATGTATATGGGAGCTCAAACAATGTTGATTTGCTTGTAGGTAGGTAAGAGTAGCCAAAATCACACAGGTTTTCCAACTTAGACCAGGATGGGTCAGACTTCTTGGGAACTCTCTGCAAGCAAAGATATAAACATACCAGCTTCAGATGCCTGAGATGCCACTTGCCATGAATTACCATAACCATTTCTTGAAGCGTCAGTGGGGATACCTCCTTGTCCTTTACAAAGTGTGACAAAAACAAGACCAGTTTCATCAACAAACTCTATTACACTAGAAAAGAAATCTTTTAGAAGACTTTTACATCCCTTTATATTTGATTTTCCGCCTACATGTGGAAAATTAAAAATGACTCGAGAGAAAACAAGCCCCTCTGTCCCGTCTGCTGCCCTTTGAAATGTAGCATGCAAGTTTTTAGCATCAACTTTGTGAAGAACACGAACATCCCCTATCTCTTCTAAAGCCTTAATATTTTCGCGTGAATTTTCATGCTGTGCTAGAGTCTCCACAGGGTCATATGATGTCGCAAAATATTCGATTTTATTATCTCCTTTCCTGCAACGCTCGTCATTGTCTTTCGATTCCTGACTAGCAACCAATGAATCAAAATTGCATTGCCAATACTTCTTTAAGAACAATTCTCTGTCTTTTACTAATGCAAGTGAAAAGGAAAAGTTTCCATCACCTAGAATTAGTATATATCTGGTCATCTTACAACCATTTTTTCTGAAATGCAGTAGTAACAATCCACATGAAATGCGAAGCGGTTAGAAGCCTTATTGGAATAGCCTCTCTTTCCACTGTTCAGTTCTTCGCAATGAGGTACTTCGTCAATCATTGTTTTTGTTTTTGTTTTTGTTTTTCGTGTTTTCGTATGGGACAGAAATTGTCGTGTCGTTAGGTGCGGCTACTGGTTACTACTCACTGGACAGAAAGTTATAAGGTTGGTTAAACAGCCATTCCCTATTTGTCTTGCAGACGCAATTGCAATGATGTGTTCAAAATTCTGGGATTTTTTTCCGGTAAAAAAACTGTCCTTGTTCGAGTGCAAAGCTTGCCCCAATCCACGTTGAAGACTAGGGTGAAACAACAATAAACACACGTAAATTAACTGTGGCTTATCTCCACAATAATGAATAAATACCCACTGTGTTTGTTGAAGTTGTAGGTACAGATCTGCGATCTGCTAAATTTGATGAAGAAATTTTGAACTTTGTCCTAAGAACTGCGAGTGTGTTAATAAAGAAAAGGTCACAATATCTTGCTGCTCGACGGACTCCGATGGTGTTCTTGCGGCGAAAAGTCGTACCAGGTCACAGAATACGATCTGTGACCATGTGCTTCCCCCAGAGTCGGTTTTCATCACCAATGGTTAATAATTCACCAAAACGTTGTTTTTTCAGTACGTTTTATTTGACTTGCGACCCCGGAACGCTTGAATTCCCTGTTGTTGTCAGGGTCACCAAGATGTTTTGGAGGCCCTGGGGCCAAAGTAAAAGACGAGGCCCCTTGCGAGCGAAGCAAACAGAAATTTTTGCCACCACGCCATTTAGAATAGCTTAAATTCATTAATTCATTAAAAAATGTTTTACTTTTTTAAATGTAATTTTGTTACTTTAAATTAACAGAATTTAAATTTTGACACGGAATTCATTACTCTATAAGGCGTACACGCTCCCCTAGACCGCAAGGCCCTGGGGCAACTTGATCCCTTGCCCCTATTCTTTGTAATAGGCCGCGTGCAGCATTTCGCACGTCTTGATTACTTTGCGCGCACGATGTGGACCGTATTTTATCGTTCGTTTCTCATTCCTGTTGTCAAGAATTATAAGGTGCAGCTTTCAAGGAGACTTTTTGTGTAATAAACTAACCAGAAACCAAGAAAATTGACGGATAAATTGTTCTTGTTCTTCTTTTAAGATATTAAATTTAACTAGTAAACAAATTCTCTAGGAAGTAATTATAGAATCATTTTGTAATCATTTAAAGATATCTGGATTGGGAAAAAATTCAATTACCGTAGACCCTACCATCTATCGCGAGAAATTACAATGAAGCATCACTGGCTTCAGTACCATCGTTAACGTAGCGGATATCATAGCGATTACCATTTGATCGTTGTTCCTTTCGTGATAATATGATATTCATCGAGCAATCGAATGGGAAGGAATGGGTAGAGAGATGACATAAAGGTCGAAATGAACACGAAAGTTTTTACAGCTCTGCATCTTAAAAATGGTTCAAAAATAGTTTAAATAATTGAAAAACAGTCAGCCTCAATTTCTTTTTTGTCATAGCTTTCTTCAGTGTCCTCCTCTTTCTCTAGCTTTAGTTCTTTTCGATATACAGTTGCTATTGTCAAGCTTTCGCTTTCTGCTCTTCGAAAGATAGAGCTCTGTTGCCCTTTTCAATATATAATTCATCTTTCTCGTTCAGCCCATATATCATCATTGATTGCAATACGAAGGCGCCAGGGGCGTCGAGACCGAGGAGGGGGGGTGTCACACCCCCTAATAGTATCTCAATGGGAAATTTGAGGTAGAATCCGCTCGATGGAAGAAATGCTTTAGGTATTTCAGAGACCTTCATGTCATAAAATCTATAAAAGATCAAGCAAAGGTAGTCGCTCCGTTGGTTAAATAAGATATTCCTTGATATGAATGAAGGTAAACAAACTAATGATTTGAAGATTTGAAGATTTTTTGTTGGCACTATATCTAAAAATCCAGGCCTTCTTTAGGTAAAATTGAGTCTTGCGTCCATTTCCCCTAAAGTTGCAATTCACTATGAGCTCCAGGTTTTTGTAACATTCAAAAGGCATGCTAAGATGAAAAGAGGGATCCAAATTAACAACCAGTGCTGCTTGTCACCTAGCTTTAGAAGTAACTGACAACATGGTATTTTTCAAGACCACGGCGAAGTTGTACCAGTTGTTTTAATCTGTTGTCCAATTTGTTTGCAAAAAAAGAATTTTCAAAAGGATTAGGAGGATTGCTTTAGTGAAATGTGCTTAAAAGAGTGGATTTTCCAGGGAACTGAAAGCATAAAAATTTGAAAATTCTCTGATCCTTCGGCGGCAACCATGGTGCCACTCTGGGTAGTAACGTCCCGATATACAGATTTGACAAAACTATTACCACGTTTGTCGATTCATGATTAATTTAGACAATTTTCTAAGAACATGGGCCTCAAAATTGGTCAAAAGTTAAGAACAAATTAAGAACAAGATGAGGCTGAGCTACTGCAAAATGCAATTTTATATAACTTTTTATCTCATAAACGAGGATTTTTAGCAATGTTTTGGTGCTTTTTTGATGAATATTCACACTTGTTGGTAAATGAAGGTTGTCTCACTCACTTTGTTGGCAAATGAGGCCTGAACACCTTCCTAGAGCGAAGAAGCTAGCAATCGTACTGCTTACACCCTCTTAACTTAAGAACAAATTAAGAAAAATCCAGCCTCAGACTTTTGAAAAGATTAAGAACAGTCAGCCTGAACCTAAATCTACTGTTTCTTATAAAAAAGAGTGTAGTTTGTTTATTGGTGTTTATTCAAGTATGTGCAAACTTGACACATTTAAGCCACCTTTAATCTGTACCAACCTTCTCTTCAAGTCACTTAATTGAAGCATAAGAGGCAAACCAATTCTTTGTGAGCAGTCCGGGGATATCTGCATATTTTGCCATGGTGTACTTTTATTTTACCTATTTATATCTCCCAAATTATTGAGTTTCTTTTTTATAACCAAAATCAACAGGAGACATGAAACAAACAAATCTTCATCGTATTACGTACTAGGTTGACCGGCAAGTAGAAGCGCGTTTACTATTACAGGAAACAACAGGAAACAACAAGAAACGAATACAAACGAGGAGAAACGATAAGGAAACAACATGAAACGATTTGTCACTTAGCAGAAACGACATATCTCCAAAACGAGGCAAGCTTATCTATCCACGTGGGCACGGTGTTCTTCCTTGCAGTGGCCTACGTGTTTGGTCATGTCGTTCTCCAAAGCGATCGCTGTTGTCTCAGATCAAGTTACGCAAAACTCCGTGATATTGTTTTTTATTCAAAAACAACAGAAAATTAAATAACGAACTCTAATATTCGAGAAAAACAACCTGCATAGGCTGAAAATCCACTGCTTGAACAATGTTTGAATGTTTGGGGAGGGGGCCTATCTCAAATAAATTTTTCCTACACAAATACCATATTAACTACAAATAAATAAATTTTTCCACAAATAAATTTTTCCTACACAAATACCATATTAACTACTATCATCATAGCTATTAAGGCAGGATTTCCACTAAATAAATAAAATCGCAGCCGCAGTTGAATTTTTTCTACCAATTTCTGTATATATCGTAGTCGTTTTGTACTTGTTTCTGCTTTTGTCTAGTTGTTTCCTACTCGTTTCCTACTCGTTTCCTACTCGTTTCCTACTCGTTTCCTACTCGTTTCCTACTCGTTTCCTACTCGTTTCCTACTCGTTTCCTACTCGTTTCCTACTCGTTTCCTACTCGTTTCCTACTTGTTCCCGACTTGTTTTTTTGCCAGTCGTTTCTACACTAATTTCCTGTTATAGTAACCACGAGAAGAAAGTATAAAATGTGACTAGGCAGCTTTCTACTTTCAATGGAAACCACATTGTAGCTACAAAGCAGATAGTGAGCTCAGGCTTGCAATCAACATATAGTCAACTGTGCTAGGTGTTTAAAGAAGCTTTTGGTATCGTAAAGCATTTGCATAGATTCTCAATAGTTCTTTTAAAGTAATTAATCTTCAAGTATCATTTATTATGGTTGTTAGTTCACTTGACAATCTAAACTTTGTCAGTCATCTTCGTGCTTGGAGATTTTGTCTGGTTATCAAATTTGTTTGAAATTTTTTGTAATTATTTTTTTAACACAGGATCCTGTTTATAATGGATAGAAATCATCAAAAGTACAACAGGTCGATATCAGGCTTTTCTGCAACAGATGAAGTAATAGATGATGCCTTGCCAGGGATTATTCAGTCTGGTTTGGAAGAGTGCTGGAAGGACGAACTCTTTTTTGACGTGGAAATTATAACTTGTGATGGGTCAGTGAAGTCCCACAAAATTGTTCTAGCAAGCATCAGTCCCTTCTTCAGGGCCACCTTTTCACCTCTGCACCAGCTTAGCAATGAAGTGGGCAGTAACAAAATTGACCTCCAAATTTTTTCGACTCTGACTGTGAAGAAGATACTGCAATATGTTTATACAAAAAAGGTATTATTTGTCTTTTCAATGTAGTAAGGGTTGCTAGTTAAAGTCTTGTTTCCATATAATCGTATGGAGCTGAAATGCTACCTGCACCTGCCTGCCTGTTATATTGAAACCAGGTTTACAAGAGAACATACTCCTTTTGAATTGGTTAGTTAAAATTTGAGTATCGACTCCAGATTATATATTTTTTGTTCAAACATTTCTACAAAGTTTGAAAACATAATAACAGCCATGAAGAAGGACGAATGTTTACCTTTTTGTGTTTGCTTTAATCAACTCTAAATTTATCTGTCATGGGATTAATTAGTATTGGTGAATCTGTGAAGTTCGATAGTGTTTATTGTGATAGCAGATTTATGAAAGTTGGCTGAAGATTTGGATACGGAGATGGGATGGTCGACCGGTTTATGGTGGTATGTATCAGCTTGTTCGTTGCATTGTCTTTACCTGTAAATTGTTAAGTGTAAGTTTATTTTAAGATATTTCAGGGATTTGGTTTCACACGTTCATGGTTATCTCCATTTTCTTCAGCCCTGGCGGTTCTTTACAGCGATGGGAGCAAAGTTTTTCACGGGGAGCGCTCTAATCACGAAGTATACGAGTTCATCTTGGACCCAGACGAGTTCATTGTCGAAATCGTTGCTTACTCAGGCTACATGATTGACAATCTATTGTTTATTACTAACACTGGGAAAGAGTACGGACCTTATGGCGGCGATGGTGGTGGGAGAAGGGTGTTGAAAGCCCCCTCGAAATCAGGGTATTTGTCGTATATCAGTGGTAATGAAGCATTTACACAAGGGTCTCTTGGACTTGTGGAACTGGCTTTTCATTGGATGTATTACGTGAAGTCAGGTCAGGTAGAGCTAGGATATGACACACTAAATAAAGTTTGGATAAAAAAAGAAAAGGAAGCACCAACTCCGCCAATCTCGCTCGTATATTTGGCCTAAGAATACTTTGCGAGCCGTTGGCAGAGACTATGCAATCTATGTCAACGACTTTCTTTCGATGTCCAACTACTGTAAACGCTTAGGCCCCGTTTACACGATGTCGGTACCATGCCAGCATGATTTGATACTGGCGTGGGTAAATCCAAAGCTTTTTGCGCCCTGTTTACACTATACCGATATGATATCGTGTCGGTTAATTGAAACATGTGCGCTTGTATGCATCCTCGTTGATCCTGAAAGGGCGCCAATATACGCGCAAACAAAGAGCCAACACTCAAACGCAAAGCACTTCGGATGAAGGATACTAAAGAGACCAGCCTCTAAGTGGTCTTCGCTTAGAAATTTTCGAGTAATCCATTCACTCGTCGCCTTTTGAGTTGCCTTCAAAATGAGTTGTAAAATAATTTGTAGGCGCGCTGCAATAACTTCGATTTGACTATACTCCTGGCTGAGTGAAAAAATTTACTCGCTTTCAACCCTTTTTAGCCTCAAGGCAAAAGCGGCATGAAATGATGTCGGTACCATGTCGGTACGACCCGTTTTCACGATGTCGTTCCATACCAGCATGAACCCGTATCGGTATTTTTTAATCCGGCCGGATAAGCACCATTTCATCATCATCATCAGGTACTATCTTCTATCAGAAGGTTGGCTACCATGACCCTCCAACTATCCCAAAATCTTGTTTTGATTTGTTGTCATGGTCATAGATAAAAAACCATTTCATGCCGGTGTAATATGCGTTTTGGTACCGATTTCATTTAAACGGATAGCGTAGAGACAAAAAATGAAATGCCGGGATTTCGACTCTTAACTGGATCGCACTGGCATGCAGGGGCGAAACTTCACTATTTTCATTAGGGGGATATGAAGCTTAGATGCCCGACGAAAGGGCGTGCCATGTTTAATGAAGGGCGTGTCATGCATGAACTTAATTTTTAGGGCACATCGCCTCAAGGGCTGAAATCATCGGGGACCCCGAGAGAGGGTCTTTAGACTCAGGCTGTTTGTTTAAAGCAAAAAAGCATGCCTTTAATTTTTCTGGTGTTGGCTATAAACATTTGTTTCCGAAAAGCAAGCATTTGTAAGGCCTGTCTTTTCTATGAAAGAAAAATAGTCTTCAATTTTTAAATCACCTAGCTATTAAGAGAGCAATTAAAAGCGAGATTGAAGTAGGGTCTCAATTTTATCAAAGTTGAACAACAATACACAGCTTGGAAATTTCAGAATTTAGAAACAGCTGACTACAATGTTTCAACAAAAAAGAGCTTCAGTTGCATTTTCTGAGTTTGATTTTCAATTTTCGTGTTTTCGTAATCATGGATATTGCTCAGAAATAGAATAAACTCGAAAGTTTTTTGCAATTCATATCTCAACTACAATTTCTTGATAAATTTTCTATCATTTCCCGCTTGAACTGATTAAAACTTTCTGTTACTTTTTACGGTTATTTGAAATTTTTAGTTAAAAAACTTTGGCGGCTGTACGGTCATTTTCTAGCGAAGGGTGCAATACTTTCGGACCGTAAGTGTAAAACCTTAAGAGAATTTCGGGGCATAACTCCTTATGAATGTATGATAAAAGTTTCATACATTTGTAAAAGAACGTATTGATTGATTTTTCTTAACAACGTATTTTGAGATGGTATATCCTTCATGCTTTGATTTATGCTGCTTCTAAAACTGTCAGTGTTCCATTTTGCAAAAAGTAGGGGGGAGGGGTATGTCCTGTGTTCATTTCCTTCTTGCATCAAACACACTTTACTTTCCGTCTATACTTTTGCTGTCTATCAATATTTCAGATTTCATCTCGAGGCGAAGATAAACATGTGCGCGTCGAGCTCGAGACGAAAGCGCTGATCGGTGGACGAAAGAGAGAAATGTATATATGTTGCTGTTGCTTGCCTCGTTTCTGTTTTGTTTTCCCAACTGGGCGGGGATTAAAAAAAGATGGGGGGAAAAGACCATAAATTCAAAAACCAAGCTAGGGCAAAAAGTAGCAATAAAAGTGCGACATAAAGAGAATTTCTAGATTTGCCTGACAGATAAAACTTTAGGTCTCTCGAATCCCACATGTCTTGAATTAGGACCTAAGCTTTCTGCGACTTCAGTGTTCTCGAATTGTCAAGATCGCGACATCAAATGCCGGTAATACCCCTTCGACTTCAAAATGAGTTTTTGTTCTTTGAAAACTGTCTGGCTGAAACTTCATGCTTTAAAAGGCTGTTTGATACAAATGTTTTACAGGGGCAAGTGGCCAGATAGCTCTAATGAGTTTTTTCCACTTGTCCTACAGCTTTAATTTTGTAATAGTTACTATTATAGATAAATATATGTAAATATCTATTTCCTGTTACTTAACTATCTTAAATTTAGCAGTATCTTGATATTTTTCTTTGCTTAATTACGTTTAATGAATTGCTGTGAAATGAAATATTTGAATTTGAATTTGATACTCGCACGTTTCTACCCTTTCCTTTTTCCGTGTCTTTCGAGTGTTTTTTCTTCACAGTCGAGAATATTTTTCTCAAAATTAAATGAAAAGGCTAGATTTTCCAAAATAAGAAATATCTTCCGCAGAGTTGTGATGTAGTAAACATTGCGGCTAACCTGAAAGCGAATTTTGAGAAGAATGTGATGGTTGTTGTGGTTGTAGATACCTCATTGGGCTGAACACTATCAGTGGGGCTAAAGGTGGTTTTAGATGGTTCCATGTTTTAGTAAGTACGTTCTACGGAGCACGGAGCAAGTAGCGAAAATAAAATTATCCAGAATTAGAATAGCTGATCTCGGAAGCTACCACTCACTGGACAGTAAGGTATAAGTTTGGGTGGATTATTTACTTTGAAAAGCAAAATAGCCATTTATAATGCTATAGATTTAGGAACACACGTATATTAACGGCGGCTAATATTTTGTCCCGACATACGGGGCGTCATCAGAACAAAACATCTTTTTAGGATGGCACACCGCACACCTGACGGAGAGTAGCTGCAAACAGGGACGTTAATCTCAGGGGAGGGGGTACTGGACAGAGCAATAGTAAAACAGGGCAAAACAGAGCTTCAAAGGGCAAAGCAATTGTAAAACAAAGAAAAACGATGCATTTTGCTAGGGCAGGGGGGCCCTACCCCTTCTGCCCCCTTCCTGGTGCAGACATCCTTGCAGCCACGTAGCTGCAGGGGGCACAGGGGGACTGTGCCCCCCAAATGAAAATTTTGACAACAAATTGCCCCTCTGGCTACACTTTTTCCAAATTATATTTTGCAAAAGTTGGCATAATTATAATTCCGTGAGCTTGATTTAGTCCAAATATATCTGTTTGTTATATATTTATCTGTTCTCTTGCTTAAAGCCTCCCCCCCCTCAGGTATGGTTTTTCCTCGAGTTTGCCCACCTTAGTCGACTTCTACAGCTTTGTGGTTGCATCCTTGGTTATGGTGAATATTGTATGTACTCTAGCATGCAAAATATTGGCATACTGTAATACTTATCCCCTTTTTACCTGTACCTGTCTTCTTCAGTTACATCTACATCTACATCTACATCGATACTGAGCAGGACCGAGTATCGGTATAATGCTCAGAGTGCAAGAAATAATGAAATAAAAGTTTAATGGATAAAACGTGCTGGAAGATGCCACTGATCAATGATTAGATTGATTGAACATATACATGTCAAATGTATGTTACCTAAAGCATAAGAGGTAAACCATTTAGTTTGTGGTGGTGCAGCCATTTTGTGGGGGGTGATGCAGCCATTTTATGGGGGGGGGGTGATGCAATACTTTTGCTCACCTAGTGTATATTGTTAGATTTGTCTTATTTTGTTTTCAGCTACTTTTACTTTTTAGTGGGCACTACTTTAAAAAATTGACTAACACGTTGTCAATTAGTGTAGATTATCCACTTTAGATATATCATATTATTATTATTATTATTATTATTATTATTATTATTACCTTGTAATAGTGAGATTTGTAATTGTAGTTTAAGTTGAATTGAAAATGAAATGTTTCCATACTACATATTTTGTTGCAAAAATAAGCCATGGACAAATCCGGAATTGCATCCTTTTTAACTTTAGTTGTTTTATTTTTTTTCTCAGTTTTTCCTTTTACCTTATGATTTTTATAGTTTTTTCTTGTAAAACCAGGCTAGCCAATTGCAAATTACCTTGTAATAGTGAGATTTGTAATTGTAGTTTAAGTTGCATTGAAAATGAAATGTTTCCATTATTATTATAATAATATATTATATAGGTGGAAAGTAGCATGCCTCAGAATATTTTCAATTTCACCATAAGGTACCTGAACAATACCCTTGCCACACAGAAAAACCTGAAAAAATGGAACTTGAGCCAGACCTCTGACTGTTCTTTCTGTTTTCTGTCAGAAACCCTCCTTCACGTTGTTGCTGGCTGCAAAACATATCTGGAAAAAGGCTGATACACCTGGCGACATAACTCTATCCTAAACTTTCTAGCTACGTCACTAAAAGCTGTCAATGAATCTACCATCTACGCTGATATACCTGCCTTTCTTTCACTATCAATCATAACTGGAGAAAACCTTCGCCTTGATCTTCTCTTGAGGACTAACAACAATTACCTCTACATTTTAGAGCTAACTGTTGGCTTCAAATCCAATCTTAACACAAATGCTATAAGAAAACACAGCAATTATGCTCCTCTTTTATCTGGTTTACAGCGGCAGTTCAAATGTGTTACCTTTGTTAATCTTTCTATGAGCTCTCTTGGCATCTTCGGCAATTTCTGCAATGCATTCTTCAAAATGTGTAACTCTCTCTCCATCGATCAGCAACAAAAATGGTATCTCATTTCTAAACTTTCCAACATTGCCATCAGTACTGCGTACTACATATTTTGTTGCAAAAATAAGCCATGGACAAATCCGGAATTACATTCTTTTTAACTTTGGTGTTTTTTTTTCTCAGTTTTTCCTTTTACCTTACGATTGTTATAGTTTTTTCTTGTAAAACCAGGCTAGCCAATTGCAAATTACCTTGTAATAGTGAGATTTGTAATTGTAGTTTAAATTGAATTGAAAATGAAATGTTTCCATTATTATCATTATTATTATTATTATTATTATCAAAATGAAAGGTTTCTATTATTATTATTATCAATTTTTTTCTGAACTGACTAGGCAAATTTTCTTGTGTTAGCTTCTCTAAAATGCTTTCTTGTGATATTATCTAATATGTCCAGGGATCTCTGCAATATTTTGCCATGGTGTACTTTCATTCCATCTATTTATATCTGCCAAGATATTGAGTTTTTAAAAAAAACAAAAGTCAAAAGGAGACATGATACAAGCAACCCTCATCAGAGCCTCATTTCATGTGACTCCACTGTGAGGCTAACCGGCAAGTAGAAGGTTAACATGTGCCTAGACTTCTATCTACTTTCAATAGAAACTGCTTTTTTTGCGGTACAGAATTTGAAAATGGCTTTTAAAAAAGCAAACATTTTAGGACATACTAAAAGCTTTTTCGTCTGACACTCCTCATGACACTCCGTCTGACACTAATTTATTCTGCTCTTATTCTGACGTTTTATGCTCTGAGGAGTGTCAGACGAAAAAGCTTTTAGTATGTCCTAAAATGTTTGCTTTTTTCAAAGCCATTTAGAAACTACTTTGCAATCAACATATAGCCAACTGTGCTAGGTGTTTAGAAGCTTTTGGTATCGTATAGCATTTGCATAGATTTTTAATAGTACTCTTAAAGTAATTGATCTTGAAGTATGATTTATTATGGTTGTTAGTTCACTTGACAATCTAAACTTTGTCAGTCATCTTCGTGCTTGGAGATTTTGTCTGGTTATCAAATTTGTTTGAAATTTTTTGTAATTATTTTTTTAACACAGGATCCTGTTTATAATGGATAGAAATCATCAAAAGTACAACAGGTCGATATCCGGCTTTTCTGCAACAGATGAAGTAATAGATGATGCCTTGCCAGGGATTATTCAGTCTGGTTTGGAAGAGTGCTGGAAGGACGAACTCTTTTTTGACGTGGAAATTATAACTTGTGATGGGTCAGTGAAGTCCCACAAAATTGTTCTAGCAAGCATCAGTCCCTTCTTCAGGGCTGCCTTTTCACCCCTGCACCAGCTTAGCAATGAAGTGGGCAGTAACAAAATTGACCTCCAAATTTTTTCGACTCTGACTGTGAAGAAGATACTGCAATATGTTTATACAAAGAAGGTATTATTTGTCTTTTCAATGTAGTTAGGGATTGCTATGTCTTGTTTCCATATAATCATATTAAGCTGAAATGCTGTCTGCATCTGCCTGCAATGGATTGCCAGCACAGCACGTCCTGGATCACTGTGTTTCCATAAAATCCTAAGGAGTTGTATAAGTTTAAACAATAAATATTTTTACAATGTAGCAGGGATAAAATGACCATTACATCCCCGTTTTGATTATATTGAAACCAGGTTTACAAGAGAACTTATTTCAATTGAATTGATTGGTACTTAAAGATGTAAAACCAATATTGAATATTTTAACTCTAATTTATGTGATAATAGAATTGTTCAAATTTGTTAAACATGGATCGTTTTACAGCCTGCTTATAGTGCATCCCCTCAGACTCCACAAGCATATTTTTTCATTGAATTCTTGTTACAAAAATATTTTTGACTTAAGAAACACTCTCAACAATACATTTCCTATTTCAAAGACCTAGTTACATCTGTTATAATGTGATATGGATTCCCTATGACTGCTTATCAGCCACATTTTAGATAAATAAAAAGTTAGTTAAAATTTGAGTACTGACTCAAGAAACTCTTGTTCAAATATTTCTGCGAAGTATGATAATATAATACTTGCCAGAAGAAGGACAAATTTTTACATTTTAATATTTGCTTAAACCAACTCTCAATTTATCTGTAATGAGATTAATAAGTGTTAGGGAATCTGTGACATTCGATTTGAATTCTATGTGACTAAAATTAGGGACATGGTTATTGTGATAGCAGATATATTAAAGTTGGCTGGGGCGTTCAATTTCAGTGCCATTTTTATAGTATTTGAAGCCCTTCTTGACCCCAATTTTAATTTTTTTATATCCTACCACTTTTATCTACAGCTTTTTTGTGATTTTTGCAATTTCATCTTTTGTTCAGATTGAGTTGGAAGGTTCAGAAATAGAAGATCTTGTCATTGCTGCTAACTTCCTCCAGATGCCATCTCTTGAGACAATATGTTCAGAATTTATCTTTGAAAATTTTGACAAGTTAAACATTATTGAAATGTATGACTTTGCATCTAGCAGAAGTTTGATAATTTTAGACTGCACCTGTCAAGCATATATAGCTGGGAGTTTCAGCCAGTTATCAAATTCTGGCCTGATTCTTCAGCTGTCAGTTGATCAATTTGAGAATATTTTGAAACGAGATGACCTTCTTGTCAAAGATGTAAAAGACTTTATTTATCCACCATCCATCCAAGAAAAGATGATTTGCAGAACGATTTTGAGGTATGTACAGGCCATGAAAAGTGATACAGCAAAAGTAGCAACTGTCAATAATCTCTTTCAATATGTGCGATTTCACCTTATCATGAAGTATGAATTTGATTCGTTGATGGAAGAGGTAGATGCCATTTCAGATGTTCAGTTGGCATTGTCATGCAGGCTTGCTCTTTCCCAGGCTGTTGATGTTAACCATGTCAAAACATATGACGAAATAGAAGCTATGGGAGGTAAATTGCCACGGCAGAGTGCATGTAAGTATTGTGAGAAGATATTCCATCCAGCTATTTTTCTTTAGTGTAGCCATCACTGCCAGCATTTTTATGCATGTCTTATCAGGTCAAGCAAAGCATAGGCCCCTATTTTAATTAACCTACATAAATTGCTTTTATCAATCACACAATTATTCTCCCAATCATAATATTGAATCATGCTAAGATTTCTTTATGTGACATTAGCACAAAATTTTGGTAGTTTATGAAAATTAAGATGATTTCATCATAAAAATCTTAAGCCAAGATTCGGGTGCTAGTGATAACAATTCTTTTATTGAAATAGAGAGTCATGGAGCTGTCATGGAGATGTTTGTATTTTTGTCTGCAATTAACAATTTTCTGAAGTTAAGACTTTTTGACACGATATTTTTATTGGAACAGCAATTTCAAAAATGTTTTTAAATTATTGATCATCATTAGATCTGTTATTTTTCTGTCAAGATTAGTGTGTTAAATCATCTAATTTTGTTGAATTAGATAGCTAAAGAAGCTTTATTGACTTTTTGGGCCTAACTGGTGCGTCTATGTATAATCCACTTTGTTTATATAGATCCAACTTCTTCATGATTTTAACCAAATGCTTGTCGCATACAAGATCTTGTTATTTCGCACCTATTTCGGCACGGTGGTCGCAGATGGTAAATTTTGTCCTTTTGTCAGTTTTATATGAAAAGTCACTATTAACTTTCAGGGACACATTCTTACAAAACTGAAAGGCTCGCACATGGTTATATCACAAATATCAGAGAAAAGTTTTGCGACAGCAAGGAAGGAATTCCTTATTACATCAAGGGTATGAAGATTTGGATACGGAGATGGGATGGTCGACCTGTTTATGGTGGTATGTATCAGCTTGTTCGTTGCATTGTCTTTACCTGTAAATTGTCTTTACCTGTAAATTGTTAAGTGTAAGTTTATTTTAAGATATTTCAGGGATTTGGTTTCACACGTTTATGGTTATCTCCATTTTCTTCAGCCCTGGAGGTTCTTTACAGCGATGGGAGCAAAGTTTTTCACGGGGAGCGCTCTAATCACGAAGTATACGAGTTCATCTTGGACCCAGACGAGTTCATTGTCGAAATCGTTGCTTACTCAGGCTACATGATTGACAATCTATTGTTTATTACTAACACTGGGAAAGAGTACGGACCTTATGGCGGCGATGGTGGTGGGAGAAGGGTGTTGAAAGCCCCCTCGAAATCAGGGTATTTGTCTTATATCAGTGGTGATGAAGCATTTACACAAGGGTCTTTGGGACTTGTTGGATTGGCTTTTCATTGGGTGTATTACGTGAAGCCAGGTGAGGTAGAGCCTCAAGGACATGCCATCATTCACTCCTTTGCAAGCACAGAATCTAACATTGATTCAGACTCAGGTAGTGCCTACGAGCTTAACTACGAGTAGCGTTTCTATCGCAAAGATCGCCGCATCTATTTCTAGAGATCGATGCTAAAGATATTGACAATTCTATTTGCAATTCTTTTACAAGTTACAGGTACTCTACTTGTGTTAAAATTGATCTACTTGTTCTAAAACTTGTTCTAAGTTTCATAACGGCAAAAAAGTGGTTTCAAAGAAAAGAAATTTGCAAAGTTGGAAGGTACATTTGCAAGGTACTCTTTCCCGGTGATTTATGCATTTCCAATTTCAATGTAAAATTTATCTGCTAGTGTTTCAAGGGCTACCTCTACATATAAGATTCCTTTTAAGCCTACTCAAATTGAGATATTACGGTGCATCGATGTCTTTGTAAATAAGATGATACAATTTTCCCTAAAACTGAGCTATTAAGAGAGAAATACTGGAGAATATCAGTCTGGAACCCTTGTGACGTATATTTATAATAATATAAAATATATAATATATTTAGAACGATTTTTGCTATAATTATTACTAAGCAATTTTAATATATCCTTTCCTATTATATTCGAATTAATTGTCTAATATTCAATATATTTTGTATATCTTGCCTTTTGTATATCTTATGTATACCTCGAGCTGGAGCCTTGTTCTCATGGTATCCTTTTGCCAGGGTCTTCATCTGCCTACAATCCTGGCCAAAAGTTATTGGACTGGGCTGGAAAATTGTAGTATTTTTGGAAAAATACGCTCCCCGCCCCCCACTGCCAATGTTGATACGCTTATTTCTACTCTTTTCGATTGCTGTTACTTGGGTATTTAAGAAAAAACCAACATTGCTTCAGGGGTGGGGGGTTTTGATAATATTGTTGGGGTCAAGTTGCAATTTTAGTGGTTTTTTCACCAGTCCACTAACCTTTTGGCCAGGATTGTCTAATATAGAGGGAAAAGGGAGGAGATGAAAATTTGCAAATCTTATACAGAATTATCATTTTTTGTAACCTAAAATAGGAGCAATTTAAGAAAAGTGGGTCCAATCATGAAGAATTTTATATTCAGCAAGCAAAAGAGGTCATGCAGGAATCGAATTCACAACTTGTTTCAATTCTACCTTGAAGCCCAGGCCTAAATCTAATTGATATTTTGGAATTGTCAAGCAGCTATTGAATAGAGATGCCATAAAGAAAATTATTACTACTTAGACAATGGTAAAGTAGAACCCACAAATTATTAGAAAAGTTGAATGATGGTTGTTAAAGGGCAAATGTACTCTCGGGTACAGTTGAAAGTTTTTGGCGGGTTTGTTAAAGTCTAATTTTTTCATATTAGGGGGTCTTGAATACAAGTGTTCAGGGTAGAAAGATTTTCAAAATCGGGGGGAGGGGTTAAGGTGATCAAAATCTACTAGACATATAGTGTTTATGTATCTTCAAATTCATGTTTAAAAAATCAAAACTTGCAATTTGGAATTTTAAAACAACAAATCCATTTTTACGCATGCGCTTATATATAATATTGAAAAAAGGAGCCTTTTGTGCCGTACTGGGAAAATGATCACGAGTTACCACGAGTCACCAACGAGTTACCGTACGGGTTACATTCTACATTTGCAGACCTCAGTATGGATGTATACGAGATACCAACGAGTTACCACCTTCTTTATAAATATAATATATATATATTTATTAAAAAAGTCATGGTAACTCGTGGTATTCCCATATAAAACCACTATTAAAAAAGGTAACTATTAAAAAGGTAGAAGGTCTCAAGTAACTTGCTTGATAAGACGGAGTAATGTGAAGGCAAACATTGTTCTATTTGAAATGGAGAATATTCACTTCTCCGAATGACAAAATGGAACTTCTTATTAAATAATCTGGAACGATTCCCAAGTAATGGCTGCAAGAAATATTCTGAAATACATTTCGGGGCCCTGGTAAAATGATATTTTCTAAAAGCCAGACAAAAATAAAGAAATATTGCAATAGTAAAACAGTTAATTAACAGGCAAATGCTGAAACATTCAATGGACATATAAAGTATGTATGAATAATAAAAACTTTTTCATTTTCAATTCCATTAATCTACAATTACAGACCTCTGTAACACATCGGACGTTTGGAACTGGCTAGCCTCGGTTATAGAATACGACTAAACCAATAAAAAGGCTTGGTCAGATGTAATTCTATCCGTTATCATTCAATTTAAGGACCTGCAACTATACGTAATAAAAATTGTTGAGGGTTAAAAAAGTAACAAATTAAGTAAGAATAAGCAGTTTTATTTGCAACTAAAGTATAAAAATTCAAAAGCGTTTTTCTTTTAAGTCTAAAAAAAGATAAGGTAAAATGTTTAATTTACAACCAAAGAAGAATTTCGAAGCGTTTTTCATTAGTATCTGTAAACACTTTGCGGGCTGAATGGTAGAAAAATGGCTTGTTACAAGTTTTTGTTCGCATTGAAACACAGGAACCATTGTCTATAGTCTTTATTTCGTGCTGACGTTCCTGGGGTAGTCGATTATGCAACGATTTAAACATAGCGATTGCTACCCTGGTGTTTCGTACTTTTCAATACTGTTCATAATGTTATTTTTGCCCTTGGGTTGACAAACCTAGCTGCTCTATCTTGTATATGATGTAGCTTGTTTACTGTTCTTTGGGGTAAGGAAAGCTGTAAGGGTAGCAGTACAACAATAGTGGTCGTACAGTGGTTTCGCCACGTGGTGGACATATCCACCCCAGTTTTCTCAGATGTCGATTTCTAACTTCTCGATGTCCGTTGAAAAACCTCTGGGGTGGGGGAGGGTGGCGTTGATTCGATCAAGGTCAAATTTTTTTCTTGTAATCAAGCCCCCGTTTATAAGAAGCTGCTTGAAAAAGTTGCTTTTCCTAAAATTTCGAAATAGATAGAAAATACTAAAAAAGGCGTTTCCCTTGTTTTCCGAGAGTCTGAAGGCCGTGGTCGAAAAGTTTTTATTTGTCAACCCCAGTTTGTTTCGGCTGGCGACGCCTTTATGTTTATGTCATTGTTTCATAGATCGATTATGCTACATATGGACTAATTTTTTCACGCATATGAGACAGAAGCAGGACCGTAAATCCCGGGGGGACGAGGGAGACTGGACCCCCCCCCAAAAATCTGGAGCAAAACGATTTTTTTAGAAATTATCGTCATTTACTTTTAAAGAAAGGAATCCCCGGCAGCTGGGTTAGAACCTAACAAAGTTTCGCTGAGTTATTGCAACATACCTCAGCCACTATGTCATGGTGACTATTGCCAAGTGCAAGTCGACTATTGTAGATGGCTGTTTGCAGAGTGGTGTCGAGTCGGTGACGATGCCCATGGAGGGGAAATTAGCCCCAAATATTTTATCCACCGGTCTCCCCTTGAATAAGTCTCAAAAAGCATGGAAGAAAAGAATCGTTTAAGTCGCCATAAATCTCGACAAACTCATATTACACATATTTTTATACACGCCTTTTTATAAAAATCCTTACTCAAAACCTAGGTCCTAAAGTTCCTAAGTTCTGAACCTCTCTATTAGTCAAATTGAGGTACCAAGACCTCCATAATAGCTCCTTAATTTTGACTGCACAGGATCAAGGAACAAGGCCAGAAGACAAAGAGGGCAAGAAGTTAAATTAATTTGCGTAATTTACGCTAATTTTTAATCTGCGTAAAAGTATCACGGCAACAAAGGAGTACTTTTGCATTTAATATAAAGAGAAGTAATGACTAAACTCTTTATTGTTAGAATGCAATAAATTTTGCCCATCCTTGATTTTTTTAAGAAAATTTTCATTTGGAGCCCGAATATGTTCTTAGATACATCCTAATTGTTTTCGAATCCGATATGGTTTCAAGAAAAATAACGCTTGCTCTCGAATAGAAAACACCTTTTCTTTCTTTTCTCCAATGTCTGTCACTAGAGTTTAAGCATTTCCCCAATATCCGTCACTAGACTCTTCCCCTTCCCAATTTCTCCCAGAAACAAAAGTCTCTGTTCTTCTGAGAAACGTCGATTTGCCTATTCTGAACGGTATAGTATTTTGTTAAACTTGGTCAGGGAGATGCTTTTATAGCTATTTAGAAGGTATGATTTCAAAAATTTCCTTTCACGTCGGCCCCAACCATGGTGGGTCCTCCTACATCACTAAATGTGATTCTCAGCCCCCTAGGTTTAATTTATTCAAGCTGTCTCTGAAAAATGTTATCAACTCAAATACAAAAAGTCAACGTGCTAAGAAATATCTGTAAATACCCTCTTTAGGGCTGAAAAACCTTAGTAAATCTACAATTATTTTTGTTTTTTTAAATCGTTTGCCACTCAAACTGTTTCTTTAACACACACTATAAATTGCTTGGTGGTGCCATGACCCACTGCACACTTTATATTCATTCGCTCTGTTAACCCCCCTAATTGACATGACAGATTTACGGCCCTGGACAGAAGCTTTACTCTGGTTGATGCTTTTTTGTACACATTTTCAAAATGTTGATGTAGGTTCACTATAGATTCTGATGTTCACTTTCGGGGACAACTTTTCATGTGACCCAACCCATACAGCATAAATTCAGTTTTATATTGTTAATGAGCAAGTTATTTTTACCAAGCCAGTCTGCAACTTTTTGCAATTCAGTAGATACTCTTTCACCTTCTTTTACCTGCCTTTTTGCGCCACAATATATAACAGTATCGTCCGCATAAATGTTTATGGTAGCATTAGTGAGCGGAATATCATTAGTCGTTGATTATCAACCCAAAGAGGAGACTAAATTTAGAATAAACTAAATTTGAAACCAAAGGAAAAACAATGTTAATAAATTTCGATAAATTTTGAGGTCTGCTCGTTTGAGATTGTCATTTGGGCAACTGTTAAGTGACAGTCAGTTAAAGGCATTTACAAAGCTTTGAATGATTATCAACCCATATGTGACATTTTCGTCACTTGAGCTAGTAATATCAAAAATCACTTTTTTATTAAAGAGATAATCACCTATCCATTGTAGTTTAACCTCATCTATGCCATAATTTGGCAGCTTTTCCAGCAAGGTTGCACGAAGGACTGTTTTGTAGGCTCCATGGAGGCCGATAAAGACAGCACCACTAGAATGGGTTTGAAATTTGCTTACATCAGCATTGCATCTTGCAAAGAGAATCTGATTTGAAAAAAGCCCTCTGTTTCCCTCTTTCCCCAATACCGCTCACACGGGCAACAGCAGATTGCGTGCAGCTACTGGGATACCTAGTATATCTCTTTGAAAAATTTTGTTGGCAAATAAGGCTTGAACATCCCCCCTACCCCCTAGAGCCCACTATAAAGCAGTTGCACTGCTTACACCATAAGGATTTAATAACAAATAGAGAACAATCCAGCCGCAAATATTCTAAAAACTCAAGAAGAGCAAGCCTGATCCTCAACTTACCTAAGATGAATCATGATACGATAAAATGTTGGCATTCTTCTTCTTTTAAGTGTCTTGTCCCTCCTGCACGTTGGCGATCATGCTTCACCCCTTTTTATCCCTTGTCAGTGCCAACATTTCTGAATCTTTTCTGCCAGCATCGAAGTCCATGTTTACTCTCATAATGCACTTCTGTCTTTTCTTCCTCTACTTCTTCTTCTTCTACCCTCTATTTTACCTGTTAGCTCTGAATTTTCCATTCCTTCAGCTCTCATCAAAAGTCTCAAGAACTGCAGCTGTCTTTTTCTTTCACCGGGCTTCTTTCTACTCCTGCTCTTCTTAAAATTGCTAACTTTTCTAGTAAAATTGTAATGTAACCATTATTCTCAAGAACTACATTTCCACTGACTTTCACAAAGCAACACATCCATAGAGTAAAACTAACTACACACAATATTTTAACACTCTGATCTTAGTTTTCACTTTTAGCTGTCTGTTCTTAAATACAGCATTCATCCTGTTCATTATGCCATCCCTCATTTGACATCCCAATTCTTTTCTCTATTTCAGTTACACACCTTCCATCTAATGTTATCAAGCTCCCTAGATACGTAAACTTCCCAACATTAGTTATTGCTACGCCGTTGATATACAAAACATATTTCGGTGTATTAATATGAAGACCTTTCTTTTCACTTTCTGACTATTTTGAAGGCCGGTTAATTTTCCGCACTTATCACAGTGTAATCCGCATACCGCAAATTCTCTTTTTAGCCCCCCCTCTCAATTAGGCCCCCTGTCTTATTAGCCCCCTTTTCAGAAAGAAAAATTTAATAAACCCCCCCCCCCCAATTTCCACTGATGCTGAAATAAGTAAACTTGACAAAAAACAGAGATTTTAATTTTATTCATTGGTCGTTCAATCTCTCTCTCTTCAAGTACCATGTCCGGCGAGGACGTTGGCGATCAGGGTTCTCCACAGCTTCCTATCCCTTGTTCTTCTCACCAGTTCTTGTTCTGACACCTTTGCTCTCTCCCTCTCAGGCAGTTGGGCTGCCATCCATTTGCTTAGACTATCTAAGTAGGACAGCTGCTGTTTTTCCTCTGCTCCTTTTACCCTCGGTTCTTCCCGTTAGTGTCAAGTTCTCAAGACTTTCTTTTCTCATTATGTGCCCAAAAAACTCCAACTGTCTCTTCCTGATTGATCCCATCAAGCTTCTTTCCTTTTCTGCTCTGCGTAACATTTCTTTATTCGTAATGTCATCTGTCCAGGATATTCAGAGCATTCGCCTTAGGAACCACATCTCTACTGCTTCCAGTCTTCCTTCCATCTGACTTGAGATTGTCCAACACTCACTGCCATACGTAATGATAGAGTATACATAGCAGTCTAACACTCTGAACTTGGTATCCATGGACATCTTTCTATCCTTGAGTATCTTCCCCAGTTTCTGAAATGCGTCTTTCGCCATTCCTTTCCTTCTTTTGATTTCAGAGTCACATTTTCCATCATCTGTTATAACACTTCCTAAATAGTCCGCATTTCAGGAAACCGTCCAACTTGCTGAATTATGTTTTCTCCAATCTGCAATGTGTGGCTTTTCTAGCTGTTTACTCACTACCATGCATTCTGTCTTCTTGCAATTGATCGTCAAACCTTTCTTTCTACTCTCTGCTACTATCCTGTCAAGTAGTTCTTGTAACTTCTCTGCCGACTCAGAAATGAGAACTGTGTCATCCGCATAACGCAAGTTGTTCATGTTATGGCCTCCGATGAACAAATAGGGCGAGAACACGCATCCCTGTCGTACCCCTCTTCGGATCTGTGTAAATTCACTCATTTCATTCTCAACTCTCATACACGCCGTTCGGTCGTTCAATACTCCGCATCAAATCAAATAAACAGGGAATTTTGCATAAAATTCTAGCAAACTGGGTAAACGAAGTTTTTAAAGTATAAAGCATAAGAGTAAAGGCCACTGATCATTTTAAGCCCTGGGAACATTCTGGCAAATGACCGGAAGTTGCGTTTCCGGAAGCATGAAAAATGCACGGTCAAAGTTTTTGTGCGATAGCCAGCAATGGACTAGGTATAAGTACCTCAGTCTAAATAAAGTCTTTGGCGAAGTTTAAAAACTAGGTCTACATTTCACTTTATCTAGCACTTCAGATTACGTCAGGAAACCAAGTTTCAGTTAAACAACTTGAATAGTTACAAAGTTACAGTGCAAGACCCAATATAGGACTGGGTACAAGAACCATAGTTTAAAAACTGATTTTGTGAAATTTTTGAAGCTTTTTTGCATCCCATTTTATCCAGCACGTCAAATACAGCCAGAAAAAGGTTTTAGCTTCATAACTTGCAATGTAGTGCTATACCAGAAAGAGGACTGGGTACCAGTACCCCAGTCCCAAAATAGCTTTTGGGGGCTTTTTTGAAGCTTGATATGAACTTCATCTTATTCAGCATATCGGATTGTGTACTTGTACCAAACTTCATGCTATTATCATAACATGCACAATTCTACTGCTATGCGTCTGCACTATCAGGAAACTCAAGAAAGCAAGTTTTTTGATAAAACGAAAAGTTTCCACAGCCATAACCTTTTGCTTATGGGTCAGATCACATTGCTCTTTTTAAATCTTTTGCTCAGTTTTGCATGTTCTTTCCGATAGTATCATCAGATTTGAAAAATTCGAAAGTTGAAATTTTGCTGACCGTGCATTTTTCATGCTTCCGGAAACGCAACTTCCGGTCATTTGCCAGAATGTTCCCAGGGCTTAAAATGATCAGTGGCCTTTACTCTTATGCTTTATACTTTAAAAACTTCGTTTACCCAGTTTGCTAGAATTTTATGCAAAATTCCCTGTCTAAAAATTCACACCATGTCTCTTCCAGTCATGACAGATCCAAAGACAAAGATTTAATGTGCACTGTCACGACGTTGATTGATTAAAAGAACAAAGGGATTTTTATTGTTTCCAGTCCCCCTTTAATTTATCGCATTGTAAAAAATATGGCGGAGCGCTGAAATTGTGTTTAGGCTATTGCTCCAGCTATTGTTCTCGTTAACCAATCCACAACGAGACAGATTGCTTTTAAGCACGGGCCATGTGAGAGCCTGTTACCAAAATTACAGGCCGTTGGTACTCCGAGGGATGAAGTTGACCTTTTCGAATGCTCGATTTCAGAAGGCGACATGGCCCAAGATTATTGATTATTAGTTTACCGTGTATTATTGAAAGTTAGTTTACCACTATAAATGGTTTTTTTTTACAAAATATTTATTAAGCCCCCTCTCTCAATTTAACCCCCCTCTCTTATAAGCTCCCCCATTTAAAGTGCTGTGAAACAATAAGCCCCCGGGGGGCTAAAAAGAGAATTTAGAGCCCGGTCGTCTTGCCACCTAGCAGTTTTGGAGTCGAGATCTCACTGATCTATCAGTGGTCGATCTACATACAAACGAAAAAACCGCCATTGCGTAGACAGGTGTTCGTTTTCTCTCTTGGACCCCAGTGGTAATTTTTCTTTAGGCACGCAGCACTGATTGGTCAACTATATCGATATTGGGCTTGCGTTCTTCTGATTGGCCTATTTCGATCCACAACTGGGTATATATTTTTCATCGTGTTCTTTCGGAACCTTATTCTGACATTTTATGCTCTGAGGAGTGTCAGACGAAAAAGCTTCTAGCCAATATGTTGTAAAATGTTTGCTTTTTTCAAAGCCATTTTCAAGTTCGATTTTTATTCTTTACGAAAAAACAGCATTGATTGAAGGTAATGTGTCCATATAAAAGGACTGCCTATACCCAACTTGTCAAGCCACCCATCAAAATAACAGCTTGCGATTGGTTAGTAATCTTGCAATGCAAAACTGCTCACATGAAAAGCTAACTTTGCAGCAGGATAGATAAACAGAGAGACCGTAATGACTGGGGCGATGACATGAAAAATCACATGTTTCTAAAAACCCCCGCAGAGTCGCTTGCTATAGCTGGCGGGCGAAAGTGACAGTTTATCAAATGCTGAGCTACGTGAGCAGCTGATGTATTATGGTGTTAAGCACGGTCCTATAACCGCAACAACTAAAGCATTATTGCTGAAAAAGCTAAATGAAGCAAAGTCAGGTGGCCGTGTCAAAGTAGACAAGGTGAAAAAGCGCATGTCAATTGCAACCAGCAATCCGTCACAACAGAGAACAAAGTTAGCTGGCTTCTCAAAAGAGGAAGATGAAATTGTCATTAAAAAGTCACAAGTCTGCAGAATTGATTCAAATGATAGCAACAACTCAGAGGAAAAGGTAATATTGGAATCTTATTCTGACGTTTTATGCTCTGAGGAGTGTCAGACGAAAAAGCTTCTAGCCAATATGTTGTAAAATGTTTGCTTTTTTCAAAGCCATTTCAAGTTCGATTTTTATTCTTTACGAAAAAACAGCATTAAGTGTTTGGACAACCTTTTTCAAGTCTGACAACCGACATTAAAATCACCATAAGCAATCATCAGTGCTTGACAGACAAATGACACCCAATTTATGGGGGTTTGGTCTTCTGTTTCTCAGAAACATCCTCTCAAATCAAACACTCAATCAACATGCAAATTCGTAACCTACACCCAAAACTACATTAGAAAAAGTTGTGTCGAAAATTCTCCGCTCGCCCGCTCGGGTGACAATACCCCTCTCCAGCCTCTGAACTAAAAACGCTAAACAAATTCGCTCGAGTGCGCAGGCGCACGCTCGTTGGAGCATCCGCGCCGCGGGCCTTGCACACAAGTTAAAGATGGCGGACGAAGGTGACAGTTTATCAAATGCTGAGCTACGTGAGCAGCTGATGTATTATGGTGTTAAGCACGGTCCTATAACCGCAACAACTAAAGCATTATTGCTGAAAAAGCTAAATGAAGCAAAGTCAGGTGGCCGTAGATCGTCTCCCAAAGTAGACAAGGTGAAAAAGCGCAGGTCAATTGCAACCAGCAATCCGTCACAACAGAGAACAAAGTTAGCTGGCTTCTCAAAAGAGGAAGATGAAATTGTCATTAAAAAGTCACAAGTCTGCAGAATTGATTCAAATGATAGCAACAACTCAGAGGAAAAGGTAACCGTTACAAGAAGGAGAAACAGCTTTGATTTAGAGGAAGAACACGACATAGTGCAAAAGAGGAAAACGAAAACAGATCAGAGACAAAGCCCTGCAAGCTCATCTAGCTCTAATTCGACTATTGGAAATGCGTCATTGACAGCAAGATTGCAAGGGAAGCCTAAGGGGCAGTATCAAGCTGCTAGAGACCAAACTGATAGTATAGCTGAGGTATTCCTTCACTATTGACAAGGAAAACTTAGCCTTAACATTATTTAGAAGCGTCTTTTCAAGACAATCTTTAATGCACTTTATGTCCAATAGACTAGACGTAAGAATGGTGTGGGTTTTTGTCACATTTTTTTAAATGAAACATTTCCATAGGTTTCAGTATTTTTGAGATGACATGAAAAAATCATGGGCAACTTGGAGTAAAAAAAATTGTATTAGACTACTGAAATTGGGGTTTAAAAAACCCTAACTCAAGGTCAAAAAACTACTTAGCAGAGAGGTAGCTTACTTCTTCTAATTCAGAGGGATAGCCAAAAAGGTACTATCAATATAGGGTTTGGAATAGCCTTTGGCAATACCATGCCTTACAAAATTTTTTAAACACCAATCCACCACCCCCCCTCCCCCCAGTTGCTCATATCCCTTTTGAAAGTGTTCTTCACAAAGTTAAAATTTAGTTATTAGGATAAATATTCCAACTATTTAAATATAAATAAATAAATAAATATATATAAATGATGGCTCCTTTGATGGCATGATCAAAATTCCAAAAGAGTCTAAAATCACCAGGCTAGATGATTTTGTGACTGTTTCTGCTTAGATACATTGTCTAGATTTTATCAATCAAATTGTCTAACCAAAGACATGGCTATCAAAAGTAGACATGGAAACTCCAAGGGGTCATTGAAATGGTTCAAGATAGCAAATGATCAAGTTTTCAAAGAAATTTTTATATGAAAGTATCTGGAAAGGGGATGCTATATCAGTTTTCCCTTTGTGAATGTTTGAGATATCGAGAGTTTACTAGAGTTACCTTTTTACAAATCAAGACACATTAATTTCCTCTAATGTTTTTCTCTAAGGGGAGGCTCTGTCCACCTACTTGTCAGCTGACAATGGCCATCAGGGTATTAAAATGAAAAGACCAATACCTTCCTGCTGCTTATACATTCTTTTACTATATCTCCACAAAGTAAATTTACATCATGCAGGCCACAACAGACAAAGAAAATTGGGGGCAACAGCAGTAGATTTTGAAGGCTATACAAGGGCCAAGGCTGTTGAATGCAGCATGGATTAAAAAATGCACATTTCAATAAGGATAAGGAAAGCTTACATTGAATGAACAGAACTTAAGCAAGTGGCTTGGCTTTTTGAAAAGCTGGCTGCTTAAAAAAAATATTATGAACAAGTGGCAACATACAGATACTCAAAAGAAAAAGCTATTTTAGAGAACTGAGGTCCCCTTTCTTTGAAAATCAAAATGATATTTGACTTATAACCGGCGTAAGCTGCCCGGCTGGAAAAATAACACTTTAGCTATTTGAAAAGCTTTTATTTTATTTTCTTTTTATATATAGCTCTTTTATGAAATCTGTGCTACTTTCTATATACAACAGGAATCAACCAAAGAAGACAATATTGATAATGGACGAGATGATGAAGAACTGGAGTTGGCATTTGCATCCAACAACAACCTCATGAAGAGTTGGAGAGGCCCAGTATTTATGATATTTGTAATTGTCTTGCTAATATGTCTTGTTGGATCATATGCAAGCTTGTGGAGCAACAGAATGTCAGAATGGCCTGCTCTTCCAGGTACTCCACCTACCACTTTTCTGATCTTTAGCAGATCCAGGTTTTTATCCAACTTTTTGCTGGTTGTAGTTACAATTGAGATTTGTTTGCTTTGATTTTTATCCTTTTTTTCTCAAGTACACAGTATTGTTTAACAGACTTGATGCTATATTTTTTGTACTATAAACAAATAGAAAAAGGCAAACTGATTCTGCACATTATTGTTTATATTTATTAACATCATGGTTATTATTTTTTAGAAATAAAAGATGGATCAACATTTGGAAAGGTTTGTTAATAGTGTTGCTATTTTTTCCAATGTAAGCAGTTTTTTATTTTGTTCTGTTAACTTGTTTGGAACAACCAAAGTCAGATTTGGTTTATGTTCTACTCCAACCAGTGAAGGCAGGCCTTCCTGGGATAAACTAGCACAAGTGTGGCATTTGGCACCCCTAAGCTGTTTTAGGTGTGTGATGGATTGCTATTAGTGTTTTGTCTTATTTCTACAAAGGTTTACATACATAGTATATGGAGCCTTAAAAACCGGCATTCTTAAGTCATTTTTTCAGTTTTCACACAACTTTAACAATGAATATCTCTGGTGGCAAAATGATAAAGGAAGGGAAAAGATATTGCCAGAGATCTTTACTGATTTTGATGCTGAAAGTGTTTTAGATGCAGTTACCACCAATCCCTCTTGCTACCAACCATGATGGCAGTCTTCATGAAACCCTTGAAAAAAGTTACAATTTTGACCCCAACTTTCAATCGTGTCTCATCAAAAGATATATGAAAACAGTTTTGAAAATGGCATGATTTGAAAAGGGCACAATTTGAAAACGGCACTAATCATTTCAGCAAAGACGCTTGAAACAGAACAATTCTATTGTAGATTTCCCTCTCTTTGAATCCAAAGCGCATTGATTTTCGAAATAACAATCTTTTATAAGAACTTAAACCCAGTACAGTAAAAAAAAGTTTCTTGTTGTTTTGTTACCTTATTAGTTTCCAGCGCTTTGGTTAAAAACAAACGAATGATTACAACAATAGGCATGTGATTAAACGCACGCCTTGGTGTGGGAGGCGTGTACCAGCGCGTGCAAGTAGCCTGGAAGGCAACTTGACCATATGAATTTCTCACAGTCATGATACTATTTGCAGAAGTAAACTTCATAATAGTTGAAAATAGCGCAAGCAATTGCAAGGGGTTGAAAACCTTGATGAAAGAGCCTTACATTTACCCCTAGACTTTGGGTCATAATTTGACCACCAGCTAATGATGTCTAGATCTACTAATGTCAAAATTCATTCAATTATAAAACACTAAAACCAAATAAAACCTTGAATAATTTAACAACAGTGTATTTGAAAAAAATAAACTTGTGTAAACTTTGAGTAACAACTAGCAGGCATTTCATCCAACAAAAATATCCCCATCATCTAACCCACTCAATATCCCCTCTCACTTCCTTACACAATGTTGAATTCTACCTTCAAATGCTGGAAATGGAAACAGCATATCAGATGTTTAGCAAGATATATCTGCCTAGTATTAGAAACAAAAGCTTTAGTTTACTAAATGTTTGCTTTTTTTAAAGCCATTTTCAAGTTTTGTACCACCAAAAGATTGTTTACAAGATATGTCTATTGGAATTGGCAAATAAAGGGGAAAATATGAATTTATTAAAGGGGAACTGAAGTGAAAAATGATTTTTTACCACTGATAAAGGTTCCTGTGCTGATTCCAAAACCGTTTGAATTTTTTTAATATGTTATGTAGTTTTTAAGTTATTAAGTTTTTAAAGTCGAAATTTGCCCTCATCGATGGCGGAGCGAGAACGCCCGATATAACTCCAGGCATAAAAAACAATTCATATCAGGATGTACATAAAGGAGGAGGATTTAAAGCACAATCATTAAATGATGTATATGTTTCCAAGTTTATTAAAAGACCTTATCTTAACAAAAGATATGTCAGAGATTTTATCTCATAACTGTTCTCTATGAAAAATGTTGAGTTGAAGCAAATTTCAGAAAAATAGAACCATTGGGCACCAAAAAACTTCATTCTCAAAATTTGAAAACAGTGTATCTAAACAACAGGCAGTGACAGAATACACTGAATAACATTGTACCCTGAAGGTAAAACATTTTCTTCTGATTATTTATAAAAAATGTTACCAAGCAGATGGTACAGGACCATTATTGTAAGAGAAAAACTTGATCAAGTCCAAACTATTCTACACATTTTGATGTGAGTGAAATATCTTGAAAAATACACCTTAGGAATCTTAAAAATATCAAGCCTTGCTCAATCCCCCCCCCCCCCCCCTTGATGTGACTAATCTAGTGATTTGGCCTAGGGCTTACAAGATTTGGCCATTGCCCCACTAGTTTCAACAAATTTCTAACTTATAACATGACCCCATTAGTTCTAAATTTTTCTTCTTGCTATTATGAACTAAAAGTCTGGTCCCTTTGAATAACCCCTGTATATAACCCTGTACTCCACTGTATTTGTCTCTCTGCAGAATTTTGAAATCCTTGTCTTCTTTGACTAAAGGTCTTTTCTTTACATTTGTGATAAATGCATACTTATTCCAGCACAAATACCCAAAAACCAGCAAACCATCCATTGATCATCCACTGTTTGTAGATACCTAGCAAAGTGGATATAATTTTAGGTATAAATCTATTTTAGGCATATTTATGCAATTCTATTAAATATTTGACATTTTCGAATTATCAGTCGAAAAATCTGAATTGCAGTAAGATTTAATAATATTTGTCAATGTACACAGAATAAACCAGTTTTTAAACCAAAAGTGGATTAGGTCGACCTGTTTCGTGCTACACATCAAACTATGCCCCTGAAACTTGTCTCCAGACCTCCCCGCCACGGAAATGGAGAAATTTCACACTTCGCGTGTTAAATGCAGGAAAACGAAAATAAAAACGCTAATTTCGTGTCGATATTCGAAATCAGCACGATGAAAACTACCAATTAAAGAATTTTCATTTTCACTTCAGTTCAGACCACCCCTTTAAGCTTGATTAAATGATATTTGATCATGTTTTATATGTTACAGGGTATGCCTTTATAGTGCACCTTGTGTCTTTTATAAGGCTAAGCATCAAGCGTGCATTGACCTTATAATTTGGTCTCCTGGCGGTTACCCTGTGAAACAAGCAGTCTCCTGCAGATAAGAACCAGTCGTCCATGGTGCATAGGAAACCGAATTGCCTACCCTGGTGTATGATAGTTCCACAGTGTCCAACGCAAGAAAACAGATCATTAAATCCAAAAAACATTGAATTTCATTGTTTAGAATGCCAAGTGTGGTAAGCCCATGCCAAGTGTGGAAACAGCAGTTAAGTTCAAATTTCTTGCCTAGAAATAAAAAAAGGGCTACCATAAATGGTGATGTCATTTTTGTCTACTTAAGTAATTGATCAAGGAAAACCCTGCCTCAGTTTCACCAGAATTGGTATGAGAGGCATACACCATCACATACATCAATGGGGATACCGATGCCTTTTTCCGCCGTTCGTTCGCTGATGCAGTTTTTCCAAAATATTTAACTTCTCTTTACTGTTTGATGCAAGCTTGAGTTGCCTTTTAGGTCAGCAGGGAGGAAGTATTCAAGATGCTTCAATGTTTACATGAAAAACTATCCTTGTATGCAGGTATAAATTTGTTTAAACATCATTCTATTTGCAGATAATCTCTTGATACATTAGATTTAATTTTTTAAAGAGAAAATAAAGTTGAGATAGAATAGACTTGTAAAATGATAATTAGCTAAAACTTTTAAAGTGCTTTGCATCGATTCAAGATCATTGCAACATGACCTATAGCTAAGTCTTAGATCAACATTGATATTTGGCTAGCCAGTTACAAGCTTAAATCCTCACTGTGTTCAAATGACCTTTTTCTGCTTGGGAACCGTAAAGCTTCAAGGTCTGTTAAAGAGGCTTGTGCATCCCTGAAATCCAAATTGCTTTCACAAATTGTGGAATTGTAGGTGGATTGGATGTTTAAGGCCATATAAGATTATTTTGTTGATTCTCATCAGAATTGTGCCAAAAAAATCGGGCTGGCGGCGGTTTATATTTATATTTTACATAAAGCTGTTCATCTCTATGAATGGCCCTACATAGCTGTTTTGTCCTCCCTTTTCTTTTTAACGGGAAAGTTTTATGTAAATATAAAGGAAAAAGCAACAGGGAATTTTCTGTACAATCATTTTTCTTAAATCTTAATGTAATTGTAATAAACGTTTTTTCCTATGCTCTTTACAGTATACTCGGTAAAAACTTGTTGTCAGTATTTTTTAAACTAGAAGTAGAAAAAATGCCCCCCCCCCTTTAAATTTCCATAATGTAAATACCAATTAAAATCAAATTTCTATGCTACTACTGCAAAAAAAAAAGTTCTTGTTGCCGCAAAATGTGAAAATGTGACTTCTACTATTGTTTTGTTTTAACAGTTACATGCGGATGTTTGTCAAATGTTAATCCTTCATTGCAGGAGAAAAGGAATGTGGCTACTCAAATGTTACGGTAGAGCTCAATGGCGGCCAACTTGGACCTTTTTTCTCTTCAGAATGTTCCTATCTTTTGGAGGTAAACATACTTTTCTGATAACCTTTGGTACTAAGCTAATACTTTCACTCTTCTACAAAATTTTGATCGCAGATTTTTTCCATAGAGTCTTCAGGCTTTAGATTTCCTAAATAGAACTTTGACAGAGAAGTAGGCCAATTTATTGTTTTCAAAAATTGACTTATTTAGGTGAGACATATATTAAGTGTTGAATGAACCGGTGCAAGCCTGACAAAGAAATGCATGTATCCAGAGATAAATCTTGCGTTTATTGTTTTATTCAGTCCAGTTACAAAGGTAAGAGTTTTATTGACCAATAAAGATTGTCCTAAAAGTTGCCAGAGAAACAAGCTGAGAAGCATTCGGTCACTTGTCCAATAACTGGCTGCTCTTACAGAACAGGCCTATACACCAGCGTTGATATTATCGAATAAGTGTTCAAAAGACAGTAAAAAGTTTTTTTTGTCTAAAAGCAAAAAAATTCAAATCCAGGAAAAATAGTTTATAAGAAAGAAGAACGAAAAATTTGAAAAAATTGAGTCGCCAACAGAAACATGTTAACAAGTGTTAGTCAAGTTTTAGAACAAGTGAAGGAGGTATGTCATGCCTATTAACACAACCATCGAAAATGCAGCTGCGCCAGTAGATAGTGATCTTTTTATAGAGGTAGAAAACGCCAACTTACAGAACGTCATGCTCTTCTTATTTCGTATGTATTTTGTAGAAAAACCTAAAAGGCACCAAAAAACATTTTTCCAATTAATCCGCATCATTTTTTGAAGTTTATGATATGTTGCGGGCAATTTAAGAAATTGGAAAGAAGTATTAACGAAGACACCTTGGCCTTAAGAACATCTTAGGATCATCTCTGTCAGTACCAGATGTTTCTACAAAAGATTATATTTCCAAACGTTTATACAACACTTGTTGGTGCAATAATGACCATAGAATCTTTAATGGGGTTTGGATCACTAAGCGGTAATTATGGTATCAAAAAAATTTAAATAGCATTGAAGGATCTGAAGCCAGCAGTGGCGTACCCAGGACTGTAGCAGGGGGGAGGGTCTGAAGCATAACCAAAAACTGAAGCATACTTTTTCAGATACTCCTCGTAGCATTAACAAATGTTTGTTGGTTTTTATATCATCTTTTGATTCCAAATGCAAGTTAAGAAATTACATACTTCAACCCTTTCATATGTTTTGTTCCTTCATAATTTTTAGGAAAAACTCATTGACTATGAACATCTCTCTTCGCAAGTTGTGAATTTTGCCGTCGACAAGATGTATTCGCAGTTTTTCAGGTAATAGAATAACTAAAGGAAACACTGTTTAACTAGTAAACACTGTTTAAATAGCAAACACTGTTTAACTAGCAAACACTGTTTAACTAGCAAACACTGTTTAACTAGCAAACACTGTTTAACTAGCAAACACTGTTTAACTAGCAAACACTGTTTAACTGACGGAAACAAGAACTGCCAATACATCGGACAAACAAGCAGACGATTGAAAGACAGATTTAACGAACACAGACGAGACATTATCAACAAAAAAGTAGACAAGTCTGGTGTTGCAGAACACTTCTGCAGCCCAGAACATACCATCAATGACCTTGCTATTACTGCAACTCAACGACAAACGATAGAGTGTTCGACGAGCCAAAGAGCAATACCTCATTGGCCTGGCAATCACTCTGGCACCGAGCGGCATGAACCGAACCACTGACCGTTAATCTTACAGCAACACACCATCATCACCCACATCGTAACTTTTTCTACTACCCATACATTACTATTTTACAATCATTATCATTACTCTCTACATTCCCGTAATAATTTTCTTTTCTCTATTTAATTAACTTTTCATTTTTTACTATAGTCACTATCATCACCATTATTCAATACTTTCATACTTTTTATTGTTATCACTACTACCCACCTTCATTACACTTTCATTTCACCACCACCACCCACACTCTCTCACTCGCCACCCTTCCCTCCTCCACATCTATTACCTATTCCTCTCCGCTGCGCTGCATTCACACCATTCCACATCAACCAATCTGAACCCACCATAGCCTCTTTGAAATTTGTAAATTTTTAGTTCGTTTACTTTTGCTCTGATGAAGCCCCGTACGCCGGGGCGAAATATTAGCCATCACTGATTTGTGTGTTTTTTGTTGTTTATTCGCGTTGCGGTGTTCCTTATTTACTACTATTTTATCGATTTTTCGCCGCAAGATTTCCTCCGCAGTCCGTCGGGCAGCCTCCTATCGTGGCCTCTCCTTTATTCGCGCAATAAAATAACTGTTGGTTGGTTATTTCAGAGGTTGTTTTAATGATTGTCTCTGTGATTGTGTGCAAAACGTTTTTGGATATTTCATGGCCTTGAGCTTCTAAATGTCATCTCCTAAATGTCATCTGTTACAAAGGAAAATTGCACCTCTTGGGAAAGTTTTAATTTAAAAATAGTTACCAAAGTGTCTTTTATGTAAGTCACTCTCGAGTGTACGTTGCGTCGTTTTTCCGCATGTGAAACGAACTTCTATTACAATTTATAACCAAAATGTAGTCTTAAGAGTATGCACTTTTAAAATTTTCTTAGGTTTCAAATTTGTTGAAAATAATCAGAACAACAGAATGACAAACTTCAATTGTATATTTGTATCCACACTGATAATATCTGAATACATCAGAATGATTTTATGACTTTGTCTACCATTTCAAAGTTTTCCCCGATAAAAATCGCATCCCTGATATGAAAATCATTTGTCGAAACTTCTACACCTATCAATAGGCCACACCATTGCATCAAATTCAGATTAGTTATCAGAATTGTATAAATTTTTTATTCTTGCATGCCAGGAATGGTCGTGAAGTGTTTTACTTAAATTTGTCAAGTTTGGCTAATTCACGTGTTCTTTTTTCCAGAGTGGTTTATGAGCGAGGGACAATGGGGGAAATTACGATTGAAACCCTTAGCATGGTCACACTATCGTCGAAGACCGCCGTCAAACCGTTGATATGTCGTCTAAAGCAGGCTTCACAGATGCTGACGAAGTACATTTTAGGAATCGTTCTTGGTAAGGATAAGATCAACCATGACAAATATTTTCTCAGATGTACCCATTAACAATATCACATTAAGGATTGTTATTACATTGAGGTGGTTTGCCTCGGTTATGCGAATATGTTCGGCGAGGCAAGGCGATTTCTTCGTTTGTTTATAAGGAGTAAAAAACCCCATCATTTTTCTTCATCTGAGCAAAAAATCAATTGTAAGATAAAACCCGCAAAGCGATGCACATTTTCTAGAGTTTAGGACATATTTTGTCTCTTCGTGTAAAAAAGAGTAAGAAACTTGGCTGCCAATCGCAAACGATTATTTTCTGATGTTAAGTAAAAAGTTCAAAGTAAGCGCAATGTTTATTGCACCTGCAGTAAATGAATTTCTAGATGCCTCAGATGGGTACTTTTTATATTTTATTCGTTGTTTTTCTAGATTCGTCGTTATTTGTTTGATATATTTCTAGGCTTTGGGCTTTTGCTTGCTGCCTACTATGTCATGAAGCGACGCTGGATGATGGATGATGAAGACACCAGGCTTATGTTCGTTTATGTTGAACGCATCATCGGTATGGTTTTGCAGCTTCGGGTATAATCTTTCAAAGACCTGCATTAAAGGGCATTTGCCCTACTCATCTTTTGCAGTCTTTTTACACAAATTATCACTATATTTTTACTTCAAAATCTCGTTTTTAGATTTTGAATAATATTGTCCTTTTTGCAGAAAGCCTTCGTAGGCACCACGAGGCTTGTGAACATGACAGGGAGCTACCACCTTATCTCCCAATCCCACACGTCCGAGATATGCTTATTCCTCCACGAGAAAGGTATTTCTTTTAAATTCCATACGAATCTGGTAGAGACACCTTTTTCGCACTTTCTGTTTGCTCTCTGCATTAATATGTGCAAAAACTACCAGCTTTGACTGGCATTAATCTCGCTAACGAAAGGATTTCTGTTAGTAACTCTCTTAATGCCAAGTACAATGCACTAATAGCTTTTGCTGCAGCAACAGCAGGTTCGCGTCTATGACGTTACCTCGCTCAAGTCTCTTGCCATTTGATTACAACAAAAACAGAATTTTTCCTTCACTGTGCTTTCAGTCTCCGCTCACTGTTAATGTAGTTTAACCACGAGCATTAAAATTAAAACATGAAGCGCAAACAAGTTTTTCAATTCCAAGTAAACATTTATTTTTCAACAGAAAACAAAAATCTAGAGCGTGGAAAAAGGCTGTTGATTTTCTCAGCTCAACCGACGCAAGGATCCGAGTTGAAACGCAGAGAATTGCGGGAGAAGACTTTGAAGTGTGGAGATGGATTGGGGTTATGCCGTCAGACAAGCATGTCAGTGGGGCCAGCAACCATTTGGTAAATTTAGATATACGCTAAGTATTTGCATAAAGTATTTCAGTTAAGGCAGCTAACCCTTATATGAAGTAATCCTCGACTGTTCTATGATGCCTTTCTCTTCTAGTCAGCTTTTCCAGTATTCTTGTTTATATCAAGTTTCCCTTATGTAACTATGTCCTGTGACTATCTATATTCTGTATAACGACCAAAGTTTATATAGTTTCCTTCAGTTAGTTTATTTCCATCTGTATATCAGGATTCTTACTGACAGTTTGCCCTAAGTCGGAGTTGGTAACGCTTGCAAGCTCGTTTATCGAACGCGAACATCATCCTGTTGACATTTTCTTAAATACTTAAGTCACGCGTTAGTCTGTCTATAGGACAGAAAGGTTCTAAGTTGTAGATACCTGCGTCATCTAGGCATTGATTCGTTTAACGTTTTCATGTATCCTAATCTAATTGTTCCAGGGTCCTGAAGTTGAAAGAGGGAAGTTCTGGCAAGGGCAAGGTATTTTTATCTCATTCTCAGCCTTCTACATATTTCGGTTCTGACATTCGGTCTACATATGACGTTTGTATGTATCGAAATAGTCGTGCTTGGCATTGCTCTGCGTTAATGATTTAGCTTTGACCTACTTCAGTAATTGCTTTCTGTTGCGCTGGAGGTGTGTATCACTTGATTCAGTTCAATTGGTCAGTTCCATTTGAGTTATATAAGATTCAAATACGATTCAGACACCCATTCTTCCAAAGTAGCATAATCAAAGCTTTCAAAACTGTCCCTCATTTGTCTCTTCCACGAATATATTATGAAGTATATTTCCCTTGATATTTTATGCCTATTTAGGCGCTGACTGACCTACCATTCTTTTTTCGATAGCTTTCGATAAGCTGGAAAAGGTTGTGCGAATGCCGATCATCACTCCAACACCATGCTTGAAGATCAGATATCTTCACGGAGGCCCTGTGTATGTTTTTACTTTGTCTTCTTTGATATTCCTTGGATGTTTTTCTAAGTATTTTCATTCCCAATATATGTTATGATATTTCATCGCGTAACAGCATTTAAGTAAAAAGGCTCATATTATTGAGGAATACTGCCCATCAAAGACAAGGATCTTCTTATGCTTCTTCCCCCCATCCGAGACATCTTATGATAACATCTGGAGGTATTCATTCAAAACCGCATGGCACTAGTGTCTGCATCATGCTCTTCGTACTATCAAAATATATAGATTGTTTGGATGAAATGCAGTCAGTGGTTCAAATAATCAGTTGCCCTACAACATACTGTGTTGTCTGTTAGGATTCTTTGATTTTCGTTTTCAGTGAGAAAGAGGAAGGATGGGAACGTCACGTCCGCGATGCTTTGCTTGAAAAATGCAACGACGGGGGAGCTCGCATTCTCCATGTTTATGTCGATGTCAAGTCTTCTGAGGTGAGTAGATTCCCCGTATAATTTGCTGACCTTCGGTTGTTTTTTGAAATGTCGTTTACCTGTTTTAAAGATGACTGAGATCAAATTGAGGCTTTGGAGGAATTGTTTTTTTTTTAGTTTTTACCGGATAATACTGGAAATGATTAAAGGGTATGTTTGAAGGAGTAGCTGTTTTAAAACGTCTCACCATTAAAAACTTAATTCTTCTAGCCAGGCAGGCTTTCTTTCTTTTCAATTTTATATCAACTATTTTTTTTGTTTCAAGGGCTGCGTTTATGTCAAATGTGATTCTCTGGAGTCAGCAGGAAAGGCCTTTCGAAGCGTTTACGGCAATTGGTTCGATGGTGCGTATTTCATTTATTTATTTTGGCTCCTGAAAACTTTGACATATAAATTGTGAAACAATTATCTTTACAGCAACAGAAGCTCCAAATGCTTAATAGTTTAATAGTTAAATGGTTTTGGTTTTGATATCTGAAAATTGCGTTTGGAAAGTGATAGTGAAAGTATAAAATAATACAGTGCCGAAGTTTAAAGGTTCAGAAAAATAATACGAGGTACAATAGAGTGGAAATGGTGACAATTTAGTGCTGTTTGATTCAGTTAAAGTAGGTCTTTCTTGTAAAACTTTAGGAAGAGACGGGAGTCAGAAACAGTATTTTTGTGAAGTTTCTTTAATACCCAGGCCTTCGAAAATGTTTGCAGATAGAAACAAATTATCTTTGCAATCTTAATCTTAATAATATAAAAGACAGACTATTTACAAGTGCTAAGTAACCATATTGTAGCCAGTGACCGAGTATAACTAACGTGTCTTTCAAGGCTTATCTTTATTTCATTTCATTCTTTAAGCATTCTTTCATTCTAGGTTGCCCCATCAACCTAGAGTGGTTGTCTTTTAAGAGGCCGTGACAAAAATAGATTACAATAATGCTTTATTGAAATAAGAAATGAAGAAGATTATTAACAGTATTGAAACTAGCATAAAATGTACAAAATTTTAAAGAAATAGGTTATTTATTGCTAAATCTACATTTAAAAGTAGACAGAGAGGGGGATAGCTTGACCCCCTGTTCTAGTTCATTGCAGACTTTGATCCACGGAATGAAAATGCTTTTTGGCCATTGCTCGTTCTTAATCTTGGAAGAAGCAAATCAGTCTCAAAGATTCTCAAACTTACAACTCCCTAGTTGTGTTTCATGTAAAAAGAGTGGAGAGATTTGTTGGCGCAAGACCATTTATTGATTTGAAAACAATGGTAGCAGTCTCTCGCTTGATCATGTCCTGGACTGTTGACCTTTCAAGTTCTTTTATCAAGTTAACTACTGGTGCGTCATAGCTTCTGTTGGTAACTATCCTCGCAGCACGATTTTGTGACTTTTGTAGCATAAGCAGGCGAGTTTCCCAACAGTCACCCCAAACAGAGCAACAATATCGAAAATAGGGCTCCACAATACCTCTTTATAATTGATGAAGGGGATTTTTTGGAATAGTTTTTTAGCATATTTTAGGAAACCCAAAGAGCGAGATACCTTTGAACGAAAAACCTTGATATGTTCATCCCATACAAGATTTTTATCAAGTTGTACTCCCAAATTATTTAGCATTATCCATAAAGTCAATATGTGAGTCACCGATGACGAAAGATGGCGTGGGTACTGATTTGTCTGAATTCTTTTTTATATTTGGTCGCGAGCCTATAACCATTGCTTGTGTCTTAATCTCATTAAGCTCGCCAATATCTTTAGAGGAATATGAATTACGTGTTAACTTTTAACAGAAAATATGCCACGAGGTGGCTCGTTCCACAACAGAACAAAGCATTGCCACATAAGGTAATCCAAATAACGAGATAGTTTTCAGTAAGTATAATGTACAGCAAGAAACGCATGTAAGATATGTCAGGAGGCGCCATACCAATAGAGAAGCGGTCGATGCGATGTAATTTATTATAGATTATTTTCCTCCATTTTCAGGTCGCCTGGTGATAGTTAAATTTGTTACATTAGCCCGTTATCATCAAAGATTCCCTGATGCCTTAACACGCATACGGCCTTTAAATGTTTCTGGGGATTTCCCTTCTTCGCTGAGCTGGAAAAGCCAGAACGATGAACCAGAAACATGGATCAGTCGGTCGTGAAAAGGTAAACAAGTGGAAACATCGAACCAAAGTGAATCAAAGTGCTGAAGACACTGCAGCAGCAGCTGCGGCGCGTCTCTTGTCATATTTCTCAAGGTCTGAAACACAGGGGTAGTTTATGGAATTCTACTGAACACAAATTTCTTGCCAATGTAGGTTGTGCTCAGTTGTTCAACATTCCTTATGTAGAAGAAATACCGGCTGAACTCTGCACAGGTTGATATTTTTAAAGTAAGCTAGGTATTCACCAGCTATTGATAATTATCGAACTCTTGATCGTAAAGGAGCCTTGGGCATATTAAATTCAAGGTTCCTTAACTCAGTGTTGGGAAACGCAACCTTGCCCAAGAATAGTAAGCCTTACCTCATAAAATATCCTTGAAATTCACTGTTTGATAGAAGCGTCAAGAAAATGTTTTAAAGTCAGCTAGACGCTATTTTATTTCGGTAGTAAAAAACTCTGGTGGCTGTTTCTCGCTGTTAACCTGTTTGCCCTTGTTTGCTTGGCCCCAAAGTAGACGTCCGAAGTAGTATTTTTTGAATATTGAGGCACAATAGAAGAAACTTTACAATATTTAGGCGAATGGATTCTCGATACGTAAGTTGCCGAGCTTCATAAAGATATATGGCAATGCATCTTCAGTTGGCTTCACATTCAATATGTTATTTAATCGCATCGCTAAAGTCAATCTGCGCCGCTGCACGTGACAGAAAATGTTAGCCTTAGAACTCCTTCCTAGTGCTTGATGTATCTTTCCCCAATGGTCCTGCTGTCTTTTTATATAGTTGCGAACTTTTTTTAGGCTGCTTTCACATCTGAAATGCAGTAACGTTCAATTAAATCATTTTGATAAATTCCGTTGACTGTTAATTTTAAATTGAGATTAGTTGTTTAGACGTTTCGCCTCTGCCTGATATATATAAATATATATATATTATATATATATATTGGTAATGTTATTCAGGTGTTATGTATGTTAAATGCTGAAGTCTTTGTTTCCGGATTGTTGTCTCCCTTTTTTGAAAAATGCTTTTTGTGCCACCTTTAGAAGCAGTCCACTCCTTCTGGGGAGCCATCAATTTAATAAAGAGATCGTGGACATTCAAAAGATTAGCTCAGAAAGCGAGAGGTATTTTGTTTTCACATTAGTTACCCAGCTCTGGGCATCGGGTCATGTACCGAAGACTCTCGCTTACCATCTTTGATACGTGACAATATCTTCACTCTCACCTTTCCTTTCTTTTGGCCTGGCTTTTTTTACTAGAACAAATATAATAAGTCTTTATTTGACGTCATATTTAAACCATTACTAATTCTGCATAAACGGAAACTGGTTCAGGTGACTCCTCGAAGCTTTTCAAGAAAAGGTTTGTTTGCGGGATTCCGTTCAAGTTTGTTATGAAAAATGATGGTACGAGAAGTTATTAGTGCCAAATCGTCACTGCCCGTGGCAAAACGGATTTATACAAATGAGCTGAAGATGATTAACTACCCTTCAAAAGAAACTTTGCTCACCAACCAGAGGATAGTTGGAAAATGGATGCGAGACGAGGAGTCGATTCTTTCCCCGGAGGAAAAAGCCAAGCGGATGCAGAAGTTTATGCAGTCTTTAAAAGACAGGCAAGGCAACGCGCGGCCTAAGGAGAGCAAGAGAAATAGAAAACGACTGCCTTACAATGAAGCAGACCCACGTGCGAATCGGCTTGAGACCATATTTTCAATTTATGCAGACCAATCTACAGAAAGCTACAGGATGGCCGCCAAAAGAAAGAACTTCTTGCCACCCCTGCCTCAAATCTTGAAGATATTAAATAATTCTAGACGTCGCAGGGATAAAAAACTCTGTGCTGATGAAGAAAATCTATCATCAAATCACGAGATGCAAAGAACGATCTTGCCAAAAGTCATTGAAAATAGAGTATTGTAAAAAGCTATAATTCTCTCAAGTCAAATGTGATTCTCAATTAGGTTTTATCCGATTTTCTGATTGTCTCCTTCGCTATACTTGGAAATGTTAAGTCAAACGGTCTTTAATGGTTTGAAGTGGCCTAGCCATAACGTTCATGAATGTTTAGCTTTTTAATTCATGGGCTCGTACGGGGCCTTTGAAGCACTAATGACAGTGTACCACTGTGAGGGCAATGCAATGATTGATTGAAAATAAGTTTTCTCAAGACAGGAATTCCGATTAATAAATAAAATCGCAGCCGCAATTGAATTTTTTCCTACCAATTACTGTATATTTCATAGTCGTTTCTACTCGTTTCTGCTTGTTGCCCAGTTGTTTCGGACCTTCGAAGGGTGTGGCCACAAATTTTTTTCTCGGATAAAGTCTTTTGATCTGACCATGTGTTTTGAAACCTCAAAAGGTACTTTACGAAACCCACTTGAAAAATCTAACCAAATTTGCGTTTTAAAAATCTGAATGTTAGCAACTTACCTTAACTGGATACATGTTTTAGACATAAATTAGTTTCCTGTTAAATCATATTTGCATACTTTATTTTTCATAAAAATATAGTTGGATATTGAAGCTCAAAACTGCTGAAATTGAAAATAAGTAATGAATTTTAGTCGGGTTAAATCTTTATTAAAAGTATTCACCCGCGTTCTCGAAATCTTTCATCTCTACTGTTTTCTAAACTTAATGCTAGTTTTCATATAACGTATTTTATCGTAGCACAGTGTCTACGATCAACTATGATTACTGTATTTCCGTTGTATGAAAACCGACCAAGTTATCGCCTATCGTAAATAATCCTAATATATCATAATTCATCTGAAGAAATAAAAAAAAACTGTTTCTCGCGACATAATACGTTAAATCATGATGAATTAAGATGAAACAGGTTTTGCGGTTTTCATATGTCGTGGAAATTGTAGAGCCTGAACTGTGATGAAATGTGCCGAATTACGTTAGATGAAGGCAAACATTTAGAGAAATTTAACGTAAAAATGTAACCTTATGTTATGTCTTAATCGTACTTCGCCTGAGACCAAGGAACCCGGCGCCTGCACTTTAGTCATTTTTGTACCTCATGCTTGTCCGCTATTTCTCTGAGAAAGGGGTATAAATTTTAATCCTATCTAGGACATAGAATTAAAAAAGGGTCTTCTTTGGCAATTTAAGTCAGAGATTCCAAGAACTAGGGTGCCAATTTAGCTGCTGATTTATCTAGCAATTAGGTAAATTTCAAATATGATTGCTAAAAAACTAAATAGGTATGAGGGTAAAATTGGTATTATATAAGGAACATACTGAGAGCATCAGCAAATAAATGTTTGTTGTTTGCAAAACAATTTACATTAGCCATGAATTTTCTTTTTAACTTTGCAATAGTTAGATCTGAAACCTGAAAACTGCACTTAAGTTGAGATTATAAATGTTGATAAAAAATAATGTACAAAATACTTTAAACTACAAAATACTTTGCCTATAATGCTCCATTGTGCATCACATTATATATAACGTTTAACAAACCTGTGTATAATAACAATTTATTTGGTTAATAGGCATTAATAGTATTGATAGATAGATTCATTCATCCTTAAAAATTATAGCTTATTCATAATCGTAATACGTTATACATCCTTAATGTTATTAGGTTTTAATAGGACACACTATTTTCGTCGTTTCGATGGTCGTTCCATCTAGCAGTTTTGGAATCTATCTACATAAGCACGAAGAAAACCGCTGTTGTGTAGACAAAAGGAGTTCGTTTTCACCTTAGGACTCCATTGGTCAGGGCCGTAAATCTGTCATGTGAATTGGGGGGGGGGGGTCAGCAGAGCGAATGAATATAAAGTATGCAGTGGGTCATGGCACCACAAGGGATTTATTGTATGTGTTATGGAAACTACGATGGCCCACAGGGGACATGCAGCATGTACTAAGTTTTGCACGCACACAAAAGCAAAGGCGGTTGCAAAATGAATTTCACATGATCACAAAATATAACTGCAGCACACTAAGTAAATGTTGCAGCATACACTAAAGTCTTACCTGCAGCATACACTAAGTCTGACCTGCGGCATACACTAAGACTGACCTGCGGCATACACTAAGTTGGACTTGATTTATATAGGCCTGACGATTCGCTCTGACGATTCGCACGCAAACTACCTTCCAGTTCTCCTTTGATAACTTTTAACTAACTAAATCTGTAGGACTGATTTAATTTTTAAGCATCACAAATACCATAGTTTTACTGTTTTTTCATACTTTTTTAAAATGAATTGTTCTGTGTTGCCAGGTAAACTTTTTACCTCTGTTTTATCTGGATAAACAAGGGTTACCATATCATGGGTGACGAATACATTTTGGTTGAGCCTGACAATTTTCTCGAGTGCTTTTGCCAGCAGCTCTTCAGCACCTACGCTTGGGCTAATCTTGAGGGGCAAGCAAGAGCCCCTGGCAATGCGCCAAAGTCCATCTTTTTTCTGCATAATACCGATCTGAACATTGAATCAGATGGTTGCTGTGACTTGCTTTTTGGTGTTTTCTTGGCTTTGAAACCAGCAGCCCTTCCTTTCCCCTTCGCCTCCATGAACGCCTCAAATGACACTTCGCAGCCAGCAGTTTGTCGAGATCCTTTTGCCTCGATTACTTTTTGATCACTGTAATTGATTCATTTGATTGATTTCTGTGACAATCACACCGACCACTTGAGTCCAGTGATCGTTTCCTCGTCGATCCACATTGATGGCAATAATTTGCATCTGATGGGAGATGCGCCCCACAATTTTGGCAGAACAACATGTTGCTCAATCGTAGCAGTGATGCAAAAGCCGGGAACAAGGTAGCAACATCAACAACACTTTGTATGCTGCAGGTCAGACTTGGTGTATGCTGCAGGTCAGACTTAGTGTATGCTGCAGGTCAGACTTAGTGTATGCTGCAGGTCAGACTTAGTGTATGCTGCAACATTTACTTAGTGTGCTGCAGTTATATTTTGTGATCATGTGAAATTCATTTTGCAACCGCCTTTGCTTTTGTGTGCGTGCAAAACTTAGTACATATTTTTGGATTTCTCAAGACTTTCTGCCCTATAGAAGGTATTTACAGATATTCCTTAGTACATTGACTTGTGTGTATGATTGGATGGATAACATTTTTCAGAGACGGCCCCAAGAAATTGAACCTTGGGAGCTAAGAATCAAGTTTACTAGCGGAAGAAAATACTGCTGGCAAAAGCACTCGAGAAAATTGTCAGGCTCAACCAAAATGTATTCGTGACCCATGATATGGTAACCCTTGTTTATCCAGATAGAAAATTTTTGAAATTTTACCTTCTAGAAAGGCTAAAAAAGCATCCCCCAGACTAAATTTAATAAAATACTAGAATCGCTCAGGATAGAAAGTTTGGCGTTTCTCAGAAGAACACAGATTATTGTTTATTGGGTGAAATTTTGGAGGGGAAGAGTCATGCTTAAACCTTAGAGACAGACTTTGGGTAAAATATGGGACACTGTTGTATTGATTGGTAGAAATTTACTTTCTGAACAGAAATGTGCGTCTTCCTTATTTTGACTGATTTCAGTAGGCCATGTTTACACATCAAAAATGAATACATTTTAATGATACAAAAAGTGATTTACTAAATAAAAGTAAATAATAGACAAATAATAGAAATGTACGTAAATAAGTTAGTAAATAGGTCAAATAAAATGACAGATTGCTCTCTTTTTATTTCATACTCTTTTTTCAAAAATAAAACGGTAGAAAACAGTAGAAAACGGTAAAAAACGGTAGAAAACGGTAAGTTTTTATATTGTAAAAATTATAAAAACCACTCTGCTTACAAAAATAACCTTAGTGGCTGAGGTTTGTTGCAATAACACAGAAAACGTAGTTTGGTTCTAACCCGGCTACCAGGGATTTCTTTCTTCCAAGAAAAATGATGGTAATTTCTCCAAAAAAATCGTTTTGCTCCAGATTTTTGGGGGGGTCCAGTCCCCCCCGTCCCCCCGGGCTTTACGGCCCTGCCATTGGTAACATTCTCAATAGGCAAGCGGCACTGATTGGTCAACCTCTACAGTCATGTGCTCGTGTTTCTGATTGGCCTATTTCGATCCACAACTGGGTATATATATTTCCTAGCGTAGAGGAAATATTTCCTATACTTTTTGATCTATGTTCTGACATTTTAAACTCTGAAGAGTGCCAGACGAAATGCTTTAGTTTACTCAAATGCTTGCTTTTTTCAAAGCCATTTTCATAGAAACTTAGCTCTATATGTTTGGTAATAGGAATGCTCTATGGACTCCAACAAAAATGTTGACAGGAATGTTGATAGAATTAAAAAAACCAAAAGATGCTGCACCCTGTGTACAATCACTGCCAAAATTATTTGGAACACCCAACAGTTAGCGCTGTGCTTTTCTATTTTTCATTTGTTTTTAATACTAATTCCGTCTACTACTAATTCCGTCTCCCTTTCCCCCAAAACAATGCTGAAAGTGAAGAAAAGTATCAAACAAGTCACAAGAAAAAGCATACTCCATAGCCTCTTTGCTCTTTCTATAGCAAATCAACATTGTTTCTAGGGGGAGAGGGGGTGGCTGAATTTGCCTTTGAATACCTACGTTAGTGTTCCGAGACTCAGAAAGACGAGACTGGGCTCACTGCGATGTGATCTGCGGAGGAGGTAACTGATAACGCTTGTTTCCCAGTGCAATTTTTGTTTTCCTAGCAAAAGATGGCCGACTTCAAATTCGTTATTCTTGTAAGAAACACGTTACAGTTCGTATATGTTTGAGCTACTCCTTTAGAAGTATGAATGCTGATGCTGGAAATGCTAGGCAACAAGGTTTGTGCATGAAACCAAATTATTTGTTGTTTGCTCGCTTCATTGAAGATATATTGAATGAACAAGATTTCCACAAAATCAAGTGCCGCCATCATCAAGGATGTAGCACGATTTTCCATTATATTTCTATTATTTATTGGCGTAATACGGTGTGCTTTGCATGTATTCCACCCTGGAATCTGTGATGCTGTGCAAATATTATTAATATTCCAAACCAGATCAAGTCTGCGTAACAACATTTCAAATTTCTCCTTTCCATAAACTTGATGTCTCATGTCTCTGTAGTACATCACTTTTATAGACCCTCTCCCCATTTTTATGAAAAAAAACTTTATAACAATTATTATCCTCCTAAAAGTAATAAAACAATGTCCTGAACTGACTTATGAGTTTTTATAGAGTAACCAAGCATTATTCTCCTTCACTCTTTATGTAAAGAATACAATCCTAATGACCAGGTTGAAAACATGTATGATTTTGCCAACGCGTCACTGCGACCAATGCCACATTATCAGCCGCGACCTGCAAGTGGAAGCGTCTTTAGAGGCCCTAGGTGCGAGCACAAGATGTCAAACACCACTGCAAGAATATGCAAGTTTTCCAGCCTTGCTAAATAAAACAAACATATTTTTTTTTCATTCCATACAGTGCAACAGTGTCGTTGGAATGACAATCATGTCTGCCTATTGTATTATTCCCTATTAATTACACTATTATGAAGAAAATATACTACAGTTTGACAATTATTGAAGGGCTCCAGGCCTCCCAGCCCCCTTCTTCTGATGACACCACTTGTTAGTTTTCTTGTTAACAATCAATTGATAAATTATTTGTATTCATTTTAGGGCGAAAGGTTGTTGTTGATGTATCCTTTGAAAAATGATGAGAAAGTTCAATTGTTATTTGTAGTTGCTAGCCTTATCCTATGCAAATGGATTTTAGGTATTCTGTTTTGAATTCATCAGATGTTTGTTTCAATTCAAAAAGTAGGTAGCCACTTTTCAAAAACTATCAAACTTAGACACTCATTGCAGGATTTAACCTTTCTTTATTCATATCTCAGGGATGTAGACATAGGAGACAAAGGGGCTGGGGAGGTAGGCAATTTAATCTCAATGAAACATCAGTTTTCAGACAAGACTCATACTAAGCCCCCCTTAGCGTTTAGCCTCTGCCATCTCCATGCTCAGGGAGCATTTTTTGGGATTTAAAAAATTTACATTTCTCACCAATGTTCCCTATATTATCAAATCCTGGTATTTTCTGATGTTTTCAATATTATTTTTTACTATAGCAATTTCATATGCAGGCAAGAAATCACCAACTGCTATTTTGCTAGAAGTTTTAGGTTTTTGCCATCTTGAGATCTTGTGTTTTACTAGAAAAGATTTCTACTTTATGATTTTCGCTTTCTGGGAATTGTTCATTGGCATTGTTTTGTTTTTCAAATGAATTTATCTTTCTGATCATTAAGAAACCTTGTTAGATGATATAGATCAGTAAGATTCCTGTGATAAAGATCATTATGTGTAAAATACATATAAACAACATGTTTAGAAGAAGTCCTTGACAGATAGCACAGCTTTCCTCCTTACCACTGCAGGTCTTGATGTTTCTGAATGTTTATTATTTCATCTTTTTCTGGGTTTGCGAACTTCTCCTTTATATATATAAAGGTAAATACTGCTATTTATTTGCTGAAGTTTGTTTAGGAGAAAGATTTTATATGTGGAGAAAGATCAATATTTTGCTGAAATTAATATCCTAAAGTTATTATTATTGTTGCAATTGATTTTGCTTTGAAAACATGAATTGAGACATAACTATTAATGCATGAAATAAAATAGCATCGCTGGTACTGTCTATATAAACTGTTTTTCTTTGTTGCTTTGCTTTTCATTGGTCTTTTATAAGCCTTTTTAATCAAGAAGAGCGCTTGTTGTTGCACAATGACTATGTTGTCATCAGCCTATAATCAGGCACAATTTGTTAAAGGCAGCAGCTCCCAAGATCGTTCAATCTGTTACCAAAATCATGAACAAAAGTTTTACATCTAGTATTTTCCCAGACGTTTGGAAAACTGCAAAAGTCACTCTAGTACACAAGTTTGGCCCCCTCCATGATTTTGGGAATTTTCAACCAATTTCAGTCCTTCCACTGCTAAGTTAAATAAATGAAAAACATGTCAGGGTCATTTCTACACATACCTGGACACACATGGGCTCCTTTACGTAGCTCAGTCAGGCTTCAGAGCAATGCACTCATGTGAAACTGCTCTTCTCAATCTAACAACCCCATGGTTGTCTATGAACGATGGCCTCATGATAGGTGTTATTCTGCTTGATTTGAGAAAAGCGTTTGATCTTCTCAATCATAAATTACTATTGGAAAAGCTAAAACTATATCATTCTGCAGTAAAACACTTGAATGGTTCACTTCGTATTTGAACAAATGTAGCAAAGGGTTGCTTTTGAAAATAACATCTCAGATCCCAAGGTTGTGAAGTCAGGGGTACCACAAGCCTCAATTTTAGGACCACTATTATTCATCTTGTTCATGAATGACATACTATTAGAAAGGAAAGAAGGTACATTAGAGATGTATGCAGATAATAGCACTAGATCAGTTTCTGGCAAGACTATCAAAGGGATTGAAACAGAGTTGTACACATCTGCTAGACAAATCACAACATGGTGCAACGAAACAAGATGGCTGTCAATGTAGAAAAAACAAAGTCTCTTCTGGTCACGACACAGCAAAAACGTTCGAAGCTGAAAAGAAACTAACAAGATCAAGCAATCGAGATTAACATGAATGAGCAGCCATTTATTAAGATTCACAAACAAGAGCTTCTTGGAGTTATTGTTCACCAGGATCTTACATGGAACGATCAAGTTAAAAACAGGTGCAATACTGTCAGTCGCAACCTTGCTCTATTTTGTAGGATCAAGTCTTACCTGCCATTTGATACAAGAAAATTGTTCTACCAGAATTTCATGCAAGTGTATTTTGATTACGACAGTGTGGTTTGGGGGTCTTCTGCGAAGATATCCTCACTGTTGAAGCTCCAAAATAGAGCATTCAGGTCCACTGTTTAAGAAACTTGAGTAGTTGCCCATTCAACGAAGAATTAACTTCAAAACAGCCATAGTAGCCTACAAAGCTCTAAATGGACGAGCTCTAATATATATGACTGATTTGTTGACTCATCAAAATCAGATTAAAGACTCATTGCTAACATTGAGCCATTATGTTACATAAGCATCCCATAATGCATTTTTAGACTGTTGTCTAAAATCAATTTTGGTTAATCCGTAGAAAATTACTGTATTGTTTGGACCGTCACCATGCTCACAAAGGCCCATTGTTAGCAATGAGTCTTTAAACAGCAATTGACGAGAAGTTCATCACACAAAAACTTGTATGTGCCCAGATCAAAACTGAAAAATGAAAATTTTCAAGAGAAAAGTGAAATCAGCATTTTCTTGACGTTTCAGATTTAAATACTTAAATTTTACTTTAAACAAAATTGTTACTAGGCTTTTTGGAAACTTAAAGTACACTTTTTTGAAAAATTGTATTATTTGGTAGAGAGGACCCAAGATTAGTTGTTAGGCTAACCAGGTTTAGCAAATTTCTTAAAAATGGAAAATTGCATGTGTGAATGATTTCTAGGAAAGTACACAAAACTAGCATTTAACCTTATGTGTCTGTGAGGCCCCCCTGGCTACAAGCCTGATTTTTGTGCTTTTATTGAGTGACTTAACATACAAGGGCTAAATATTATCCAATAGATGTATTTAGCTGACTCTTTCTACCCTTTAGGAAGTATCTTGCCTTTTCCAAATCAAGGTGGAATTTTAGCTCTGGAAATCATTTTGCTGTTTCTGTTGGCTGCTTTGGAAAGCCTCAGGCTGTTTTTTGGTAAAATCTTTCTTTCAATCCTTTTGTTTAAATCTACATTTTTGATACAAACGTTTATGTATTCTTGTGTATGGATAAATTCTTTATATACAAAGAAGAAAAATCTATTCAAAATTTGAAAATATGCAAATAGAATAGGATTTAAGTTAAATTTAATGACATTCAAATAATTGTGGATAACTTTTTGTTCCATAGAATATAAAAGAAATTATTCTCAAAGGTTATTCTCAAATATTTTTTCCACTTGCGTTCATTATAAATGCTCCTGTTTCCATAAGCTAAAGTGTTGTTTAACTTTTAGAATAAAGATATCAAAGAAGTTAGTTATATTAACCACTGCCTGTTCTCAATTTGTCGTTTTCATTCTAGGTTACAAAGGAAATTTGGCAGAGAGAAAGATATCTCTTATCTACTCAATTTTTTTGGCAGTTCCTGTCATTTTCTGTCAATTGTATTTAATTCTTTGGCAAACATATGTGTAAGTGTTTTTTTCTTTTTGTATAAGGACTAGTCTAACATTGTTAGAACTTTGGTCAATCATTTACCTTCGAAATACCTTTGCGCAAAGTAAAATTCAGAAAACAGTTTTAACGTGTTGTAAACCTGACTGTAATTATCGTTAATTTTTTTGGGTTTTGTTTAGAATAGAGAACTTTTTTATCACAAGCCCCTTGCATCTTGCCCCCGTCAAGTCACACCTTGCTCTTCTCTCTACCACAATAAAACTAGCATTACACGAGGCAATTTTTCCCGGCAACTTGTATTGCAATGGTAAATGAAGGGATTGCGAAGCGTTTTTGTAAGGGGTGTTACACGCAGCAATGTTTTCTGCAACTTGCAATGATTCATGAAAGCATGTTTTGTCTTTGGAGCTATTTTTCAATCAGAACCTTAAACTGCGTTTCCGCCAAAGATACGATTGTGTTGCAAGTTGCGAAAATCGATGTTACGCGGTGCAGTGCCTATCGAAATACTAACACTTATTACAGAAAGTAGAATAGAGTCCTACTTCAGGCAGCCGTTGCGACGCGAGTTGCAAAAGAAATTGCCTGTGAAAATAAGAGTTTTTCTTTTTCAAAACTTTTCAACTTCAATGCTAAGTTCATCTTTTCTTTTCTCTTTAGCTTACGAATCGAGATTGTGATTTGTGCAGTCGCTCTTGTGTTTATTGGATTTGAAATTATTTTGAGCGGAGCCATGATTTGGACTTTTCAAAGGTAAAACAGTTGTTTTGTTGTTTATAGTTATATATTATCTTCCTTTCTAAGCCTCATCGCAAACTTGTAACTTAGCAGATTGATAACCTGGTAGAATAGATACAAAACGAACTCTTGCAACCTGTTATTATTCAAAACAAAAGAAAAATAAGCTTGATATTTCCTCTCTCACTACCTCTCCCACTTCCTAATCCCTCCTCCCTTTCCCTTCTTAGAACTTATCTATAGGCCCTTTCTTAGCATTTCCCTAGCATTACCAACCACTTCGTTTAGCATTTCGGTGGGTAAGTTACAAGGTCTACCAAATATGCCAAGACAGCCGATGAAGAGGTTTGCAAGCTACCAAAGAAATAACAAACATGATAATCTCAGAATTTTTGGTGAAAAACGAGCAATGGCTGGACGATATTTGGAACCTTTTTCAAACTGCCTCGAAACCGAGTTTGTTTCGAAGTCCTTCAGTTATGTTTGAAGTTATGTATAATAAATATAATGGTGACAATAAGAGGATACTCTTAGTATATCTTGACATTCACGTGGGTTCTTTCAACCTGATTTTAAGTCTCTCAGTTCGTTAACCGCGTGATTTACCATATAGATATTTCAAAGCACAAATTGTTTCACCTTTCTGTGATTCTCAACTGCTGTTTGCAAAAGGTCTTTCATATCCCCTTTAATTTGTTAACTTCTCGTCGAGTTTCTTATAAAAAACGTGGTGAAAATAAACTGCATCAAATCCATGATCAAACATTGATTATTTGTACCTGTATTTGTTGCTGCCTTTCAGTCTCTAATGTGGCTTTATTTTAGTAAATATAAAGCAATAATTTGCTTGCTCTGAATAAGATTCTGCAGCATTTTTGGAAAAGGTTTTGTTTTCCATTGCGCGTAAAATAAAGTTAGTGCTATTCAAAGTATTGGAAATATTTGGAAATTTACATAAATGTTTTTTTTCAGGCACGAGTCCTTTATCCGACAGTAAGAGAGAGAAGTTGGGCACTAAATGATGGCTTCGTTCTTGATTCCTTCAAAGATTCCCATGCCATAGACTAAATGAATAGATCCAGCACCAAATAATACCAAATCCAACTACACCAGTATAAGATCGATCAACCAGAAAAGTGATATTTTTTTGGTTTTCTCTCTCCATCCTTTGTCCTGGATCCTTTTCCAAGATTTCAAAGAAAAACTACTGATTTTGACAGTCTCAGATTTGGCCTCCCCATACAATTAGAAAATATTGTCACAGTCTTGCCATTTCAACGTTTGAAGAGTTAAAGATTAGAGACGTTACGTAAGATACGTTTTCAGCAAGATACTTTACGATAGAATGTCTTTTGATTATATTTAATCAAGGCATCTCAATTTACTGCTGTGTTTATGGGAAACTGTCAGTTTACTCCGGACATTGCAATGGTATTAGAACATTGTATTCTTAATTAGAACATTGTATTCTTAATAAGGATATTGTAATCTTGACTAAGCTCTTGATTAAAATATTGCGATCTTACAAAACTTTGAAACACCTATGAAAAGTTGAAACCTAACATTTCGTCAATTTTGTATTATTTTTCTTGTACATAGCTTTTCAAGGGAAATTAGAATTTCTCAGCTTGAATTGATAAGCAGTTTATATAAGTAAAACCAAGCTAAAGAAATGTTTCGTTTATTTAGATATTCATAGTCTTTAAGCAAAGTGCTTCACAGAAGAAAATGCAATTTATTTATCAACTTAATAGAGAATTTTTTAATATGCCTCTGAAAATATGTCGTTTTATCACAACAGATGGTAATTGCTCTATAAACGAACATTTACCCGAACTTTTCGGTCAGCTTGAAGATTTCTGAACGTCTCTAAGATGCTTTGACATCATAATAAATTGTAAATACATCATCGTTTAAATACAAATTTTCAAGATAATTTGACTGTTGAGAGTGATTTTTGAAATGAAAAATGGATTTTATTTTCAGCCAGCAGCCGTTTTGCTTGAGATCATGATTGCTCATTTGCTCGAAAGATTCAGCAGGTCTCCTTACTTTTTCTTACCTAACCTTACCTTACCTGTTAAAGTGGCAAGCTTGCAAATTTTCTTTTTAATTCATTAAAAGTTAAGACATTACACATAAACTTAATAACCTGTTTGCTTTCATTGAAATCTATCTTATTTCGCAAACCTGTCAAGTTTATTTTGCAAAAAAGTTTCCGTAAGAACTTTAAACACAATATAAACTTATATCCAAGAACCTAGAATGATTGTGATGGAAATAATTACTGAAATCTTCACGGCATGAGAAATAACACAATTTGCCATTAACACACTTTTTTGCACTGCTAATGTACCTATAACTGGCAAATATCGTAAAATGTTTCTTACCAGGCAAATTTATTGCTTAAATGAGTGTACCACCTTAAAAACTTGTTTGCACTCTTCCGTTTGGGGTAACAAAATTCGACTTATATCAACAGAAAGCGCAGACAGCAGAAATCGTGTCTCAGGTTTTTCAAATTCCTCCTCCCCTTGAAACTATACCTGTAGCGATAGTCACAGGAGTGGGAATTTAATTCGCATAAGAGTGCAAGCAATTCTTTTATCACTTGACCGATTATCATTTTGAAATCTTGGTTTACAGAACTCTTGTCTTTCCGAGGCTAATCTTCTTTATACTCTGCCCTAGGGCCATTGGGTGCCCGCGTAGCGGGCTTCGTAGGGGGGCTTCATTTTATATTTTCTCTGTGCTTTACGTGAAAGTGTTGTGAAACGGGCCGAGGTTGGGATATTATCAAATGAAGAAAACAAAACACCATCATACAAAATAGCAGCGCCAGGCACAAAGCTTTGAGGGGTGGGGAGGTTGACGAAGCAAACAATTTTAGGCCACGACCTTTTTACACCAGAAAACGTCCTTTTACTAACATGGAACGCAAATTTTACCTAAAAGGAAAGCCTACAAATAACTTTTGGTTACGTAAAGACAGTTCGAAAATCATAGCATTACAAGTATGTTGCCAAAATATTACCCTTCCCCAAACATTTTCTCATCAGATTTGGACGAAAAAAAATTGGCCCTGCCGAGAACTGGCGGAGACGATTCAAACATTTCATTAAACATCAACGTTAGATCATGAACAGTGGAAACAGATTAAATGTATTATCGGTTTTCATAAATTAAGAAATAAACGCAACATTCGTCTGGCCAATGTGTTTCTGTCCAGTATACTCAGCAAAATATTCATTAAAACATCTTCTTGTCAAATGTTTCTAATGTAATACAAGAAATAATTTTGCGTTATCAGCTTTCACCCCTTGTTCCCTGCTGCTAAAATGTCTGTAAAGTTGTAAACAGAAGCAAAGTACTTCGTGAATGTGATCTGATTGTGCTGTCCATTTACTGTCACCAATCCCCCTTTTGCTCTCTTGGGCAGCACGCTTGGCAGCAGCGCAATGTATTGGTTGTTTACTGCGAACGAGGCTCCTTCAAAATTCATATGTATCATAACGGTAACCCATTCATTTGGCCTCAAAGCGTGGATGCAGGAGCCTTGATTAAAATTCCAAAGATCAGTTTTTCCATCACGCACCACTCCATATTCGAAGCAAGGAAACTCTTTATTGAATCTGTAGAAAAAGAACAAAATGCATTCAAGATATGTTTCTTGATGGAACGACAAACGGGTTGGTTAAAAGACAAATTTCAATATATTATGCTATGTTGAAATATTGCTTGAAGAAAAGGCGGGAGACAAATGAAAAAACTGTTTATAAAATTCAAATATTGGTTTGGAAGGAGGAAATGCATTTGAGTTTCAACTGCCTCAAAGTAACCGTCCTTCTCAATGTCGAAAAGGAGCTTTGATAATCATTCAACTTAGAATTGTGCTCAAATTGCCTTTAAAAGCATCACATAACCGGCATTTTCCCCACTTTTTTACCCCCCCCCCTTCTGATGTCATATCGTATGCTTGCTGTGGACGCTTACTGGTTCGAGCTGTGTGTTTGGAACTGCCAGGAGAGAATGTAAGAAATTGAAGTCAGATTAGGGGCCAGACCCCATGCGTCATATTGAGTTTGTGTCTCCAGTTCTTTGCGAAATGATTTTATCAAAACGCTACTGGTTAGAAATGGCTTTGCATTTTTCACATTCTATAGCTGGCATCGATGAAACGCGAATTTGCCCCCGTACCTGATATAAACAAACTGAAAGTTATCAATGTCTTGAACGTTGAACAGGAGGCCCCCGCTACCAGAGTCTTTATCATCAGCGTCACGCTTATTGTACATGTGTGCCCTGATGACGTAATTTCCTCGGTATTCGTCTATGGAGGTGGGAATGACCACTCTGCAGTACTTGCTTCCAGGGGCAAACGGCAGCGATGCGTTGAGGTAGTAGTAGCCGAGCTCATAAGTGACAGAGGTGCAGCTTTTTTTCGGATAATTTGACGGAACTGTAAAAATAATCCCAAGAAACAGACAAAATTAGCAAGGAATTGTTGGGAAAAGCAGCAAACAAGAGCTGTTTGATCTTCACAAAGGTTTATTATTAGCTATGTTCACCCATTACAAACAAACGTTTACAAATTTCAGCTTCCTAAATGAAGCAACACATTGGATCTTGTGTAGCAAGTAAACAATGATTGCTGTAGTATTAGCTGCAGTACGCAAGGAAACAAGCTTAGGTGCGCCTTTGAATTAGGTCAGTTTGCTTTAAAATTATGAAAGGGGGAGTGTAAACACATACCGTAAAAAATCAATCAAAAATGGTAATCATTTGTATGAAAGTGTAGCTGAGAGCAATAATCATTCTAAACCTACCCAAATTTTTGTATACAAGGGCCATGCGTTCACTACCAATGCAAAGTTTATCAGAGGTGACATTGCATTCTTTAAATTGTGTGTTGTAGCATTTTCCTGCTGGAGAGCTAAATATATCTTCCTCGAGTGCAGTATATCCCCAACATTCTCCCCAAAACTCCAGTCCAAACAAGGTTAATCCTTTCTCTTGTGCCGCTTTTTGGCAACGGCAAGCCAACCTATGGAGAAGAATTCGAAGCCAATTGTCCCTGAGATCGTTGATTTGTGGGTAACACGTAACCTAAAATGACGGCAATGCGGATATAAATCTGATTAATACATTGTGACACGATTCAAGGGACCTATTGATCACGAACCGTGATTTTGAGCGCACCACTGACCTAGGGTAGTTTATATTGTACGTGGTGTTCCTAGGTGCTAGAAACATAAGTTAGAATCGTCAAAATAACATGGAAATCCAGAATCGTGCGATAGTAAAGTACATTTGTCCAATATTCCTCAAAGTCTAAAAGGATTTACTCTTACTCACAAACTACTTACAATTTGCACCAACTTTCAAATTGGGCATAATTATACATTACTCTTGAATGAAGAATTTAAAGCATTTAAACTAGCTTCTTGCTTGTAAATAACAGACACTTGAAGACGCTATTTTATAAAAATTTTACTTTTATAATTTGAAATCATGCTTTTAAGTCATACCCTTCCAAGTAAGCAGGGAAGTTCGCCCAGTCGACTCTGTGTCCAGATGAACCATCTCTGTCACTTATCAGCAGATCCGATTCAACTTTCGTCTGGAGGTTTGCGAAACAACCTTTGGCTTGAAACTGGTTAGAGCAGTGATCCGCAAAGGCTTTCTTGGTTGCTAAAAAAGAAAATTCAACTACGATTATAAACTTAGAAATAAAACTTAGAAAGAAGATACAGCTCTAGTTTTTTGATGTGGACCAAAAATTCAAGTCATACCACATTTCTTGTAATAAAGTTTTACTTTAAAATTCCATTTGAAAATCTAAAGAAATGTGCTAAGGTTTTAAAAGTTTTTGAGGGCAAGATTTTTAAAGATCAAGTTGTGAAAGTAATGAAATAATTTTTTTATTTCTGAGCACACAAAGCATAGGCACAAACTTAAATCGAGCTTTACTTGGGGTTACGAAAGTTTGGCTACGGGCTTGCCATTTTGTGACTATGGAATGAATGAAGTTGCCTCCAGACAATGTTGCTGATTAAAGAAAGTGGCATCTGTTCTTGGGAGATACAGTTAATAAGATTAAATGTTAACACCGACTGGGATAAAGAATCTACTCCATTAAAAACATTCTGTGGGCTGAATCTATCGACAGACACATATTAGTGCGTTCCTCTGTGTACACCCATATATGTGCATCCCTAAGATGACTACGTATGTCTGAAGAAGTACCTGTGTAAAACACAGCAAAAACAACGACGATAGATATTATTTTAAAGCAAATCATTTTGTGTTGTAACAGCAGCTTTTGCTTCTCCTTATTTTAATCTTCTTCTTTTAACTTTTCTTCAGAGCACCTGTAAAATATAATGGGGTTTATGAAATAAGAATGACATACAGGCTAAGAAAATTTAGTGATGTTCCTTGATATTTCATATTTGTAAAGGAGGTAAAAGAGGAGCGTTGAAAGGCTATGACTGATGTTTTTGGGAACAAATGTTTTGGGAAAATATTGGGAAAAGGTAGATTCAACACAGTAATCCATCCAAACATTCCATTGAAACTTTTTAGCACAGACACACTTGGAGTTGTTGAATGTACAAAAAGCAAGTATGCCTATGGAGGACAAGAAAATTTGCCACAGTCTACGATTGAACATTTTACGTTGGACATGTTGTTGCTATGTTGGTTTAGTTTTTAATTTGATTTTGTTCTTCTTGGAATATGACTAATGAAAAGCAAATAGTCCATATAACAATTTAAATGAATTGGTCCAAAAAGGCCATTTAACTTATGGCAAATGGGAAACCGAATGACCGCGACAGTTATGAAGAAAAAATTATGAGGGAAAATGCGAGGGAAAGCTTGAAAATGATGAACATATGAAAAACTGCGTAAATTATAGTGCCTCTCCCTGCAATCGTATCATAAAAATCTTACCTCCTTCACAGAAATCATACAGCATTATAGAAAGCATTATATAAAGCATTATAGAAATCTTACCTCGTTTGTGCTTCCCAGTGATTTCTGGCGACAACACAGGGCGCCTTTCTCCTTGGCGTTCATTTATAAAGTTGATGTGCAAACATAGCATTTGTTTGAATGTGTTAATCCTATCACAGCTAAAGGTAAAGAGTAAACAAGTTTTGGGAGTAAACAAAGCAAAATAAATTTGATATCAAAGTCTTGTTGAAAGCAAACAACTGTCGTAGCTTCTAAAGAAAATCTTTTATCAACTTAAAGTAAAATGTATTTATATTCCAGCAGATGTTCGTTTTTTGCTTCTTTCATTCAAAACTATTTGTCTTTGATATCAAACAGGAAAATCGATTTTAATGGTAAGTTATCGACAGTGTGTTCCACTTTCCAGCCGAACATCGTTTTTCAAGCAATATGTTCCGGCAATTTCTACTGTCATCAAAGAAACTTGCATCGAGAATATTGTAAACAGGGAGAATACGAAACATATGATTCATGACCATGTTATTTGCTGCCTTGCAGTCTTCGCAGCAATTCAAAGGCGGCGAATGGCAGATGGCAAACGGGCAACAGCGAACAGATGGCGGTAATCACCTGGCGCCCATTAACTGGTAACAATAAACTAGCGGCAATTCACTGATTATAAAAGTGATCTTCGTCCTTGTCTGGCTGTCAATTTCTTTGTAAAGACAATTTTTGCTAGATGTCTAGGAAGGTGCGTTTAAAATCTAAAAGATCCAATTTGAGTACCCAAATATGTAGATGATACATACCACTACGCCGTTTTCAATTGTTCATAGATTAGCAGGAAGAAGAAACTCTACAGCGGTGACTAAATTAATAAGAAGATTTTAGAATCTTTCATTGATTTACTTCTACAAAAAGCACTTCCGAGGTCATATTCTGTGTTTTACGGCAAGGCCTTATAGCTGAACAATTAAAAATTTGTGGTCTTTAAATTTTCTAAACAAATAAACTGTCACGCATTTGAATCGCGATTTCTCTTCGAAGTTTCTCCCAGTTTTGTTCTTTTTCTTTGATTTAACACGTTAGAGCATACAGTTTTTGACAGAATGATTCGACATACTATTTCAAACATCTCAAAGAGGTCCCATGGTTCCTGAATTCCTGCTACGTTTTGAGCCCGATTTTCGACCATCAAATTCCGTATCCTGGTGTTGTCGATTCCCGAATGCCGCTCACAAAAGTCTGCCAATTTCCGACGCCAAAAAACGACTATACCTACTTCCCAGAAGACATATTTGCTACCTTCCTTAAGTTTCTCCTTAAGTTCCTAGCATGATCACTTTTATGTTTTGAAATCACTTTGAGGTATTTTTATAAAGCAGTTTTTATACGATATTCATCGACCATGCGATATATCAATCCGATATCGCACAGAACATGCAACACCATTTTTGCAGATGATGCCAACTGAAGTTCGCCTTCATCTCTCTGCTTTGTCGTCTTTCAAAGAGAGCTGCCATTATAGCAAGTCTGTTCTGGATGCAAAAAAATGGTAGCCAAAAGTCCAACCTGCGTTACATTCTTTGTGAAGCGGGCTACCAAAAGCCAAGAAACACTTCTAATTCACATCTAATTAAACACATCTAATTAAACAGTGCTAATTTCTACAACAGATTTCAAATAATTATCTAAAGAGATCAAGATATTTCCAATTTGTTAAAATCAGCTAGAAAACAGAAGCCCAGGCAGATCAAAGCTGGATTAACACAGCAAACAATGCCAACTGAATTTCTATCAGGTACAAGTTGCCAGTCTTGGCAAACAAGACTAAAAACAAAAAGATGAAGGACAGCTGAAATCGTTCAGATGTTGGAAAAACAACTCAAAAGGGAGGAAGAATTCCGAGACGGTAAATTTATACGGGACAGCCGAAATAAAAACCAAAATTAGATACCTAAGGACAATTTATTAAAAAATCATCGCTTCGAAGGTAATAGATCTATCGGGGTCCAAGCACACTTGCCTTTAGAACTGCTCACTCTAGAGAGCTCCTTACTCTAAAGAGCTGCATACGACCGTTAGAGTTGATATCAGAGCTGCTTAAATAGAGAATGTGTATGTCTATATTACAGAGCCAACTAGCTTAGTGGGGAAGCATAGTAAAACAGTCTTGACTTTCTAATGTCAAGTTCATATAACTCTTCTCATGAGTGCAAGTACTTTATTCTGCATAGTTGTAAACCTCACGAGTAAGAATTGTAGTTTGTTAACTATGAGTTCCTAGTATGCATAAACCTGGGAAAGAATCCAGAAGGTCTAGACATAGGTCACTTATCATTATTAAAATCGCGTCGAGTTGTATGGATTCCCATAAAGAAGCATGAGGTGTTCAAATTAACAAGCAAGTTTAAAGTAAAATTAGCATACATTCAATTTAAATAAGGATTATATATACCATATAAAGTTAAATATTAAACTTTGCAAAACGTGAAGAAGGAGAAGACAATTTGACATCCAAACCGGACATTAGCTGTCGCACGTCTTTGGATACCTTGTAATATCAGTCTACAGTACCCCCAAATTCTAACAACTCTGTTGATTGGTTTATACCCGTGTATACATGAAATAAGAACAACAGAACATTGCAAATGAAACAAGCTACTCCTCGCATTAATTGCTTATTTACAAAAGGCTGAATAATTCTACATTCATTCATTTCGCTTAGGTACGACTAAGTGACAAAACATCTACCATTTTATAAAAATCAACAGCACCTTTTGTAATTATGGTGAACAAAACGTGATTATTGTGGCGCCAAATGAAAGAAAATACCAAATGCAAACGAAAACATATTTGGAAACCAGTTTTATTGGACTTTACAAGCTTCATCTTGATTAGAGTCAGCAACAACGACTTTTGCTTTGTCAGATTTGCGTCCCAAAACCGTCTCTTGAGATTTCTAGAAACAAAAAAGAATATTTCAATAAAAACCCCCCTACAATATTCGACTCCTTGCAAATTACCATTAAGCAAGTTTTTTAAAAACACTAGCTAAAATTATTCACCTGACAATCGATGTTTTCAGTGTTTATATTTTCATCTTTGACGGACAGATTTTTCCGATCATCTCCAAACTCATCAACTTCGTCTTTGAAACTTACCTAAAAGAGGAAAGATAAACTTTTCTAGGCATTTGCATAAACAAAAAAGAAGAGAAAAGGACAAATTGCCCCTATGGTTAGAAATTTTTCCTTCGAAAAAGCAGAAACTCCAAGTCTCGATGCCTCGATTTTAAATCGAATCAAATAGATTGCTTCTTAAAAAGTGGAATACATAAAAAGTACAGAAATGAGCCTTTGATCCTGAAACAGATTTGCAGAAAGGCGGAACCAATGAGAAAGGTGCAACCATCCCTAACAGCGAGGAGCAAAAGCAGACATAATCCCAAATATACATGTATACTGACTAAAAAAAAGCAAAATTAGGAAGGTATTCGTAAAAGAGCGAATTCAAGAAGCTGTGGGCTGAAATGCAATATTTCTGTCGCTGTATTTTGTTTGTTTTCAATTTTTCCGGAAGGAAGTAGTATGAAATATTTCAAGACCATTACAACAAAATTGGAAGATAATTTTGCAGGCAAGAGAAATTACTGTATGGATTTCTAGGAATCAGATATGAGAGAAAAACATGGTCATTGTGATGTCTAACGTATTCAGCAGAGTATTCAGTGTTGCACTATGCAGACAGATTCTACGGTTTCTGGATTACAGTATAGTCCGGTTATAACGTACTTTAAGGGACCGGCGGATTAAGTACGTTTTATCCGAAGTACGTTATAACCAGGGTAAGAAAAAGTGATTATAACCAAGTTGTAAACAATGTAACTAGAATACAAAACTTTCAACTAAATTGTTATAGGCTCAGTTAGAAGAAGCCTGAAAAGCATTTCTGAATATCCAAATTTTGTTGACTGCAGGAACTATACGCTATATCCGAAAGTACGTTATAAACGAGTACGTTATAAGCGGGGTACTTTCTTAATGTTAAGTACGGACCTTTTTCCGGGACCAAGTACAACAGTACGTAATAACCGAAAGTACGCTATAACCGAGTACGTTATAACGAGGTTATACTGTACTGACCAGTTTTATCTATACACTATCCTGCATATCTAGGAACAACTCAAGTAGGCGACTTGTGATTAAAGACACGTCTTCCTGGCTGAGAGTTTTTGATAGAAGTAGAAATATTATCCCTCTTTTTAACACAATAAATCTGCCAAATTCTAACCACCTTTCTTGTTGTTTTCTTTAATTTTTTACCCTTCTTTGTTGGCACACTGTCATTTTCTATAAAATCCTGTTTTTCTGTCTTATACTTTTGGATGTACTGATCAGCAAGTTCTTTTGGGAGTGTCTTCTGCAGTAAACGGATACATTTTTGCCTTTGCTCCTCTGCACTAAGTTCTGAAACAGGGCGTTTTCGATCGCATTCAGTCCACACGTCCTCTTCCTCCTCCATCTTTGCAGCTTCTTCTGCTGCGCATTCACCAGGAGTCTCCTCCTTAACACTGTTGTTAGCCTTGTGACTAGCCTCTGTCTTCGCTGTTGCCGTTTGCATATACCTGGGAAGAACCACTTGCCTTTCCTTTATAATTTCTCCCCAATTCTTTTCTGAGACTGCAGATCTGTCAACTATTCCAAGTTTCTCCAAAAAACTTTCCAGTTCAGTTGTTTTACCTTTCTCTAGAAATGAATCAGAAAATCGAGTAAAAGGTCCAAAATTTGGTTAAAATCAGAACAAAAGAACAGACAAGGGATACAAATATTTCTGTCTGATAAACTTAATTGGCCCAATCAAGAAAGATTTTGCAAGGCACTGGGTAAAACATTTATTGACCGGATGTCGTTAAAACTTGCTCAACTGAAGTGTCGTTCAAAAATTAGTAGTTTTTTTAAAGATTTCAGATCACAGTGCAATGTTACCTGTTTCGTACTTCAGCTTCGCTCTTAGACTTTCGTTTCTATGTTTCTCGGATGAAAAGGTTGCAGTGTAGAGCTTTCGCTGAGTGTCCTGTAATTTGTCGTTCTTTGCGATCAAGGCAAGTCTTATTTTCTCGATCTCTGTTTGAAGATTCTCTATCTCTTGCCTGTAATATAAGATTAGATCAGACCATTTAAAGATGTCAATTGAGTTCTATCAAGAAAGGAAAAGCCAGACTGCATAAAATATTTCAAAAGCGATGTTATTACATGCTTATCGACAATGCATCAATCTAGATTTCCCTAAAGTGGCGCTGAATTTAACAGCAAGAATAAACTTTCCTTACTTGTATTCCTCTGCATTAACCAGTAATAAACTGACATATTCTTTTGAAGTTTCAGGACCCTGATAAAGACTTAAATCTTCCTTGACCCTTTTAACAACATCGTTGGCTTTTGAGACCTGAAGACAAGAAAGGAGACTTGCTTCAGAAAATGACATTACTCAATAATGAGACAAACTGATCGACTAAAGAATCCAGGGGCGGATCCAGAAAGTATTCAGACTGTCGCACACAAGGGTGTGGTCGGAAATATCACTTGTGACCACAATTTCATAATTTATCTCTTCACCAACACAATTTCTTCACCAGAGCCAAATCGCAGGTATCGCCCCAGTCCAGCGCATTGATTGACATTACAGGTATCGCCCCAGTCCATCGAGGATGTAATGTATCCCGTGTCGAACGCTACTGAAAATCTAGTGACCTTTGTCTTTCAAATTACGTTATACATGTAGCCCGTCGACTCCATAACACTGAATTCCTTTTCTCCAGTGAAAACGTCTCCATGGTACAGGTAAGCACAGAACTGTACAAAGCACATACTGAGGACGAATTAATCTTTGCCCAGTGGTGCGACCTTACTAAAAAACATACTGTGCCACGAAGTTCGCACTATCTAGCGATTTGATTGGCTTGCGAATCGGTGCGAGCGTGCTACTTACCACACTGTGCACCGAAATACCCTAATCTAACTACATTGGTACCCTGTTGTTTTTCAGTCAGGATGCTTAGAGATTCGAATCAGATTGAATCAAATCGAGAATAGAATTAGAGATTGGATTTAAGATTTAGTTTATGGCTAGGCTAGAATCAAGCGCTCAACTTAGAAAAAGTTGATGTTCAGGAGAAAACTCTTTTGAGACGGATTCCTAATATTATATTAAACGTTTACTGTCGCATGTGCGAACGGTGCGAACGCCTAGATCCGCCCCTGAAAGAATCGGTCAGCAGCTCAGCCAACCGAGCCAGCAGTTCAACTACATGTGAAACTGATCGAAACCTCATAACAGTGAAAAGCTTTGACTTTGATACACCACCTTACACCTTACTGACTTGTTTCCGTTTGGTAACCTTGAGCAAGGGAAAAAAATCAATCAAAACTGAGAAACAAGAAAAATGAAACAATTAGGAAGTCAGACAACACTAGTGAAGGAACTTCTTCAAATCCACTCAGAAAAAAGAATCAATTACTCACGTTTTGTTCTTCGACTCTTTTAAGCTTTGCTGTCAACATCGCACATTCAGTTCTTTTGGCAGTGAGAGCTTGTTCCAAGTGCTCAATTCTCATGCGATCAGCACGGTCGCCACGGGTTTGCAGAAAACAGAGCACTTGATTCTTTAAAATAAAAATATCTAATTGTCAAAATTACTTACTTACTTCCTGTATCTATCATCAAGTCATAACCTCAAAAAGTATCACCAGTTGCCAAGAATGACGAATTTAGCTGTAGAAGCCATTTACAACAAGCATTAAATATAGCAGACATAGTAACTAGTCAATTAGTGAGAGTCACAACTTTACCTCCTAGAGGATGGAAGCATTAAGTGAGAAACTCAGAGATGCAACTTAGAACGTTCCTGTTCTGTGCACCAAAGCGTACATAGCTCTTCACATATAGCATCAAGTATCATACAGCAAACTGATAAAAAGTAAGTTTCATTTCGTAGCTTTTGAAATATTTGCAAGTATAAGTCGAATCTGCTTTGACAGGATGTGACATGTTGCATGGATATTTGAAGTAAATCATGAACAAAACGTGGCTTCCTTGCTTAACTCTACACCAAAACAAAAAACGACCCTAGCATATTGCTTTATTTCAGCTTTAAAAATAAGCCTCACATTATACCTTCATTTTCAAGTTCTCATTTTTTGCAATGGCATACGCCTTTTGAAGAGATTCATATTTTGCTTTGAACACAACAAGCCTTTGCTCTGCTACCACTCGTTTGTCTTCAAGCTGGAATGGCAAAGGTAAAATTGGAACAAGTAGGAAAAGACCGACAGCACAAACAATGGTCTGAGCAGAAATATTTATGTTGATGTGATAACTAACAGCATAAAAAAAGAAAGTACACAACAAACATTAACTGGCAAAAATCAAATTTAATAAAATCATCGGTCTTTATAATATCCTTTCCACCCTTGCTTAGTCTCAATGCCCAATGACATTTGAGCACAAAGGAAGTCCCTTGTTCTTGCCAACTCTAGAAATTTTATCTATTTTGCTATTGTATTGCCCTTTTCTTAGCACGTCGCCACCCCCTGCTCTGCAGGACTTCTGCCCTCTCTGTCCATGATCCACTTCCCATTGTCTTGTGTATTTTCATATAGCTTTTAGGTTGATATTTGGGAATATCTGTCTAACTACTGATCTTTTATGCCCAATAACAAAGTTAAGTTTAAGTTCATAGAGTGCAAACAGTGAGGCTAAAATTTTTGTGGTACAGCATAAACTGATAAAAAGCATCCAAACAGTTTTCATTCGGATACACAAATATAAACAGGCTCTACGGAAACAACACTCCCTGGTAGAACTGATAAAATTATAGCAACTTTAAGCATCTATTAGGAAAACCAGCATTCCAAGTGATGCTGATTTCATCTTCTATCTGAGAGAACTAGATATTATCATATCTTGAATTAATATAACAAACTATTAAAAAAGGCTGTCTAGTTAATGAGCACAGGTCAGATGATTCCCCTCCTTATTACCATTTACATGCACTTTTTGCTCATTCTGAACAAAGCTATTTTCTATGTTAGCCGTAATGTCTCTAAACCATTTTACACATCAACAAATGAAAATATAACCAAATCTCGAAAAATAAAAGGAAAAAGCAAAATCAAATGAACAATGTCATTTTGACAGATTTTGTTTATTATGTTTTGGAACTTTATTTGTTTTACCTCTCCAAAAAGTGAATTCCCTTTCTTTGAATGCCCTCTGCTTTTTAAGTCCATCTCTAGTTGACTAACCTTTATCATCAATTCTGCAATTGTGTTTTTGGCATCCTGTGAAAAAGATTGTTTTTAAAAGAGAACAAGAAATAGCAATCAATTTGCATATATATATTGCATAAATATGAAAATTTTTATCTACAATTTTTCATTGTTTTGTTCTGTTTAGCTTCATGACAAGATTGAAAAAATTGCCTAGTCTTTCTTAACTAAAATACCCTGTTTTTGTCAAGTCCTTGATAACACTATGGGACAGGGTATCAACGTTAAATGGGATTATCTTTTTCAAACCTGAAAATCAAGGCAAGCTTTTTTCACTTGGACAAACAGCAGGGACAAATCCATTGTTAAGAGTCCTGCAGTACTGTTTGACCTTTGAGGGATTAGGCAAAAGTCCCGGCAAAAACCAACAGTGCAAGAACCAATTTTGCTGGGCACACTAGAAACCTTACATAGCAGATTAACACCTATTATTAGAAGGCAATAGGGATTGCCTTTGTGAGGATTTTATCATGTTTCAGCTGCTTGTGAGCACAAACCTTATTTGATCATAAGCTATGGCTTTTAGCTTTTCAACAGCTTTACGTGTAACTTAAGAGCAGCTTATATATATAGGCCTGCATGTATTTTTTCTGGCTTCAAAATATTCTGCAATTTGTCATCTTATTTTAAGCTTCATCAAAATTATCAAAATTCGTGACCCATCCAATATTCCCTTCTGCTGTCAAGATGAAGTTTATTCTAGTGTGACAGAAGATGGCAAAAGGAAGAGTGTTAAGGTGAACTTTGACAATGATGAATTAGATGACAAGAAAAAGCTTTGTGTAACCAATGAAAAATAGTTGGCTTATCAATAAGGGTAGCTCATAATCAAATAAATATGGTATGTTCTTTGACAACAGTTTCACAAGTTCAACTTTATAATTGTGCAAAAATTTGGAAGCCTTTGGGTACTAATAGCATAAACAGGCCTTTTAATTTGAGGCACATAACTGCAACCTGGTGTAGAAATAATGTGTGCATTTTACTTTTCTATCAGAAACATTGTTTGTTGCTTCTGGAATCATTTTTAAAGTACAGCATTCATGATTCAGGGGAGCACATTTCACAATATGCATGGTAAAACAATTGAAAACTGTTTGTGTCAGTTGAGTGTGATGAAAGAATCAATTAGCGTCACCACTGTTACCATTACTGGAAGCCATTTTTAGATGTTTTATGGGTTCTACAACACTTGATAGTCAATATAATTCTTTGGTACCACAAAGCCTAACAATCCAATGGAAAAGTCCTGATATTACCAGAAGTTTCGAATTGCACACCTTGATAAAAATATTGCTTTGAGGGACACAACCAGCCATCACCTGCTAAAATCTTTACGAAGAGGCCTGCATAAAATTGTAAGAACTCACCTCTAGATGCTGATAGCAGTCATTTTTTTGCCTAGTTTTCTCTGTCAGTTCTTCATTCATTTCTTTTAATCTTTCTCTCAAATTGGAAATATCAAGGCCTTTTCTTTCATTATCACAAATCATTTCACTAAGATTTTCTTCCAAAGATAGCTTTGTTTGGTAGCAAGCCTCATATGCAATTTTCAGTTCATGAATTTCATCTGGATCAGATAGTTTTGTATCAGTAACTTTATTCTGTTTCCTTAAAGCAGCCACTGTCTCATGTAAATTTTCAATAGTTTCTTGGCTTTGTTGTATCTTCAAATTCAGTTGTGAGACTTCCTCATCGTGTGTCATCTTTTCTTTCTTCAATTCATCTTTCCAGTCACTTATCTTTCGCTCATAAGAAGACTCTAGCTGCTGCTTCTCCAGTTCTTGTCTTTTCTTTCTACTTTCTTCATTTTCTTGTGAATGGGAGGCAAGTAGTTTCTCTTTAGACTCAAGCTTGGCGCTCAGATTATAATTCTCTTGAATGAGCTCCTGAAACATAACATGATTTGTACATATTAGCAAAACAAAGAATATACCGAAAACAATACTTATCTATAGAAATACTAATCTTATCTATAAAGCACAACAATACTAAAAAAGGACTAGTATATCTGTTACTTTGTCGCTCAATTATAAAAAATATTCAGGTTCAGGTTCATTTTATTTTAAATTCCACAACATACATTTCCACAAATAATAATAAAAATACAATAACATCAAATATCAAACAATAACTATAGCAATAAGATATGGATTCATCATTTACCTACCTTAATAATGGCCGCCTGCAATGTCACTGCAAATGCTAATAGCGATGTTAAGAAAGATCTTTATCAAGTATCTATAGCAATCTATGTCAAGTAAATAGTCAAAACAATAAAATGAACTTAAGTTCACCTCTAACTTTACTGTGAAGCTAATTCTTTCTTCCTCTCTGATCGCCTCTAAAGATGCCTTTTCCTCAAGAAGTTGCTGGCCTAACTCGGCAGCTGTAAATGCTTCATTTTCACTTTCTTCTAGCTGGCTTGCTAAGTGGGCAATTTTGTCCTTAAGCATGCAAATTTCATCCTTAAGTGTTGATAAGTCTTCGTTGGGTACATCGTCATCTAATTCCATTGTATGGCAAATTATTTCCAATGGCAAACTGTGTCTGAGGGCCGATACAAAATTCGTTGCTTGTTGAAAAGCCCGCTTTATTTAAAACACCGATACGAGGCGGTCGGCCCCGCAGTGAACATAACACGACCATTGATCTGTGATAGTGAAACGATAAACACTTCTTGCTTTCAAAAAGTAGGGAAACGGAAAGCCTCTCTTCCTGTCCCACAATTTGACAGAGGTTATCTATGAATTTACGCGTCAGTGAGATTCTAGCTACATAGGGCTGCAAAAGAGGGGGATCAAGGGGGCTCAGAGGGGAGGGGCTCAGCCCTCTTATACTTTTCATAAGGAGGCTGCGCTTCCTACTCTTTTTCTGGGTAATTTTAAAATGTTATGGCTACTTTCTGCCAGGATCAATCTTTGATTGAACCGATTTACTTTTTGACATTTGCATACATGTGTGACCTACCTCTAGAGCCCTTTAGCTGATAACTGAAAACTCAATAAATGCCGGCAAATATTACTACTTTAAATTCTTCATTTCTAAGATTATTCTACTCAATTAACAGGTAGACGTTGGAAAATGATTTAACCCTAGAAAAATGAAAAGGTAAAGAAATTGATATTGATGAGCCATGCAAACGAAACGAAAACAACTGAAACTTTCATTTTGTATACAAAATAGAGAAAGCTCTATGGCTAATGCAAAATTGCTAGAGTAGATTGTAGCTTTTACATATTTAGGCTTAAAAAAGGGACAATATTTCCTACAGACTCGGGCTTTTTTTCCAATTTTTTCATTTTAAACAAAATACACCCCCTTTATATAAAAGCTCATGAAACTTTGACATCGGCAGAACAACACTGGATTAAGAAAATCGACAACATTTTCATGCCTTTCAGTTAGTTTAGCAACCTCGCTTCTTTTATCATCTCTTGTTCAAAGTCATCAAATTTTAACAGCTCAAAGATTAATTTAACGCTAGGAAATATATATACCCAGTTTTACCCAGTTGTGAATCGAAATAGGCCAATCAGAAACGCGAGCACATGACTGTAGAGGTTGGCCAATCAGTGCCACTTGCCGATTGAGAATTTTACCAATGGAGTCCTTAAAGTGAAAACGAACTTTTTTTCTCTACACAATATGTGCTTATGTAGATAGATTCTAAAACTACTAGACGGAAGGATGATCGAGCTTTACCAATAATCCGAAACATGTCGCCATTATAGTTTTTTGCCAAATCTGGGTTCTCCAATAAATGCTGCCCGATGGCAGAATTGCAGGTCGTTAATAGGGGTGGCTGGACTGTCGCCGCAAACGTTTATTTCTGAAATTTTTACAAATCATTGTGACTATCGATTTTCTTATTGCGCTTGGTTTGACCAAGAAATAACATCTTCATGATTATTACTGTTCTTCATCTAGAGCAAAGAGCATTTCAAGCAATAATTATGACGCAGACGTGATTCTCAGACCTTGGAACCGAAATTTATGGCATTTATGCTGGTGTTAAATCGCACAATGAAAGAAAAAAAAATTGACTCTGGAGAAAAGGACCAAATTAATAAAGATTAACTGATGTCTGTAAATTGTATTTTGTTAATTTATTATCGGAGTAAGATTCCTTTCTAATGCACAAAACTTTTGCTGTTTTTTATCTTTATACTTCTTGAATGCTTTGTTGCTGCAGTGTTTCAAAAGGTAATTGTGACGAAGATATAATAATAGAACTGCGTATTAACTTTATAATTCTTTGGAGTTTAGATCAGAAATTGTTAATTTTTTTATAAATCAACATACTTTCTTAGGAATTTTGATTCTTTGGAAATTTTCAGATGACATATATATAAATCTATGACTATGACAACAAACCAAAACTTAGATTTTGGGATAGTTGGAGGGTCATGGTAGCCAACTATCTGATAGAAGCTGGTACCTGATGATGATATATTTATAAACGAGCATCATGGACCAATAACGGCTGACAAGAATTTATTGTTGGAAAACTTTAATGTTTGATTCAGAATAAACAGGGTGGCCCGCAATTCTATCTCAAAACAGGATCATAAGTGAACAAGGATTGAACGAAGTGCTATGATAGAGATATTCACGTTGGATTTACAATGAACACTACAGCCCTAAGAATGGATTTAAAACGAACACTACAGCCTTAGAAAATATTTTTAAGCGCCCCATACGTCGACGAGGGCTAGGAGTGTATGATTGGAGAACTTAAAAATTTGATTTGGCATTTGGAGAAATGGCCTAGATCCGAGACACGGTTTTCCAAAGGACAGATTTATACCCTGGCCAGTCAGATTCTATGGTGTTGTGATCATTTTACTCCAAGAAAAAATTTGCAACATATCCAAGTGAGAAATTATTCATCATTCGAATTGCTATGAAAGACGAAGACGGACAGAAAAGTGTTTATAGTACATAATGCTAATGATTGCTATATTGAGCGATTAATCTAGAGGAAAAGCAAGTTAGTTAGTATATGCTATTCACATTAATCGCAAAGCCGATCGGGCTTCATAATTCCAATTAATTCAAGGTACGAGGAATTGTTCTTCAGACTTGAATACGCCTTGTGATTCGTGCGTGATGAGATTCGTTGCCATGACGACACAAGCTGAACAGCAATTAGCAGCTATTCGTTGTCTGAAAAACAGCAAAAAATCAAATGTTTGCGTAACTGCAGATGTAATTTGCGTAATTGCGTAACCTAGTGACGACACAGAATGCCTAAAAATATTTATTGCACCTAAACAAATATTTGTGGACAGAATTTTGAAAAAGCAAAGTTGCTGCAGTTTCTAATCGTTATATTTTAAACGAATTTTGATGTTATCGATGCATAAACATTAGAAGATTCTTAACTTGCTACCTTCAGCATTACCTTCAAAATATGCGGCATCTGCTAGTACCAGATACAAGATCCTTTGGTATAAGTGCTCATTCTTTCCTTCTAGTAATTCAGACAATTCGGGATCCTTGCTTGGGTCAAAGTTCATATCATCATCTTCATTTTCTTGCATTGCCTGTCAACAGGAGAAACAAGGCTAAAATTGCAAGTCGTGAATATTTCAATAGGCACTAATTATCAAGAGTTGTGCAGTTCATTGTATTTAACAAGCACTGGCATCGCATGTAAATTCTGTTCATTTCAAACCAACTGAGAGCAACAATGTATCAAAAAATTCATTGTTTCAAATCATAACTCTTTTTGATTTACGTATGACCCTTAAAATGTGAAACATGTATCAGATCGTGTGTCCTGAGGCCAACTAGAGATTTCACCCACCTGTATATAACGATAAACTTTCAAAAATTTTTCTGTTCCAAGTTCGTCTTCTAACGATTTCCGAGATTCTTCTATTCGCTGAAAAAGGGTTTCTTTTGCTTTCGTTCTCTTGGCAGTTCTGGCAGCCTCTTTTTCGGGATCATTTGCCGTATTCGAGACTGCATTATCACTATCATCATCCTCACCATCATCTGTAGAAAGAAACCAGCGTATTTCTAAGTCATAATGTGGCCCTTAAATGCATTCATTTTGAAACTCCAAGATGATGGCAGCTACGAAAACCGTTCAAGAACCATTCAGTGGAAAAACACATATACAATTTTTCAGCATAAAAATTTAAACATGAAAACTTTCAAACATTAAAAATTCAAGAGGCATCATTTTAGACAAACATTTTATGACAAATTCATGTCGTCGATTCTATCATTCTATGAAGAGCTTTCTTTACCCCTTTTGCATTCCTGATTATTCTACGTTCCTAATGACTCTCGACTCTAGCGTCATTGAAATATAATTATTCATCATCTAATCAGCTGATTAATCAGCTTACAAAAACCTAGTAGCCGATTAATTGGAGAAATCCTGAATAATCTCCTTAAAAACTTTTAGAGCTATTTTACACAAATCTTTCCGTCTCCCTTCTCTTCCAATTTTAAAACAATTCAAGCTTCTGGATTAAAGGAAAGTGTAAATCGTGGTTTGTTTTGCACTCTATTTTTCTATATCTGGGGTAAAAACGTGGAGTGACTTACCAGAAAAATGAAATATTCTCCTTAAAAATATTTGTTTCAAAAATTAAAATTTCTCTCAATAAACTCTTTGGATGACTAATGATGTCTTGGGGATATGACTTTATTTTGAACTTTTTATTTGTGCTTGATCGTAAACAGTTTAAGGAAATTACTGTGGTTCTTGATAAATAAACTGAAATGTTTCCTATTACCGCTCTAAACATTAGGGGTCATTCGCTCCTTTTTAGTTTTATCACTATCCCGGTTCATTACTATGTGTTCGTCAATTTTATTGACGTCGTGCTATCAGTTCAGTTATAACTATTTTCTAATATTTTCGTATATTTTTCTAAATACTTATAAATTTTACAATTAATGGATTGTATGTATGAAGTGGATTCTAGAACAAAACAACTGGACTGCACCAGCTGAACTGAACTGAACTGAACGGTTCTGAGCTTTCCTCAAGAAAATGACATTTACCCGAATCCCATTCTTCGTCTGACTTTTTTGAAGCACTGGAGGAGCATCGTGTATCATCTTCTTCATCTACAATGTCAAGATAAAAAATACATTTAGAAACACCTTCTCATACTGACTTGGGAGGTCAGACAATCAACTGTAACAATCAGTTATGAAGAATAAATGTGCATCAATCATGAAGCCAAAGCAAGGATGATAAAATACCAAAGCAATGACAGGTTCAAAGGATGGACAATTAATAACGAACAATGAAAACATGATTTATAGAGCAACCACAGGATAGCAGTGGGTGGAGATGTCCTTTGGCTGAAAAAGTCTTACGTAATGCGGGAGTGTATATATAATGACTGTTTGATCAAAAAGAAAGCTTTGATTGAATGGTCTAATTTTGTATGTAGATCAAGACCCTTTCTACCAGACACACTGCTTTCTCATTGCCAAAACACAAGATAAAAAGCTTTAGAAAGTTAATGTTGAATGGCTCTAATTGCGATGAAAATTGATTAACTTAAAACACTCTTTGGTCAAAAAGTTAACTTAAGTATATGAGAACGGATGAAAATGAGACTAGCCTACCTTTAAGAATGGGACTTTCTCGAGGAACAGCAACTTTAGTTGATGCGGGAGGAGTTGAATCTAAAATCAGTTCAAATAATGAAAATTCAGTCATTCACTTGGGTTCAGTCAGGTTGAGAATACAATAAGTCATAAAAATATGCATTAATAAGATTTAAAACAGGTAGACAGAAAGTGAGAAGATAAGTCTTACCCGTGCTACTTAGAACTCCTCTCATGGAATTAAGCATTTGTTCGTAATCTTCTAATTCTTCGTCGCTGGAAGACAGAGAAAGAAAATGTTTTCGAATGGCTCGTACTCGAAAAAGTTAGCCATGCATTAATCTATCGCAAAAGATAGAAGGAAGCTAACATTGTAGGTATCTACCTTCTATCATCATCATCATCCTCTTCGTCAAGATCGCCATCATCATCATCATCATCATCATTTTCATCAATGTCATTTTTATCATCATCATTGTCATTTTCATTATTGTTGTCAGCTCTAGGTGTAGTTTCATCTTCTACTTCACCCGCCCCGCTCTGATCATCATCAGCCTCGTTTTCGTCTACATCATCCATGCTACCTCGACTCTCATTATTATCTGTTGACTTATCTTGCCTTTTCGAAATTTCAGGCATTGATACAGTGCGAAGAATCTACAAACAAGAAACAGGTAGGGATTTCAAAGCGATCTGCAAATGACGGAATCAAGACCACGAGACTTGGACCAGATCGGATCCAAAAGTATCCGGGTACTTATGGATCCGATCCCAGACGTTTACACGGGATCCGATCCAAAACAATTTGCGTTTACACGAGATCCGCTCCAGATGAGATCTACAGACAATGCGCATCAGACGTTTTTCATGCAAACTGAGATTGAAGCAAACAGTCGAAACTGAACATGGGGGTGTTAAAGCCACTCACAATTTAACCTGAAAAAGCTGTTCACAAAAGATAAACTCACAAAGAAAATGAAAAAAAGGTTTGGACATAATTCTAAGACTTCTGGATTTTTCTTATAATACTAATTTTCAACACAGTACAAAGTCAAATCGAGTTTTCTTCTGACGCCAAACTCGAGGAATACATGTTCAAATTATTTTGAATTGGCAATTATTTTGTCTCACTTTCGAAGAAAAACAGCAAGCGGATCCGATCTAGACCAGATCCAAAAGTATACGGATCCACCAGTTGCTGTGTAAACGCAAAGCCTATCCGTACTCTTTTGGATCCGAACCACTCTCGTGTAAACGGGGCCCAAGACACAGTGAAGGTGACAAAATCACACCTAATTTTGAAAGTAAAGAAAGCAACGTTTGATAGAAAAAAACTTCATATACGAATTGAGTTGCATTTAGAGACCGGGTTGCTTGGTCTGCTAATGCTGGCAAGAGGCTCACAATAAAAATGGAGGTAAGCTCTACATGAAAATTGGAAGAACTCGCTCAAAGGCAATTTTAAGACAATGCATATCATGTAAAATATACGTTGGAATTGAGTGATAATGAAAGCTTTAAAAACTTCCACAATCCAATGTCTCCATGAATGTGAAGCCAGGTAGACGTAAATGGCACAAAATTTGAAAAAAGAAGAAAGAATAAAAAACTTAATACCTTGGCGGGAGAGTCGTATTTCCCGGTTTTCAAAGCATCAGATCGTGTTTGTAGAAGCGAAGCATTTGGTGTATGGAATGAGCTAAAACGAGCGAAAAACAGACTTAATCGACCTACTCCAGACCAGACGCACCAGAAACTTCAAAATAGGCAGACAACCTGGCTATGGACTATGCAATGGAAGGGACCTAGCCTTTGACTGATGTTTAGAGACTCTGCTACTTGCAAGTTAGGGTCCAAATAAAATCATTTTCACAGCCAGTGTGTAATTAAATATAAAAAACCTACTCGTTATCAACTGAAACGTCTTCTAATTTCATATCCTCTGCGTTTTCGCTCCTTTCTTTCCGCGCAGTTTTGGTAAAAAGCTCTTCCTTAGCCGTTCCATATTCTACTTTTTCGTCTTCAGTTTCCTTGCTTTCAGCTTTCCCACTACCATCGTCATGCTTCAAAATTGGCGGCGACATTGCTGCAAAAAACAACAATACTCTTAATCAAATCTACCTAATTGATTCAAACGTCGCACTTCTCAAGTACTTAATTCTTGGTTAAAGGTCGGTACATGAAAAGTTCGACGTCTTAAACGGGCCTAAAAAATCTAAGCGGAAAAACCTTAAAGGACAAGTGACACACTTTTCACCCTATCTTTTCTTTTCATTAACTTATAGATCATCTTTTAGAAGTAAGTTTTTCCTGGTTTGGAACAAAAAATTCTAATCTGGGGGCGCAGGGGGCGCGATTTTGCTTTTTATCACGTGACCCTATGACGTACATTGTGATAACTCAGAATTTTCCTGTAATTGATAGAGAGTTTACGAAACACGACGCGACAGGTCCAGACGAACTGTATTCGTTTACAAGCGTGTTGTAAACGTTAATATTGCACTCTATACCAGTAGCAGCAATAACAAATTATCACAATCTACGTCACGGTGTCACGTGATTCATTTCCCGCCATAATTTCAAATGGGTTTTTAAGTGGGGAAATGAAATCAGAAAGGAAAAATATTTCAACAACACTCTCATACAGCATTTTACTTCAAGTTAAAGGAAAAAAATTTGGCGCCAAAAGCGTGTCACTTGTCCTTTAAATAACTGAGAAACATAATGATGCTTGTGTGAAAAAAGAAGTGACTATGTGGGGACAAAAGCATACATACGGTCAAATCAATGAAAAGTTAACAAACGGTGATGTTATTGCGACGTCATGAACCTTATGCGAATCAGCAGGAGAATTCAAAATCAGAAATAACTGTTGATAAAATGCTGCAACTTCTGATGGCTAAAAAGAGAACTGCTATTTCAAATAGATCTCACATTTTGGACACTAAAATCTACTTTTTACGGCACATAAACATTAAGACGTCTGAACCAGACCTTAAAGAATAAACAGTATAAACAGCACGAACCATTTGCATCCCAAGCAGCTCTAGCCTTGGGCTTCTCAGTTCCTTTGGTGTCATTTTCGATTACTGCAGTTAGCTCTTCAATGTCTTCATCATCGTCATCCTCTGTATCGAGAGTCTCTTTTTTTTGAGGAGCAGATGAATCACCAACTGAACTCGGCTGTATTTTGTCAGTTTTGCCTCCTTTTTCTGCTCCCTCCTTTCTAGGCAGTACAATAGTCTCACCAACTTTTGCCTCTTTCACGCCCCCTGCCTTCGTTTGTGTGAAGTCATCACCCTCATCAGAACCTGTTACTTGTTTCTTAGGCAATACGATTGTCTCTCCAATGGCTCTTGCTTTGGGTGGGCTCGACTGCTTCGATAAAACAATAGTAGTTCCTTTGCCTGGGCTTGCAAGATCTCTCGGGGGTAAAATTGTCTCAGGTGCAAGCGTTTTGTTCTCCAAAGCTGAGAGCACCTGCGTTTTACCCGCGGGTCCCCAGTTCTTACGGTGTGGTGCAGTCTCTGGTCTGGACTCACGAGTAGCTGGTTTAAACACCGCATCCTTTACTGAAGTTACTATGGATAAAATTCAGAAAACAGCGATAATTGCAAGTCATATTGTTTTTTCGTTTATCTTTTGTATCAAAGTGATTGAAAAGTGAGAATTTGAGACAGATACTGCATACACGTTAAAACTCAATTTAATGCAGGGTCATCCATGGTGCTTAAGCGTTAGCGAAACTGTGGCATTTATCATTTGATGTCCTACATTAAAGGCCTTTTTGAAACAATATGCAACTACATCGAATGGAATTAGGATGAGTCAACTGCCTTTCCTTGGCAGCCTATAACTTTAAAAAACAATAAGCATATAAAAGGTAACTGACCCTCCATCGCAGAGGCGGTTACTTCAAGGGGCAGAGCAGCTAAACCAAAATCCCTGGCATCATTCCAATGCTTTCTGTCGTTGATAATCTGCTCGCCTTTTTTGACCAAGTCTTGCAAATCACCCTGAAGTGCAAAAACATAACGCATTTCAAACTGGATATCATGCAATAAAAAGACTTGCAAAGAGAGGGGATGCTGTTGTGTGAAAGTGTAGAAGAGAGAAAATGTAGCACAAATTAAGATGTTTAAAAGATACCGGATAGTGCTTTAACCCACTGGAAGTTGGTCTGGCTAATGCATAATTACAGTGCTATGTCGAACGAGAAAAAAAAGTTCACCTCAGAGCATGATCTAAATAACCTTGCAGCCGCCACTTGGTTCATTGCTGTTTCCAAGCCAACTGCAGCAGCAGCAACTTGAAAGAAAATATCAATTCTTAACCCTAACCGTGTAATGGCTAAACAAAAAATATGTCATGGAGCTGCCATTTAACTCCACTGAAATGCTTTATAACCAGTTTAGTAGAGAAGCAACCAAACAATTCAGCTTATGCGATGAGAAAAATAAACATATTTGCGAGAAACAATGATTGGGAAACATGTTGCTGAAAATGAGCCGAAATTTCGGAATTGCTTAAAAATACTTTAGTAGAATATACTTTAGGACACACGTTGATAACAGCATGACATGCTGAAGTGTAAAATCCTGTATAAAGATTCGTATTATTATTATTATTACATTATCATTATTATTAATAAAAGGGAACATGATGTGAAAATAGACAGAGATATGGGACACCATGGAAGAAAAAGGGAAGAGAGACATTGTACCATTCTCAAATAAAAGTTAGGTGAGATATTTTCAGGGACACAAAAACAATTAGCAAAAATATACAATTTAGCAAACTGTTAAAGTACAATATACTATCAAGGTTTAACAATCAGCTTACTTTTTGGTTTATCATCTTTCGGCTTGTTCTGTTGGGCTGATATAGGTCTAAAATGAAAGCGGGAATAACCTTTGGTAAAAATTTCCCCATGTCCTACGAAGGCATAAACAATGATAACTCTAAAAAATAATCAAATCCTTAAGCTTGGGCCTAATTACTGTTGGAGAATACGTCGTTGGGAAACTGTCTAGCTAAATTCATAAGAATATAACAGATGAATATAAAACAAAATAAGCAGATGCCCTGATTTAAAAAACCAGTGATCATTAATTTCAAAAAATGTGTTTATTTGCGTGATATAAAAGCAAATTTTTAGCACCGCTTATGAACTATACTATTTCTTACCGTTCATCATATGCGCTTCTGATCACGTTATGTTGCTGTAGTCTCTAAAAATGAAACAAAATCGAAGCAATTAAAAATGTATTCACATCAAGTCAAGTCATGCAACAAAACATGAAACTCCCTGAACAAGCACGCTTTTCATATTTCAAAAGAAATGTCAAAAACATTGAAATCAAACCTGCTTCTCTCTTTCACTTCTCTCATCTTCCAGTCTCTGCTGCAGAACTTTGCGGCGTTTATTCAGCTCGTCCTTTAAGGCTACCGCCCGCTGATCAGCTTGGGCCTAATGAAACAAAAACAAAAGTATGGGTAAAACAAAGGCAAAGAGTAAATAGATAATTCCGTATATATTAAGTGTATCTTACCGGTTGTAACTTTGATTTTCCTGTAAATAACGTTAAATTCTGAGAAAATTGCTGGAAATGTTTCAGTAAAGAAAGCTCAAAACGAGTATTGAATTGAATAAAGTTAAATTTCAGAAAAGTTTGTCACAGGAAAAGTTATCAAAACACTGGGCAGATGCGAATGTCTAAGAAAAAGCATTCAGTTAGAGAAAATAGCTTTGCATGAGAAAAAATGGTTTTATGTTTTTACCTTCAGTGCAGCAATTTTTTGTCTCCTTGCCTCAGGATCAAAACGAGGATCTAATGCAGCAGCACCAGGTCCCTGTTCCTGGCGTTTATTAACAGGCAAAGGAGGTTTGTATGCGTTCTGGTTATGATTTTGCAATGCCTTTCTCTCAATGTAATTTTGTCGACGAATTTTTTCCAGTTGATCCAGGTACACCTGAGGTAAATTTTAGCTTCAAAATGAACGAAATTTTGCAAAAGAAAGAGAAAATGTTAACGAAGTTGAAGCAAGAAAGCAATGAATTGCTAAACTTTTGCCAAAATTGCTAAAACTTAGAAAGATAGCTTAAAAATGGTTGCTATAACAAAATGGCTGCTATCGTAACAGTTTATCTTCCCGATCGGAATTCTAAGTATCTTCCAACTCAATTAGAAATGAAGAAAATTTTTAGGCTACCTGCTCCTCCTTATTGCGCCCTTCAATCGCAGGGGCTGCCACAACCGCTGCTTTGGGGGCATTGCTGTCGCCTAACACAGAAAGAGACAAAATTGAGAAATAGGATCTAAGTACGATCCAAACTAGCTTTACAATAGTGGTTTTCAATCTATGTAGTTAATTTATAACATGAAGTGCACAATGGAAGTACAATGTAAAGTTCGGAAAACAGTTTCATAGAAGACAGCTCAAATGTTTCGAGCAAAAATGTATATAGCAAAAAATGTACTGCAAGAACGTAGTGGAGTCTGTATAACATAAATTGTAACCTTGTCTTGGGGCACTCTCTGGACGTTTTTGTTGCTGTGCAGGCTATTAAAAAAGCGTAAGATTATAATCTCAAAACACAAAGTTTTTATCTTTGTCATATAAATAACGGACGCCGCACAAACTCCAGCGTTATCTTATTTTTATTCTTTGCTTGCAGTCTAAGTAAAAACAACCTCAGGGAAGTGCTTTTAAAAACTGTTAAATCCTAGCTTGAAACAATTCGTGATTCATTTGATTATCTCCGAATAACTGATTACACAGAATTGCGAAAGAAAACATTAACTTGGAAATATGATATTAGCAAGGCACTCGCATGATCTAAATAATCATAGTTTTTGAGGGACTTGCAAACAAAAAGCAACTCCTTTTCCCCAACTGCATTGATGCAATAAGGTGAAGCCATGCAGGGGTCTGGTACCCATAAACATCTTAACTATACTGCCCCCCCCCCTATTCACACTACCACCAAACTTACATAAGATGGTTTTTCATAAGAAGGTTTGTAATCGTAGCTCCCCCTGACTTTGTTTTCTGCCGCTTCCCTTTTTCTTTGTTTGAACTCCTCAACAAGTCGGGCTCGTTCTGCTGCATCAGCAGCCGTAGCTCTGGCGAAAAAAAATCGTTATTGGAGTGTCAAGACACGAATAAACACGGGCAAGGTTAAAGCACCAAAGCTTGAGCTCATAGACAACGATTGAGAAAACCAAGGTTCAATAAATAGCAAAGAAGAATGTTATGCAGATAATAAAATGCAGCTTAACAAATGGAGACTACTGGTTTAGGATGCGATACGAACAGGCCTATTGCAGAAATCAATTAAAAGTTTGATTTATCTTACTTTTGTTCTCGTGCCTCTTTTGCTGCCACATAAGCCTCAAACGGACGTTCACGTGCTGAAATGGGACGTTGTTCTGGTACATTTTGCCAGTTGCGGTTGTCATTTTGCTCTCCAGCGTTTCCCTGATCCTTTGGCTTGTATTTATCCATCGGATTCTGTTGCTTGTTCTAAGAAATAAATTCATTATAAACAACAGAAAAAAGAAAAAACAAAGATTCGGATTCATAAATTCATTGGATCACGAATACTGAGTGATAACGACCAGCATGCGACCACTAATGAACCCGAAAGAATATTTCCTTTCGTCTTCGTATTCATTCATTTATTCATCTACAGTAAAAGCTCTTTTAAGCACCCTCTCTATTAAACCCCCCTCTCTATTAAGTCCCCCCTCTTTAGCCTTTGATGTCAAACATAGAGAACATGCGCATTTAGTGGGTCTCTTGACGGGTGTGATGATGATAAGATCGTGTGCTGGTGACGTTGATGAAGAGGAGGACCTTATAATTGATTAATTAAACTTTCGAAGCTGTTAGCAAAGTTTTTTTACGAACATTTGTTTGACATTTTCATAATAAAGGGCCAAGGGCATTTTAAAAACAGTTTTTGCTTCAAATTTTCAATAATCCCTCTCTCTCTAATAGGCCCCCTTCTCTTTAAAGCCCCCTCTAGGACTGAAACGACAAATAAGCCCCCCCGGGGGCTTAATAGAGCATTTACGGTATTTGTTAATGTTAAATGTTTATTGCGTCGACAAAATTGCCATTTTCCATCGAAAAAAGTTGCAATCAAAACTCCAAAAATTTTTATAGGAAACGAAACGATTGATAACAAAAACAGGGTTTTTAGAGTCAAAGAATGAAGAAATTTCTATCGTCCCTCGGGAAAAGTCTTAACCTCGCTCGATTGGAATTCGAAATATTTGCAGATTCATGTTCTCTTAATTTGCTTCTAGCGAAATCTCGTTGAGCCACAATAGGCATAAATTTCGGGCATTGCCCAGGATTCTAGGGAAGACAAACTTAAAGCGGTTCAGATTCACTTACAGACGATAACACAAAGAGAATTTGAGCTTTTACAAGCATATTGTTTTTTGGTCATTACAAAATGCTAAAAGTGAAATATCAATATGTGATCAAGGAATATTTTTATAGGTAATTGAGAGACACATTTCAATCTGAGTTAAAAGTTTCGATACATTACCTGACTTTGGGGCTTTTTCTACAAAAAAAAGAAAGAACGAGTTAATTTGCAAATTAACTATTTCTTAAGCCAAGACGAAAAGACGAAAAGCAAAGAAAGATAACGGGATAACACAAATTGGGGCATTTCTATCTTATTTGAGCCAGTACACTGTATTTAATAAGACTGGAATTTAGAAAAAATATTGATAAACTAGAAACATACATTTTTGTCATCTTCCGACAGTAAATTTTTCCAGCCAGCCTCTCTTGCGCGGTACATCCTCTCAGCCTAAGAAAATGAAGAATTCACGGAAATACAAAAAAGGAAACAAAAAACAAAGGGAAATTCTGGAACTAGATAGATTGATCTAAGTTAATAATATGGAGGAAAAAAATTTTCTTTCACTTTTATCACTTTCAAAATATAGACACTAAGCCAACTGAAAGCGTTAAATTATTGAAGTTAAAACAAATACGAAATGCAAAATGTCTGACTAAAGTCTTATTCGATCTCAAGATGGCCTGAATCAGAAGAAGATGATTAGAGGAAACAATAAATGTCATAAAACTAATCTGGCGTACAAGGTTACCTCGGAGCTTATTGAAAGCGAGGCATGCTGCAACTGATTTCTATTTCATTCGATGCTTGCTGGAATTTGATGTTACAAGCAAGAAACAAGATGTTGTTTTGCTTACCTGCTGCTTTTCGTGGCGCTTCTTCTGGATGTTTTTCAAATATTCTTGATAATCACGTTCCTGGTTTTCAACAAGGTTTCGTCTCCTTTTCTCTCTGGCTTCCATTTCTTTCCGTCTTTCTGCCGATTTGTTTTGCTGGAAAAAACATTTAGAGGGTGCTACAAGCACAGCAAAAAGTTAGGAATAGTAATAATAATTTTTAACTTAGCATGCACCCATTCCCTTTCACCTGCAAACAATGTTGCCTGAAAGCAAAAAAAGCATCATTCGCTGGCAAATCTTTATCTCACGATTGGTTTGATGCTTTGCTTTGCAAAAACAATGCATTTGAATGGAAGGGGAGGGGTTTGGTCCCATTAAAACATTGACAATAAATAACACCGCAAAATACTGGTGAAATATGTAGGTGTTCAAAATAATTTCTGCAGGAATCATAAATGTTTTAAAAATATTAAATAAAAAAGATGAAATATCTAAAAAATAGGATAAAACATAATATAATATTGTAAGTATTAAATTCTTTCAAACAGGAAAATAGCAAGTATTGTATTAAGAATGACATTAACAATCAAACGCTCTCTCATAATTATAGGCTGCACTGACAAAATTCGGCAAATTGTTTGCACTGAGGGCTTCTTAAAATCTTAAGTGTCTAAAAATGCATGCAAAATTAGAGTAATGTTTTCAATGAGGGAGCTCAGCTGATATTCAATTGTTAGGGATACCTCGATTGCTCCTCCAGGGCGTCTTCCAGCACTCGGGGGTCTTTTCTGCTGATTGTTATAGCTAACGGGCTTTCTGCAACGGCAAAATACATATATGAATAATTCACATGACAAAATATATATTTTTCTTTTTCGTGGAACTACATAGCGTCAAGGCAATGACAAACACGACAGATAAGCAATTATTAAAGAGACTGTTAGTAAAACAAGAAAAACAAAAGATTTTCGTGCTGTGCATCTTCAAATTTCTCAAGAGTGAGAGCCTTATTTTTGGTTGCAAGTTCCAGTTCTAAAAGTCGATTGCATCCTTATGAAATGACGCATATAACATTGATATGTAAAATTTCTAAATCCAAGGAAAATAACCTTAGGATGCCTCACGATGTTAACATTAAAATCCGGGCCTTTGAAATATTTAGTCAAAGAATTATAAAAAACATTAAACGTTACTTATGGTTACATAAGTTTCATTTAAGACCTCTATTTTCTTCAGAATTTTCAAAAAAACAATGAACACTGTTTTTCGTGGTGGCATTGGGTGTCAAACTTGCGTATCTAATGGGGAATGAACGTCCCGAAGTACGGCGGTATGTTTCGCGTTTCATCTGGCGCCAGTTGAGGACATCTTGTACTCGTATTTGTGTGGCCAAAACAACTGCTTTAATACAAAATACTGTTACATATATATATGTAAAACGCTGCAGAAAATTAATGATGAGCCTTTGCATCGCAAGACTAGCTAATTGAAATAAGACCAAAGGTACCCAAAAGGGGTTTTCTAATTTCAAACAAATAAACTTACTTTACTGGTTGCTTGGCAACACTGACGCCATAAACCTGCGCGATTGGGTTGCTTGGTTTCCTTGCCTCTGAAACTAGAGACAGTTGAAACGTTAAGTCTGCTTTGCACAATATTTGATTTGGTTTTTCAAAAAGCTGTGAACGCAAAACCTTTGCAAACCACTGATAGGTGTGTCCAAATCTGGTTTAAGAAAAAATGAGCGGCAGATTTTGGCTCATTGATACTGTACAGCTTTAATACAAAAGGCAAGCTGTAAAACATTCTAGTGGAAGCTGAAGCGATAAAGTGTTATTTGAAAGGATCAAAACCAAGCAAAAACAAATGAAAGAGTCTTAAAAACTGACTGTTACCAAAAAACTTTACAATCGAAGACAAAATTTCCTGGTGAATAGACAGAAAATAACTTAAGCAAAAAGATTTAACCAAGCAAATCAGGAACTTTAACTTAGCATTCTAATCCTAATCAGAGACAACAGTTTTCAACATTCTTTATCGCACATAGTGGTTTCTTTGACAATAAGCCGCTTGCAGAAATTTAAAAATCTGTGAGATTATTTCAAGTAGCTGGAAAAGGAATTCGGGATGCGATGTAATATATCTTGTAGAAACAACAGAATATGTAAGGTAGACCGCGAGTGTATTTTTCCAGCAAATACCGACGGAGCACTTTAATCTCATTCAATCACTGTTACAAATCCTTTTCATAATCTTCCTTTCGGAAATAATCAGAATAAAAAAATTGGCATTAAAAAAGTATTGAACAATCTTCCTTAAAAGGTATTGCATCACCTCAAAGTGGCGCTTGTTTGGCAATTAATATTGTAAACTGTTGACCGGAATGGCAGTGCATTTTCATTCTGGATGGTGAATGGCCTTTCATTTTATTCATACCTCTCTGAAAACTGCCTTGCAGTGCAATGGAATATTCTCTTCTCTCAAACATCAATTTTTAAGTAGCCCACTTCTCGGTCTTTCCCCACTAAACCATTCTCGCGAAAACCCTATCAATTTTTACAGCTGTAATGAAGCCGCATCCAGCTTGCTCATCAATCTTTCGAAATGGCATTTCACTTCCCAGAAATATTTTATAGTTCTTTATTTGATAATTCTTCTATTGTTAGGCATGGTTTCTGCTTTTAAAATTGTCTGCGTCTTCAATTCATTTATTATGTTTTTTTTGTCGCATTACTTGGAATTTAAAAACCCCGTCAAAATTTGTAATCTAATACGCGTATTCATAATTTATGTCTAGATATCGTCGAAAAGTAGCGAAAACAGTCGCTATTTTGTGCAAGGTGTTTTTGAAAAGCTAGTGTATATTGTAATCAATTAAAGTCCAAGTAAGGCACCTGCGGAGGCTGGTCTTGATGGTGGTTGTTTCGGAGGAGCACCAAACTTCTCTTTGTGGATAACGGTATGACTGAACTCGTCTTCTAATACCTGAGCAAAAACATTTTCTTCAAAACTGAGATACACAAACGAATTTAGAGAAGAAAAAGCAGTTAGCAATGTAATGTCATTTTTGAGTGGCAAGCAAGTAAAAACAAAAAATATAGCAGTGTGTGACAGAAAGGTTTTTTTATTTCACTTTATAGAATGTACAGCGCTTATTTCAGGTAATAAGACAAAACAAAATGCACGAAGAAAATCAACGAATTTAAAACTTGATGCTCCTAGCAAAGCTGCATGGCTGAAATTATCGTGAGAATGATTATATACTTGAAATTTTGAGCTTAAAGCCTAATCTTGTCAGAGACATTTTTGAGCGCGCGCTCGAAGCGTTCAAACCTATGCATGCATACATTGGGAATAATAAAGGTCGCTGCGATCAGTTTCCTGGTCGCTCGCAAGCATTTGAGAGTAGGTCTCTTTCCTACTCCCAGGCGCTCACGCAAGAACTCAGCCAATGAAATCTAGTAATTGAGTGCTTCGAGCGCGCGCTCAAAAATGTCTCTGACGATGTTAGGCTTAGCGGAAGTTTGCTTAAATAGAAGTTACAAGGCCAACTTGGAATAAATCTCACTTCGGGAGAAAGGTATTTCTTTATTCGTTCCTGGATCAGTGGGTTTTTTAAGATTCGGTTTACTGACGGCCTCTCCCTGCAAAGAAAATGTTGAAGAAAAATTATTCCATACAATTGTCTCTTATAAAAATCTACCTAATTAAAATCCATGTTTATAATCTCAAACTTTCTAGCTAAAAGGCTCTTCCAATGAAATGAAAAAGGACGGGGTCTTGGATTGAAATATAAATGACGGGGGGTATCAATTGGTAGAAGAGAAGGAAAAATTGAGCCTCAAGATAAGGAAAAGAAGGAACCATTGTTGGGCATCGTTGAAAAGAAGGTACGGCAGAAATGAGAAACGAAAAAAAAACTTTATGCAGACAAATAACAAAAAGGAATCCTTGCAACGTAAAATTTCTATAAAACTGCTCTACATTGTCGCTGAACCATACAAAATTTACAGAGGAAACTTGAGCATGTGAAGTTATTGATTTCTTCTCGCTATTGATCAATATGCGACAGACAGACCGGACACAATGGTCAGCTGACACATCAATACAAACCAACATGTTTTTCGAGGTAAACTTTCATGAAATTTGCTACTTGATTTTAAAGTACAATTCCAAAATATATCTTATAATACTATTACCATTTAGTACTTGATATTTTAGGCTTCTTGGCTATTTTTATCCGTACTTCACAGGAACTAAGCTTGGATAACAAACGTTGTTTTTAAAGAAATTCGTCTAAACTTTCATTGCTCATAATAACGAATGCACCAAAAAACGACTTTTTATATCTTTTTCAACTCAGCTTCAGCCCTACTTCATTACTCAATCAAGAGAACTGAACAAAAACAATCTTTCACACTTTCAACCATGATTTGTAAAGCTCGATCTTACATTGGGCTTCTCTTAAAACAGTGAGCCACCAGAGACCTCAAGGCTGGTGTGTATCTGTTTGGAATCGGTGGGTAATTGCCTCTGAAAAACCAACAGAATCAGAAATGTTAGACACAAGTAACGTATGTTGTATGGGAACCTGACACATGCAGAAATAAAATACAAGATATATTAAGCTTGAAGTTGTCATATGGACAGCAAGTAACGCAAAGTGATATTTTTCATATCTATAAGTATCTTATCATATTCATAAATGCGACTGCTATAAAAAATCTAGCATTCTGTTGACCTCTTATAGACAAGTTCGAAGGAGATTCAATAATCTAAACAAGAAGCTTAAAAAAGAGAATTCATCTAGAAAATTGTTTCCTACAAAGGGAATATTAAATGGGAAGTCAATAATTGTTTCTTTTGCAATGTATGAAAGAATGTTAGTGATAAGATACCACAGCAATAATGTAAACATTATCATACAAGGAAGGGTTAAAGAAAGGGTGAAATTGGAGCAATATGATATATATTAATAAAAAAGAATCAAATCACAAACCAGACCCATGTGCGAAAGTACAGATTTATAAGCTTAGAAGCGACTTCAAATAGCGCGAGTTCTGCTACAACGATATACAATATTCCGTAAAAACTGAGAAGGAATAATTAAAACAGTTGGCTAGCGATTAATCGATGGCCAGTGATTAAAAGATGGCTGACGAGTAGCTTATCGGGAAACAGCGACGAAAAAAAGGAATGAAATGAATTATTGATTAGCCAATGTTCATTCCCATACTCACTTGGCTCTGCACCAGACTGGCAGAAGAAAAGCTAATCTGGTAGGTTCGCTATTGCATAAGGTGATAAAGCGAGGTGTAGGCGGGCGTAGGTAGACGGGCGTAGGTAGACGGGCGTAGGTAGGCGTAGGCAGGTAATTTCAAGTACAGATACAGAAATTATAGCGCTGCGTAAGAAAAAAATTTCACCTTATGATTTTCAGCACAAGATTCTTCATATTGCCAGCCTCAAACTGTAATTAGAAGAAGCCGTTCTGCTACGAAAATTCGTCGCCTCTCATTCACAGTTACTCTGTTTAAAAAACTATGCACAAGGTCAGAGTATTTAAGAAGCGCTCTCTGGGAATCGAGCTACAACATCTTTTGAGTGAGTCGACCATGGGTAAAAAAGGTGAATTAAAAAATTCTCTTTATGCTTAGTGCCCGACAAAATGTATTCTCAATCACACAACAAACAATGTAAAACAAAGACAGAAAATGGTTTATTTTTTACCTCTAAGTGATACAATTTTGGATGGTTAAAAGAAAGAAATACACTAACTACTAACTTGGTTGCATTTCGCGATCAAATGTCATCTTTCTTAAGTGACAATGAAACTAAAATCGTTATACATGTCTATACTACGGATTATTTGAGAAGCAACTAACTTGAATCTTGTGAAGTTTACTTATTCAGTTCAATTTATAAGGCAATTAATGGTAAAATCGCAGAAGCTTGACACTTACCGCATGCTTCAGTGTGCATAATTCATACAACACACAACCAAGACTCCAAATATCACTAGAAGAAAATCATCACGATGCCTTCAACTCAATTGCATTTTGCTTATGATTGATCTTTAATTATACATTAAATATTTTCTCTAATGAGAAACTGCTTTTAGAAAATAATCATAACAGAGAATGAAATTTGTCAAGACATCATCGATTAGAGTGATCCAAATCTCATGCTAAGCACGGGTCTCAAACGGCAACCGCAGAAGCAAAAATGCTGCAGTAGCATAAGACTTCCTCAAAATAATTCGCAATGACTGCCTTTAAAAACTTAGCCAAAGAGTTATTTTCGCACTTGGCTCTTTCGAAAGATCCTAATTTTGCAATAGAGTTGCAAAGTGATGACATCGTAAAAATATATTTTCACAGGGTTTTTTACCACATAACCTAAAAGAACACAATTAATTACCTATAAATATGTAAAATCAGCTAGATCTGCGTGAGATATGGCCAAGTGAGTACAGGTTCTATCTGAACTTACTGAACTTACAAGAATACAAGAATATATGCAAAACTACAAATTGTCACCACCAAAATCATTAAGGAAGATGTAGGCTTTGACCGCTCAAATGTTGTCAACACATTTGACTTGCCTAGAAACTCAATTTAGCAATATCTGGTGAACGAAAACGCTTTTCCCTCTCTCTTCTTATGTGTGTCCTTCCTACTGTTGCCTTTGTTATTCCTACCTATACAAGCGGGTACCCTTGTGCCATACGCAAGCATCTAAAGCCGCTCTTACACATCGAATTCGACAGAATCTGACCGTGTAAAAGGAGAAATGGAATGTCGAAAGCCATCATCAGATTGTCGAATTCGATTTTTCAAGAATCGAACGTGTTCTATTCCATTCGACAAATCGAAAGGTGAATGAATGACATTCTTGCTCGCCAACGCTGCTACGTCATCCGAATTACCATGTTCTGTATTGTTTCAGACTGTTTGCAATCATTTTAAAGAAAAAATGGAGTGAATCCAGCCAAAGAACAACAAAAAGGAAGAAACAGAATTATTCATTGCTAAATACTCATGTGTCTTAGCTCAATTCTCGGCAGCATTATGTCTTAGCTCAATGAAGAAGCGCAGTCTTAAGCCGCTCTTACACGGTCAGATTCTGTCGAATTCGATAAAGTCTGACCGTGTAAGAGCGGCTAAAGACTGCGCTTCTTCATTGAGCTAAGACATAATGCTGCCGAGAACCCAACTTTTCATGCAAATTTTTACCCCCAGTCGTCTGTACTGGCATTAATCAAGATCTGCGGCAATTACTTGAAACCATAGAGAGACTTGGGCAAACCCAAGTTGTTATTCATCACTTTCGGCCTCTCCTCAACATCACTGGCAAAAGAAATAGCAACAAATACATACATACAGCGAAAGGAAAACAAACTTGCCTCTTATTGTTGTACGGTCGATTTTCACATATTTCTGGAGATAAATAATAAGGAGTGCCGATGCATGTTCTTGCCAACTCTACGGTGCTGGGATGAAACATAGTGATATCAACATACTACATTTATATGTGTAGATAAAAGCAAAGTCAAATGATATGAGCAAAGTAAAAATGAAGCAATTAACAGTGGTCAAAAGACAAGTAAAACACAATACTGCTTTACAGGAAACACAAATTAACAAAGCTACAAGTGGATTTAATAACATTTGAGAATAAAGAATACGATAACAGAAAGGAAAACAACTAGTAACATATAAATTCATAGAACAGAAACAATAATCTTATTGATTAACCGTCAAAATTGAACAGTGCATGCAAGCTACGAAAAAACAAAAATGCAAACCTTTTAAGGACTCTCGCAATTCCAAAATCTCCAAGTTTCACAATGCCATGTCGCGTCAGAAATATATTCTGCAATAAAATAAACAGAAGGGATAAATAGACAGAAGGATTTCAAGTCAAAAGAATAGAAAGAGAATTTGCAGAAAAAATGGTCTAGATTTTACATAAATGAATGAGGATTCTTGATGGACCATATGTTGCAAGATTAACATGTGATGAGATTTGATATCTAGATAATAATTTTCTCATTGTCATATTCATACATCTTAAACTTTTTGAATCTAAATGAAGATTGTAATTCATTGAATTGAATCTAATAGAACTCATTTGAATTCTAAATAAAGGAAAATTTGTTAATCTAATTGATGCATAATATGGCAACCCGTTTCCTAATTAAATAAAATCGCACCCTGAATAAGGAGGGAAGCCCCCTCCCCCATCAGACATTATTTAAACTTTGTGCTGGAAAGCTGATTCAGAGTCGATCTCTAACACAAAAACAAAGTTAACCTTGTAATTCAACTGCTAACCTGGGATTTAAGGTCCCTGTGTAAAACCTTCCTGTCATGAATATGCTTCAAAGCCAGACATATTTGTACAAAGTAGTCCAAGACCTGAAAAAGAAGAATGCAAATACCCTAAACCATTTTACAGAACTAGCAATGAAGCTGAACAACACAAACACAGACAATCCCTGCCAGTGTTGCACTTCACAATTGTATCCAAAAAACACATTTACTGTATTTGAGTCACTGATAGTAATTCCAGCAGTAAAAGTTTGCCATCAAAAACACTTTAAGCAACTTTTAGTCATTAATTGCCATTGACAGAAGTATGTCAGTTATGATTCAAGGAAGAAAAGCTGGAAAAAAACTGAAGCATACAAACCTGATTTTCTCCAAAGTTAACTCCTCTTTGTGACACAATTTTTTGATACAAATCCCCTAAAATGTAAAAGTAATACTTAACTTAAAAGCAAAGGAGAATCTTATCAAATCTTAATTTCAAACTAAATACACTTAGTGAGAAAATGTATTGCACAGGCTGAATCAGAAATGGCGGCATTGCAGCAAAGTATTTTAGCGAACCAAAATTCAAGTGATCATAGCAAGTTTCATATAAGTTGTAAGATGACTTTTCAACTGGAATATGTTGGAAAATTTATCAAGGTTTGATGTTGAAAATAGTAAATGCAATAAAAACTCTTGATTTTTGCCTATTTCTCTTAAATTTTCTCTCTTAATATGAAATCTTAAATTCAAACTAAAAATAATGAAAGAAGCTAATAAAAAAGAAGGCCTATAGAAAAGGCACAAAACATTAAAAAAGTTTACTAAAGTTTACAGGCCCAAAAAGGGTGATAAATGATAAAAATAGGTGATGAAAATAGATTGGCAACCAGTCAGCAAAGCGGGTCTTTTGATACTTTAATTGCAATAGTAAGGATAAATGGTACCTCCTTCACAATAGTCCATGACAATATACAGATTTCCCATAGCTGAAATGTGAGGATTTTGTAACTATTATAAAAAATATAAATACAGCAAAACATGAGCTCAAAGGAATGATTTACATAAACTTGAACCTTGGTAATCTTTATATGCAGAAGCAATGATAAGTAGTAGCTTTGTACGGTGGTCAGCATTCTTTGTTTCTATGCAGAAGGTTTCATGTTCTAGTCCACATAGACAATCCATAAAATTACTACTTCCACTCAAAGGGACTTGGGATTATGCCTTATAGTTTGGTATTCAATGTGAACATTGCTGACAATTATTATGTGTGGTATTGGGAAGGCAGCAAGTTATAATATGTACACATGATGCCTAGTAGTATCAATGTCAACCTAAGAAAATAAATGTTTGTATTACTATTGCCTCATGAGCTTAAAATGGAATGGCATTGATATGACAAGCAGTTTGTCCCTTGAAATGCTTTCCAATCACATGTTTCATGCCTTTTATCAATCAAACAACTCTTTAAATAATTTTAAGTTCACCAAAGCTTTAAATAATTTTAAGTTCACCAAAGCCAAGTTTCCAGATATTCTTAAAAAGGCCTAATTTCTGAGCTTTTTAAGAATTGTACCAGTGGTTAATGCAAATCATGATGTTTCTTTCTAAAGACAAATACATGTTTTTTGTTGTTAGACCTATTCCGCCACAAAATTTACATATTACAAAACGTTCTAATCAAACATACATTCAAATGACTCCTGGTACAACACGATGTTTGGGTGCTTCAGCTGTGACAACAATTTAACCTAAAACAAAAGGTAAATAATTGGGTTCTTTTAAATGTTAATGCATTGGCATCCTCTGAATGCCTTTAAAATTGGAAAACTCTTTTAAAGTTCAGAAGATTCATAGATTTATTCCATCATTGCCAGTACAAAATGGACAAACAATACAAAATTGTACAGCAGACTCTCCCTGTGTAGCTGTATGTCATAATTTTAAAAGAGTTATGTAAGAAAAACTAAAAATGACATTGGAGTCTTTATTCCCCCAAAGAAAAATCAACAAAAATTCAGTTGACAATACATTCAATGACATGGAAAATTTGATCAGACTTAGGTGTATGATTCTATTAACAGAGGGATAATAAAGTTCCATAGTAATGATATCAAAATGAATTCTAGAATTTTTTGTCTTTAGACCCCAAAACCTAAAAAAGGGTAATGAAATTCCCTTAAATAAACAGAATCAAATGAACATATTCCAAAATTTTCCTTTTTCCCTAACAAATCACAGTTATATATTTGATCTCTGTCTAGAACTGGGAAATTGCTTGAAAGCACAGAGGGAGAATCAGTCAACAAGTCAACCATGAATTTGCTAAAACATATAAATCCCCTGTTCAAACTTTTGGTGCACAAAACATCAGTTGGTTGTAACAACACCAACAGCATTAGACTTATCCAGCCCTTTCCCACCCCAAAATTAATTTCAAATGATTTATTAAATTAATTATTTTTTTATCACATGCCGATTTTGATATGTTTGATTTTGCAGACGCATCAATGCGACCAATGGTACATTATCAGCTGCGACTTGCAAGCGGAAGCATTTGAGCTGTGAGCAACGATGCCCATATATACATTACTATAGTATGATATATGAATTTCTTGATATTTTGGGTCACTAGAGGTGCAAGCACAAGGAGTCTAGCATCGCTGCTAGCATATGCAAGTTTTCCGGCCCAGTCAGACAGTGTTGAGGTTTTGCACCCTCTCTTAAGTTCAATATTGGAATCTCTGCTAATAAAATGCATACACTTCAACATTTATTTGGGGGAGGATTGTGGATGCTAGACTACATATATGCATGCTTATAAGTTCAAAAGACATTTTTCTTGACCGGCATGACCAAGATTGCAGACAAATTTCTTTGTAATTCACCTCCTTTTTTGATTCTTCCTTTTCTCTTGAACTCATCTAGAAAATGAAGTTGAATTTTAAAAAAACACATCTATAAAAAACAATATTTTTGTCTAGTTTTCAGGTTTGCAGGGATTCTGCCATTATAACATAGTTGCAAGTGGGATATTTCAATATATTTGGTCAAAATATTTGGTTTGCAAGACTCACATTGTTCTTGCAAACATTGTAATTTTAAGATAACATTGTAATTTCAAGATAACATTGTAATTTCTTGCAATTATTGGAAACCTGCTGGATAGGCCTGCTACTGAAATTAATTGTAATAAAAAATTAGATAAATTACTAACAAAGACACTTAAAAGGTAGAAGTTTGTATCATTAAGATAGGCCTAATAAATAAATTGTGCAAAATATTCTCTCGGCACGCACCTTTCCTATGGCTATTTCCTTGACAACACAATGTCGGCCGTCAGCCCTTCTTCTCACAAGCAAGGCTTTTCCGAAAGATCCTTCACCGATTTTCTTTACCCTCTCGTACCTTTCCATTTTGATGCAAATATCACAAACTGATACGATGATATATGTTTCTTGAAATCTTCGTGTTCAGACCCCAGATCTGCCTAGTTACCAAAAATAGCGTCTATTCTTCTCTGTGCATTAAGATGGTTCGTCCAAATCAGCTTTACAGAAATAATAATTGTAATTCTTTAAATGCAAAAAGCTTAAACTCGCTTGAACAAACTATTAAGATAGCCCTAGCCCATCAAAACTTTGTAAACAAAATTCATACATAATGCATCGCTGGAATTGGCGCTCTGAGGCCAGTCTGTGTCAAATTTCAAAACCCTAGTAGAAACGAGGCTAGAATATTTGACGGAAAAAGACTCAGAATTCAGATTTCTTCAAAACTTGCAAATTCAGATTAAAGTTCAAATTTATTTTGATTCAGCAACATTTTCAATAAGCTCATAATCATCTTTATCATAAGAAGAAAAAATGACAAAGTTCTGTAAAATTTTAACTGAAAAAAACCATTTGAAAACTGGCCGTGCGCCTTAATTTTACATAGTACTACTTGGTCAAATCATTCCAAATATACACTGGCAGACTGTATCAAAGAGTAAGCGGGAATCCACTATTTTGTAAAACAAGTTTATGAAACATTGTTAATCAAAACATTTAAACAGGCAAGGTTATTTGAGGAGTCGAAATATTTGCCCTCAAGGACAGACTATTTTATTTTATCTGTATGGTAAAACTTGATTGTCCCCGGAATTGTTGTCTGATCTGATGATTGCATGAAGTGTGAACATTTTAACAAATAGCACCTTTAAGGGTTTGGCAGGGGGTAAGGGCTGCCGTCGAAAAAGCTGTAGGGGCAGTGTGTGTATTTCACTGCAATTAGCAGAAAAAGAGGAGACATTTCATTCTAAAGACCTTAAGGTACCTCAAAGTAAAAACGTTGGGTAAGGACCAAAGGCAAGCAGAGAATCCTTATGCAGATCTAAGGTAACTTGAAAGGTTTGATAGGTTCATTGTTCTTGACCAATCAGGGGTCGTTAACCTCACTTTCTGGCAAAATATTTGTTGCAACTCTTCTAGCCAAATAGAGTAAAACTGTTCTGTTAAAAACCTTAGCACGCAGGACATTAATGATCTGCTTGAAAAAGTAAATTGGGTCCTGCGCTTGGTGCTGAACAAAGTCAAGGCAATATACTTCAGGAAAAAGAACTTCAGGAAATGTTCTAGGAAAAAGTCACTAGTTCTCTCGGCTTGGAAAATGTTCGTTTAGAAAAGTGTCTGTATATTTAAAAATGATTTGGATTGGCAATGTAGAGTTCGAAAGCTCTGTACACATTCTCGTTTAGCTATAAGGTCTGATCACAATTGTCAAGTCAGCTTTCAAACAAAAATGGAACTGATTGACTTCATCGATTCTTCTCAAATTGATGGTTAAGAAACATTTCCTAAATCTTTCCCTAAAGGCAAGTGCTACTTTCAGCAACTTTTTTAGCTGATGTGCCACAGGGACAAATCTCAGGTCCACTCTTTCTTAAATACATCATTGGCTTGCCAGAAGGCCGGCCTCACAGGTTCACGTTTGGAGCAGCACCTTGCAGATGATTCAGTACTTATCTCTAGTAATTCTTATACGGATGCCTCCACATTTAATTTTAACTACAATCTTAATCATATTCAAGTTTGGGTTTATCAATTGAAAATGAATTTAAAACCTGGCTCAACCAGAATCATCTAAAACCATCGGTTAATTTATCGAGCTGATCCCTCCAAAATCATCCATCAAATTACTTTCAAGAACCTCCCGCCAATCTTTGTAGACCTCAGGTCATCTTGAAATAAGTCATAATTTTCCGCCCATATCAATAAAAGAAATTCTCGGCAAAGCATATAGAGAAATAGTTTTCATCTCCTTTCTCTCTTGATGTCCCGCTCCTCTGTCGGGGTCTTGCAGAAGTTTTTTTACAAGGTCCATTCTGAATGGTCAAATCAAAAAATCTAATTTGCATGAAGTTATCTTAGGAGTAATTTTTAAAGAGAAAAATGCAAAAAACCTATTAATGTAATGCATGACTCATTCACATATAACAAACCCTATATCATTGAGTGACACACTCTGTAGCAATGTCGCAATAGCCTGTGTCCCAGACCCCTAACTTAAAAGTAGAGGTCTCTACTTTCAAGTTAGGGGTCTGGAGCACAGGCTATGTCGCAAGCGTCACAGTACTGAACCCTATAACCATTCGTACATTAGAAAGATTTGGATTTTGAAGAAACATTTTTGGGGGCTTAGCCCCCCTTATCAAGCCGGTATATGTTCAGTTGGGCAGATTCTTTACCCGGCAAAGTAAACAAACTCTTTGTCGTGCCATTGATTTTCTATGAATTTTATTTAGCCTTTTAGAATTGGTGAATAGTTTCTTAATTGGTTGATTTTGTAAATTGTAATATTTAGATGTTATTCTGCTGGACTTAATGTGAGAGTTATATTAAGCCCCCTCGGGGGCTTATTTATCTTTTCAGCCCTAGAGGAGGGGCTTAAAAGAGAGGGGACTTAAAAGAGCACTCATGGCGTCTTACCATTATAATTTACACACTGATTATACTGAAATCAGAACATCCTCACAAACACTCTTCGTTAATATCAGTGTTCGCATCTACAATGTTACTTTAAATAATGTTTTCCGTTAGCTGCAGTTAAAATGTACCCAGACACTGTGGTACCGTCTTGTTTTGGCCAATGCCATCACATTAATACTGTAACGCCATAATGTAGCATAATAGCAATGCAGTGTGCATCATATGCAAAGTTGTTGTATTTTCTATCATATTGTTACATTGTAAAGTGTAGTAGAGCAGCATTTGGCATTGGATAATAAAAGAACTGAATGAGTCTGGTCAGCCTAGGAGCCCGGAAACGAGATTCAGAGGAATTATCTTGAATCTCTTCACATTTTAAAATTGTCTCCTGAAAATCCTCTTAAACGTTTTGAGCTAAGAAAAAATTGAATATTTCTCACTGAAGACCGCAGAGCAAACAAAGAATAAAGCAAGATTGGAAAGAACTCAATATAAGAATTCAAAACTTACTTCACTACCGTTACTTCTGAAATGGTCCCATTTGTTTACCAATCAATTGAAAAACTGCCTAGTTACAGAAATCTACTGAAACGCCTAGATTTATATAAATTATTATGTAAAATAGTCACAGAAAATTTCTACATATGTCAGAGTAACGTAACTGAGAGATGGTAAAATCGAAGAACAATAAATGATCATAGAATGAGTTGAAGATCTGAATGAAATTTTGAAGTCGGGCATCGTTCAACAGAGTACCAAATTGTGACGTCATTAAAACATTTTCAGAATTTTTGCACTTTGACCATATAATTCTAAAGAACAGCTGAAAATACATCTTGAAGTGCAAAATCAGTTAAACTGGTTCAAAATTGGGTAAGATATGGTTAATAGAAGATTTAAAGTTTGCAAACGGATCTCTGGCCTGGTCCATGAAGTTATCAACCAAGTTGAAGGGAACTAATTGGGCCTGTGTTCATTAAAAGTCAGGCCAAGAAAAGCCAGGGTTGTTACAGGGTTTTGAAGGAATCAAAGCAGAGCAGTAGCTTAAGGATATTTTCACTTATAATCTAGGATCTCACACTGGCATCTTTAAAGGCCAAAATGACTTATGAAAATGAAAGAAAAAACTAAATAACAAAACTACAATAATACGACAAAAAGCAACACTGTAGCTCAAAATCAAGGGCACTTTGAAAATTTTCGCGGCAAGCGTTTTTGGCACGAGTAACGTAACAAATGCTAATAATATATAATAAAAGTAAAGAATATGGAAATGAAAAAAATTATATAGGATGAGCATCTTATATAAACGATTTTACATGGACTAAAGTTCAAAATCAATGCATACTGCGTGCGTGTAATAAAAATGTCCGTAAGTTGATAAAAAGATGCGACTTGATGAATAAATTATAATTTTAATTGACGCTTTATTTGGATGATACATTTTAGAAATTTCTTTAAAAAGGAACAGCGAAATCATCTTAAGATACCCCTCGAAAATACCCGTTAAAAAAGATGCAATGACTCTGTGCAATCTGGGCATTCTCTTCTTATTTTATCAAATAAGAAACTCCCTGTTTAGGATAACAATAACAATGACAATAGCTCTCCGAGAATCATTGGTTCTGGACGCCCATAACAGCCATCAAATCACCGATTACCGGTTTAAGGAAAGAGCAAATTTGGAAAGACATTCTTCAGACATCGCAATTTAAACAGTTTAGAACATTTCGTGAAAAATGTACCCTTTACATGTACACATGGGCCTCGCAAATAATTCATTGTCATGCAGCTGTTGCTCCTGGAAGAAGGATGTACCTCGGAGAGAAAAGCAACCCGATGATTCGTCGCACCTTATTGAGAAACAAGGAGGGAAGGTTTCACTGCCAGAACACAGACCGCTTATCCTTTTTTCAAAATATGAAATACCGGGTTAAAAGTGTTTCTGGGAAGGAAATGCCCTCTTAGCACCGGGGTACTCCAGCCTCTGTCATCTTTGTTTCTTCTCAACAATGTGAATCTGTTTAAAAGAAGAAGATTAATCACAAATACAAAAGATACAAATAAAATTCGTGGAGAGGTCCTAAAAATACTTGAGGTCATTTGGATCAAGGAAGAGACTATCGAATAGCTTGGTGAGAGTACCATGCTTTATGTGTAGAGCAGTGGCGGAAATTATGGGGGTATTGGGGGGGGGGGGGGGCTCAGGCATAGGGGCATCGGGCATCGGGCTGCTTGTTAGTTGTATATTTAATTTCAATTCCGTAAAGACTAGCCGATCTTTCAATCGGATTCTTCCAAATGAAATGTTTTTTTCAAACGTAATTCCCATTGAAGAAAACAAGATAAAATACAGAAAATGAACATTACAATTACAATCATGTTGTTGTCATGAACGACTTGTAAATAGTGTAATCGGTCGACCTCATGTATCATCAATTGCCTTAGATGATATATCGATCTTGATATCAAAAGTCATAAATGGATTGCTCTGCTAGGGTCCCGCAAAAAACCACCTATTTTCATCAAAATGTGCAGTTTCCTTAAAATTAGACATGATTCAAGATTTTATCTTGTCGGAAAATCGTAGGCCAAGGCCCTCCCAAATGAAAGCTTGAATTTCCGCCACTGGCGTAGAGTGCTTATTGGTCGATAGGAGAAAGAACATGCAGGCGATGATAAAAATCTAGATTCGGATTGCCGCACCTGCTCAAAGAAAATAGTCATTATATGCGCGCATTGAATAGATTTTGCGCCGACATTTAAGTTTTGGCTATTCTTAAATTCAATTTGAGCAACAACAACAGTCCGAGAAACAAAACAGTCTGAGCAATGAAACATTCGGTAGAGAAAATGATAAATTCACATCATACTTCGCTAAGGGCAACCCAGTTTTCGTTTTTATGATCGACGACTCTAATGCGTAATTCGGCTATTGCACCAATGTTGTCGGGGACTTTGTTGGCTGCAAGACCGTTTGCAGAGAATCGCCCCACCTCTATGTAGATATCCCTGTTGTATTCATTTTGTATATAACTTTCTTTGTCCTGCAGGTTGGATATCTCAGCTGCAGTCACTGAAAAAGATGAAAACAAATTTAACAAGGCTTTAAGAAACTCTACACTGCACTAACACTGCTATAAGGAAGTTGAACCCAGCCCCAGCCCCAGCCCCCAGCCCCAGCCCCAGCCCCAGCACCAGCACCAGCCTCAGTCCCATCTCTAATCTCAGCCCGAGCCCGAGCCCGAGCCCCAGCCCCAGCCCCAGCCCCAGCCCCGGCTCAAAGTCCTACGTTAAAAAAATACGATAGAAAAATTTTGGTATTTTGTTGAGCGGATAAAAATGAAAGGTCAATTGCTAAATCTATTTGAAATATGTTCTGTGAGAAACATGTAGTTCATTAAACAAGCGTCACAGGTGACTGTTACATTTTCAACAGAAAAGTGAAATTCATATCACCATAAAAACAAACCTTGCTTTTTAAGCGAATCTGCCTTCTCTTTTTGCGCTTGAGTCAAAACTTCAACTGTCGCATTCACAAGCAAATCTCCTGGATGGTCAACCATGCCAGTCTTGAACTTAAACCTTATTGAAAATGGGAACGTCATAGACCCAAAGGATTCAATTCAAATAAATAGGCCTAAATTTGGCCTCTGAAGAAAGGAAGAGTTAAATTGAAGTTGATATGATCAATTTCCGCCCTGTTATTATATTCGAGGGGCAAATCACTGCTTAAAATCACGTACTTTCTCGAGAATAATAAAATTTTAATCAGAAATTAATCACATTAAAAAAAAATCAAATTAATTAAACAGTATAACATTTCTCACAAAAAATTACTGAAAAACAAATATTAGAATCTTTGACCACGTTTATCGGCATATGTTATTGAAAAGTGCAATATTTAGAATGTCCCTTTCGCACTTTTCCAAACTTTTCATGAACACTTTGGAAAATCTGCAAACGCACGCTCGGGAACATGAACAAAACAACAACAAGTTTTTCTAAGCACCCTGCGATGGAACAAAAATTGAGGCCACGTTATGATGCCGGGTTCACTGAAACAGCCATTGCTGTTTTTGTTTCCCAAATGCCACTGAATTTGATCTGACCAAAAACCACGCCTGATAGCAGTCATTTTTCACCCATTGCTACAGGGGCCGATCCAGACAGTTCCGGCTGTTGCATTTGCAACTGTTACATTTATGGGAAATGATTCATGTCAGATTCTTGTAATTTCCCCAAATAAAGTTCGATCTTTCCGGAACTTGGAATTTTTTCTATCTGTTTAAGTTTCAGGAATGACAGTTTCATTTTCCAATAGCGATGGGCAGAGAACAGAGCACATGCATTTGTCTTAATGTCTCTTACAAGGTGTTCAACAACTGTTTACTGTTTTTCATCCAAGGCTATTCGCATCCATGTTACTAATGCTACTGTACAGGAATAATAGCTCTTTTGATGCATATTCAAATTCTTATGACGAAAGTAGGCGGCCCACAGAACAAAGCATATGCATTTGTCTTAATGTCTCTTACAAGGTGTTCAACAACCGTTTACTGTTCTTCATCCAAAGCTATTTGCATCCATGTTGCTAATGCATCTATGCCCACGAAAGATAGCTCTTTTGAGGCAAAATTCAAATTCTTATGACAAAAGTAGACGGCCCACAGAACAGAGCACGTGCATTTGTCTTAATGTCTCTTACAAGGTGCTCAACAACTGTTCACTGTTTTCCACTTCAGGCTATTGTCACCCTGCATCCATGATGTAGGAAACCTATCATATCGATTTAATATTTCGCTTATGCAGCTGTTCAGAAAAGATAACTCTGTTTTTGGTTGTCAATGTTATTAAACTTTTGTACCTTTTTTTCGCAAATCTGCAACGGTCAAATTTTTCTCTGGATCCTCCCCTGTGCGGAACTGCTAATTTTTCTTTTTCAATTTCATATAGTATGTTGCAAAATCGTTGCCAAACTGGCATGATTGTTTGTCATTCAATTTATGAAACATTGTTGTTTAGCTTGGCTTATGAATTGGTTTACCGTCATGTGTTCAAACGACGTTTATTGCACATGAAATTATTTGAGAGCACTTTTTGATCTATGGTTCAATTTCTAAATAATCCTAAATTAATAAAAAATTAATCACTTTTGCCTCTAAAAATCAAATTAATCACACACAAAATTAATTTAATCGTAAATTAATCACTAGTGATTATTAATCTCGTACACCATTTTCAAGAGTAATTTGCCCCTTGATTTGATTTCATGCAACTGGTATTTTAAAAATAAAACAACACACGCGGCATCTATCATTCTAACAAAGGATTCAGAAGGACCAACACTAAAGTAAAATATGAAAGACAACAAATCTATTTATTATCTACGCTTCGGTGTATAGATCTGGACGGCCCTAAGCTACAATTTTGAGTGTCGCACTTAATGTGAATGTGAATATCCGGCAACTGTAAAACTGGCGTCTTTAGCTCGATCATCAGCCCTATTGAGCATCGAGCGCCAAATCGAAAAACGGTAAACATAACACATAGTTAGTCTATATACCCTAATATGCTAAGGGTTCTTATTGACATGATATAGTAAAGTAAGCGGTCAAAAATAACATGCCTGTCGACAATTGTGGGTTTCTTAAAACAGAACCGCAAAACTTCACCGGCATGGGGAGTGAGCGCCCAGAAGAAGGTCTGCCCGAGGTATGCTGCCTCTGCGGTGTAGCGTTGATAGGTTTCGAAGGATGTTTTCACAATTGCTTTGGGATTCAAGTGAGCCTGGAACATCGGTTCATTTTTGAAGTCCTTGTCCTGTGATTGAAAACGGATTCAATGAATTGCTGCAAATAATTAAATCCTATTTTTTCTATTAACTAGGCGAAAAGATTGTGTGAGATTTGTATGAGGAAACAAGAAATATTTTCACAAAAATCAAAGAAATATTCTCTTCGATGCCGTTTCAAAAAACGATTTTTCAGGTTTGGTTGACATATACTTCTAAAGTATTAAGCTTCCGCTAACGATTAATAATTTAAAGTTAGCAATGGATAAATATTTCTGGTGGAAATATTTCCACGAGATAAGAGAAACAAATAGTCAAAGAAAAGTCAAGAAAAACCACAACGGGCAAACACTTCACAAGCGAATAAAAATCTTTCGGGTCAAATTCACAACCAGGTTTTTTGAAACCAACAGGTGTCAGAAACCAACATTAATTTTTCAAGCGTTCGCAAACGAACAGTGGGTTTTCACAATTTATAGCACAGGTTGATGTACAATTGTCGGCAAATCAATGCCAAATAGATGAATTGTGATAGAATTAAATTAATCAAGAAATGGACGGGAAAGTGTAAGGCAGGAAGCATAGAAGCGAGTAAAAGATAAACGTGGAAATAAAACTCAGTTGACAGATGACGTCAAAATCGGTTGAGAAGTTTCAAGTAGCAATAAACTCAACTCATTTTCGCTTGCCATCCATATTACAGGATGGTTTTTTTCGAATTCAACTCTTTATCGTCCTACGTCAATCGACAGTTGAATCGTGATTTTTTTCGACTTTTATTAGATTCTGGGTATTTTAAGCAACTGATTTGGTGTGAGACAGAACCATGTTGATTGGGGTTTGTTCTGACTTTTTCCTTTGATCGACGAATCTGTTCTCCTACTCAGTATGTTCATTTGACGAACTTTGTTCGTTAGCCAAGGCTCAGAAATCAGCCTTTCTTACAGAGAATAAAAACAAGTAACAACCATCAACATATACTCATTCGTCAACTTTTTCTATCCACATTCTACATCGATACCCACTTACATCAAAAATTTCATCCATCCACCATCTGAGGCCGAGCAACCATGCTTATAACATAAAAATGACTTACCACTAGAGCTTGTCTTTTTCCTTTAAGTGATGACACTTTTCCCACGTGCTGGAATAGCGAAGGTTTGAACCGAATCTTAAGTCTCTGCTTTTGTAAATTACAGTGTTTGCCATCTTTCTCAGGGTTGCAAACTTTTACCCAAAGAATATGATCTAACAGCCAGTCAACAGGCTTGTCTTTATAAAACATCAAGAAAAAATCCACCATGACCGAGAGATCTGACGATTTAAATAGCTTACCTGTAATATAAACGATATAAATACTTACAGGTTTTAAAAACTAGACAGAGACGTATCTTGCACATTTCTATGTCGACTAGAAGATCGTTTTAATATGCTTACAAATGTAGGACAAAGACCTGTAACAATTTTGCATACACAGCCTTCAGATCAGGAAGTGTTATAGAGAATGGAAGATTTGTCATATCTTTTTTCCCAAAAAAGTTGAAATTTCATAAACCTTTATCAAAATGACAATAAAATCAAGATGCCGACAAGGTCGCCTATTCTGCCAAGAGGTCACTCAAATGTAGTTCCTTTTATTTAAGTTGTAGGAGATGAAGAATTCGTGGACAGTTGTAAACACATCATAACAATTTTTATCCTCTCCTTGCAATCACAGGTTGAAATCCTTTGCCCTATTCCAATTAAATGTTCGACAGAAGTAGAAATTACCTAGCTACAAATGTCACCTAAAGAAACCATGTCTACTTTCAAACAAAGCAAGTTACAAAGCAAAGAGATGGCAGCAGGTTTGCAAAGCAAAGAAGACGGGCTACATTTGAAGAGCACAGAGGACTTAAGGGCAACTGTCGTGAGCGATGTCGTTGTAGAAAAAGAAATTGAAGCATCGAAACCCCACTTCACTTTCATCATTGTTCCCTGTGTATGTCTGCTGACCAAAGTCTACAAGTGAGAGCAGCTCTGGGCTGGCTCTATACAGCCTAAAATTAATAAAGGTTGTCGAAGGACCATGTTCTGCAGAAGGTTGCTCTCGCAATTTGAATCTTACAAAATCAAAGAATTGTCTCCAAAAACAACCAAACAGGTCTTTTATAAACATTTAAAAATAAAAATGCTCCTGTCAGAAATTAATCAGAAAAAATACAGTGAAAGCCGTGACCAAAAGTAAAAATAAATTTTTCAGAAAATCAAAAGAAAAATCAAAGATATGAAAAACAAAGATACCTATAAAACCAAGAGATGAAAACTCGAGCATAAACCAATCATTGTTCTCCTGCTGTAATGCGAAGGTTAGGATTGTGCTTGCATAGGCTGGCGTTGCCACAATGTCGTCTTCTAACTGACAATAAAACCGGGCTTTATTTTGAGCATACATCATCATGAAAGAGTAGTCTAAGTTTTGCTTAGTCCGCCAGCGAACTCTGTCCGGAGAATCGTTAAAAGTCAACGGCAAGTTTTTCATATCTGGGTAAAATTCCTGATTTGGGACGATGAATTCAAGTATGCCTTCACTGACGGCATCAGAAAAGGCTTTTGACAGTTTTTCGACACGCTTTTTTGCAACACTGGGGGCCTGTAAAATAAAAATAGTGTTTAAGCGCTTAAACAGTTAAAATTTGTGAATTTTGTAAACGTGGGCACTAACTCTATCAAAATATTTACCTAAAGGATAACAAAACTCATCGTGACCTAATTGCCTTTCACTTTTTGGTTGCTTCCATGAGACGCTACCTATTTCAGAAAGGTATGTAATCATGTTTCTCTGTTTCAAATCAAAATTCTTGTAAGCGTTGATGCAAACAACAGATTCATCTGCATTACAAAAGCTAAGTATATAGTTGCCTTATAGGGGCACATACTTTGGGGTTTTATAGGGTATAATATTAACTTTTTGTCAGGAGTTGGTCAATAATAGATCCATTCCATACGTATATTCCGGTCAAGAGTTGGTCCATGATAGCCCACGTGTAGGTTCTACAATGCCTGCCAAAAGTCTTTGTACACTGACATCAGTTTCCAAGGGCAAATTAAGCCATCCCCTTCCCTCTTTTAACAATATTGGCTTACTACAAAACGACGTAGGGGATTAGGATGTACGCCTTTTTCTGCGAACTTCTATGATATTTTTCTAAATTATCAAGATTGTTTAGGGTGAGAGTGGGTGCGGAAATAGCAGTATTCGGGAAAAGAATTGAAAAATAAAAATACACAACGCAAATTGCTGGGTGTTCCAACTTTTGGCAATGATTGTAGTTGAAAATTGTCTGTAATATTCTTGGTCTGTAATATTCCATGTGCAGATTCCAATCGAGAGTTGGTCCGTAATATTCCCCGTGTACATTTAGTGGAGAGTTGGTCTGTAATATTCCACATGTACATTTCGTGGAGAGTTGGTCTGTAATATTCCCCGTGTACATTTCGTGGAGAGTTGGTCTGTAATATTCCCCGTGTACATTTCGTGGAGAGTTGGTCTGTAATATTCCCCGTGTACATTTCGTGGAGAGTTGGTCTGTAATATTCCCCGTGTACATTTCGTGGAGAGTTGGTCTGTAATATTCCCCGTGTACATTTCGTGGAGAGTTGGTCTGTAATATTCCCCGTGTACATTTCGTGGAGAGTTGGTCTGTAATATTCCCCGTGTACATTTCGTGGAGAGTTGGTCTGTAATATTCCCCGTGTACATTTCGTCGAGAGTTGGTCCGTAATATTCCACGTGCAGATACTAGTCAAGAGTTGGTCTGGAATATTCCGTACATTTAGTATAAACACTATAACATTCTTGTCGTAATATGTTTTCTGTAAATTCCCCACTTGATTGAATTTGAGAGTAGGATCAACTTGAGGTTACATTCTTACCTACAGAAAAAATTACTTAATTGGACCTTGGACAACAATCATTAAATTTACTCAGGCAGTTACAAAAAAATCAAAATGAGAAGTAACAAGGAAACCTACATCTCCAATGAAGACAATGAGGACAATTTCTGACCGGTCATCGTCTGTCAAGCCATTTATCAATGAGCGAAGTGTTCCAGACAAGTATGATTGCTGTTCTCTGTAAATTGATGGAATACCAAATGCCAGAGAGACTGAAAAAGATTCAAAATTCAAGTTCTAGGAAAAATAAGTCAACATAACTTGTCTGTCAAAAATTGCTCTAAACAAAAAATATTCAAATTTTTCAATTTAACCACCAGCAAACGGAAGGTAAATCAAGCTTGAATTGGAACACAAAGTAAACTTTTGTTTAAATATTCATGGAAAAGCAATAACAAAAGTATATTGTGCTGCCTGTTTTAGAGCATGCAAACAGGGACAGATTTAGTGGGTGGGGGTGTAGGGGGTGCAACCCCCCAATATTTCGGTATCCTTTGGTAAATTTGGTTCCTTTCTGTAAAAATCATTTTTTTGGAGTCAGCAGTTTAAAAAGTAGTGCCAAGATTTTACTTGACTTATTTTCTTATCAGTAGAGTAGTGAGGGAGGGGGGGGGGGGTTAAAACAGAAATTCTCAGAAAGTTGGTGTCAGAAAAAAGTACAAATCTGCAAAATAATTAGGACCTCAGGGGGGAGTTTATATTTCAGACAATATTAAAATTTATTTAAAGACTGCAAGCAAACAATCTTTTGGCTACTTTGGAAAATCAGCTTTTTACACATAGAGCTTCCTTGCCATACACAATTCAGAATATAAATGTTAGAGAGAATTGTGAAGGAAATAGACAGTTGTAGAATGGGGTCAGCCACAAGCTATGTATAACAGTAACTATGTTTGATTACCACGTAACCATTACCATATAAGAAAAGCCATAGCAATTCCAAATGCATTTACAAAATGGGTGTGTTTTCCCAAATTCTTAAGGCGTTGGTCAACAAAAATTTTCTCCTCTTTGCCTCTCCAATTTTCGAACCCTGGCTACACCACTGCTTCTTATCTTCTTTACCTTGAAGTTCAAAACCGAATTTGAAAATGGGCATTTCCATCATTTACCAGATACCTAAAGGGTGTGGCAACAAAATCCAATTAGTGTCTAACAGTCGGGTCATTCCATGTCAAATCATCAGACCCATGTAACCCATGGTCTTAGAATTTCTTGATTTTTTCACCACAAAGAGCCATTTTGGAGAAAACACCACATACAAAATTTCATTCCTATATCTCTTACGGTTGCGATTTTGAAGCCGTTTCAAAAGTGACCCATTTTAACCAAATACGCCACACCCAGTTTACCAAGGGATGGGCGCGGCTTTCTATCAATAGCTGTAACTTTTCTATAGTTGTCAATATTTACTTGAAAATAATGTCAATTATTGATTTGATACTGTAGATTTCAAATATTGCATCAGAATGTGTCAATTCTCTAAGGTGAAGCAGATAGTCATATGTTAAAGGTTATCACTTGTTTTGAAAATATTCCCAACCGATGTAAATAAATATTGAAAAAAAGTCCTGTAGCTGGAATCATAGCATTAGAAGCTTGCTATATTCTGAAAGTGTATTCTTTGGGCTATCAGAAAATGTTCAAGATTACATTTGCAATTGAAGTATTTTGAGTTAATTGCACCCTACAAAATGGGTGTAATTTTGCAAGAATCGTGAGCAAAAAAAATTTGTATTTAAGGTAATATTGCATGAAATAAAAAATAGCTGCTAAAAACATTGAATCAATCATGATTTCACATTCAGAGACAACAAAGAATAATTAAAAATGATTCCTAGCCATGGACAAGCTGAAATACTGCTTTATTGTCACTGTAGCTGAAGCTCTAAGTTTGACCTGTAATTGTTTTGGATGAATCAGTTTTGCAAAGCATGTAAATGTGATACCCAGCATATGTATGATCTGCTTGATCATGTAAAGTTCTGAGTGGGTTCAGGTGGGTGCATGAAGTTCATTTGAAAGTCCCCTTCATCTTCATTAATGTCATAGAAACCCACCCGCCATTGTCATATAGGCAAGCAACATACTTTATCGTTCGAGTCCCAATGCCATTCTCTCCCTTCTTAGAAAGAAAAGCAAAGTTTGCTGCAAAGTCTCTGTTATCAGAAAATTACTTGAAAGCAATCTTTTCATCTTAAAGTAGATAAAACTGGGGTGTAGTATGCAATTTTGCTTGTTCCAATGGGCTGACTGAATTTCATCTTAAGTGAAAAATTCATAGTTTTCGGCAAAGTCAGCCAAAAAACAAGAATCATCGTCATTTCTTCCTTTCACTTAAGATATTTTGACTGCAATTGTGTAAGAAAAGAATGAGAGGTCAAAGCAACAATACACTTTACAAGCAGCTCAACAAAATAAGCAATACTCAAGAACCTTGTTACTATTTTTGATCTTCTAGTGTTATCACCTTGCTGAAATAAACATCACTATCACCATCATGTAAATCCAATGCCATTCTCTACCTTCTTAGAAAGAAAAGCAAAGTTACCTGCAAAGTCTCTGTAATCAGAAAATTACTTGAAAGCAATCTTTTCATCTTTAAGTGGAAACTGATTAGGAAACTGATTAGAAACAATTCTGTTTGTGGTTGTATTACATATCAAAATTCATCACTTCCAGTTGCCATTAACAAAACATACAGAGATATGATAGACATGACTGTCTGCTCCAAGGACAGTAAGCAATGTATAGCACACAGATGTCGCAACTGTTCAGGGATATCTGTACTTAAAAGGTTTCTTGATCAGTGTTTACATGATGGCGATAGTGATGTTTCATTTCAGCAAGGTGATAACACTAGAAGATCAAAAATAGTAACAAGGTTCTTGAGTATTGCTTATTTTGTTGAGCTGCTTGTAAAGTGTATTGTTGCTTTGACCTCTCATCTCATTCTTTTCTTACACAATTGCAGTCAAAATACCTTAAGTGAAAGGAAGAAATGAAGATGATTCTTGGTTTTTTGGCTGACTTTGCCGAAAACTATGAATTTTTCACTTAAGATGAAATTCAGTCAGCCCATTGGAACAAGCAAAATTGCATGCTACACCCCAGTTTTATCTACTTTAAGATGAAAAGATTGCTTTCAAGTAATTTTCTGATGACAGAGACTTTGCAGCAAACTTTGCTTTTCTTTCTAAGAAGGGAGAGAATGGCATTGGGACTCGAACGATAAAGTATGTTGCTTGCCTATATGACAATGGCGGGTGGGTTTCTATGACATTAATGAAGATGAAGGGGACTTTCAAATGAACTTCATGCACCCACCTGAACCCACTCAGAACTTTACATGATCAAGCAGATCATACATATGCTGGGTATCACATTTACATGCTTTGCAAAACTGATTCATCCAAAACAATTACAGGTCAAACTTAGAGCTTCAGCTACAGTGACAATAAAGCAGTATTTCAGCTTGTCCATGGCTAGGAATCATTTTTAATTATTCTTTGTTGTCTCTGAATGTGAAATCATGATTGATTCAATGTTTTTAGCAGCTATTTTTTATTTCATGCAATATTACCTTAAATACAAATTTTTTTTGCTCACGATTCTTGCAAAATTACACCCATTTTGTAGGGTGCAATTAACTCAAAATACTTCAATTGCAAATGTAATCTTGAACATTTTCTGATAGCCCAAAGAATACACTTTCAGAATATAGCAAGCTTCTAATGCTATGATTCCAGCTACAGGACTTTTTTTCAATATTTATATACATCGGTTGGGAATATTTTCAAAACAAGTGATAACCTTTAACATATGACTATCTGCTTCACCTTAGAGAATTGACAAATTCTGATGCAATATTTGAAATCTACAGTATCAAATCAATAATTGACATTATTTTCAAGTAAATATTGACAACTATAGAAAAGTTACAGCTATTGATAGAAAGCCGCGCCCATCGCTTGGTAAACTGGGTGTGGCATATTTGGCTAAAATGGGTCACTTTTGAAACAGCTACAAAATCGCAACCGTAAGAGATATAAGGATGAAATTTTGTATGTGGTGTTTTCTCCAAAATGGCTCTTTGTGGTAAAAAAATCAAGAAATTCTAAGACCATGGGTTACAAATCTTAAAAATATCTGATGATTTGATATGGAATGACCCAGTCCCCTAATCATTTTTGTTTAAATCTGTCCCTGAACGAAAGGCCTCCTTGTTGCACAAATAATGTTTTTATAACATAAGCTGCTTTTAAAAAAAACTTCTCAAGTTATATACAAAATTTGAAAAATATAAATTTGAAAAATTTCCTATAAGATAACCCCCTAGCATTCTTTCAACATTAGTTTGATGCTAGAGCAAATTCTAATACATAAAACATCAACCTGAGCAAAGTCAATACCAGTATGTTGACACTTTCAATTTTTTCAACTAAAAGCATCTTTCAAGCTTGCTTTGTACAGATGCTACCTAAGTCAATACAGCACATTGAGACTGTCAAATTTTAATTTCCCCACAGTTGGCTCAACTGTTGAGATGAAAATATTGCTTCAAAAGGGTTTGTATCAATTAAAAAGGTTTAATGATAAGTTTTGATTTCAAGAAATTAAAAATGAACATGGTAAATGGGTCCATTTATAGAAAATCTTGAAGAGTACGGAAAGCTTTATCACCTGCCATTTATAAAATTAAAATTCCATGGAAATCTAGTTGGCATGTAATTTCCTAGGTGTGACCAAGCTCCCTCTTAAAATTTAAGGTAAAATGCATCATCAAACAATACATAAAGTTAGTAAATAACCAAAGAAAATTTCATGGTCTGATCGAACCCAAATAATGTTCCAATGCAAGCTATGTAAATTTTGAAAATGATTCTTGGCAAGTATTAGAGCAATGCTAAAAAGGTCTTTTCAGAACATCTGGGGGCTATTTTTATCAACAAAGTTAATGCCAGAGTGCAAAAAATTCTACTGAAACATCCACATCCTAGAGAATTCTCGTAAATCTATTCACGAACTAATGCAACCTTCTCTGCTAGACGAGTTCATTCATATTAAGAAAATTGCAACCATGAGATATGGCTTTCTCCTTATTGCACATTTGAAATGGCAACAGCACTAAACATAGATGATTATAAGACTGAATCTGGAATTCTAAAAGGCAAGGAAATCTCAGAATCATCAGAGGAATATCTCAAAAGCACATTAGCATAGCATTTTATATCCTATAGCCCAAATATTATTCCTGTCAAAATATTTTGTCTATTATAACTTTGTTGGATGTGGCTTTTGATTTTGAATTGTTGACTGCCTTGCTCAGGGGCACAACCAAGGGTGTTGATGGAGGTGGGAAGCTGGCACCTTACAGCAAAAACCAACAAAAATGGAAAACTGCAATGCAGTATCCTCCTACCTTGCTTTGTATGCCTATACCTAGCTTTGTTGATCATTAGATCAGTAAATTTTTAATTCAATGATAATTGTAGCATAATAATCCAAAGACATCTCTTACTTCCTTGGCATTTTACATAAGACGAAACAAATCTTTAAGTTATAGTTGAGGTCTGTATGAACAAGCTTTTGAGATCCTTTTAGTCGGTACATTTGAGGTAAACACCTGAAAATGCTGAAATGTTAAAACATACAAATTTGAACTTAAATTTTCTCCATTCCAGAGAGAATGAGAGAACTGGAGAAATTCATCCAACCTTGATTGGTGGTACCCAGTACACCACAGGGAGACCTTAATGACTTAGCCAAAAGTCTTTTATAGACAAATATAGTAAAATACCTTTCCGTCTTGTTTTAGTTCCGATATGTATATTTGGAACCAATCCATTTGGCTGAGCAACCAAATGTGGAAGAAAGCCATAGATGCTTGGCAGGGACAGAATATTTGTTGTCTTGTTTGAAGGCAATGTCTTTTGGACAACACTGTTCAAAGAGACAAGTTCTCGGGATATGGATGTGCTTGTGTACTCAACTTCATTTAACTTTCTTTTCAGCTCATCAACTTTTGTCTCTAAAATAAGTTGCCAAGCTTCAAGTTTTTTTCTTGGCATCAACAAAACTAGAATGAAAAGAAGAAAATGAAAATTAGTAGATAGGAGTTTTAAAGAGCTTTTGTCTAAAAGGCATAGGGCTTGTCATTTAAAATTTGATGCATGTAAATATAGTCTTAGATTTACATGTTACAAAATAGTTCTTGAAACTTAAAACCTCTCCTCCCATTCCTTACAAATCTGACTTTAGGTGAGTCAATTTCATTTCAAAGGCCCTTCCAATTTTAGGTATACTTGGCAAAGGAAAATTGAAAATAAGAAAAAGTTCATCCATTTTTAAAATCAGCACAAAAAATCGCATGAATCCAACAAAATGCCGAATTACCTAATTTACAAACAACCCATAAACAAGAAACAGAGCAAAAACCACAGACAAAGACATAAGGAGATTGAAGCATTGAATTATGCAAATTATAAATTCATTTGGTTCTATGCTAATCAAAGGCAATTATCATCTAAAGCTAGAACACCAATAGTAACAAGTTAAAACTGCAACAAGTTCGATCACCAGAAAAGCTCATTTGTACGTGGTTTACGTCTGTACAAATGAAATTAGTCTTTACATAAAACTTATCATTCTTATCCATTATTGTAGAGTCACAGTAGTGTGGAAATTTAATCACTCAAAAATATCCACACTAACCCTAATTTCTTTTGAGTAACTGCCCAGATACAAAGCGATTGTAAGTCGGCATCACGTGAGTGCAAAAGACTAAGCGGAAACATGATTTTTCGCAATCAAACAGTTTTCTATGCTGATGTTTGGCTGCAAATTCGTAGCTTAAGTAATATCTAAAGTCAGATTTTTCACACATTTTAACCAACTGCTGTAATCAACCTTTTCCGGCCTTACCTTCTGCCCTTTGCCGCCTTCTCATTAACAGCAACCCCATCATAAAAACGATTATCATAAAACCGGCAACAACCTTTCCTCTTCTAAGATTCATCACGAAGAAAGAGCTAGGGGCTCAATTAACCGTAATCTTCTTTTCATTTGGTTGAATGCAAGCGACAAAATTGTCAACAATGATTTCAGTAAACCGAGCCTAGCATGCAGGTCGTGTCACCCACTAGGCCAGTTTCAACTGATATTTTGTCGTCTTGATGTTCCCATAGTGTTAAAAATTAAAGTTTTTGTAAAATACCAGACAAGATTGTCTTTCTCTATCTAATAATTACATTTCATTACTGTAGGTGAACTCGACAACATCACAATTGATAAGATATTCTTCTTTCGAGGTTTATCGGGCAACATACAAACAATTCAACAACCATCACCTCCAGTACAAAAGCCGGAATGCAACACAATACAATACACCTTTTCGAAGATCAGATGATTAGGGAATTGAATATCATTATATCGTTATTATTACCTACCACAACCCAGACTAGCCAGTTACAAATTACCCATGAAATTAAGAGATTTGTAGTTGTAGTTTTATTGAATTGAAAATTATTTATAAAGAATTTCTCGCAAATAAATTTAGTGTCAAAAAATTCTCGCAACTTAGTGTGACACAAGTTTCCAGTTTAAGAATTTTTGCAGGCAAGTCTATTTTTTGCTAGTTCACACAGGGCTCACGTCCCCGGAGGGGGGGGGGGGCGGAGAGGCCATGGCCCCCACTTTTTTGCGAAACAAGCAGTTCTAAAGCTGCAGTAAAAGGGAAAAAAGCCTTGGCCCCCTACTTTTGCTAGCCTTGTCCCCCATTTTCAAATTCGAGGCGTAGGCCCTGTCACCAGCTTCTTTCCATTCGATTGATTTTGTTCCTTAGAGTTTCATTGGCTTATTTGCAAACAAAATCACTTTTCATTATTTTTGGATACCTTAATTATGTTAAAGATGAATGATCGTTATACTCTCCTATGAAAACTGTCAATTTTATTTTCACTAAATTTTGTTAATGTTTATAGTTCTGAGTTGCATAGGAATATGGATGTAACGTAGGTTTTAAAGGCATTTTATTTTGTGTTGATGCTGAGGTTTTTTATATTAAGGATGAATTTCAATTTTTTGCAGATTGAATTACGAGAACTTTGCGTCTATTGGTGTCGTTTTCTGTATCTGGTACACAACCCTGCTGCTTGCAACTTTTCCAATTACATTTGCACGAATGGTCACTTTTGCATCTCGTGGTGTTAAAATTTCTAGCCTTGCATGTATTTTCCTATGGTCAAATTCCGCTTCGAAGAAATTTCTGGTCGATCGTTTTCTTTTTGTTGAGTGTTTGCGTAGTCTGATGTTTTATGATTGTAATGTCATCTGTATGGTCTAATGTTATGTGATTTTGCTGTTGTTGTGTGAAGCTCTGGAGTATGAAGTAAGTTTCCATTACTGAAACAAAATTGCTTGTCGAAGAGAAAATTTTGCAAGGATCTCGCCATGCTTACTTTACACGAGCCCGCGTGTTGTGCAGCAAGCTTGAATTTGTGAATAAATATTTTAAAAATCTTATTTTTGCTATGGCATGACGGTTATAGGGGATCTTCCCTAAATCGATTTATTGGTCCATTTCTGTCAGGTCAGGGTTAACAGACTAAATTCAAAACAACATTCAGGTGACGCCACTTGAAGCAATTCCGCGTTAGGCAGTCTGGGTTTTAGCAATGTCTGAAGATGTTGGGTTCGCTGACGTGTACAGTGCGTTGCAAAAACCGAATGAAAAGGAGATATGTAGCTACTTGTCTCGTACAGATATAAAGGTGTTGAAATAAATCAAATTTTCATTTCAATGACTTAACTCATCCAAAATTTGATTGCTATTTATGCAAAAATCCTAAGTATCTTATTAAGAACCATAAATGATCTACCGTTTTGCTTAGGACAACTCCAGCAAGAGCTTGTCAGCCAATAAATTCATTTGCTTGAAACAAACGCAGATTTTTCACCTTTTTCTTTTTTATCTGGTTTCTGGCGCCATTAATTTTCTGGCGTTATTTGGTGTCAGAATATTAGGGTGTAAGGTGAAGATATTCAAACACAAGACAATATTTTACCCCAGAAATACACCGAATGCATATATTTGGGGTATTGCCTTTTTGATAAAGTCATAATAAGACATACAAAGAATGATTTTGACTGCTAACGTTCGAGGTGAGGCATAACCAACCAGTCATCTTGTGGATGTCATGATCTGCTCTTTAGCCTCATTCCTCATTCTAAAAATCATTCCCCTTTTTTTGCTTCATCGTTGCACGTGTCATCCGGCAGGAGACAAAAATTAAAACCGTAAGGACTGGACTTTTGGATGTTCCATCGTCAGTCTCCTGTATTTTTTGAAAGTATTTTTATTAATTACCCTCAAGATATTTTCTTTCAACTGTGTATGTCAAAAGCTCTAACAAAATAATATTTGCTTTCTTGCTAAAAAGGAATTCTTATTCGCTCAGTTTGTTTCCATTGGTAACGGGTTATCGAAACATCTGTGTTTAATATTTGCTCAAATTGAACAAAGACCTATAGCAATATAGAAATTATAGATAATGAAAGAACTTCGACGTAGAGGAAATATAATTTTTACGAAAATTCATCGTCGCCATATCGCTTTTGAGTCACACATACACGAAATTGATCGAGTCAAAACAGGATTCTGTTTAACCTATTAAATACGAGAACATTAAAAATTCAGAGCCAAAAATAAATCATATCACCAGTTTCAAATCTAAATTTTGCAGTTCAAACAAAACCGACCGACAACTAAATTGGAGACAATTTAACATTTACTGCTCAAGCTGCTTTGAAATTGCTATTTATCATACTTTGCTTTATCGTCATCAGTTTCGTCCGTCTAATTGGCATAGCTCGAAAAAATAACGATATTAAAGTTTTTAAAACATTATATATTACATCGCTATTAAGTGGCGGCCGCCCCCCCCCCCCTGATTCAGAGAAAGTTGGTGTCTGAAAAAAGTGCAAATCTGCAATAAAATTACTACCTCAGGGGGGGGGGATTGATATTTCAGATAAAATTAAAACGTTTTAAAGACTGCAAGCAAACGAGTACAAGAAATATTCTGAAATTTTAAGCTAATCTAAAGGGGGTGGTCGCCAAAATTTTCCCTCGTCTCCTCTATATCTCTTCAGAATGTTTAACAAATTTCCCTCGTTTGAGGGTTTGCATATGGAAGTCTTTTACGTTCTTTAAAAATTTCCTAAACTGCATTCTGAGATGCTTGTCGGGAATTTCGCAGATTTTGCTACAAGGATAACTGACTTAGTTTGAAACGTATGCATACTGCTTATTATTTTTAAATAGAGGGTTGGAGAATGGGGTCAGCCACAAAAAGCTACATATAACGGTTATGTGTTTGATTAGCCAACCATTGTCACGTAAAAAAGCCATAGCTTTTCCAAACACATTTAAAAAATCGGGGCGTTTTCCCAATTTCTTAAGGGCGTGATCAGCAAAAATGCCCCGGACCCTCTGCTGTCAGTCTCCTCTTTGCCTCTCCAATATACTGTGGGGCTAGCCCTTGTAGAGATCTGAAGACCATCCGTTCTGATTCATGAACTAAGAGTTCTTCAATTGTCTCCCAGCCTAGTACTCCAGCCAGCCTAGTACGCACTTAAAATATCACCGGGGCATCAAAGTTACTGGCGTCTCCAGCCCGGGATAGGTGGGAGGGAAAATGGTGCCCGGGATAACGCCCTTTTGGGATGCGTCCTTTTCCCATGAGAAGCATTTTCTTCCGTAGGAAACACCTCTTTTGTCCCAAGAAATGTCATTAAATTTACCGTTAGTAAAAAACATTATTGCCTAAAACTTAATTTCAGAGTTTTGAAATTAGAAATTTTACATGTGTAAAAATCCTGAAAAAGACCTATAACCAAGTGCTACTGTCACAAAATCTTACACAACGTACAAATAGTTCACAAAACTTTTTGAGGGGATATTTGCTGGCAAATTGTTTTCGAAGAGTTGATAAATAAATTCTGTTAGAAATATTTCTCTCGCTGCTTAATAAAATAATATTTTCTTGCAGAAGGTTGACTAGTTCCCCCTATTCAGCCCCCCCCCCCGGTGGCTCCGCCACTGACAGCAGCCCCAAACGGAAGAGCAATAATGGAAATGAGGCTCAACAATTCCAGCGTATCGTTTTAATAGAGATTCTAGAGGCAATAAGGATTTCGTATGTTTTAAGAAACCAATCGATTAAGAAATTTTAGTGTAAAGAACACTGATGTAGTATTTCCAATCTAGTGTATTGTCAATTTGTAAACCAAGATAATCTCTAGTACATGATCCTTGACTTTTAGTGAAAGTTCCTGGCTTAGATTTCTCATAATTGTTTTTTTGTTTTGTATAAATGAACATTGACTGGGTTTTCATTGCATTTATAGACAGTTTTTCCCCTTCAGTTACATAACAGCCTCATTCAGTTAAGTGATATCAAGCGATTAATAGCATAAGCCAGTACATCAGCATAAATGGAAATGGACGAGTCATGTACTGCCTGAGGGTGAAGCCAGTTTCAAGAAGTAGCCTGAAAAAGCACAAATGAAGGCTTTGGCAAATTTTAGAAACAACACCTTTTCAAAGGTCAAAAAGGTTATTTCTATAACAATTAGAGCCACATTCTGTAGGAGAAACTGCTATTTGAGAAAAGACATTCTGTAGGAATCTAACTTCTTTCTATAAATGATGCAACAACCCCGTTATGCGTAAATAAGGCCACGGCTGCAAACTGTAATACATACGGCGCAGGTCACCAAAGTGTTTCGGTGCTGAAGTGTTAAAATAGGAAACACCGCAACTTCCGAACACAAGCGAATATAAATTCAATTAAATATAGCTAACATAATATGCAACAAAGCAAAAGTAAACTGGCTAGTTGGTGTACAAATTTAAATAGAAGATGGTGATGTCGGAATGGTGGATGTGGAAGTGTGCGAATGCAGCGCAGCGGAAAAGAAATAGATAAAGAAAGTGGAAGAGGAGAGGGTTGCGAGTGATTCGAGGGAGCATGGGCGGTGGTGCTGGAATATAAGTAAGATTTTCAACCCCATAATATTCAAGGCAAAAACGTTGGCAAGAACTTTGCTATCTCTTCAAAATAACCAATATAAGATATATATGTAGCAAACAATAAAGAATAGATGATTATATCTTACCACTGTCATCAAGAAACAGGAGCATGAAGAATGGAATTGAAATAATTATGGCGAAAACTTTACACTTCCTGTAAGTCATCGTGAAAACACATATAAACAATCTGGAACTCGTGCCGAGTAGATCAACACATTTGATTTAATTTGCTTCATCTTTTGCCGTTTGGGTTGGCAGAATACAGCAGAATTA